GAGCGAGTGCGCAAAGAAGGAAAAAGTCCGAAGTGCCAAAGTGGTCAAGCCCAGCGAAAATGTTGAGGGAGCAAACAGTGCACGGCGAGAACAAGATAGCGATTGCGATACGGAAACAAGCTACGTACAAGGTGCGAGCAATGAATATATACTACCAACTGAGACTGAGCGTGTGTGTGTGAACTGAGGAAGCTGAGTGACCTGCGTGTGTGCAAGAGGTTCGAGCGTCGAGGAGGAAGTGAAGTGGGGTGAGGCAAATTGAGTAGGAGCGGAACAATGGGCGAAAAATAGAAAAGAATTTAGGCACCGAAATTCAAGTGAACACCCGCCAACCGCTGGTATGGTGGAACCATTGTTTTCAGGACATATGAGAGAAGCAGTCCATCGTTGTCGTGACAACGATGATGAACATCATCACCCACTCAGGTTGTCATTTGCTCTTCTTGTTGGCAGCCGACTCCTCTTTCTTCGCGATTTCTTCCTCTTTGACTGCGGCAACTCTCGTATTCTTGGCGACGAGGACAGCATCAAGACGGTCCGCCGTGGGAGCCTCACAACCATCTTCTTCAAGCGCATACCTAGGGGGAGGTACGCTGGCGGGATCGCCAGATGATCCTTGCATACGTCTGCTGGTAAAGAGGGCAGATTTCGAAACGGCCTTGGAAATCGATTGTGGCGTGACTGGTACTTTGGATGGCATTGTGAAGGTGTTTCTGGCAGCCCGAAGTGTTCAAGCCCCTCATAGGTCGAGAACCTAGTGAAACTGCGAAAGAGTTTACGATGGCGAAGGTGTGAAGCTATATACAGAGTTCAAATAAATCAATGCATGCAACCAACTTGTGCTGAGCGTGTGTGCGTCGTTGAGTGGACTGAGAAACCTGATTTACCTGCGTGTGGGAAGTCGAGGCCCGAGCTCAAAATGCATCCTTTAGCTGACCATATATATTTTGAACGAAACCAGAGAAGCGAGTAGAGGCCAAAGAATCCCATTCAAGGCATTGAGAATAATGCACCACGATTTCTCGCACGTTTACCCAAACCTGGCGCATGACCGTCGTTCAATGAGCTGCCGATTCTTTTACGCTTCGTTTCCAACCACATGTCCTTTCGCAGGCTTCATGTCCTCACGATCCGGCATCGTTGCCAGGAGAAAATGAAGGCAGCTAAATTGAGCGAACAATCGCACCAAATTCATGGAGTTTCTTGTCGAGCTTCTTTTGGAAGGTGCACACGCTCGGCCATATCTTCGGCGGCGTCTCTGACAAGTCACAATATCACACTTGTACCGCAGATCGATGCTTACTTGCTGCTTCGCATGTTTGTATTTTGGAGCCGAAGTTCTCCTATGCGAAGACAAATTGATGCCACCCATTCAGATTGCGCAGCTAACTGTTCAAAACTTGTTTCGTATCAAGATCTTTGGTCAGCTTTGCCGACATGGCTACGCTAGGCGACACGCCACATGGAGGTCGGCTTGCGCTTATGCATACCAAAATTTTTGAGAAGGGGCCTGTGTTCTCTCCTTACAGCAGTGCATCAAGCTTGATGGAGCACGAGAATGACGTCGTTGGTTTTTGCGATCACCAGAAAATGTGCGGCACGAATGTCAAAGTACGTCAACTGAGCGGGCGTAGATTACAGACCAATTTGGTTTATCGAAGTGGTCGAGGGCACATTGACGAGCCACATGTTGATCACCGTGTGCAGAAAGACGGCGAATGCGGGGCCAGCACCATTTGCCGAACCAGCCAGGAGAGCAACCATGTGCGAACTTTTGACAGGTGCGGTTCAATTAATGCTAACAAGGAACGACCTCGACACAAAGCTGTGCAGCACACTGCTTTAGACCGCACTTGGCCGATGCATTTCGGCAGCAGCTTGGGTAGAGGGAACAAAGAAATAAATAGAAATTAGAGTAAATAAAGCTGTCCAGCTGTGCCGCTTAAAATCTTGGCAGAATTTTGACGCGTGTGTGGCGGTGCTGGTCTCGCCGCGTGTTGGCCGCTCTGGCGGTGCGGTGAGACCCTTGGTCCACGCGGCCAGCAGCAGCGCCACTTGCACCGCTTCTTACAAGTTATGAGAAAGAGCATCGATGCCCGATGCTACCTGCACGAAGGGTGCACATCATCGTTAGGAGCTCCGACGACGCCCTTGGTGTTATGTTCCATGGTGATACTGCCCTATAGCAGCTTGCTCCACACAGATATATAGACGTAGGCACAACAGCGATCAACGACGTTCAAGCATCTCTCCTCGGCCATTTACATATCAGTCAGTCACACTAGTCCCGCAACCTCCTTCACAGCACCAATGAAGACCTTTTGCTGTTGCATACCCGTTCGTCTGGGGGTTCTTATACTTGCGCCAGCAACGACGGTTTTGGCCTCTCTCCTCGCCTACACACAACTTTCTCTGCTCATCAACTACCAGAATCAGTATGGCACTTTCGAAAAGGCGATTCACGGAGCACTTGCCGGTATCACGATCCTGATCGCACTCGCATCCCTCTTCGGACTGCTCGGTGCGGTTCTGGCACGACGCTCACTAGTAGCCTTCTATTCGAACACGCTCTGGTTGGGTCTGTTGATATTTGCCGTTCTGGGCGGCATCGAAATTTGGCAACTCTTCCGCAATAAGGATTCCTTCGCCAGCCAGTGTGAAGCTCGGACGAACAGCAACACAAAGGAGCTTCAATCTCTCTTTGGCTCTTCGTTGCAAGGACCGACAGACGAAGTATGCAAGAAGCTCGCCGATATCAACGCTATTGTGATCACCGTTCTTTTCGGCATTCTGGTCTTGGTTCTTGCATGGCTTATCAACATCGTTTCTCAGTACAAGCATCAGCTTCGAGAGAGGGACGCGACGTATGGCGGTCACGCGTATGCAGGCCGCGGCGACCGCTCCCGTGTGTTTGGCAACACCGGCAAAAGCTCTGGCTACCATCCGACTGAAACCCGCGAGGTCGACGAGAGCGGGGCTAAGCTTCTGCATGTAACGCAGCCACCAGCCGGCTGGAAAGACATGTCGCATCAGCAACAACCGTACCATCATACCTCTGGCTCGTATGCGGCATACGGCAAAGCATGATTCAGACATGCCCGCATTCGGTGCTGATTAAGCTTCCTTTTTAATGTATAGATTTGTAGACCGTAGCGCGAGAGTGCACCACACCCACACAGACAATACCTTTCACTACATGCTTCACTTGAAATGTGCGTCGTGGTTGTGCCTCGAGTGATGTCAGCGCTGCTGGGTCTGGCGGATTGGAATCTTGACCACGCGGCTTGCGGGTGGGGTCGATTGTGTTTGGACCCTGCATACGTTGCACAAAATTCTCCGCTTCGCCTCCACATCCGGCTTTTTTGATGCCCCAATTTTCCGGCGTGTATGTCAGCGTGCCTCGTCACAGCTAAGCCGGAATGACGTATTAATTCGGCACTTCCTCAGAGACCCGACCAGCTGTTTCACCGGGAGAGCGTCGGAATGCCCATCTGCACGAGGCTGATCCTCCGTCTAGCAGTCCCAATTCCCGGGCTCTCTAGTTGAGCAGGCGCTAGGTCGGTTGGGCACATATAAGATCTCAACATCCGGACTATCGCCTTGTCCGATCTACGACCAACAACATCCCACCTTCCTTCGACACATCAGCCATCTGAATCCCCCACCACTCTCTACTTTGTCTCTGATATTCAAAATGACTGGAGGCAAGACCGATCCGCAAGATTTGAAAGCCGGTGATTCCGTGTCCTGGAAGTGGGGATCGCAACACCCTGAGGGAAAGGTCAAGGACGTCGTGGAAGGCGAGGCCAAGACGACAACCAAATCCGGCAAAGAAATCACCAAGGAGGGCGATTCCGATGACCCAATTGTCGTCCTCGAGGCAAAGTCGAGCGGATCCGGTGCTCTGAAGAAAGTAAGTGCACGATCAACAAGATCGCATCCCATCCTCTGCAAGTACTGACCATGAACCTCACTCTGAACCGCATCTGATCAAATCCGTTAACAGGCAAGCGAAGTCGATGGTGTCGCGCCCTGAAGTCAGGGACGTTCACTCGGGCCCTTGATTATGTGAACGGACTTCGACCTCCTGCTTATGAAAATTGATGCTCTCAATTAGCTCTCCGTGATTCAACCTAAAAGTCTTTCAGCATGCAAATGCGCGCTCAGATCGCAACATTGTCGGAGACTGGAGCCAAGCTTTGCAAATGATCGTACTAATACATTGCGTCCAGATGTGCACCCGACGATCTGAATGAAAGTAACGTGAGTGATGCGATTACAAGAACGTGTAGAGCTCGTGCCTTCGGTAGTCGTTTCGCTCGTCTGAGAACTCTGAGAAATCCGGATAATAAGCAACCATGGCGTCCTGCGATCGAAGATAGGTCGAATTGTACAGGCGCACGTAGACCTCTCTGACCTTTCGCGCTGGATGGAACAAACCCTGCAACGTGTGGTTGAGAAGCACTCCCGGTCCTAGTGCTACTTCGAGACTCTCGATGGCTGCCATGACGGAACCAAGGACGTGCGGACTGGTCTCAAAGATGTTGGGCCAGATGAGGTTGAGCAGATGCTGCATGCTTTCTTCGTGACCCAGGCCAAAGGTGCCGAGCGCCAGATGGTGGACGATACTCGCTGCCGTTTGTCGATGGACGTGGTCTCGATCCGTGAGAGCATCTTCAAGACAGCTAATTACCGAATAGACGTAGTCCTTGCTCATCTCGCCAATGTACTCAAAGACCCAGCTAAGCGCTTTGAGACAGCCGTTGCGGACATTGAGCTCTGGCGTGCGGTACTCGTTGAGAATGGCAGGAATCGTCGTAAACGGCCCACAGGTCTCGGCGACGATGGCGATCGCGACAGTCGAGCATACACGCGATTGTCGTTCTTGAACGCGGAGATTGGTTAAGAGCACCTGCAGCACATCGGAAGGACCGATGGCTCTCGCAATGTAGCCAAAGCTGTTGACTGCGGCTCTTCGAATGGCCTTCTTGTGCGCTTTGAGCAAGTCGAGCAGCTCGAAGCAGATACGCATCCACTCGCGTGGACTGACAGATTCGGCGCCCTTGTCTGCGATCCTACCAATGAGGTTGATGCTGGCCTCCTGCACCTTTTCGTGTCGGTTGCGCAAGATGGGTGTCATGCGCGGAAGCAGGTCCTTGATGGGAGGGCTCATCTGAGCCATGCCGACCACATTGGCGATGGCTGTCTCGGCGCTGATGATGGAAGCGAGAGCCTCTGGGAACTCTTCACCGAGTTGTTCGAACAGGACGACGCCGAGTTTTGCGAGGAGAGCATCTTCGCCGCATTGCTTGATGACTAGGGCGAGCTTGGTGGTGAGATCTGCAGCCTGCTGACGTGTCTTTGCGCTCTTATTGTTGAGACGCCACAGGATGGTCGACACGATCTGTGTGAGGTACGGTTTGACTCGCATGCCGAGCGCGTTGACGACAGTGCCCACACCTTCGAGCATCACATGGTCTTCCACGGTCTGCTCCTGGAATGCGTAGATAAGGCCGTCGACGAGCTGAACTTCGAGGCGTTCGTCGATGTCGGCTGCACCCAAGTTGTCGACCACCTTTTGGATCGTTTCCATGACCATCTTGCGGAACGGCTCGCTCTCGTCTTTGAGCTCGTTGACGATGCGCGACACGACCTCGGCGACGCCGACCTTGTTGGCGAGCTCGACAGTGGTCTCGACGACCTGCTTGTAATTGCGTCGGTCGAGCGCCATTCTGCGAACCCAAAAGTTCTTAAAGTATTCGGGAAGCATCTCGTCGCGCAGGAACGCTCCGGTCACGCCGTCGGTGGCGGCGCACTGCTTGACGACCTTGAGCACGATCTTTTTCATCTCCTCGTCGGCGCTCTGGAATTCTCTGATGAGAGTAGGCGTCACCTCCTTGACAAAGTATAGAGTGCTGTCCGAGTCCATGAGCGGGATGATGAAGCCGATGGCTTTGAGGAAGGCGGCTAGACCTTTGCCCCGGTGTTGCCGGATGCCGATCCATAGCGGTTTGAGCACGTTCTCGAAGCTCTCGATACCGTAAGGTGCGGCTGCTTCGGCGAGTGCGGCCAAGGCGAGTGCGGTCATGGTTTTGACCTTCTGCTGCTCGTCCTCGAGACCCTTCTCGACACAGTCGACTAGACTCTTGAGGTGAGGCAAGATGGCGCATCCCATCATGATGGCGATCTGCTGGACGATGCGGATGCCCGTGTGTCGAGCTTGCCAACTCTTCTTAGATCGACAGACAGCCTTGAGGAAGGGGAGAAGTGCGGGAATGCCGAGCGCGGAAGCGACGACCGAAAAGGCTCGCGCTGTGGTGTTACGCACGTATTCGTCGACGTGATCGATGTCGGGACGCATGGTGCTGATCATGTGCGCCAGACCGGCCGCTTTGGAAAGATTGCTGATGATCTCGCGACCTTCGACTCGCGCGTAATAGTCTTCGTCGATGAGGAGTGGTTCGATGACGACGAGGATGCGACCGACGTATGGACGCACCAAGTCGTCGAGCTTGTAAAGGATGCGATCGATGACCTTGACGAGCAAGTGGCGTTCCTGGTCCTCCAGTGTGCGTTCCATGAGCAGCGGAAGGATCTTGTCAAAGAGTGGCCCTGGCCCAAAATCGCGAGCACGGTCGGCGATCTGACGAAGAGCCGTCTTTCGAGTTGCTGGCGTGCCGTTCTTGATCTTGAGCAGCAAGCGCATGATCTTGCGCTCCTTTTGCTCTTCAGCGCTGAGCACTGTCTCGTCTTGTTCGTTGAGAATCTTTTTGAAGAAGGCTTGATCCTCGGTCTTGAAGAAAGCGAGCTGCCCAACTCCAGGAATGTCGGTGGGAAGGTCGGGGATCATCTCTTCCAAGATAGCTCTGGTGGCACCCTCGTCCTGCATCATGAAGCCGGTGTTGTCTTGCGTCGGAGCAGCCGTGAGGTGTGATGCTGGTGTGCGGGCAGGAGCGTAGTCTGCCGGTGGCTGAACAACGACGTAGCCCTCAGAAGGCAGGACAGAATCAAGCTCCTCGTCGGTCATGTATCGGTTGCGAGGATCGATAGCGATGGAGCCTGCGAGACTTGTACCATTTGCAGTCTGCGATGAAAGCTTATCGACGGTGCTGCCTGCATGCTCGTCGGCGGGCGCTTGATCCCATCGGGAGCGTTTTGCGACGGGCTTGGTTGCGTCCGCTGCTGCGATGTTGGCGGTGTCGGGTGCTTCAGCAGGTGCCTCATCCCAGCGAGATCGCCTTTTGCGCGGTGCCTGCTCGGTGGGGATCTCCTGTGTGGCGTGCCCATTCGTTTCCGTAACGGACTCCGATGTCTCTGCAGGCGCTGCAACATCCCATCTTCTCTTGCGTCTAGCCTTGGGCGTGCGGTCGCCCTCAGGCTTGTCTGTAGAAGAAGACGGCTTTATATCCCACTCGTCCGTCCTGGGTACATTGTCAGCGTTTTTATCCTTTGCCTCTTTCTCCTTCGCTTCGATCAAGCGCCTGACTCGCTCCTTTTCTCGTTCCAGTTCAGCCCTCCTCATGCGATCCTTATAGCTCTCTTGATTTTCTTCGTTCACCTGACCGTCTTGAGCAAACGCATCGACAGCGTTTCCATCGCTGATGTCTCGGTTGAATCTGCGAAGGTGGTAGTCGCTCTGGCGGGCAGCTATCTGCCTCGACTCTGCTCGAGCCTTGAGAGGGTCGTGATCTTCGTCTGTGAACTCGTGCAAGAGATGTTGAGGCGCGGAATAGGCGTCAAGCGGATTTGACCTCCTTCCGTTGGACGGACCGTCGTCATGGTCGGACCCGCTGTCGTCGCTGTCGGCATCCATGGGCAATTCTCGGACATAGTCGCTGCGCTTTCCAGCACCGTAGATGTCTTGGTCGTAACCACCGAGTTTGCCCACGGCTACCTTGTCCTTGACTGCACTAGCATTGCGAGCCTGTTGCAGCCTACGGATCTCGTCCGCTGTCATGCTGATATGCTGACAACTAGGCGGCCGAAGGTGTGCAGAGCGGTCGAAAGGTCGTTGTTGTCAGGAAGATCTCGGTTCTATGCCGAAAGAAAGACGGTGTATCGCCGACCTATGCAGATGGGCGGGACGTGTAGCTGATCGCCGCCATGCAGCAAGGTGGACTTTGTCGTTGCCTGAGAGAAGCGATGAGAGAGAGAAAACGGACAGGCGAGAAGAGATATGAGGGTGATGGAACAAGACGGTCGTGCAGCTCCAAGCTCAGCTTTCCATATTCATCGAAGACCTTAAATTTCGACCCTCCCGATCTACCCGATGGATTTTGAGCTCGAAAATTCGTACGTGCGAGAAAGCTCGAGTGGTGGCTGAGTTTTTGGATTGAAAATGCGCGCCAACTCCATCAGAGCCCTCCATCCGCAACGGCGTACTGACACCATACGACAGCATCACAGCATTCATCGACGCAGCATACGCTTGACGGCTTGATCTCTGTCCGGATTGTTCTGCTTCCCGTTGGCCGGGTCGCATACGGCTCTTGGCTATCGAACGCATCCGCCGCACGACACGTCATTGCCATTACATCACACCAGGAACGCCTTGAAAAGCCTCCAACATCATGGCTCCCCGTCCACAAAAGTCGACGAGCGGCACGCCCGGCGGCGCAGGCACCCCCGTTCCCGACGAGGGTCCTCAAATCAGTCCTGGAGGCACGTATGGATTGGAAGATGTCATTGTAGGATGCAAAGCTTTCGTCCAAAAGCCAGACGTTGTTACAGGCGAGATGGAGGAGAGACAAGCCGAGATTCTTTCGATTCGCGAGAAGCCGAAACCTCGCCTCACCAAGAAGCAGCAAGCCGAGCTGGCAGACAAGCCGGTCCCCACGTTGGAGGAGAAGCTCGAGTACTATGTTCACTATTGCGAGTTCAACAAGCGTCTCGATGAATGGGTTAGCGGCACCCGTCTCGTCACTTCCCGCGAGCTCGAGTGGCCGAAGAAGGAGTCCGCCAACGACAAGACCAAGCGCAAGGTCGTTCGGACGGGCAGCGGCACCACAACACCCTCGACACCGCTCACACCGACCGGCAAGACCAACCGAGGCGCTCCTTCCACCAACCTTCTCAAAAAAGCCGCCGCCCAGGCAGCAAAGAACGTCCAGGGCGAAGCTGGCCTCGAAACACCGCAGAAGCGCAAGGCAGGCTCTGACCGTGCCGACTCGGTCGATGCAGATGCCGACGGTGAAGACGATGAAGACGGCGCTGTCGTGGCTATGGAGATGCTCGGCGCCAATGACCAGGACGAGCAGGATGACGTCGCTTCAGCTAGCAACGGCGGCCTTACCGCTTCCATCAACGCCAACCGTCCACAAAGCAACCTCAGCATGAAGCAAGAGATCGAGAAGCTGCGCACGTCAGGGTCCATGACTCAGCAAGTAGTGTCCGAGGTTGCTAGGGTAAAGAACTTGAACAAGATCCAGATGGGAAAGTCCGAAGTCGAAACGTGGTATTTCAGTCCCTACCCGATCGAATACGCCCACATCGACACCCTCTACATCTGCGAGATGTGTCTGTCGTACTTCGAATCTTCCTTGGCCCACAAGCGCCATCGAAGCAAGTGCACGCTTTTGCATCCACCCGGCAACGAGATCTACCGGCACGAGGACATCTCGTTCTTTGAGATCGATGGAAGACACCAGAGGACGTGGTGTCGCAATTTATGTCTTCTCAGCAAGTGCTTCCTCGACCACAAAACGCTCTACTACGACGTCGACCCATTCCTCTTCTACTGTATGGTCAGGCGCGACGATCTGGGCGGTCACCTTGTCGCGTACTTCAGTAAGGAAAAAGAGAGCCACGAAGGCTACAACCTTGCTTGCATCTTGACACTGCCCCAACATCAACGTCACGGCTACGGAAAGCTCCTCATCGAGTTCTCCTACGAACTCAGCAAGATCGAAGGCAAGCTAGGCAGTCCAGAAAAGCCGCTTAGTGACATGGGTCTTGTCACGTACCTCTTCTGGTGGCGTTTTGTCATTGTCGAGCTGCTCCTCAAGACGGAGGAGGACATCAGCATCGAAGAGATCGCACAGAAGACCTCTTTCACACCTGCTGATATCCTCCTTACGTGCACAACGAACAACATGATCAAGCAATATCAGGGCAAGCACATGCTCGTCCTCTCTGACGCTCTCCTCGCCCAGCACGACCGCGCAGCAAAGCGAGCGAGTCGTCGCATCGAGCCTTCTCAGATCAGATGGACACCACCCCGTTTCACAAGAGGGCAGTTGAGCTTTGGCTGGTGAGCTCAAATGTTCGCTCGAAACTCTTCTCCTTTCTTCTGCTTTCCTCTCTGTCAAGTTTGCGATGCGCTTGATCGAGCGCCAACCCGTTTCAGTTTGTATTTTTAGCCAGTTGACAATCCATATACCTCACGACCGATGCCTTGCGCACTGTCTTGTCTGACACGATTCAATTGAGCGTCCTTCGCTGTTGCCATGTTTGTGTAGGAGAAGTGTGGTATGGTCGTGTTCATGTTCGCGACCCACGGATAAATTCCGTCCAAGTGGAGGAATTTCAGGCGACACGCTGCAGCAGTACGTAACCGCGAAGCTTTCGAAGCTTGTTCGGTTATTATTCGAGATCAACACCATGATCTTCCGTTCCATCATCCACCCTCCTTTCACAATCTATGCTCACGTCTACATAGCAGAGATCGAAGCAGCAGCACTCCAGCTTCACCTTATACCGGAGGTCTCAGCTCATAGCCCTCAACATGCGTATATCCATCCCTTCTGTACCGGAACAAGCGGCTCGCAGCACGATCCAGCACAGCGTCGAACAAGGGGCAAAGCTCGTAGCGGACTTTCTCTCTGCCGCCAATGGCAAGGCGCTCATCATGACCGGCGCGGGGGTATCCGTCGACTCTGGCATCGCACCCTATCGTGGCGAAAATGGGCGCTATCTGAATCAGACATTCCGACCAATCTTCTACCACGAGTTTACCGATACGACCGAGAAAGGACATATCGCACGGCAGCGATACTTCAGTCGATCGTACCTCGGTTTCCCTCCGGTACGGCGTGCAGAACCCAACGTATCGCATTACAGTATTGCAGCGCTACAACGTCTCGGCTACTTACAAAATGGCCTCATCACGCAAAACGTAGACAACTTGCATAGCGCCGCAACGCCCTCCACCTCTCTTGCAGCGAGCACAATCCTCGAGCTACACGGCACGCTCAAACATGTCGTTTGTGTAGGGGAAGCGGACAGAGAATCCAGGAGAGGCGCTGCCCCGAGCAATCCTGAACTCTACGAAGCTCTCAGATCACCATTGTACCAGAAAGGGACTGGTCACGTTGCGCCACGGCCTGAGAACACGATCGCCGGCGAGCATTACCCTCATTCGTGCGGATTCATGGGGTCTCGAGCCGGCTTCCAAGATGAGCTCACAAGGCTGAATCCAGCTTGGGCGGAACTTGCCCGCGAGATCAAAGAGACCGGCAAAGCGCCCAAGATGAACCCCGACGGCGACGTCGAGCTATCCGGCGTCGACTATTCGACCTTTCGCTATCCATCGTGTCCCGGGTGCGGCAGTGCTCTCGTGAAGCCTACCGTATGCTTCTTCGGAGAGACCGTACCGGACAAGATCAGGGACAACTCGTTCCACATGGTCGATCAGAGCAGTGCGCTGCTGCTCATAGGCACCAGCCTGGCAACGTATTCAGCGTTCAGATTGGTCAAGCAGGCGGTGGAACAGAAGAAACCAGTCATGATCCTCAACAAAGGCCCGACGCGCGCCGACGGCATTGTACCAGACAAAATCGAGCTGGGATCATCAGAGGTTCTGTCAAGAGTCGCTGCGCTGCTCTCGAATGGAAGGGAGAGGAACGACACGGTACTGTCGAGGTTGCTCTCTTCTGGCGTTACAATTCGGCCTGACGAGCCAAACGGAGTAGTGAGCAGCTAGCCTTTGCGCAATGGACGAATCACAACAGCGACCAAGCAATTGTGTGCGGCGAGAGAATGAGAGGTATATTTGATGCAGGAGCAATACACGTATCTGTTAAGGGACAAGTTCACAGTGACGATCCGCGATCAACGCTTGAGGATGGTAAACTCTGCTACCAAGAATGCGACGTATCCCAAAAGCAAAACAACGCCTTGCCAGCGTTGGCCGCCGGTGAATGCAATGAGGACCAAGGCAAGCGATGCTGTCTCGAGCAGAGCCAGCTCTTCCCACCGCACACTACTTGCGGCGAAGCGGCTCTGGTCCTGCCTCGCCGATATCGACTGGCTCGGAGAAGAGAGAGAAGACGCTTTGTCGCTTATCAATGAGATGCCAAGACATAGGGTCAAAAGGAAGATATTGCTGCCAGCAGCGCCAGCCATGAGGATACTACTCGCGCCTCGACTGACATCGTCCTCGGCTGCGTCGTGGATGGAAGCGCGACGAGCAAGGCTTGGCCGACGCACAGGTGCTGGAGGTCTCGTCGACGCTGGAGCTGTTCGAATGCCGGCGATCAGACTCAGCATCTTCTCGGGAATAGTGGTGGCAAACGACAAGACAGTCAGGCCGAGGACTGTGTCCGACAGATGGGTCACAGAGGCAATCTCGAGGACGGAATGCGATAGAAGGTAACCCGCAAGGGAAAGGATGGCGAACGTGACCAAGAGCCTGTGCAAGCTTCGCAGAATAGCGCGTCTGCGCCTTTGTGCAAGACGTGAGGCGAGGTTGGATGAAGTCGCGGAACCCAGCAACAGAGGTGTTCGCTCTATGGCAGCCGAGGTAGCGGTGCGGTTCTGACCCCTGCGTCCAGCCGCACCAGGCGTTCGTCGCGGTGGGACGTAGGAGGAAGCTTCGCTTTCGTTACCAAGAGTGGTTGTGCTTGCAGCATCGCTGTGGACTGCGGACCGATCGTCGGGAGTCGTCGCCTCGTTGTCGGAGTCGCTGTCGCTGCTTGTCTCGCTGTCGGACGCCTGTGGAGCGGCTAGCATGCCTCGGCCGATAGCCCACGACAGACCGAGCATGTACAGAACAAAGAGTACGATGAGACTCACGCCGACGACATTCTCGAACAGCCGCTTGCTGGCCAGTTTGGCGTCCTTGTCCGCATGCTGGATCTGCACGGCGACAACGAGCAGGAGCACCACTGTGGTGATTGCGGCCTGAATGATGGCAAACCTCTTCGAGCTGTCATCAAAGACGACACCCGCTGGCGCGAAGAGTATACCGAGCGAGAAGGCTCCGAGGATGTTGCTGATGGAACTGCCGACGATGTTGGCCACGGCGAGATCATGTGAACCCTGGGCGATCGAGGCTACTACGACGACGAGTTCCTCCCATTCTGCGCCGGCAGTCAGCAAGGCGATGAGCGTCGGACTCACGCCGAGCTGAGTCGAGAGCTGAGAGACATGTCGGATGAATTGATCGGCCGCCTTTTCGAGCAGCAGTATCCCTGCCACAAAGACGCTGGAGTGATATATCAAATCGCTGGCACGTTTGTCGGAGAGAGACTCTTGCTGTGGGGCCTGCGGCTGTCGCTTTTCGGGATGCCGCAAAGAAGCGTCGGTCTTTCCGATGGCCACCATCGTGAGAGTGGTAGCGTGCGAAGTCGAGGTGTGGTCCAGTCGGGAAGAGGTGAAGGTATCGTGTGACTTACATCGGAACGGCCGTGCGTCAAGTCCAACACCGTTTTCCCTGGCTTCTCCTGCAATGCCGCTCGAAAGCCTGCAGAGCTGCATCGCGGGCTTAGAGTGACACACGTCGAGCTTCCATCGATAGGATTTGCAGTGTGGAGGCCAATCGGGTGAAATTTCCGAGCGGGGTTCGCAGCGAAATTCCAATCTTCCAGAAATTTCAAGCAGCGCTCAAAACTTTCCAACCAGCGCGTTGCTCGAATGCGCCTTCAAGCCACCCGATCCACTGTTTCGGTCCGCATTCCGACCCACTCGAACACGGACCTTCAAGACGCATGTTCCCTTCGTTTCGGTCTTCGACATCACATCGATAACCAGCACAACGTCTCTTGCGTCCACACCACCATCATCACTTCCATCAGCATACACGACTCGAATCGACTGTTTCGGCTTTGGCGTCGGACGCGCCAGCAAAGACATCCTGGCCAAGAGAACACGGCTCTAGCCACGACGGTGCGGCAACTCATCCGCCCTCATGTGCTCACCCACATGACCTGACTGAAACCTTTTCTAGCCTCCATTCAGAACCTCGCACTCCCGTTGTTCATCCCGGGACACATTGCTATCGAGCTCACATACTATGACCGAGCCCTTTTGGGCTGCTGCTGGCCCATCGCGGCCCACTTCCTCCAGCTTTGTGTCGGTTCCCGCACCTACGCCGATCAAGAAGAAGAGAGGACGATTTTCCGGAGAGAACAGGCACAACGCAACAAGCTTGATCCCTTCTATTGTGAACCCGCCCTCGCCCGAGCTCGTGCCAAGGCATTCGTCTAGTGCAAGCAGCTGGGGCATCGAAGACCTTTCAGACTCGGATGGCGACTACGACTGGCCAACGGCATCCCTATCTTCCACAGCCCCCGCTTATCCCAGCATGCCGCCCAACACGAGTCCAGACCTGGATCGTGACGAGCTAGCCAGGCTGGCAAGGCCGTCAAAACGAGTACATCTCGAAACACCCGAAGATCAGCAAACCTACGGCAAATTAGCTGGACTACGCATCGACCCCAACACGCTGGCTGCATCTGTACCGAGCGAGACCTCTTTCGGACGACCACAGAATTATCGATCCAACAGCGGCGTTGCCGGCGCTTTCGGGCTGAGTGCTTCCTTGGCTTCTGCATTCGGAGCCAATCCCGACAGCCTTGCATTTGCTCCAAGAGTACCGCCTTCAAGTCCAACGAAGACCGACGCAACCCCTTCTTCCTTTGGCGGGTCAGCTTCCAATTTATACCAGCAGGCGGTCGCACCCGTTCCTCCCACCTCGCCGAGCGTGGCCGACAGAGCCATCGCCCCACCCAGCTCACCCTTGCAAGCATACGGCTTCCCCAACAAAGCGGCGCTTCCAATCGAGAGATCCAGCTCCGCCGAGTTGGAGGACAGCGACATGAGGCAGCGTCGGGGCGTACCGTCTAGCTACGAAGTCGAGCCAGATCGTATCGTGGTCACCAGTCTGGATGATACCTCATCGTCTGAAGGCGATGCCTCCAGCGAGGTTGGTGGTCAAAAGACGCCCGAGGCAGATACGTCGACGGACAGCAAAGACAGCTCCAACGAATTTGTGATCAACAACGAGCTGATGGAGAAGCTCGAAGCACACAGCAGGGCCGTGCTCACTGGTACATCCGATCGAGACAATGCCGCTTCCACATCCCGATCAAGCGCATCGTCGGGCAGCGGGAGTCGATCTCGACGCTCTGGGAGGAGGTCGACGGGCTCGGCAGTCCCGAGTCTGGGATCTTTGCTTAGCAGTCGCCGAAGATCGGCACAGTCGAGCCCTGGTTCGTCCGGGTACGCATCGCCGATCAATGCCGAAGAAGCACGAGGTGCTCTCATTCTGTGGAAGGATCCGGAAGAGGTGCTCAAAAGCACATCTGCATCGACGTCGTCTCCACTCAAGCAAAGCGGCTTGGCTTCAGTTCCAGAGAATGGCGCTGCTGCTGCGAGTTTGATGGAGCAATCTCCCGTCTCGTTCCAGTCAGGATCGGCCCTCCCTCGACATTCAACAAGCAATACGGGTCCGTTCAGCAGCAGCCATATGTCCAGCTTTTCGGAGATTCCGGGCATGACTTCGTTACCATTACTTTCGCAGGCTGCCGAGAGCCCGTTGTATGCGCAGCAGTCGTCCTTGTCGAGCTCCTACTTTCCTGAGCCTTCTGCGCTCGATGCTCGCTTTTCGAATCAGATGGCACAGCCGGTCCAGTTCGGAGGAACATCGACGCATCAGGCCATGGCACCACGCTCGCACCACGACAACATCGCATTTGGACAGGCCCAGCCTGCTTCAACAGCCTTTTCGACTGGTATCACCATCCCGCAGCACCACTACGGACATCATTACAGTTCGAATCCACAGCCAGCTGCAACTGGGCATGACTCGCACGGCGGAACGGCCCACGTCGCCCAACATGCGCACACTGCTGGAGCTCAACCGATCGATCTGTCGGGCTGCTTCGGCCCAGCCGAAGGAATGGATCTCGACGATTGAAGGGGCGACGCAGAGTCCTCGTAGCATAGTTCATCATTGCCGTCTTGGCCATTCGCATTTCCGTTTGTCACCAGCTCATCGTTTTGTTTTCATTGCAAAAGTCCACATCCCATTGCAGAAGCTACGGCGCTGAAAAGACTGACGATGAGATGCAAAATGAATACTTTAGAGTGCCAGAGAGATGAAAGAGATGGATGCTAGTGTACATGGCTACGGAAACGACAAACCTGAGTGAGAGCAACTGCGACGGAAATCAAGACGAGAGGAGGAGGACGGCGTTGACGCAGCCGTCGTTCTCTGGGTTGTTGGTCACCTGGGCGTACTTGCCCCAAACCACTTTACCGGTGGTGGTGGTCATTCCGAGCTCGGAGACGTTGACTTCGATAATGGTACCTTTTGTCAAGACGCCGAGCTGGGTATAGAGCGGGCTCTGCGGGTTCTTCTTGACGCCAACGATGGGCAAGTTGAAGGAGGCTTTGAGCTCGGGATGTGTGACGTGCGCCTTGTTGTATCGCAAGCCCATGGGACGGATGAAACGTTCGAGCTTGGGTGGTTTTCGGGTGAAGCTCTCTCCGACAAAGGTGGGTTTTGTGACCATACGCTTCCAACCCTTCTGCTTGCGTTTTCCGGTTTTGATGACCTTGAAAGCCTCGTCTTCTGCGATACCGCGCACCTGGGGCAACGGGACCGAGTACCTGGCCGCCTTGTCCTTCCTCCTCTCCTTGACTGCTGATGAGAGCGCTTTGGCATCCTTCTGACCTTCACGATCGAGCAGGTAGGTGGGAAGAGCCTGGTTGGGATCGGAAGAGGTGGAAGCCTGCTTGACGTCTCGTTCTTCGTGCGCTTTGAGCGTCTTTTTCATCTGGATCTTTTCGTTTCGACGCTTCTTGTTGAGCATCTTGGCCTTGAGACCAGTGACCTTTTGCGCCACAGCAGAGGCCTTGTGCACCTCACGCGCGGCGCGCTTCCTCTGACGCTCCTCATGATCGAGTCTTCGGCCATTTCGGCGAATGTGCTCTTCGATGTAGTCGTTCTAGGCGATGTGCGAATGCGGTGGCGATAGGCGGTTGCGATAAGAGTGCGGATTAAAGAGTCAGCGAGATGCTCTCGTCGGCTGGGCTGATACATCGGATGATGCGAAGCGTGAGAGAGGACTTACCTGAGGCATGTTGACTGTACCGTCGATGTGATTAGAGAGACGGATGGGTGAAGGTTGAGAAGCAAGGGTGCTCGTCGGATGTGCCGCTATACCGGTGGGAGCGACTCTCTCTCTCTCTGGATGCACAACTCAGAAAAAGTTGAGCGGAGTCGTTTCGGCTGGAAATTTTCGAGGCGAGGTTGAGCGAGAGGCAGGGCGCACCTGCAGAAAGTCCGAAATTTCACTCTGCAGAATTATCTCGTGCGATACACTATACCTCCACGCATCTCGAGCTGAGAAGAAAGCGGAGAGGCGTGAGTGTGTGAGTGTGTGTTTCGACCGACCGTGTGAAATGTGACGCGAAGAGGCAGAGAGAGCGAGAGCGAGAGCGAGAGCGAGAGCGAGAGCGCTTGGATCACCTCGACACAGCCCGAACCGCAACTAACACTTGTTCCGTCTCATCATCCTCATCCGCACCCCCCTTTGGAAACAACATGTCGGCCATCTTCGACTCATCGTCGCCCTATGGCTACGGCGCTCAGCCTTCCGGATCAAAAGCTTCGCAAGCTACGTCACCCGGTCAGGCAGGCAATCCGCTCGACTTTTACAGCAACCCCTCTTCCAACCAGCAATTTTCGTCCTACTACTCGACGGGGAGCGGGCACGATGGATACGCCACAGGCAGCAACGCGCGGCCATCTCTGGAAGGCAACATGTCGTCTTCGGCGGGATATGCGCCAGGATCAGCTGCACACGCCATGATGAGTTCGCAGATGGGCTTCTGGTCCGCCTTCGGCACCGGTGGCTTTCCCGACGAACCCCCGCTCATGGAGGAGCTCGGCATCAATATTGGTCACATCGTCGACAAGACTCTGACCGTGCTCAATCCTCTACACAGTTACTCGGCCTCTCATGCCAAAGACGCACACATGATGGACGACGCCGATCTCGCAGGGCCGCTGTTGTTCTGTTTCATCTTTGGCATGACGCTCCTCTTGGCTGGCAAGAGTCAGTTCGGATACGTATACGGAGTCGCTCTACTAGGAGCCGTCAGCATCTACACACTGCTCAATCTCATGAGCGAAGGAGGCATCGACGCGTATCGAGTCGCCTCGGTTCTTGGTTATTGTCTCTTGCCTCTTTGCATCCTCAGCACCGCAAGCATCGTTGTTCGGCTAGAGTAAGTGTTTCCGTTGCCGCGTAATGACAACCTCCAGTCTTGATTGCTGACTCCCTGCAAATCCATCTGTTCTTGCTTACCCAACAGCTCGTTCATAGGATACATTGTCTCACCCCTGTTCATCCTCTGGTGTTCGACTTCGGCCTCGGGCATCTTTGTCTCGATCCTCCGGTTGTCAGAGCAGCGTCTACTCGTGGCATATCCTGTCGGTCTCTTCTACGCTTGCTTCGCTCTCCTGAGCGTGTTCGATGTCGGTCAATAAGCTATGTCGATCAAAGCGTCTCTTTGCACAATCGCGTTCCTCAGCCGCACTGAAATGCATTTTTCGATCGCTCCTTGCACGGAAAATCTGCTCTTCCCATCAACCACAGAGCAACGGCGAAGCCCGTGAAATGGACTTGTGTGTGATTTGGCTGTGTCTCATCCTACCTCTTCGACTGTTGCAGACCTGCTTGAGCATCATCAAAGCAAGACGAAATGGTGGAATTCGGCGAAATCGTCGGGAGCTGGAACGCTAGAAGAACTGAAAAATTGAAAGGAAAACCAGAAAAAGTCAAAAAGGGTTCTTTTGATCCTCCTCCATCTTTTTGTTCTTCATCACCCCGCCCGCCTGATCCTTGGCGCCTGGTGTGCCTCGCAACTCGATCACGATGGTCAAGGCCAAGACGGATCTAGCGGCGCCTGAGGCAGTACTCCAGCTACTGGCGCACATAGAAGCTGTCCAGCTGGTGCCGCAAAATGACGCTCCCTCGACCAGCAGCGATGCTCCACCGCTGTTCCTGGACAAGCCTCTTTCCTTGCTTCAGCAATGCCTCGACCTCGCCTTGGAGTCTTCCGACGAGCTCTCGCCATCCTTCAAATACGGTCTCGATGCGCTTCATCTTTGGGCCACACATCTCGCCGCATTGCTCTCCCGACCGTCCGCTGCTAATCTCTCGGTCGACAAAAAGCAGCAGCTTTTCCCTGCAGAGCACCAGCTCAGCATTGCCGATGTCATCTGGTCCGCCTGTCATTCCGAGCGCACGCAAGTATCCTCGAGATCCAAGGCCATCTTCGAGGCCATCATCGCCCTGCTCGACTCCATTTACCAGTCGCCCGCCACTGCAAGCAGGCTTCCGTCAAAAGCACAGCTGCCATACCCATCTGAAAGCGTCTGCCTCAAAACTCTCGTCGACCGCTCTTTGGAGCAACTCGAGCGCAAGCAGTCTCCCATCGTGCTCGAAGTCGTCGTGGCCAAATACGGCTCGGAGCCTTTCTTCGTCGCAACACCTGGCGGCGCCACCCTCGTTGATTCCGACATCTACGAGCGAATGATCCGCGGCCTTGGCACCGTCGATGGAGGTGCGAATAGGAGGTCTCGGCTGGCACTCAGCTTCCTTGCAGCCAGAGCACAAGACCTTGAGTGTCAGCTCTCTTCCCCATCTAAAAGCGACCGCACAGACGCATCCGAACCGCAATCTTGGCAGACATGGGTCAACGTCTGGATCCAGCCTCTCAATTCGGCGCTGAAGGACGGAGGTGAACGGCTCAGGTCCGGTCTCGCATCCTACCACCTCGCTGCGCTCTTCGACTTCGATCAACGCATCTTTCCTACCCTTCTCGACAGTCTGCTCTCCAGTTCGGTTCCGCAGGAAGAACTCAAGGTAGAAAGCGTCTTCTTGGTGCTCCGGATCGCAAAGTTCCAAGGCCTGTGTCGCATCGATACCGCCCCAGACTTTGCTACCGAACAACGATCCGATGGCAAACCTACTCAGGTCATCGTTCCTGCTTCGTTGCTTAAGGACTGCATCTTGGCTGCGGCAAGCGATCTCCAGATCGCTGCCCTCTCGTTGGTCATCGAATCCAAGACGCCAGCCGCCCCGCTCACCACGGCCGAGTTCGACATCCTCCGCACCTTCTTTCCTTACAGCTTGACCATCACCAATCCAGCAGCAAGGGGTGAACTGCGTGGGTTCTTCGTCAAGCTTCTCACTCGACTCCGCGCCAGCACCTACGCCCTTGCTCGAGACATGGCCAGAATTACCCGCATCGACGAGGCGGAGCAATATCCGCACGAAAAGGAGAATCTCGCCGTCATGCGAGCCACCTTCGACGCAAGTCGAGACTTTTTGGAATGGATGGTCCAGCTGATCCGAGCCACGCTCCATGCCGGCGCATCGTACCAGGCCAGCATCACCTCGCTCACTTTTTTGGACCTCATCCTCGAAAGCGGTGTCGACTCACGATTCTCCAACGGCGCGCAGCAAAAGGAAGGTGGCACGGCGCTCAGCAAGAATGCAGGTCTCTCGCTCAACAAGTCCAAGCAGGTCTTTATGCAAGAGTTTCCCTTCAGCATCGACCTCATCTCGCCCTCGCTCGTCAAGCTGCTGCTTTCTTGCTCCGAGATCTCGTACGACGACATCCAGGCTCGAGCGCTGAGCATGCTCGCGCGCTTCCCTGCCCCGCTCGCCGGTCTCGAGACGGTCGACGAAGCGGCTACACGCATCTTGGGCCGCGCCGCTGAGCTGCTGACCAGCACGAGGGATTTCAAATCTGCCGCTGCATCCAAGTTGATTCAGCTGTATCGACAAATCTACATGCAACAGCTCGGCCATCGACCTGCCTCTCTGCTCTGCTTCATTGGCGTCGCTTCCAACTCCCCTTCGACCCCCTGCGCTGACACAACTTTGTCGCTCATCTTTGATCTCTTCCAATTTCTTGACCACCACGTTCAAGTCGCAGAGCAGGGGAGGATTCTCGAAGCTGCCACCTCTCACCCTTTACACGGAACCCTCGTCACGCTGCAGGAACTCTTTGCCACCATCTCTGTCCACACCCTCTCGGACTCTGACCGTCAGTCCTTCCGAGATGCCGTACACAGAGCACAGGAGCTCATCGACAGAGTGTGGCTGGTCACCAAGGCCGTGCTATGCAATTCGGCACCAGAAGGCAGCACAAAGGCGGACGATGCCAAAGACGCCAACGTCGGACTGGACCAGCCCGCCTCTCATGAGACGGCCCTTGCGATGCAGGTGGCCGACTTCGATGCAAAGGCCGCCTTCATGCAACCCCAAGAAGAGTCCAATGCAGGTCCCAAGCACCAAGTCATCTTGTCCTACTCGTGGAGAGGCATGAAGGAGGCAAGTGCTCTCTTGGGTGTCCTTGTTGCGATCACACTCACACCGCCTCCTGCGCCGCGTGGCAAGAAGAGCTCTCAACCAGATTTGCAGATGAGTCACGTCTGGCGCGACGTTTACACGGTACAGGACATCGAGGCCGTCGGGCAGCGCTTCAACATGTGGCTCACCCAAGTTCGTCATCGAGGCGCTTTCAGCACAATCTATCCAGCCTACTGCAACGCAGCCACAGCCATCGTGCGGAGTCAGGCACCGGACATCGCCAGCTTGCCTGAGCAGTGGATCGCTGCGTTCCTCGACACGGTGGCGCAGCCCGGCTCTCAGCTCAGCATCACCCGCCGCAGCGCCGGCATTGGGTACGCTGTGCTTGCCCTCGTCAGTGCTCAGCCCAACAAGGCAAATCCTTCGGTGCTCCGCTCCACGGTGAGCCGTCTCATGCACATCGCAACGCACGATTCGTCGCAGCCCGATGTCATGCCCGTAGCATCCATCCATGCGCTCAACATCTTGCGGGTCCTCGTGATGGACGGAGGCTTGACGGACCACATGTCGTCCTACCTTGGCTCGCTCCTCGAGCTCACCATCAGCAAGTTCCGATCGCGCTTCTGGGGACTGCGCAACGTCAGCATGATGCTCTTCTCGTCGTTAAGCATCAAAATTTTCGGAAGCCGCAACATCAACAAGGAGACAAAGGACGCACGGATGCCGATCGACGAATTTTTCGCAGCGTATCCCAACCTCGATGCTTTCCTCCGACGTGTGCTCAGCGATACCAGCGCTGAAGACGTCAACTGCGATGACGGAGCCGAGTCCAGCCTGTTCGCCGTGGTCATGCTCTTCAGCAGGATGCAGGCGCCAGAGAACGAACCGGTGAGGCGAGACGAAGCAGATCGGATGCAGGGTTATCGCACCTTGCTGTTGGAATGTCTTGCCAACAAGGTTTGGAAGGTGCGAGAGGTAGCGGCAAAAGCGTACTCTGCCTTCGTCCCGCTCAGGACGGCAGCACAGCACGCATCTATCGTCCTTGATACGATCGGTCTGCAGTCGCAGAACGACGCACATGGCAAGCTCATGCTGCTTCAAAGGTTGATCAAAAGCGTGGCGGATGCGGCAGCGCCAACGTCCGCTCTGGCGAAGGATGTGGCTGTACTCTCCGAATCGCTAGCAGCGAACGCGAGCAAGCTGCTGGAGAGGAACCAGTGTCATGTCACGCAGGCGGCTTTCCTGGAAGTGGTGCAAGACCTGATTGGCATTCGGGACGCCGCTTTTCTCGATACTGCCGGCCATCTCGTTCGGGTGGTGGCAATTTGGACCTCGATGCTGCTCGCAGATGTGGAGAGACCCGATGTGCTGGCAAAGCTGGTCCGCTCGCCTGGTGGACCAGCATTGCTCGGCGTCTGCTCCCGTCTGCAACTGCAGGTGGCGGCGAGAGGTTCCGGATCCGACACCTTCGTGGAGATGTGTACACGTCACATCACTTGCGCGTCACCGGACGTGCGCATCGCTTGTCTCGAGGCGCTCATCAGTGACGACGGCATCGGCGCTTTGCAGCAATCGTTGCTCCGACAACCTCAACTTGCTGCTCCTTTCGTACGCAAGCTTCATGCGACTGCACTCGACGAAGAGGAAGGCATCTGGCATCGCGTCCATTCGGCCGAAGTTCTGCATCAGATTGCCATTCGAGAGTGTGCGGAAGGCGCTTCCTGGCTCACGCGTGTCTTCACCGATGTTGCGCTCGTGTCTGAAGCTGCGTCAATCGCTCGCGTGGTACGCAGCACTGTCTGCGTACCGTTGCGAGAGGCGCTGCTGCCTTACCTCTCTGACATGTGCAAAGGGCTCTTGGACAGGCCGTCCGTTGCTGACGGTGCACTGAGCGTGTTCCAGCAGTGGTCTTGGGCAGTGACGAGGTGCGCAGACGACTATGCTTCAGTGCAGTCGCGCGAGGCGGCCTGCGAAGCCTTGCGAGTCCTCGGATCGTTTCTCTTCCCCGCCTCGTCTGCAGCCTCATTGCAGCAGATACCGTCGGATGACGCGACGGCTCCTTCGCTGTTCGAAGCTCGCATCGCCGCCATCGACCTGCTTACAGACGATGATGAAGAGGTACGCGCTGAAGCAGCCGCCATGATTGGCGAGACGATTTCGGCTGTTACCGGCAGCTCGACTGCAGGTGTCGCCGCGACTCGGTGCGAAGCAATGCAACACTTGGCACGACGAGGCGGAGCCAGCCCGGACTTGTCCACCGATCGAGCCTGGAGCTGGATGGCGGCCGTCTATGCTACGAAGCAGTCTTCGAATACGAGATACCTGTGGAGTAGGTATGTTCTCGATCAGCTGATCCCCTCTTCGGCGGCGATGGAAGAGCTGTTCGAAGAGGCGCTGGCGCCCGACACGGTGCTGTTCGTTGACGAGAGGCCGAATCAATTCCGTGATCCCGAGGCGACTCTGCGACGTGCCGCCAGATTTGTGGATCTTGCATCGCTCGAGGCGGCTGAGCGTGCAGCGATCGAACAACGGACAACGCAAGGTCTCGTCCGTCTCGAGGAAGCGCTTGCAAGCGGCACGAAGCACGAGGCAGTGGCAACACACACGCTTGCGATGCGATTGCTGCTGACACGACAGTTGCTCGATCGAGACGCCTCATCCGATGCAGATACGACGGCTTCGTCTCTCGCTTCGCGGCTAGGGATCGATTCATCGTCCTTCGAGACGCTCTCTCCCACGGGCTCAAGGATCGGAATGGTGCAAGAGGACAAGGCTGATCCAGATGCGAGCGCGCAGCCTCGCTACAACATCGCGTGAGCAATGACCCTTGCCCTCCCCTCGTGCGATCACGAACTCAGCTTTACACGAGCATGTCACCATCCATTCGCTGTTAGACAATGAAACTGACTCGACCCAAACCTTCATCTTGCCTCGCTCTGTACTGTCTGTTCCGCATGTGTGTCGTCGATATGACTCTGTGATCTCGACCTGGCTGTCCGCTGGCACAGAATGGTCTCGGATTTCTTCTATCCAAACGTCGGCGGCGTGGAAGGACACATCTACTTTCTCGGAGGTCGACTCTTGTCTCTCGGTCACAAGGTGAGCCTGCTTTGCGAATGCGTGTCTCTTTGCATCTGCTGACCCCATTTTCACCTCGCACAGGTGATCGTCATCACCCATTCCTACGCACCGGACCGAGTTGGCGTGCGCTACCTCTCCAACGGACTGAAAGTCTACCATGTGCCGTACCAGGTTATTGCACGGCAAGACACTCTCCCCAACTTCTTCGCACTCTTCCCCGCCCTACGATCCATTCTGATCCGCGAACAGATTCAGATCGTGCACGGACACCAAGCGCTATCGTCGATGGCGCACGAAGGCATCCTCCACGCCCGCACGATGGGTCTGCGCGCCGTGTTCACCGACCACAGCCTGTTCGGATTTTCGGACACGGCGTCAATCTTGACCAACAAGCTGCTGCGATTTGCGCTGAGCGACATCGACGCAGTGGTGTGCGTCTCGCACACAGGCAAGGAGAATACGACGTTGCGGGCGAATCTGGATCCAGCCAAGGTGTCGGTGATCCCGAATGCGGTGGTGGCGGAGCAGTTCTTGCCGGATGCCACGCGGGCAAGGTCGGACAAGCTGACTGTGGTGGTGTTGAGCCGTCTGATGTACCGAAAGGGGATCGATTTGCTCATTGCTGCGATTCCAAGGCTTTGTGCTGCTCATCCCGATTTGCAGTTCCTCATTGGTAAGTCAATACTTATCGTCTCTGATCGAAGTATGGAGGTAGCAAGCTGACAAATTGTCGCAATGTTTGTGGTACTTGGTGCTCACTCGCTCTGCTGACTCGCAGGCGGAGACGGACCGAAACGAGTGGAACTGGAGCAGATGCGAGAGCGATTCCTGCTGCAAGATCGAGTCGAGCTTTGCGGAGCGGTACGTCAAGGCGACGTGCGAGACCACCTGACACGCGGGACCATCTTCCTCAACACCTCGTTGACAGAGGCGTTCGGCACGGGCATCATCGAAGCCGCATGCGCTGGTCTTTTTGTTGTCTCAACGCGCGTCGGCGGCATCCCAGAGGTGCTGCCACCTGCCATGGTGCGGCTGGCCAGACCGGAGGAGGACGACATTGTACGAGCGATGGACGACGCGATCGCATACGTTCGAGCAGGCAAGCACGATCCGTTGGCGTATCACGAAGCGGTGAAGCACATGTATTCGTGGTCGGACGTTGCAAAGCGGGTCAACGGTGTTTACCGCCAAGCGATGGAGAACGACTTGCCTCGACCGGCACAACGTCTGGCCAAGTACAATGCGGGAGGGGTGATCGCAGGTAAGATCTTTGTGATCATCGTAGTCGTGGACATGTTTTTCCTCAAGCTGTTGGAGTGGTGGTTGCCCGATCGTTGCATCGATCGCTGTCCTGCTTTCCGGCCCCACCATCTCGAGACGAAGGAGGCAATGCCGTCAGACTCTGACGCGCAGTCGCCGACCGTCAAGATGCCCGAGGAAGAGGCTCAAGCCATAGCAGAGCTCCTTTCTTGAGGCAGTTCTCGGGCTTCTCAAATCATGTATTTGTATACAATTGCAACTGTACAACAGCTTCCAGAGAGCGTGTCGCCAGACGGACGGAAGGCTCGCTTTACGCGCGAACGAAAGAAACGAGTCGCGTCCTGGAAAGTGTCACTTTTCGGCAAAATGCTCGGGTATCGGCAGAATAATGAGCTCAGTTTTTCCTTGCTTCAATCCTCTCTGGTCATCCTTCCGCTTCTCTTCTCCATCAGCTCATGTTGCTTCGACCATGTAGTGCGGGTGTCAACCTCGCATCGACACCATGACAGATCACGAACAAGTGCCAGCTGCAGTGACACGCCTGCTCGCAGCGAGGTACCCGACACTCGGGATCGATCCTTCTTGGTTGTCAAATTGCGTCAGAGACATCCGTCAACGAGGTTCCGCGCTATCAGGACCGGATCAGCTTGCGAGATCAGTAAGGCAGGAGCTGCTCGAATCGGATTTGTCCGACGTGGTAGCTGCTTCGTACGGCCGACTCACCACCGAAGCTCTCGGATCCTCCTCTGGCAAGATCGGCGACTCGGGCCGTGGCGCGATCCTGGTCCAGATCGAGAGCATGATCGATATCGGCTACTCTGCTTCGTCTCAGCTCGAGATCGCCGAAGCTCGTAGGGAAGCACGCCGTGCCAACGTCGATCCGAACGATGTGCCCGCAGAAGCAAAAGCGGCAGCAGACTCGGACCACATGGCCGACTTCCAAGCGCAAGAAGACGACAAGATCCAAACTACCACCGTCTATCCGAGACGCATGCTCAAGCTCGAGCTTTCGGATGGTAGCAAGAGCGGCAAGGTTTCTGCCGTAGAGCTGCAGCGCGTTAGCGACCTGGATATGAACACGACCAGGATAGGTGCGAAACTGCTTCTCAAGGGCGCCTCTATCATGGACGGGTGCTTGATGATAACGCCTCAGACGGTGTCGTTGGAAGGTGGATATGCGCCTGAGAAGCATCGGGTGGCGGAAGACAAATTTATCGACAAGCTGAGGGCTCAGCTCGGGAAGGCTCCGCAAAGCCATACGCAGGCAAACGGCGCACACAGTACTGCGACACTCACCTCCAACGGTGTTGGGAATCCCCATCAGAACGCCAATGCAGTGGAACGCGGCTTTAGTCCCGACGACGACGAAAGCGAGTTATTGGCAGCACTCGAAGCGGAAGAAGAGATGATGGTCGCGGCTGCCACTTCTTCGAAAGGAGGCCTGGCATCGACGGAGACAAAGCCCGCATCCTCGAGCAATAATGTCCAGAAGCCTTCGTCTAGTGCGGCTCTTGCTTCGGCGAACCAAGCAGCGGCGGTAGCAGCGGGGCGTCAGCGCGCAACACTGATCCTCCCAGAGGGTATGACGCAAGCCTCAGCTGAAACACCTCGCAGCCAGCGGTCGGATGCGCCGCCAAGAGCGAGTGCGACGCAGCAAGACCCAATCTTGCTGATCGACAGCGATGGCGATGAAAATGACGATGACGATGACGATGACGATGACGATGATGAAGAATTTTTGGTCGCTCTTCCGGACGCTTTGCTGAGCGGGGCAGATGAAGCGGTCGAACACGAGCAGAAGCGACCTCGACCAGAGCCCAACAGACTTGGCGCGACGTCTTCAGCGGCGCTCAGCAACTCTCGAGAACAGCCTATTGTCATCGGATCCTCGCCCGAGGCGGAGCGATAGGCGGATGTAATCCATCGAACACGAACACAATGACACTTTCGGGCGATGCAATTGGCGCAGAAAATGTTTCTAATGTGTGGGCTGCTCATCTCTCAGCGCCGAGAGGCGGTCTAGTGGTATCAGCATGCTGATCACGCTCGTCGGAGCGTTCCTTGGAAGCTGCTACCAGACCAACGCCAGGTACGCGCCTCACATCCTCTCGATCCTCCACAGCCGTTGCCGCTTCTCTGGCACCTGCACCTCGACCTGGTGCTTGCTGAAACAGATCTTTGAAGCCACGCTCGCCGTCCCACTTGTTGAACATCTGGGCGCATTCCTCAGCGTTCGGCTGCCCCGCCAAAGGATCAGCGCCGTGCTCGATCAGCAACCGCACGACATCGTCAAACCCCTTGAACACGGCTCCTGCGACAATGCTCTGGCCTCGACCGTTGAGCTGGTTCGGATCGGGCGTGCCTCGCCATCCGCGAGCTCCGTCGGAGGCGTGCTGCGACTGCTGCGACTCGGTCAGCATCCGTCGCACCAGATCGGCGTGGCCGTGGTAAGAGGCGAGCATGAGTAGCGTATCGCCCCGGTTGTTGGTGAGGTTGGGCGGAAGACCGGCGGCGCAGTAATCAAGCAATGTGGCGTCACCTTGTCGAGCGAGGTCGAACATCTGTCAGATTCAGGGCGTGGAAAGAACGCCACCATATTCGTCAGACTACGGAAGAATGCAAACGGCGTTCTGCGGCATTGCACTCACTCTGTTTGCCAGATCGATCGCAGCGTCGGGAAGCTGCGCCACCGAGTGGGCCCCTTGCGGCGTTGGAGGCTGAGGTGGCGGCGTGGCCTGTGTGGTGTGCGAGACGGGCGTCATCGTTATTCCTCTTGAAGGTGATAGCTTGTACCCTGTGTCGAGTATCAATGGCGAACAGAGAGGTGATGGTCGGTCGAAAGCTAGTGTTGTGAGCATGTCCTCCGATACGAGGGTCATGGAAGGTCAAGGGTCTGGTTGGACCCTGAATCATTAGTGAGCGTTGCAGAAGAGTGCATAAGGGTGGAGGATGGGTTACGGGTGATTATGTAATTGCAATTAGGACGAGTCACACGTGATGCGGGACTCTCAAGCCCTTTGGTCGGCAACGCCGCATTGCATTCCAGAAGAAACAAGTCACATAACTTACGCGGTCGTGCGCATTCGAAAGGCACACAAAAAAGAAATTTGGCGTATCGCTCACAGCCTCGCTCGCTCTTTATCTCTCTCGTCCTCACCATCATTCCTCTCCTCGTCGCTTCTTGCTGCTTCTCGTATCGACAGCGGCAAGCATTCGTTTCCATCTTTAATTCCCGATCGGTTGATGCCAACGGCTCGTGCCTGCACTCTTCTGGCTCCTGGTATCGCACGCTCGCTTTCGGTCATTTCTCCACGTCGATTGGCTCCCTATCAAAGAGCCTATACTTCCCTGGTCCGCACGGCCGAGCTTGACCTCACGCCTACTAGACATCCGCAGCGCTCGATCGCTTCCATCTCTTCCGTCCAGTCTTCGAGTCGACCCTCGCGCCGCCTTTCTGCCCCTCGCCGTCTGCACGCATCGTCCACCATGACCGACACGCTGCCAACCTCGGGCGGCCTCGACGCTAGCACCAGCTCGCGCTTCGGCGACTGGCCCGCCACAAAGGTGCGAGACACCTTCACCGGCTACTTCAAGGAGCGCGCACACACCTTTGTCCCGTCCTCCTCCACCATCCCTTACGATGACCCTACACTCCTCTTTGCCAACGCCGGCATGAACCAGTACAAGCCCATCTTCCTCGGCATTGCAGACCCAAACTCTTCCTTCGGCTCTATGAAGCGTGCAGTCAACTCGCAAAAGTGCATCCGTGCAGGCGGTAAGCACAACGACCTCGACGATGTCGGCAAGGACACCTACCACCACACTTTCTTCGAGATGCTGGGAAACTGGTCTTTTGGCGATTACTTCAAGAAGGAAGCCATCGAAATGGCATGGGAGCTGCTCACCAAGGTGTACGGTCTGCCCAAGGACCGTCTTTACGTAACGTACTTTGAAGGCGATGCCAAGCAGGGTCTCGAGCCCGATCTCGAAGCACGCGACCTTTGGCTCAGCGTCGGCGTCGAAGCCGATCACATCCTCACCGGTGATGCCAAGGACAACTTCTGGGAGATGGGTGCCACCGGCCCTTGCGGACCTTGTTCCGAGATCCACTACGACAGGATCGGCCGCCGCAACGCCTCCGACTTGGTCAACAAGGACGACCCCAACGTCATCGAGATCTGGAACAACGTCTTCATGCAGTTCAACAGAGAGGACGACGGCTCCTTGCGGCCTTTGCCCGCCAAGCACATCGACACCGGCATGGGCTTCGAGCGTCTCGTTTCCATCTTGCAGGACAAGCCATCCAACTACGACACCGACGTCTTCACTCCCATCTTCAACAAGATTCAGCAGCTCACCGGTGCCCGCGCCTACACGGGCAAGCTCGGCGCAGAGGACAAGGACGGCATCGACACTGCCTACCGCGTCGTTGCTGACCACGTTCGCACTTTGACCTTCGCCATCTCGGACGGCGGAGTGCCGGATCGCGACGGCCGTGGCTACGTCTTGCGTCGTATCTTGCGTCGAGGTACGCGCTACGTGCGCAAGTACTTCCAGGTGCCCATCGGCTCCTTCTTCTCGCAGCTCGTGCCCACCCTCGTCGATCAGATGGGCCACTTCTTCCCCGAGATCACAAAAAAGGTCGAAGATGTCAAGGCCATCCTCGATGAAGAGGAGGCCTCCTTCGCTCGCACCCTTGACCGCGGTGAGAAGCTGTTTGAAGAGTACGCCGCAAAGGCCAAGGCTGCCGGCAGCAAGCAGCTCAGCGGTAACGACGTCTGGAAGCTCTACGACACCTTCGGCTTCCCCGTCGACTTGACGCTCATCATGGCCGAGGAGCAAGGTCTCGGTGTCAACGACAAGGAGTTCGAGGCCGCCCAGGCCGAATCCAAGGAGCTCTCCAAGGCCGGCGGCAAGAAGGGTGAGGCCGAAGCGGTCAAGTTTGACGTTCACGATCTCGGCCACCTCGAAAAGGACTCGTCCGTGCCCAAGACGCAGGACGACTTCAAGTATGGCGTCAACACGGTCAAGGCCAGCGTCAAGGCCATCTACCAGGACCATGCCTTCTTCCCCGAGACCACCAAGATCAGCGACCGCGCCAAGAACTTTGGTATCCTGCTCGACCGCACGTGCCTCTACGCCGAGAGCGGTGGTCAGCAGGCCGACACGGGTTCGATCATGATCGACGGCAAGACCGAGTTTGTCGTCGAAGACGCCCAGGTATTCTCGGGCTACGTGCTCCACATCGGCCACCTTAAGCGCGGTGAGCTTTCGCTCAACGACGAAGTCGTCGTATCGTACGACCAGAGCCGACGTGGACCTTTGCAGTCGAATCACACTGCCACGCACATCCTCAACTTTGGCCTTCGCGAGATTCTCGGCGACCACATTGACCAAAAAGGCTCGCTCGTCGCACCCACCAAGCTGCGTTTCGACTTTTCGCACAAGCAGGGTGTCAACGTGCAGGAGCTCAAGAAGATCGAGGACATCTCGATCGACTGGATCAAGCGCGACGTGGGCGTCTACTCGAAGGAGATGCCTCTCGACATTGCCCAAAAGATCCCCGGTCTGCGCGCCGTGTTTGGCGAAGCTTATCCAAACCCGGTTCGTGTCGTGACGCTCGAGTACGATCTCGACACCATTGCAGGTGACATCGAGAACACCAAGTGGCGAGGAACGTCGGTCGAGTTCTGTGGAGGTACCCATGTTGCCAAGACGGGCGACATCCGCGAATTTGTCATCACCGAGGAGTCGGGTATCGCCAAGGGCATCCGACGTATCATCGCCGTCACCGGTGATGAAGCTGCCTCTGTCACCAAGGTGGCCAACGACGCCGAAGCTCGACTCTCCGAGATCGACGCCATCGAAGAGCAGTCTGCCAAAGACTCGGCCTTGAAAGCGTTTGGAACGCAACTCGCGCAGCTCGACATCAGCGTCGTACGTAAGGCCTCCCTGAACGAGACCTTCTCTTCCATCCGAAAGAAGCTCGACAGCGGACTCAAGGCCAAGGACAAAGCCGAAACCAAGCTGGTCGTGAGCGCCGTTGAAGAGCACTTCAAGACCAACCCCAACTCGACCTGCTTCATCCACAAGTTCGACGTCGGATCCAACATGAAAGCCCTCCAATCCGCCATGAACACCGTCAAGAAGATGGACAAGACCACCTACCTCTTCTCTCAGGAACTCGACGTCAACGGTACAAAGGTAGCCGACGGCAACGCGATCAAGGCCAAGGTCGTCCACGTAGCCTACGTCAGCAAGTACCATCAGAGCAAAGGTCTCAATGCAAAGGAATGGATCGAAACCAGCGCCCAGCATGTCGGCGGCAAGGGCGGTGGAAAGGCTGATTCCGCTCAGGGTATCGGAGAGATGGGCGGTCAGGCTCTGGATGACGCCGTCGAGGCCGCGAGGAGGGTGTACACGCTCAAGTGCGAGGAGAGCGGCATGCCGCTGCAGTAGACGCTCACACGATGCAAAGGAAGGGCGGACGACGGCTTTTGTGATGGCAATGCAACGCAGAATACAGCTTCGATGATACATGATATGAGAAAGACCGACTTGATGAACTGAATGGTTTGCGACGATGCGATGCGATGTTTTCTTGGGATGCGGAGACAGGAGGGTTGGGTGACAGGTTGTGATTGTTCTTGACGACGCGAGTATTTCTAACGTGCGGTGAGGTGGTGAGCTGAAATCAGACGTCGTCGGCGAATCTGAGCTTCTTCAAGGGTTTGGGCATGTTAGCGCCCAAGGACGACGCTTTGCGCGGTTTCTCTGCGTGTTCATTGAGCGCTCGAAGCAGGCAGATCATCTCGAACGAGTCCACCGAAGCCTCGTTCTTTGCAGCGACATCGTTCGCGATAGCAATGTTCATCTCGAATCGGTTGATTAGATCGTCGTCGATGACCTGTTCCACCTCCTGCTTGTCCAAATTTCGAGGAGGTCTGGCCTCCTGAGCGTGCTGTTGCTCGCGGAGGAGCTCAAGACGGTCATGTTTCTCCCGCTCGGTGAGGTGTCGAAACTCAACAATGTCGTCCTCTTCAGCGTCCTGATCATCGTCTTCTGCGTAGTGCTGCGAGCCACGAGGTAGGAACGGGTCGGCGAATTCGACGGCTTGCGGGAAGGGTTGCATCGCAAGGTCGAATTCATTGATGATGCCGAGGTTGATCTCGACCTGCGCCTCGAAGAAGGTTTCAACGGCGGGCCTTCGTACGCCCCAGTGCGCGTTGCGAGCCCGCACCTCTGTCCAGCTCATCATTGCGAGAGCGTCGAGCTGCTCTCGAGCTTGCTTCAGCTTCTCTTGCTTCAGCGTCTCAGAGAAGGGAACGAAACGGTGGTGCAGACGGAGCTTCCTTGCTTCGGCGAGAGCAGCGCGTACATCGGTGGACACGCGACTGTACTCCTTGCGGGCCCTCGCTGCTTCCAGCTGCTTCTCCACGCTAGTATCTTCGATGCGTGTTATAGGGGCTTCTTCCTCGCTGTTGTCGTCGCTTTCGCTCACGTAGATCGCCTCCTCTTCGGATTCCGCTCGCTCCACAAAATTGTCCGGGGTGTTGTCGTCGATTGCCTGTTCCAGGTGTTGTCTCGTCCTGCAAGGGAAGCAAACACGTCTTCGGCTCTCCATGGCCTGGACGCGCGTGTTTCCCCGAGGGAAATATGTGACCGTGAGGGGATATTCGACCCTGCACACGGTGCAGCAACCCCGACGTTCGGCTGCGGGGCTAGGACCAGGGCCATGTGCAGCCGTCGTGTGGCGGGTGGGGGCGAGCGGCTTGATGTTGCCAGAGCCAGAGAAGGGAGAAGCTGTTGAGCTGGAGCTGGAGCCGGAAACTGTAGCGGCGATGCTTCCGGGAGAACGTTCGCAGCAGTCAAAGCAAATCATTTTGATCGAAGAAGGCGTATCGCCCCTGGCCAGACGCTTGTCGTATTTTGTCAGGACCCTTTTCGGGAAGCGGTGGCGCGGGTGCGAGGTGTTACAGTGGTGACATAGAAGTAGGTGGCCCGCATTGCCAGTGCCATTGCCGCCGTAACTCTCACCGCGGCCACGCCCGCCGCCGTAAGGATAGGGTCGGTGCGTATGGCGCACCATGCGTGGCGACGCTCAACAGTCTGTCTGACTGGCAGCCAGCGCGGGCGTCGGTAGGTTCGAAGCAGACAGGGCTGAGTCCAAAAAGGAGACACTGAGGATCGTCCTTTCTTCGTCTAGATGAGTTGATTGAGCTGAGGGACCGCAAAGAAGAGAGGATGAAGGAGAAAGGAGAAAGGAGAAAGGAGAAAGGAGAAAGGTGGCAGGAAGGAGTAGGGGCGAATCGGCTTGGACTGGGCCAAATGTGTCAAGGGTCTCATCATGAATGAATTTAGTGGGAGCAGTTGGAAGCCGACGATCTAACGGGTATGCCGACAAAATACAGCTCTCCTGTCTCAGACCTCTGCGTAAAAACTTGGACGTGTTTTGTGAGGTTTCGACGGGGCGACCGAAGCACTGGTAAAGTGCCTTGATGCAACGCGGTTAAGCGGGCTAGTTCAGGGTTGGCGTTGCAGCTGCTTTTGTGTTATGTTTCTGCTGTGCTTCTGCCTCGGCTTCTCCGCATCACGACGATTTGGGCGTCGAGCTAAGATGCGACACACAGTCTTTTATTGGAATCTTTGTGTAGCTCGTCGTTACCATCATCATCATCATCATCAACAACAGAGCGACGTCTCTACCTCTATCACCTCTGTCGTCACACCCCGACATCGCAATGAACCACCTCGTACTCACGACACAACCGCAGCCATAGGTTCGCCTTTTGTGAGGTAGCTGGCACATACGCCGAGCACTCAATTACTCTCACGACAACCTTCTCGTCGCCTGCTTCTACATTCCAGACCGATCACATACTGTTGACACCGCCGTCGTCATGTCCTCTACCATGCAATCAGCAGTCCGACCTACAATGTCCTCGCCGGAGCAGCGTCAGCAGCAGCAGTTCACCCAGTATGGCGACACCGATCTTGGCCTGGAGCGCAGCAACTCTCACGAAAGCAATGACAGCTCCAACTTCACGCACAGAGGCTTTGCACCGCGTGGCAAATCCATCAACTCGCTTCACTCGTCTCAGCCCGACATCACCGCGTCTCCTTCGCCCTCGTCGTCTCGTCTCGTGAGCGCCAACTATTCTCGTCCTCGTCTCGAACATGCGCACACACAGCCGTACGCGTCTGTCCATTCGCAGTCGAGTCCGCGCTCCTTCTTCACCCCTGATGTGCACTCGCAATCCTTTTCGGGTCCGAGCGCCCATGGCATCAGCTCCTCCTTTGACGAGGATGAACTTCGGCAGATCATGTCGCGCAGTCCGGGCACCGACGACACACCTGCTATGGACGGCCACGTAGGTCAAGGCGTCAAGTCGGCCAATCACCAGGATATCAGTCCATTCCTGTTCCAGAACGAGAGCGCAACACCCTCCGCTTCGTCCTCTTCTCGCTCGCCTCGCACGACCGCCAACCCATCCGCCGTGTCAACCAGTAGTCCAGCACCAACCGCTGCAACCAGATCGCGCACCCGCAGAGGCACCGCCACCCCCCAGTCCACTACCTTCGATACAAGCTTCGGCAGTCTCGACCAGCCCGGTCTCTCCTCCTCCCGGTCCCAGTACTCGCTGCGTCCACAGACTCCTCCCTCGGCATCCACTTCCACCAGCACACTCAACGGCTCCAAGGACACGCATGCGTCCGCCGCCAAAAAGTCGCGCAACCCCTTCGGCTTTCTCAAGAAGAAGCCTTCCGCTCACTCAAACGCTTCTGCAGCCCATCCGACGCGCCATGACCTCGGCTCAGTCTCGTCGCTATCGTCGCGCTACGGCTCGAATGCGGCCAATCTGAACCCCATGCGTCCGCCCGCCTGGCTCGACAACAATCGCACGCTTGCTAGCTCCACCTCTCCCTCTTCGGCTTCGCTGCGCTCCCACTACCACCAGCCTGCTGCCGCATCCGCTTCCACAGCTTGGCACAACTCGCTCGCCTCTCGTATGGACTCGCTGCCCGCCGCGATGAGCTTGGAGGACGAGCTGGAGGCTGAGCATCAGCCAAAGAAGGACCCCCTCAAGCGCATCAAAGGTGTTCGTCACCACCTTGCAAAGACCACCAAACCAGGCGAGGATGTCGATTCCACGCGCGACCCTGCCCTTGCAGCTCAGAGCCAATCTATCGAGCAGGAGGTCGAGCTCTCGTTGGACATGAACTTCGATCAGCTCGAGGACTTTGTCGACACCAATGCAGCGCGCCAGCGTCTCCAAGGCTCCGTGACCGAGTCCGCCAGTCCTTCGGAGCATCGCTCACCCAGTGGGAGCGAAGCCGCCACCTATCGCTCGCCTTCGCCGTCTCAGGCCTCCCTCACCGATCGACAAGCTTCTGTCGCCTCGACCGTCGAGTCCCCTTCCCACGCCTCGGAATCGTCGCTTGCGCCTTCCGGCTCTCTTCGCACTCCGAGTCGCACCACCGCTGCCACGTCCACTTCGTCAGCTTCCACCGTCCTCAGCGACCGTCGTCCTTCGCAGATCAACATGCTCCCTCGCAACAGCGTTCCTAGACTCAGTCTTGCCGAGATGCAGAACTATCAGTCGCTCCGCAAGCTCTCGACCAACCTCATCGACATGCCTCAGCTCTCTGTCAACGGCGCCGGCTCTGCCCCTTCGAACGCTGCCCTTCTGCGCCGTGGATCTGTCGCAGTCCCACACGCAGCCCCCGAGGCCTCCTCACAGCTCGGTGTCGCTTCCATGGCGGATACGGTACTCGACGATCATCGAAAAGACAGCGTCGCCTCTGCTCACAGCATGCAATCCAACCATAGCGGCATCTCGCCAAAGACCTCCTACGCGAACCTGCCTGGCGCCATCCAGGGCCAGAAGCCCGCCGCCGCGCTTCCTGCTGGCGCTGGTTGGACAGCCGCCCCTACCAAAGATGCACCTGCCAACGGACGTGCTAACCATTCCTATCAATTTCCGCCGGCGGCCGACCATCCAGCAAACTCTCTCCTCAGCGTGCGCAAATCGAGTGCCGGCTCGGGGCAAGAGGCCAGTTCGAGCTGGATGGCGCCAGACAGCTGGGCCGTGCAGCCTGACAAGATGCACGACTATCTCCGCGACGACAACGTCGGCGAAGAGGAGGACGAGGACGACCATCAACACCAGGCTATCGCCTCCGACGGCAAGAGACGCGGGTCGAGTTCAGGCGTGAGCTCCACGCACGCTGCCAGCATGTTCCGCACCTCGTCCAACGATCCCTTCAAGAAGGCCGCCTCTCTTGCTGGCTCGCGTCGCGGCACTGAAGAGTCAGTCGATCCGCTCACCGTCCTACCTCCCCCGCCTGGCTCCAAGTCGGTGGATGAGGCGGTTGACAACAAGGTCGACGTGCTGCAGCAGACCAACAACCTTGCTCAATCCGCCCTCGCCCAGCAGCAATCCCAAACCCACAATCACCAGCTCGGCTCGGCTCACGTTCGTCCATCCTCGCGAGGCGGCGCTGGTTCTCACATACTGGCCTCCGCAGGCGCTTCTGCGGCCGCCGCTGCCGCAGGCAAGCTTGGTCTGCATCGTCCGTCCAAACACCGCATGAATGCGCGCCCCAACACGGCAGGCTCCGTCGGTGCCGCTCGTCCATCCACAGCGACGATAGGCTCGTCGCTCTCAGCCGAGGACGACTCGAGCGTCAATGGCTCTTTGCGACGCGATGGTCATCCTCTCAAGCGATCCACCACCGCCAACGCCAACAATGCGCCCGGCAGCTCGCTTCGCAACCACTTCATCCGCGTATACAAGACGGACGGCACCTTCGCCACGCTCTCGTGCTCGCTTGCCTCGACGGCCACCGAGGTGCAGACCATCCTTGCACGCAAGAGTCTCACTACTGAGTCGGCCTCCTACCGTCTCTTTGTGCGCGACAAGGGCTCCGAAAGGCCCCTCGGCATTTCCGACAAGCCCTCGCAGCTCCAGCGCCGCCGTCTGCTCCAAGCAGGTCACACCGAAACCGATGGGTTGGAGGACATGGGGAGGGACGATCTCTCGTATCTGCTTCGCTTCGTCTTTCGCCCAGACAGCGTGCCCACGTTCGACTCGGAATCCATCGGCCACAGCGAGCACACGTTCCAGCACCTCGATCTGCACAGTCGCAACCTCGAGATGGTGCCCATCTTCCTCTACAAGCACGCCGACTGGATCGTCAGCCTCGACCTCTCGGGCAACCCCATGTCGGATCTTCCGCTCGACTTTGTGCAGCTATGTTCCAGTCTGCGCACGCTGCGACTCTCCAACCTGGCGCTCAAGCGCATCCCGCAGAGTGTCAGGCACAGCGAGACCCTGACGCATCTCGACGTCTCTAACAACCGACTCGTCGAGCTCTCGCACATCGCCCTTGATCTCATCCCGGAGCTCATGTCGCTCAAAGTGCAGAACAACCGTCTCTTCGACTTGCCGCCCTACTTTGACAGCATCAGGACGCTCAGGAATCTCAACATCTCCAACAACCGCTTCGACGAGTTCCCAAGCGTCATCTGCGAGATGCCTTCCCTTGTCGACCTCGATGTGTCGTTCAATTCAATCACCGAGCTTCCTGCCGAGATTGCCAAGCTGATTAACCTGGAGCGTTTCATCCTTGCCGGCAACGAGCTCGAGAAGCTTCCGGACAGTATGAGCGAGCTTGTCAGCCTGCGCACCATCGACCTGCGTCGTAACAAGGTGCAGGATGTTTCGTCCCTCCTCGGCCTCCCACGCCTTCAGAACATCCAGGCAGAGAGCAACAACATCAAATCATTCGAGGCTACGCTGGGTCCGCAGCTGACCCAGGTCGAGCTCGGCCGCAATCCGCTCAGCAAGGTCCGTATCGCCGCTCTCACTACGTGCGATCTGACTTCGCTCGACCTGTCGTCCACCAACATGACGAGACTCGAAGAAGGTCTGTTCCCGCAGCTGCCGGCGCTCGTAAAGCTGACGCTCGATGGCAATCAGCTCGTCGTCCTGCCCGACTCGCTCGGAGACCTCAAACGCCTCGAGATGCTTTCGTGCAGCAACAATTTGCTCGCTACGCTTCCCGAGTCGATAGGCGCCCTCAAGGCGCTCAAAGAGCTGCTCGTCCACAACAACAATCTCAAGACGCTTCCGCAATCGTTATGGCTCTGCGAGAGCCTTGTACACATCAACCTCAGCTCCAACCTGCTCGAATCGTTCCCAACAGCTCCCGACGTTCGCAACGATGCCTCGCCTGGCGACATCGCCGCAGCTGCAGGAACTTCGACCATCATCGCTGCGCGAAAAGGCTCGACGAGCTCCTCGCTGACACACAGATCCAACGCCGGTGGTGCCAACGGAGCCAACAGCCTGTCCACGCCATCCGAAGTCTTTGTGGCACCCCTCTCGCTCAGCCTGCAGAAGTTGCGTCTTGGAGACAACCGCCTTGGCGACGAGGTCTTCACCGTGCTGTCCGAGCTCACCTCGCTCGAGGTGCTCAATCTGAGCTTCAACGAAATCTTCGAGATCCCCGATTTCAGCCTTCAGACGCTCACCAAGCTGCGAGAGCTGTACGTCAGCGGCAATCAGCTGAGCACCATCCCTTCCGATGACTTGGTGGTCTTGCAGGAGCTCCGCATCCTCCACCTCAACTGCAACAAGCTAACCACGCTCCCCACCGAGCTCGGCAAGCTCAAGAAGCTCGCCAATCTCGACGTCGGCAACAACGTGCTCAAGTACAATATTGCCAACTGGCACTACGATTGGAATTGGAACCAGAATCCGGAGCTGCGCTACCTCAACTTGTCTGGCAACACGCGTCTCGAAATCAAGACCAAGCTGAGCGACATGGGCTTCACGCGCAAGTCGAACATCTCGGATTTCAGTCGCTTGACCAGCCTGCGCATGCTGGGACTTATGGACGTCACCATGCCGTTGCACTCGAACGCAACGCCGGACGAGTCCGACAATCGACGCGTACGAACCTCGCTTTCGCAGATCAACGGTATGGTCTACGGTATCGCCGACGCACTCGGCAAGCACGACAACCTGAGCGTCATCGATCTCGTCATCCCGACCTTCCGCAAGGATGAGGGAGAGTGTCTCTTTGGTATCTTCGATGGCAGAGGCCACGGAGCGCACGTCGGCAGCCGCATCGCCCATCACTTGGCCGAATGGAGTGGGCATCGCTTGTCGTGGGAATTCCAGAAGCACCAGAACGAAATGTCGACCGAGCCCGTGTCGGTGCCGGACGCGCTGCGTCGCGCTTTCCTTCGACTGCAGAAGGACTACGCCGATGCGCTCATCAACGACGGCAGCCGCAAGCTCTCGGAAGCCCATGCAGAGGCGGCGGCCGACGTGACGCGCAGCTCTGCGCCAGCCATCGCGGCAGCTTCCAACAAGCACGACTGGCGCGCAGGCGCGTCCGCCATCTTGGCATACGTGGTCGAACGGACGCTGTACATTGCTAACGCCGGTGATGCGCTCGCGGTCATGTCGCGCAACGGCGGCACGGCACATTTGATCAGCAACAAGCACGAGCCGTTCGACCGTGCCGAGATCGAGAGGATCCGATCGGCAGAAGGCTGGGTCTCGCTTCGTGGCTACGTCAACGACATGCTCGACGTCTCGCGCTCGTTCGGCTACTTCCATCTGTTCCCCATCGTCAACGCGGCGCCTGCTGTGACTACTGTGCAGCTGACCGACTCGGACGAATTTGTCATCATCGCCAATCGGACGCTTTGGCAGTACGTGTCTTACCAGACGGCGGTCGACATCGCGCGAACGCAGCGCAACGATCCGATGATCGCAGCGCAAAAGCTGCGAGATTTTGCCATCAGCTACGGTGCCGAAGAGAGCATCATGGTCATGGTCATCTCGGTGGGCGACCTGTTCTACAAGTCGGATATGCGCAACGGCGGTGGCCTCAACTTTGCCTCGTACAAAGACCGCGAGGCCATCCAAAAGGCAGGACGTCGTTTCCGTGAGGAGCTGCCGGGAGACCGAACGCTGGCGAGGCTGGACCGCGAAGTGGCTCCGCCGATCGGACAGGTCGCGCTGGTATTTACGGATATCAAGAACTCGACGTCGCTGTGGGAGACCAACAACGGCATGCAGACGGCGATGCGACTGCACAACTACCTTTTGCGTCGCCAGCTGCGAACCATTGGTGGCTACGAGGTCAAAACGGAAGGTGATGCCTTTATGGTCTCCTTCCCCTCGGTCAGTGCAGCGCTTCTGTGGTGTTTCACGGTGCAGCAGCAGCTGCTGCACGAGGATTGGCCTCGCGAGATTTTGGACAGCGAAGATGGCAAGGAGGTGTACGACCAGTCGGGCGAGCTCATCGCACGAGGTCTCTCGGTGCGCATGGGCATCCACTGGGGTCGGCCGGTGTGCGAGGCTGATCCGATCACGCGTCGAATGGACTACTTTGGACCGATGGTGAATCGCGCTGCGCGTATCAGCGGTGCAGCGGACGGTGGCCAGATCCTAGCGAGTAAGGATGTGATCAAGGAGCTGCAGGGTTTGTTGGGCACGTTTGACGAATCGTCGAACGCAGCGGGCGCCGATGGCGAAGGCGAGAACTTGGAGAAGACGGAGGAGGAGCTGGACGAAGACGCCTTCCGTCTGCTCAACCCCAACGTGAGCCGCGATGTGGTGCTGCTGCGAAGGATGGGTTTCGGTCTGTCGCAGCTGGGCGAACGCCGACTCAAGGGCCTCGAGACTCCGGAGATGCTGTGGCTGGTGTACCCGAAGCAGCTGGCAGGACGTCTGGAGCAAGCCAAGACCGACGACGCACCCGGTGCGCCTAAGGCACAGGTCTACGAGCCGACGGTGCAGCTGCTCGACATCGAGGACGTCAAGCAAGTGGGCATGCTCTGCTTGCGTCTCGAGTACCTTTCGAACTCGACCGTGTGCCCAGGGATCTTTGCTGCCAAGGAGGAGGCAGAACGATCGCAGCCGTCGACGCCTCTGGACGACATCACACGGGACCCGATGGAGGGTGACGGCGCAATGACGACGTTGCTCTCGCACCAGGCGAGGCGCAAAGGTGTCGAAGCGATGCTGAGCATGCGTCCCGAGCTGCTCATCTACAGCATCCGAGACGATGCCACCGACGAAGAGTTGGCGGGCATCTTGGACCAGCTTACGACGCGAATCCAGAACGCCGTGTCATCGCTGACGCTGAACGTCTTGCGCGAGAAGACGGCCAACGGCACCAAGGATCTCGGTGCTGATCCCAGTGTACTGGAGCTGCTGACGGGTCTACTTTCGCAGCCGCCTCCACGAGCATCGACGTCGGTGTTGCCTTCGACGAGTCCGCTGACGAGTCCTCGCAAGAGGCTGTTGGAGCTGCCTCTGTGAGGATTTGGGTTTGTTTGTTTTGTTTCTTTGTCATGGTCATTCACTAGTGTCACGCAAAATGTTGTACTTCTATGCCTTCTCGCAAAACACACGCAAATGCTGAAGATCGTTTGTCACCGGATCTGTTCACGATGGTAGCTGAGCAGGAGATGGAGGAAGCCGCCAGTGGTTTTTCGCACGATACAGCATTGAGCTATCGGGACGCGGGATCGCTGTTGCATGTGCTTCGCCGAGGCGGCAGTGTGAGATAGGATTCGACATGGCTGAGCTGGAATTTGGCTGTTTCTTCTGAAAAATCAACAGCGCGTTGGCAAGTCGAAGGGCGCGTCCGAGCCAAAGCTGTGTATTGCACCCTGAAACCGACGAACAACACAGCAGCTCCAGCTCCAGCTCCAGCTCCAGCCAGACACGCACAGCCGAATTCCGAGCCACGTCTGCGGTTTGCTGCAGCCGACGCACGGGTTATCGACTCATCCTTCCAGACAACGATCTTCGTCACCATCTTTGCTCAACACGACGAAGACTCGGCAGCTCACGGCGTCGAAGCGAGAAGAACATCGGATCAACGAGCAAAAGCTGCACCGCGACATTGTCAAACGCCACGTTTTCGTCATTCGGACTAAGTTGACCATCACCTGTGATTGCTGGCAAACATGGCGCAAGTACTCGATATTGCCATGAAGAGTGAGTTCGTCTGCGCAGCTTGGCGATCTCAGTTACTGCGTTGACGGTATCAACTGACTCTTTGCATTTGGACCCATCTCGACCTCAACAGTCCCCGAGAGGATCCGCTCCATGCGACAGGAGCGGCTCTCGTCGCTGCGTCCGCTCGGCGAGTTCTTCGACCACCAACGCATCTCGCGACCCCAAGATACCAACGAAGCCTTCCAACGAATCACCTACAACACGCGCCACTTTTCCGGCAACTACGCTGTCATCGTCGCACTCCTCACCATCTACGGCATGATCAACGACACGCTGCTCCTCTTCGCCATCATCTTTCTCGTCTTTGGCTTCTGGGCCATCAACCGATTCGCACCGGAACCCATGCAGGTGGGCGAACACGTCATCACCCAAAAGAGCCTGTACACGGGTCTGTTCGTCATCGGCATCCCGTTGCTGTGGTTCGCGAGTCCGTTCGGGTTCATGTTCTGGTTGGTCGGAAGCTCGGCGTTTTTGATCTTGGGTCATGCGGCGTTTATCGAGCCTCCGGTCAGCAGCGAGTACACTGGTGTCGAGGTGAGTACTTGGGATGGAGCGCTGATGCTGCCGAGAGAGTGAAGCCTTCTGACTTTTTCTCCTTTTCTTTGCTTCCTTTCGTCAATGCGCACCTAGACCGTCTAAGTCGAGAATCACCTTCCGTTCAGGCCGACACACCCGTCTCTCGCCGCGTAAAAACACGGCGTGTCGAAGCCGTTCCAACGACCATCTCACGTTGTGTAAATACAGAACCTCAACCACGGGCTCACATCCGCTAGAAAATTGGTCACTCGTTTCGAACAGCATCGCAGGCTTTCCGTGGCATTTGTGACATGACGACGATCTACATTGGCTGCAACAGTCTCGCTGATCGGAAACCTCTAGAGGTTCTCCCGGATCCACTGGTTCATCTGCTCTTTCTCGGCGTCGAGGTCGTAATCCCAGATGTGGTCGAATCTCTCCACCAGGTGCTGACCCAGCTTTTGCGGATCGTCGGCGGCTACACCGCGGAACTCGTACGTGTCGCCGGCCTCGAGACTGGTCTCGACCACCTTGTTCGCTCTTGGCACTCGAATCTTGTCGTACACCTCGAGCGCCTTTGTCAAATTGGCATTGTTCACCTTTGGGTGAGCCAAAAGATTGGAGAGGAAGAGAGCGTCCTCGATCGCCTGTCCTGCCATGGCTCCCTGATGCGGTACTCCACCATGTGCGGCATCGCCTGTCACAATGACACGGTTGTTGATGTACGACGTCAACGAGGGAACCACTTGATGGAGAGCCCACTTGCTAGGCTTGTCGATGCACTCGAGCATCCTAACCACCTCCGGGCTGTAGGTGTCAAAGTCCTTGAGGAAGTCTTGCTTGGAAGTCTCTTGAATCCACGGCTCTCCTTTCGGGAACGGAGTTCGCTCCGGCCACCGACTTCGATCGGTTTTGAACGCGACCAGGTTGACCGTCTTGCCACCGTGAATGGGGAAGATGAGGACGTGCGAATCCTTGGCCAGCAGCATTTGAGCCGTGTCGGCGTAGAAGTCACCCTTTTCTTTGCCGACTGCTTCCACGAAACGTTCGCGTGGGATGAGACCGCGGTAGGCCCAAGTACCGCTCCAGACGAGCGAGTCGGATCCGGCGACTGCGGAAGGACCGGCGGTGCTTGGATCGAGCGCGCCTCGCACACGACTGTGGATGCCATCGCATCCGATCACCAGATCCGCCTCGTGAGTCGTTCCATCCTCAAACGTCAACTTGACTTTTCCGTCTGCACTCGACGGCTGTTCCAAGCTCTTCAACCTCTTGCCAAAGCTGCAGATATCGCTGGGAATCTTCTTGATGAACGAATCCAGCAGTTCAGCGCGATGGATGCTGGCAGCACCGTACTTCTTGCAGAGTGTCTCGGAGAGGAGCGTCTGTTCAGGCGACTCGGCTAGTCGCCACTGGAAGAACAGGTTGCGCGACGGAAAGTCGGCAAACTCGAGGAAGTTTTCGAACAGGCCCAGTCGCTTCAAAGCCTCGATAGCGGCAGTGTTGATGGAAATGCCCGCGCCGATCTCTGCAAACTTGGAAGCACCTTCGAAGATGCGTACGGGGACGCCTCGATCGTGCAGGCCGATGGCGAGAGTAAGGCCACCGATGCCACCGCCCACGATGGCGACCGATAAGTCCTTGGTGGGATGAGCTTCGGTGCTGGACGTCATTGTCTGTCGAGGCCGAGGGCTGAGCGGGTTGAGGGTGAGAATAGGAGGCGATAAACGGGAGAGCAAGAGATTATTTAGTGACGAGGAGATGTACAGCAAAGAGGTGGGAGCGGTAAGCTGAACGACAAGGTGACGATCTTATAAGGTTTAATCCTGCAAGGACGCTCGAGACTTGTCTGACCAGCAAATGTGGGGCAGAGCCCTCGACACCACCAAACCGACTCGTTGATTGAGGGACGATATCAGTTTTGGCGTTGCCGTGACGCTGTATGAAATGTGGGGAAATGGATTGAATGTTACACAAAGTGCATCTTCGTAATCACACACTGATGATGTGCGCGGACATGATCCGAATTCGGATTCGGCGAGTTTATTTTGGCTTTGTTTGCAGGAAATCACGGCTTGGATTTGCATCGTTCTCCACACTTAGCCTGGCTTGACTCGCCTAGTGCGCTTGGGCGAGTGTTGGGTGCAGGGTCCATGTCCGACTTGTCAAGCTCAAGCGTGTGGCTCCCTCTCTCCACCATATTCAATCGAGCTCGAGCTCATACTTTTGGCCAAGCTGGTCACTTATGAGCGTTGGCTAGCATGTTCTCCAATCCAACCATTGCTGCGCTTCAGACACCATGATTTAAACTCAGCCCGACCCAAGTTTGTCGTGCGTTCAGGTCTGCCATCATCATCATCAGCATTCCTTTTCCTATCTATCGCGGCATCTACAGCCCTCGGACTTGATCCGCGCACACGGTGCGTCATCCCTGCATCATGACCGATCGTCTTTTCGTCACCTCCTTTTGGGTCGTACACGCCCTCGTTGCTATCGCTTCTGTCGTCAGAGGCCAGCAGCGGCAGCAACAGCAGCGATGGCAGTTGCCCATCGACCCCGATTCTGAGCGTGATTTTCTTGACAGGCGCGTTGCAAGCAGCCAAGCTAGGGTCTGGTCCTTCTCGACGTATGAGCAGCATCGGCGTCCCTTTCCCTTGCAATCCAATCAGAACACGACCACAGAGTCCATCTTCGGCAACGACGACTCGACTCCCATCAATGATCCCGCGTCCGCCCCTTTCGTTGCCAACGCTGCCCCGTCCGGCTTGAAGTGGTCGCTGTCCAATACCAACGGCTCAATCCAGGTCGGCGCTCTCTTCCCGTCGCTGGCTCATCTCGATCTGCTCCGTGCTGGCATCATTCAGGACACAGCCATCGGCTTCAATGAAGGTCTCAATCGCTGGGTGGCCGAGGAGCCAATCTGGTTCTACACTGCCGATCTCCAGCCCGTCATAGCACAGATCGAAGCCTCTCACAACCTCACCGAGTCCCCGCACGAGTACTGGCTCTACTTCGAAGGCCTTGATACCATCGCACAGGTCTTCGTCGGCGGCAAGCCGGTCGGCGAGACCCACAATCAGTTCAAATGGCATGCATTCCGCGTCCCTTTGGACCGTGTGGAGCGTTTCAGCAGAGACACCAACATCACTCTTGTCTTTCAGAACGTCGACGATTACGCCTCTCAGCAAGCTGCACAGCATGATCCAGGTTATCCGAACCAGGTCGAAAGCCCTACTCAACCTCGCACCTCCGATTACGAGTACCCCGGCCGAATCTTTCTGCGCAAGCAGCAGGCAGATCTCGGCTGGGATTGGGGCCCAGCGTTGGTTCCCAGAGGACCCGAAAGACGCGCTTACTTGATCTCGCTGCCCATCTCTGGTCCCGAATCTGGCACTGGAGTAGCTCGCACCCAAGCCGATGAGGATGCGTCGCACGCACAAGATAAGCCGTCAGTCCTGGTCATCGCGGCTGCTTTCGACGTTTATCGCAAAGGTCAGACCAACAATCTGCCTCCTCCCGACCCTGACGCCAACTGGATCGTCAACGTCACTCTCACTCTTCTGTCAGGTGCCGACGTCAAGTCGCCCTCGCTGCGTCTCTCGATCCCTGAATTGGGCCTTTATACTTTCGATGCGTTGCTCTCCTCCTCAACAGTGTCGGCTGGACTCAATGCGCCTGTTCATGTCGCATTCGAGATTCCAAGCGGTGGAAAATATGGTCCAGAGCTGTGGTGGCCCAGAGGCTACGGCGACCAGAAGCTCTACGACGTTGTGGTTCAGAGTGATGACCTGCTGATCCAGGTGCAAAAGCGTGTCGGATTCCGCACCGCCTTCTTCGATCTCTCGACCATTTCGCAGGAAGAAGTCGAACAAGGAGTGCAGCCAGGATCCAACTTCCGGCTCTTTGTCAACGGTCGAGAAATTTATGTTATGGGCACCAACGTGATCCCCTTCGACACGCTCAGTCCCCGCATCAATCCAGACTACCTCCGATGGGTGCTCGAGTCGGCCGCCAGCTCCCACGTGAACTTGATCCGCATCTGGGGCGGAGGCTCTTACCCCTCACAGGCGCTGCTCGATTTGTGCGACGAGATGGGCATGATGGTTTGGATGGACGCCATCTTTGCTGCTTCGCTCTATCCTTACTACCAAGATTTCCTCACCGAGGTGAGCAGCGAGATCGCTCAGGTGATGGTCGACGTCGTCACACATCCCAGCATCGTCGCTGTCGTGGGTAACAATGAGGGCGAACTCTACTTCTTGGGCGCTTATGGCAAAAGACCGCAGGATCCTGAGTGGTTCAACGGCTACGAGCTCTTGTTCAACCACGTCATTCGAGATCGCGTCAAGGAGTTCAGCAGAGGTCTGTCGTACTTTCCCTCCTCCACCACGACGGGCTACCTCCAGTTGGATCCGTACATTGGCAGATACGCCAACTACACGCGCGGTGTCGAGCTGCACGGTACAGGCGAGCATTATGGCTACGATGCGCAGAAGGCCTTTGACATCAATACCTATCCCCGCAGTCGATTCATGGTCGAGTTTGGAATGTTTTCACTGCCGTCGATCTACACGTTGGATCGCGTGCTGGCTCCACTGGGCATCAACGACAAGGTTTACTCGATCAACTCTTCGGTTCTACGTGCGCACCTCAAGCATCCGCCCGCCGGTAACTTGACGTATCCCTTTGCGGCAGACGTTGGCCAGCGCGAACTGCTGTCGGCCATCAGCACCTACTTCCCCGTACCCTCGACTAGCTTGGCTCCTCGCCAGGAGTTGCATCAGTATACTCTATCCAGTCAGCTCTACCAGGCGGTCTATGTGTCGAACCAGATCTCGGTGTATCGCCGACAGGCTGGAAGACGCGAGCGCAACCGCGGTGTGGTCGTGTGGCAACTCAACGATATTTGGGAGGGGACGAGCTGGAGTAGCATCGAATACACGGGACGCTGGAAGGTTGCCAACTATGTATATTCGGAGGTGCAAGCTCCAGTAGCGGCGCTGGCCGTGTACAATGTGACTGGCGATACGTTGGAGGTGGATGTTGCATACAGCGGTGCCTTTGAGTCGGTCGAGCAGCAGCAGCTGCAGTTGGAAAAGGAAGTGGTCACTGTCAGTATGGAGTGGTTCGACTTTACAGGCAAGCGCTTGCATGATAGCGAACAGGTTGACGTCGCCTACAACGTCACGTCCCCCGGATCCAAGACGGTCTCTACGATTCGCGATCCGACGCGATCGAAGTGTACGGGTCGCGATGGATGCTACCTGCGCCTCACGTGCAGCGGCTCCGTGTCGGAAACCAACGTGTATTGGACGCCTCTTCGAAACTTGACTTCCACCCTGCGCCATTTGCACGACAAGCACATGCTTCCCCAACTCCAGCTTACGTTGCCCAGAGACGGAGGATGGAACGTCCAGATTCGCAACACGGGCAACGCGACTGCGCCCTTTGTGGTTGTAGAGCAAGGTTCGGAATACGTCGGATACTTTGCCGAATGTAGCAGCAGCGACGGTGGTGGTGTTTGTCAACCCCGCAATGCGTTCTGGCTGAACCCTGGCGAGTCGAAAGTCTTGACGTTTATCCGACCCACCATCACCTCAGAGCAGGACGGCAACGAGGAGGAGGACGACGACGATGAGCAAGGAAGAGAAGAATGGTTCGAGACGCTCAGCGCTTGGTCGCTGTTTGACAATCTTTGATCGAGGTGCCGATGAAGGCGATTCGCGCTGATGAGGAGGATCAGCGGGCAAGAACTCTTTGTGGCAATCACAACAGACAATGTCTTCAGGTGCGCAAGGACACTTCTTTTTTTTGGACAATGATGAAGGACAATCTCAGAACAGACAAATTGTAATGCGTTTCTCAAGTGCTTTGCTGGGTCGGTGTGAGGATCGATGCAGAGTGTTGAGCTGTGAGACCGCGTTCAGCTCGTTGATTTGGCTTCGAAGACGGTTTTGGCGGAAGAGGACGACCTCTCCTGCGCACGTTGCACCAGCGACAATGTCAGAGGCATCAGAGCAACGTGCTTTTTCTGTTGCATCGCTGCTGCATTGCTGGGTTGGCGCAAGAACGACATCTGTAGGAGGCCACCTGGACGGTTCAAGACAAGCTGTGTGTGTGTTGTGCGACCTTGAAATCTGTCTCTTTGCCTGGCTGAAGGCGATCAGAGCCGCTCTTTCCGCACGGCCGCACGGGGGACCGATGTTAATGAGACAATGATGGCAACGCTTCACTCGCATGATCTTCTGGGTATTGCGCAAGAAGCAGGTTTTGCAGCATAAGACAAAAGGTGGTGTGATATGAGACCTAGACCTAGCCTGTTGCTCTGGCCTAAAGGACATAGTTGGCTGAAGAAGAAGACGATTTCACCTGCGCACTTTGCTCCAGAATCGATCTCGAGCAAAACGAGGGCAATATGTGTTGATGTTGCATTGCTGTCGCACTCAAAATTGGTGCGAGAAGGCTCCGGAGAAGAAGGAGGATGCACATCAGTGGTACGACCCTGAGCCGTGAGCCCGGATCTAGCCGTCAATGCGCTTCCACGGCCAACCTTGCAAACCACGCTCGCAACGAGCGTTGTCAAGTGTTCATTGCGTTTCGCTTCCTTTTGCGTCTCAAAATCACCCCAGCATCGTACTTCCCTCACGTTTTCGATCACTTTCAACCCCATCACACACACACACAGCATCACATGTTCACTCATCGTTCTTTACAACACGGAAACCCAACTTGTTCCCCCTGCGCCTGCTCTAATCCTCGAAATCCTGCGGGTTCTCAAAGTAATACTGGACCGCCATCTCGACGTTCTTGCCGCACATGAAGTAGCTCTCGATCGCCTTTGCCTCGGGGATGCCCATGGCGACAATCTGCTCGACGCTGGTGCGATCCGCGTCGTCGAGCTCTGCCAACGTCGGCAGCTCCATCTCCTCTCCAGCGCCGGCAGCAGCTCCACCGGCGAGCAGCGAGAGCACGCCCTGCGGATCGTTGTTCATGGCTTCGGCGAGCTGCGGGTTGGACTGGGCGATGGCCTGCACCAGAGGTTGGAGCGCCGCCGGGTTCTGCTGAACGAGCTGTTGCAACTGCGCTAGCATGGCCGGGTTTCCGAGGTCGATGACTTGTTCGCCGCTACCGTCGTCTTCGCCTAGCAAGCTGGCTGCTCCACCTGCACCTGCTCCAGCACCAGCCGCACCGCCGCGTGCACCACCGCCAATGGTTCCACCACTGCGCCCTGCCTGCTGCGCAGCGGCCGCAGCCTCGAACAGGTTGCCCGACCTTCCTGCGGGACTCGGCGTCGCTGGTGTAGCTGGAACCCTGGCAGCAGCACCGGCACCAGCAGCGGGTGCAGCAGGAGTAGCAGGTGCTGCCGCTCCGCCAGCGGCGGCTGGGGTTTGCTGACCTTCACTGGAAGCGGCTTGTGGAGGAGGATTCGTAAGATGTTCAGGGATGCCCGTCATGAGGTACTCTACGGCGCGGTCTGGGTTGTTGAAAGCGGCTCGCATAGCTCGTTGCACCTGATCGCGCTCGAAGCCCATTTCCATCATGCTCTGCATGGCGGATTCGAGCACACCTCCGGTCAAGAAGCTGCCCGAGGTACCTGATGGCTGCTGAGATTCGGTGGTAGAGGATGCTGTGGCGGATTCGGTCGTGGTTGGTGCAGTGGCGGTGCTGGATGGATCCGCGGTGGATGCGGCAGGCGCCTCGGACTTGGTCGCGTCCGCAGCAGCAGCGGGAGGTGCAGCAGCTTCGGCAGGCTTGTCAGCAACAGTGACGGCGGCTGAGCTGGACGCAGCAGGTGTAGCAGGTGCAGCAGCAGCCGGCTTGGGCGCCTTTGGCTTGGACACCATCACCACGAGGAAATCCTTCTCTTTGATATTGCAGTCGGCTACGGTCTTGTCATCGGTCAGGATCTTGCCCGAAAAGATGATCTTTTGAAGCTCGGGTGCGTGGCCTTGCTCCTTTTGGATCTTGGACTTGATGGTTCCGATGGTGTCGGTGAGCTCGGCGTCGAGGTGGAAGTTGCCACCGGCTAGGGACTTGATGAGGATCTTCATGGTGAATGGTATCAGCGGATCGGCAGGCTGTGGTGAGGGTGGTGTTTTCGACGTTGCTTCTGATTGTTGGTGTGTGATCTGCCTCCTCGATGGTGATGATATTGCGTCGGAAGCGACGATATAGACTATGGTGGCGAAATGCAAGAATGATGCTTCTCGACAATGCTTTGAACCGACTCAGCTGAAACAAGCAGACAGTGTGTCAATAATGTCTTCTGAAGCGGCTTCCAGAGCAGCAGAGTGGAGGTTGGGCCGTGAGAAAAAAGATACGCGTCAACCAACTTGGCTCCTGGCTCGCTCAATTTCAAATCCGACGCATGCATGAGTCCAATTCAAAACAATGCTAAAGCCAGCATAATTTGAATTTGGAGCCACTCAGATTTCAAATGTGACTTGGCAGAGAAAGCAATGGCCGAGTCTCAGCTTCGGCCTCACTGTGTGACACGCACCCAACCCGATCACGTCGCTACCATGACTGTCACTTCCGAATCAGACCAATACATCGCTTTGTTCCCGACGCTCTCATTTTCGGATCAGACAAGGCTGGCTCTCAAAGGTCTCGAATCGTCCGGTGCATGGGATAGCAACCGCGCGTAAATCGATTGTTTTCAAGCAGTCACGGACGCTGATCAAGTACTGAGGGTGTGTGAGTCAACAGTGTTCGAAGAAAAGGCGCAAGGGCAAGCACACGAGCTGCCGAAACGATCGGGAGCAGGACATGGAGTGGAAGAGAAAACAGAAGGCATAGGGATAGAGACATACGAACATAGAGGGGGTCGTTTTGCTGGAAAAAGCCCGCGGCGCAGACGTCCAGGAAGCAGTGGATCGGTCAGCAGTGCATGAACGCATCGCCAACCGAATCGACAGGCTCGAGAGACGGTGCCGCTTGACTTTGCAGCAAGGGAGAAGAACGAGAGCCAAGGAGAGGAAAGGCAAAGCTAAGCTAAAGATACAGTTTGAGGGGGAAAGGAGACTACCATGATCGAATGGGAAGCGGCTTGAGAAAGACGGAGCATAGGAACGCAAGCAGAGGAGCAGGGGGGGCGTGGGAGACAAATGACACTGGCGCTGCCGAGCGATCATCTCCCGTCCGCATCTCCCACATCAGGAAGAAGGGAGGGCAGCGAGATGCACCCTTTCGAAGATGATGGTACATCGTGCATCGGTCGACATCCGAACGGTCCGATCGCGGATCCAGCCGACGGACGGAAGAAGACGACGTGGACCAATTTGACTTCGCGGTGCATACTCTTGTTGAGTATCTAGATCGGAGACGGAGCAGCGACGTCCTTCAAGCGAGCTTGAGGAAGTAGGCGCTTCGCGCACCTTCCTCCTTGGAGTGCTGCAAACGAACAAGCTTGTTGGCGCCGATCGTAACCGGGCTGAGCGTGTAGCTTCCTGGGAAGTCCTGCGAATCGCCGGCAGGCTGACCGAGGAAGTTGATGTAGTACATGAACTTGTCCGCCTCAGCAGCGGGCTGCTTGGTCAGGCTCCAGAACTGCAGCAGCTGACCCGAGTCGTCCGAAGGCTCGCACTTGGCAGCGATCAGACGACCGTCCTTGTGGGCGAGCTTGTCAGCCGAGACGCAACGCTTGCCGACCAGGTGGGCGGGTTGCAGACGACCGTACGTCACCTCGGCAGCCTTGTTGGCTTCGGGCTGGTATCCCATGAACGAACTCGTGCAAGGAGTGAAAGCGAAGTTCTCGAAACGCGACGGCTGTCCGGCCTTCTGAACATCGAGCTGCTGGTAACCGTCCTCGTTTCGAATGCCTTCAAAGGCGGCGGTCACTTCGCGACCGGTGTTGGAAAACATCCTGAGCTGACCAATGTAGATGGGGTTTTCGTCACATTGAAGGACGGGCACCTCACGCTCCTCGAATGCGACGGGTTGGGCGAGATCGTAGTTGTCCAAAACTCGGGGGAGCACCGAAGCAGAGGCACTGCCGATGGCCACGAGAGCCGTGATGGTGGTAGCTGTGCTGAAACGCATTTTAGAACAGAGCTTTGTCGGAGAGGATGTATTTGCGAGAGGAAAGAAGAGAGCTTGAACAACGAAGCAATCCTATATAGACGGATCGAAGCGTGTATAGGGAGGCGCGGATGAGGTCAACGCAGACTGTAGCTTTATGAAGACTGCACAATGGGCAAGATGCGGGTTGTCGAGAAAAGCTTGAGACCGGAAGTAGCGCGTGCGTGTAGGATGTGTGTGTGGATTGTTCCGTGATGAGCTTAGAGTGCAAATTCGAAGGAACGACAAGGTACTTATGCGAACGGATAAGAGGTTGTTGCAGGGCACAGTTTGGTGGGGAAACGCAAGCCAGAGAAGAGAGTGTTCTTAGTTGGAGTTAAAAGAGAGTGTAAGAGGCGTAAGCCGTTCGAGTGTTGGTGGGACAGGTGAAGGGGAAAAGGGGGACTGGAGATGAGAGGACGAGATGATGGAGAGAAAGAGAGAGAGAGAGATAGTCAAGTATGGAAGGGTTCAAAAGAAGAGATCAAGAGACCGCTTATGCAAAGAGTATATGTATAGATGCGCGAAGTGCTAGCGACGGGCAGAGTGAGGTTGAAGCGGTAAGGCCTGGAGGCGAGACTGACTGTTCAAGACTGACAGGCGGCAGCGTCGGCGGTACATGGCGTCGTTGTCGCCTTCGTCAATCCTCAGAAACAAACACACGCACAGACGTTCGATCAAGCCGAGGGGAGTGTGGAGCAGACAGAGCGGACACGGTGCATTGCGAGCAAACTGCGCGGAGAGCAAGGGCAAGCGGCTGGAAAGCTTCAAGGCTCGGAGGGAAGCTGCAGTCCGGATCGTCATTGCATTGCAGATCTGCACATGGCTGCAACACGCACACTTGGACGGACGCGAGTGTGTGCCGAGGCGGACGACGCCTGTCAGAGCGGCAAGTCAGGCTCCGACCAACTTTCTCCAGCCGGCTTCTCGACGCTGCAGCGTGAACAGCGAAGCCGAAAGGCTAGGCTATACCTATGAGGTGCATTCTTTCAGACGCAGACCAGTACCATTCGCCAGCGAAGCGGTCCACCTAAGCCAGCATTGCCTGCACGTTTCGAGATAGCAGCGGATGCTGTCAATTAAGAGGAATGGCTTTCGCAGATGCCATGGGCAGGGCGATTCACAAAATGGAGTTGCGTGGCGTGGAAGTGCATGACTTAGGGCGTGTCCAATGCACGCTAGCCGAGGCGAGGGCATGCAACTTGCCTGCTTTGGAAGCATCTTCTTCCGTTTCGGAAGGTCGCATCTCGAGATGCTCGCAGACCAAGCGCTTGCCTTCCACTCGATGTCAGGAATTGCTTGTCATCATCCTCACTTGGCTATGCTGCAAGCAAGGTTCAATGCAACGACAAGAGGCTCTAGAAGAGCTGTCGGCGACTCCGACGCTGTGGAGGCTGCATCACAGACATGCACGTCGGCGGCAGCGGCGATCAAGATTCGAGTCTAAGCTAAATCCTCGTGGTCTCTAGACAGAGGCTCGACTTGCTAGCATTCCACCGTTCAGGTGCTCGGGAATGCTGCGCTGCAAATCACTGCTGGCATCTCAGGTGGAAAAAAGGCGGAAAAGCTTTGGAATTCCAACGCTGGCTTCAGGGTCCAATGTGGCGACACAGTGATTCCAAGCGCGTTCGCGTTCGATGTTGGACGTCCGACTCGGCGTGAGCATGCATCCAACTCCGAGTGACACCCCGAGCGCTGCCGTGATGCCGCTCGCTCTGTCTCTCTCTTCTCACGTCTCTCAAGCATCGTGTCCATCGCCCCGCATCGTCGATCCTTCGCCAATACGGCATCGGAAACGAATCAAGAACTGTTACATCGTGGAAGAGCTAGTGCGATGTGCCAGTGCAGGATCTAACATTTTTGTTCCCGTGGTCGGCAGAAAAGAAGAAGTGGTTGCTGAATTGCGGGCAACATGACGTAGCCTCGGAAGACGCCGACATTTGTTGCTTCTCCGCACGGCCATTCGCAATTCTTGGCTCGATCTTCTTACGTCCTCGTAGCGGCTCGCACCTCGTGGCTCGAGTCGAAAGGCATGAGAGGATATCTGTTCTGATCCATCGGCGGCCGTGATACAGTAGATTCGAGAACGAAACAATTAGAAGCGTCGAAGAGAACAGGCTCGAGGTGCTAAGCAACGAGATAGCCTCCACACGTTTGGTGGCATGACCCTGATACGTTTGATCGTCACCTAGCAGGAACGAAAATGCAAAATTGCACAGCCTTGTAGAAGGTCGTAGCAGGCGGAATGGCCGAAAGAGAGTCGGCCCGCTTCCCGAATGAGAGACGAAGCACATGTTCGTGACGCCGTGTCGACAGTGTCTCTGAACAAAGATGATTCGTGCGTGCCGCCGGTGCAAAGGCACCGTGACCTCATTCGAGACGTAGGCAATGGTCCAACGTCCGTGCGCTCCACTTTGCTTCTAACCCGCTCGTCTCGTCTCGATAGAATACAATAAGAACGTCAACACCTTCTGCCTCTCCACCATTTTCCACTGTCATACGCAAACAGCAACGCCTTTCCCGACATCCATCGAACAACTCGACGACACGCCTTACTCGAAAATGGAGAACTCGAAGCGCGACGAAGCGGTGGACGCCATCTCCTCGCCCTCCAATCCAGCTCACTGGTACGCCTATGCCTCATCGGCCTTCCTCATCTCGCTCTCCCTGCCTCTGCTCCTGTTTCCACGCCTCTTGCTGCTGCTCTCGACGCCACGCGGCGCCGTCGGTCAACCCACCAACGCGTCCACCAATCAGGACGCCATCTCGGCCATCGGCCCCGAACTCACCCCGCTCGAACGCTACGGCTCGCACACCAACGCCATCTCGATGCTAGCCATGTCCGCTCTCATCCTCGTCCTCTCCGGCGCCATCCCCGTCACCACCGCTCCCATGCCGGACTCGAGCTCCGCGGGCAAATCACCCTTCCGAATCCCCACCGTCGTCATCACAGCCGTGTACTTTGCCGTCAACGCTTTCACCGCTTGGAGCGCCGCAGGCGCGTCCCAGTCCAAGGGAAAGACCATCGACCCCGCAGAGCTCGGCATCGGAACGTTTGGTAAAGTCGTGGGGCTGGCTCATGCTGCATTCGCATTTTGGGGTTTGGGCGTGTGGATGTTTGGAAATGATCTGACGAGGAACAGGAAGAAGGCGGGTGACCAGTCGGCGAAGGATAAGAGCGTCAGTGGGTTCCCCTTCAAGAACCAGTACGCGACCGAGGAGAAGAGGAAGAAGTCGACTTGAGCGCCCGTAGCAAGCTCGACTTTGGATTGCCAGTCATTCTGCGTCATTCGCAGCTTTGTCCATGATCGTTTCCACGCAATGCTAGTTGATCAAGACACGTTTTCGTTTGACTGTCTGTGGCTGCGTTAGAAATACACGGAGACGTCAGGTTGAAGCTACGAGATCGCAACATCACGTCTCTGCGCCCGGAACGTCGTCATGAACCGCCCCTCTCCTAAGCCTTGACCTTCTTCTCCCCGTTCGTCGTCGCCCCTCCCTCCGCCTTCCTCTTCTTCTCGCCGTCCCCATCCACACTCAACCCAAACCTCTCGGCCCTCCTCCTCGCCTTCTCCTTCTCCTCCTCCACCCTCTTCAACCTCTCCTGCTTCTCTTCCTCGCTCTCCTGAGCCTTCTTCACTTCTGTCCTCTCGCTCCGCTGCTTCCTCTCTTTCAAAGGTTTCGCACCGAGTGGCTGTGCAAGCTTCGCCACGCCAGCTGCGTCCTCTGCATCCAGCCCGAACTTGATCGCCCTCTCGAGTTTCTGCTCTGCTTCACCCAGAGGTTGACCGAACTTGGCTGCGCGAGCTTTGCGTTTCTCCAGTTCGACGATGAGCGCTTGACGACGGGTTTCTTCGCTTTCGCTTGCAGAGGTCGTGTTGTAGGAGTCCTCGGGTGCTGGTGTGGGTTCTGCTGCTTGCGTCGGTGCTGCTGCTGCTGCTGGCGCTGGTGCTGCTGCTGTCGGCGCCGGTGCTGCGACAGGTGCGCTCTCAGCCGCAGCTCCTCCATCCAACGATGCAGTGGCACCCGGATTCTCCAACAACCTCTGAATCAAATCCGGCTTGTTCCCCGATACAGCCAGTCCAGCCGAAGTCAGCAACGACTTCAGCTCTGCCACTTTCAACGATTGGAGTTTCGACTCCATCTTTTCGTCTGTTCTTGTAAGGGCGATCGAATCGACGGGTATGTGGCTCGACCAAGCTGGCAATAGCTGCGAGGAAAGAGAATGCGGTGCGTTTGCTGAGGAGAGGGTAAGCGTTTGGCAATACGTTCGCCGGAAGAAACGGTGTCGGTAGTCGAGAGTGTGGATGCAGGGGAACGAGTCGGAAGGAAGACACGAAGACGTCAACCAGCGCGACTTTGCGCCGCCCTCCGCACTTTACGCACGGACAAATAGCGCGTTTTCACTGTGTCGATCAGCGGAGTCATATCGGGCACCCGATCGACCTATCCATAACTCTTCAACATAGCGTATCCTCATATGTTCTGACTCTCTCTCCCGTGCTCCTTGAACCGAGGATGCATTCCACTGAGAACGATACAAACAGCAAACGAACCCACTGGTCTCCCGCCACAGCTCCACCTAGCCTCCCAAGGCAACCTCAATACATCCTCCCAGTTCTGCCCTAGGCTCCACCAGTTCCGGATTGAAATACTCGATCAGCTCCCTGAACAGCCTCGTCCTCTCCACATACAACGCCCCTGGCCTCCCCTCATCCTCTCTCACGTGTACCGTCGGTAGCATCCTCGCAGCGGCTACCTTCCTGGTTCGATGCTGCAGCACCTGAGAAGCGGATAGCATCATTTCGGATCCTGCATCGTCTCCGCTCATGAGCGAGGAGACCGAGCTGGCGAGGTCGGTTTCGTCCGTCTCGGCCTCTTCGCGTGTGCGCTTGGATCCTGCTGCTCCGCTCCAGCTGTCTGCACCTGTCATGGCCGCATTCGGGTTGAGGGGAGATGATCCGACCCCACCGGCGCTGCCACCGCCCAGGCTGACACGATCGGCCGCGACAAGCGTCTCGTCTGCCGCTGCGCTGACATCGCCCGTCAAAGCAGCCATGCGTCCAGCAGACGTACTGTTGCCGCCACTACCCGTTTCAGCGTTCAGCAGATGCGACATGAGTCGGCGGAAGAGTCGTGATTCCGCTTCGTCCGAATGATCCACCACCGCTCCCACTTCCGTCTGCAGATACATGAGCGCTTCCAACCCTAGACGCGGTCCACCATCCAAAGCAAACCCTGATGTAGTCGGCACTGCAGCAGGCGGTGGCGATGAAGATGCTACGGCGCCAGTCACGTCCTCGTCCGAGTCGTTCATCACCGGCGCAAGGTTGCGTGTCATCTCGAGGAAACGCTGTCGTCTGACCCTGAACTTAGCCCTGCGCAGAATCTCGCCAGGCGTAGGTCGCAGCAAGGTCAAACGCCAAAAGTCGTCGAGGCGGTATGACCGATCGGACGCATCTTCCGGATTGCCGCCGTGCAGATAGTAGACTTTCTTTCGATCGTCAAACACCAGCTGTGCAGCGTACCGCGGCTGTGGCTCTGTCGCCTGCGGTGCATTCCCCGCTCCCTGTCCGGTTCCAATTCTTGCACGGTTTGCATGAGTCATTGATGGGCTGGAAGCACTGAGGACGGCTGTGGTAGCGTGCGACGAGGCTCCGCCGAGAGGCTCTGGCGTGTTGGCTCCTGCATAGGCGGTCCAACTGTTCGCGGGTGGCTCGATGGGCATCTCCTCGTCGTCGGTGTTCATCTCGTCCGAGTAGCTTGGCAAAGCCTGCAGCGGACCCGACTCGGGCACTTCCTCTCCCTCCAGCTCGCCATCCACATCCAGCGCGTCCGAAGTGCCGAGCAAGCTGTCATCGCCACCGTGCAGCCCGAGCCCAGGAACACTGGGACCACTGATGGCCTCCGACGCAAATTCGGACTGCTTGCCGCCTTCGTACTGATACACCTTTCTCCACGAGGATCGGGGGATGCTGTAGATCCAAAAAGCGCTCCTCTTGCGCTCGTTGCGACCGCCAATGAGACCGATGAAGACACTGATTTCTCGCGCAGCCACATCGATCGTGGCGCGTTGTGTGAAAGCAGCCTCGGGACCGTTCTGGGCTGTGTTGCGCGACACTTCGCGAACCGCTCCCGTAGCCAGGTTGTACGTATACATGTCGGCCAAGAAGGTCGCGGAGGCTCCGCGCTGACCTCCGAGAATCCAAATCTGCCGCGTGTGCGACGGCGAGATGCCGGATGCGCCTGGCCGACCGCTATCGAGCAGCATACTGTGGCCGGACCTGCTGAGAATTTTGGCGCCATTGGAAGTGCGATCGTCAAAGAGGAAGGTCCAGCTGCGTTGGATGATGTCGTAGCGCCACATGCCGCTAAATTCAAACTTGGCCGGGTCCGGATCGGTGACGCGACCACCAAAGACGTACATCATCTGGTTCTGTGCATCAATGACGAGGCCGTGGTCGAAGATTAGCTTGGGGCCTCCATCGGCGTACGTGTCGGCGCTTAACCTCTCCCACCTCTCGGCGCGAGTCGAGAAACGGAAAAAGTCGGCTTCGCGACCAGGTGGGGATGAGAGCGAGGGAGGTCTCTGCTGCGAATCCGAGCGGACGCTGCTCTGAAGACGCGAGGAAGCTCTCGGCGATCTTCCGATCGAGTCGGCAAGAGCGCCGCCCATGAGGAGAGGAGAGGCTTCGGAATTGGAAGCTGGCGCCGGCGTCGAACCGCGGGAGCCTGTTGCGCCTGTGGTCGATATCGCGCGCGCTGCCGGGGACTGCCCGCCTACGCCAGCGCCCTCCATTCCGACATCGTCTGTCTGCGAGGAGCTGTCGGCCAGGATCATGTGAATGTCGCGAGCGATGGATTCTGGGTAGCGCGCAAGGAAATTGGCGCGGGTGGTGCGTGCTGTAGATGAGGAGGGCGTCACGGGAAGCGCAGCCAAGGAGGAAGCGGCGCCGGCGGAGCGAGCAACGTGAGCCATCGAGTCGGCTGGGACGGCTTCGGAGTGATGTGCGCTGTCGTAGTCGATGTAGCGGCCGAGAAGGTAGATGCAGCCGCTCTTCTCGTCCAGGCACATCTTGTGGCAGCTTCGCGGGCTGGGACCGCCTTGAAGTTGTGTATCTGCGGAGATCAAGCGCCATCGGTTGTCGCTGACGTGGTACGCCCACAAATCCGAGAGGTCACGCTGGCCATCCCATCCACCAAAGAGATAAGCGATGCCCTTGTCCGCGTCAAACACCATGGCATGACCGCCTCTGCCTGAGGGAGCCGTGGCAGCCGGTTTAGGTGCGCTGGCGGCGCTGTTGGTGGCATTGCTCGGAAGGACCGATGGATGGATCTGGGACCAGCTTGCTTTGGGGATCTGGCGAGAGATGTAGGAGGAGAACATGCACTTTTGCCAGGGTTGCGTCCAGACTCCGCTGCGGGAGAGGCTTGCGATGGAAGCGGACGCAACACCGATACTACCTCCTGGCGACATGGGCGTAGTCGAGCCGCTGTTGGCGGGATCGACGAGGTCGCCGTAGGCAGCACGGTTTAGACAGAGCTCGACCTCGTCCCAGCTGCCGCGGCGGACGAGCGCGTCAAAGAGGGTGGTGAGCAGTGGATGTTCAAAGGGACGATAGGGGCTGTAAGGGAGCAACTTGGGCTGTTGCTTTGGCGCTTCACCTGAGGGAGGAGGGGCGAGGCGAGAAGATTGGAGCAAGGCTTGGAACGCCGTGTGATGACCGTGCTCTCGAAGATGTTTGAGGATCAAGCGTGTCGCGGTGGATTCTCGATGCTGCTCGTAGCTGCGTGCGACGCGAGAGACTAGAGCGGGTTCGCTGACACCTGCGAGCGCCACGTGCCAGATGGAAAAGTTGTAGTTGGGCGTGTGTGCGGCAAGCGGCACGATCTTGACATAGCGAATGGCAAAGGGGACGGCGTTGCCCGTATTGACGAGTGCGGTGGTGGCAGAGCGACGATCTGGCTCGCCGTCTGCCGGAAGGAAGGTGGAGGCTTCGATGGAGGAGCCGGAGCCAGAGCCTGTGGCTGCATCCTCGAGCCAGCGCAGCTCGAAGGTCTCGGGGACGGCGTCGTTCTTGAGTCCGCCGCGGAGTAGACGCTTGCTGGCTGGCGGACGACCATTGACGGAGGAAGAGGGCAAGAGGCTGTCGATGCTGGTGGCGCCGTAGACCTTGAAGTCGCGCAGATTGCAGGGATGAGGCTTGTGGTACTTGCCAAACGTGATGGAGCGCACGATGCTGAGCTTGTCAAGCTTGAGGATGATGTACTGCTTCTGCGATTGGCCGTTCGGGGTACCACTCGCCACGGGCGCGTTGGGCGTCCTGCGACTGGAAGCGGATGGGCCTCCGGCGAGGGTGGCAGCTGAAGAAGAAGGCGAAGATGCGTTGCTGGAGGATGAGGGAGGCACGAGATTGTTTGTGGAAGCGAGCGCGGGATTGGACGAGTTGGTGAGGTAGCTGGATGGATTGACGCCCATGCCTGTGCCGGTGGACGAGGTTGCGGCGTTGGAAGCGGAATTGACAGCATGCTGGGAGGAGCCGGACCAGCGGGAGTACATCTCGTGCGGGCGATTGTGCAGGATGTTGCTGGGATGGTAGGTGCCTGACCACGAGGAAGCCTGGGCGATGGTGTACCTGAGAGGTGCGTTGGCCGAGCTGAGCAGCTGCTGCAGCGGAGCCACACCATTGCTGGTGTCTTTCGCCGCTCCAGCAGACGTCATGTCGGTATCCCGAGCAGTGTTGTGAGTAGGTACGGAGAAGCGAAGCAAGATGCAAGGTGCGATATGGAGCTGCCTGAGAGATGGTGATCTGTAGGGAAGGTCGAAGACGCGCAGACGGCGAGGAATACCGTGCCTGCTCCTCAGTGCCGCTTGAAGTGATGGTGGCGGCGTCGTAGAACGACAAGGCCGGCGAGTCGAGGAGGGACGTGGCGAACGAGGTGGTGGTCGGTGCGAGCGTAGGGTGCAGGAGCAACACGCATCGGCGTCGCCGATTGCAGCTCGAAGCGGTCCAGGTCCGAGACCGGAGAAACGGATGTGCCGCCAATTTTCCGGCTTCAGTCACAGGCGCCAACTTGGAATCAGTATGCCTGCATTTGTTGCGTTCACATTCTACCCCTTCTTCTCTGTCTCTCGTTGATTCCCTCGCGCCATCGACACACACGGAGTGCTCAACACAACACAACACACCCCTGCTGGCGGGTCTGTGCTGGTGTAGCTTGTGCTCCACAAGACTTCGTGCCAACCCTGCAATCGATGCGTGTAGCAGCATGTGGAGCGGAAAAGGACGAAACGACGCGTGTCAGGCGTTGTTGGCTCGCTGCAGCGCCACCTAGAATATCGCCGCCAGGGTCCTTTTGCTGCATGCAGATCAGCTGTCGCCCGTTGGCGTCAGGGACCATGCCTACAGTGTCGTTGGTTGGATTTGGTTCACGATGAATCTGATTGCTGACTCGGCAGCAAGCGCAAGCTATGCTGCTTTCACTCCAGCTCGAAGCTTGGCATCATTGCCATGCCAAAGGTGAGGTCAGCACTGGGCGCTTTCTGGTTCAGGTACTCGACGCCTTCGACCCTTTAGTCCAACCCGAGTTCGTGGAAAGGAAGGATAAAATCAATTCAGCAAGAGAATCGAGGTACGAAAAAAGATGCCACGAGCGCGACCCTAAATTGCGGGGACTGAACGAGCCATGGACATGAAATCGGGTAGATCGTGATACATAGTGGTGATAGCGATCGCAATTCTCGCTGTTTGGCGGGTCACGTCATAGACTGACCCCACACGAGAAGAATTCACCGGTGCGCAATTTCATCGGAATACGGATGCTCCGACGCTCATCTGACTAGGGCCAGTTCCAGTCAGTTCTGACTGGCGACGATGCTGCGGTCCTTCAGCTAGCACCGTGTTGCAGACGATCATCGGCGTGCATGAGCGATCGGGACGAGGGCTTGACGGGGAGACGGTACACAGGTAGAGGCGTACGAGCTTATCTTTCGTTGCGGGCATGCAACCAGACGGCTTCGGTCGAGGAGAGCCGACGCATCGAGCGGTCGGAAGTGAGCCCACCATCTGATAAGCGACACTAGGAGCATCGTCTGACAAAGATGAAGGACGTCCCTGTTCGAGCTGGACTCATTTCCATGGCTGCAGCTTTTTCGACGTGATAACTTACCTGAAACGTCAAGCGTTGGTCTTTTGCCTTAGCGATCGGCTCTTGCTCCGCCCGCCTCTTACCAGAGTCACAGCGGAAGCGTCAGAGCCTGGGCACTGAGGCGACGAGTCAACGAGATCTTGTTGCTAGATCGACAGCCTCGTCCGTCTCGGGCTCCACTTTCTCTCTTTGATTGTGATTGTTTTGGCTAGCTCGCCTCGGCTGTGGCGAGACGAAGATCGTATGAGAGCTCCGATCCAGGACATTGGTGTACAACAGTGTGTGCGGTGGAGCTGCAGTGTGACTCTCTTTCTGTCGGTGATGTTTAAATTTGTCGTGACACACCCCGTACTTACTATTTTTCTATTTTTGAATTTCCTCGCAACTTGGAGTGGATGCAGCAGCCGAGTGACGCAGTCGGCGTCTTGGATTCAATCTTCTTGAGCTTGATCATGTCTCTCTGCAGGTGCACCCTACACTTTGCGGAGAGCAATTCCGCAAGCAAAGGATCGACAGCCGATACAGCACAACGTGAAATCTCGGCGTCTGCATCTAGACGGTAATGCCGACTTACGAAGCAGCGTCACACGCTTTATTTTTGGCTCACCATGAAAGTCACTCTGCTTCATCGGTCATTCACAAGTGTCACACCGCCATACTCCGCATGAGCCAGTCGTGAGTGTCGCATCGCGCAGTACCGTTGCAGCCGTCCTTGCAACCACCAGCATTGGAACCGCCTTCATCGGTCTGCTTTGCCATCCTCGCGTCAAACGCTACAATACGACTCGGTTCCACTTCCGTCTCCGTCTACAAGACTGCCATCGTCGGTTCACAGCCTATATCTGATCAGCGTAGCCTCACAGATCGGCACCCCGTTGTCCCGCTGCTTTTCTCGTCGACCACCGACGCACCCAGTCTCACCCACCTACAACCAATATCCTCGCACTCGATGAACAAGTGGACGGCTCAGACGACATCATCCTAGATGGTTCCAGCATAATTTCGACCATGCTTCCACACGGACGAGACGGCCATTCCAACGCTCCCTCTTCGGGCCACCGTCCTGTCTCGGATAAGGAGGAGATCGCAAGAGCCGCTCTTCGTTCTCTTGCAGAGCCCACCGCTGGCGCAACGTCCGACGAGCCACTGCCTTCCAATCCGGGCCCTTCTCGCATCTCCGAGCGTCCGCTACCTCCTCCATCGCGGCTTTCCTATCCACCAGCTTCTGGTTCAGCGAGCCGCTCCTCCTTTCAAACGATTCACCCCCACGAGGCTCGTCTCTCCTTCGCAGACCCCCATGCTACTTGGAGCAGAAGTATCGGCCGCGACGACCACCTTGCCACGGCCAGAGACGGCAGCGACTCGTCCTTCTTCCGGGATCAGAGCCTCAACGCATCACCAGAGTCGTCTCCAAGATTGCGCGCATCGTCCGCACGTCATCCGGTTCCACAGCCGCATCCGCAGGGCAGACGTAGCTTGCCTTCCGGCCCCATTTCGGATCAGGTGCATGAAGCGGCTCTGCGTCGCGCCTCTTGGGCACTCCGCCTCGACTACGAGGATGTGAGACACATCGTGCACCGCACCGCTCGCCCTCACACCGGCAACGAATCGGCCTATGAGCGCCAAGTCCTCGACGCCTACCGTTTTGAGGCAGAACGAGCATCGCAGCCATCCGCTTCTTACCAATCGCGCGCCACCGACACTTCCCACGCAAGCGTCGATGTACATCCCACCGAAAGGCAAGTCGCGTCTTCTGGCATGGTCTGGTCCGCAACTGCCCGCAGAGCCGCCCCACCGGCGCCTTCAACCCCCTTTAGCCCGAACTCGGATCGCAGTAGCCTCGTCGCCTGGGGCACCAGACCCACCACTAGACTTCCTACGTTTCAGCCTAGACTTGTCGAATCAACTTTTCAACAGACACCGTACCACGGTCCAGCCATTGCCACTTGCGCGACATCAACAGCTGATGTGTCGTCCCTGCACAGACCACCGTCGCCTTCACCTTTCGCATATGATGCCTATCGCAGGACGTCTCATCCTGTCGCGTCCAGATCCGAATTGGCACCTCCACACTCCATCGGCTCATCCAGGGCAAGCATCGGCTCATTCGACCAAGTCGCTCAAAGGCATCCGATCGACCAGGACCTTGATGCTAGTCGCCGTACTCGACAGCCCTATCCAACGCATGTGGGACCGCCGCGTTTGGCCCATGATGCTGCATACGAGCACCACTTTGCGCCAAAAGATACCTATGCTGAACATCCAGCCCAGCCCTATCCGCAACGATCTCGCCAACGCCGCGGATCCATGATCGGCCAACCTGAAGCAGCCCCGGGCCCTCTCGACCAACACGACGATCGCCTGCTGGACCATAGCACCAGAACCACTTTCGTGCAGTCCTATCAGACATACCCCACCCAACCTTCTCGGCCGCTGATTCATCCTTCTGCCATCCAAACAGCAACCGCACCCATCGAATCGCCTCAGCTCTCTCCCACTACGCCCGAACACCATCGCTTTCAGCATCTCTCGGCGCTCCGTTCGCCCGCTGCAGAGACTGCGGCATCCGTTGCGTCGTCCTCTACCGCATCCATCGCAGCGTTTTCGCCTTCACCTCTCCTCGGCGCTGCCTCGGCGGTGCTGGCCGGTTCGCGCAGTGAAGCGCGTCCAGGTGAGCTCGATGCGGACAGCGATGCTGTGAACTCGGTCCGCGCCGCGTCAGAAGACACAGCATCCGAGTCGACTCGTGCGCGGGTCGCCAGCATGCATCTTGACGACGGCAAGGCTCAAGACGCTCCAAAGCCGACGTTGAGCAAATCGCAATCTCTGCGGTCCTCCTTCTCTCATGCCGATCGTCGCTCTACCTCCTTTCTCGCCACCGATCTTTCTCATTCGCAGATCATGCAGAAGCTTCAAGACAAGGTCAAAAGTCGACTCGCTGCAAAAGGCAAAGCCGCTTTTGCCTCTGAAAGGTCGAGCGGCAACAGCCACAAGGGACGGAAGGCGCTCGCGTCCAGCACTCCGGCTGACGGCGACAGCGGCGTTGGCAGCACCAGTGGCAGCAAGAAGATCGGTCTCGGTAGGGCTGGCTCTGCCAAGCGTTCGGCATCAAATATTTCCAAGTCTGATCCGATCGGAAGCGTTGCATCAAACGCTGCAAAGTCGCAAGACGTCGATTCCAATAGTCCGCCTCGGACCACGACTACGGCGGAGAAGTCGGCATCCGATAAATCTGCAGCACCGCGTGCCGGCCTTCCTGCTGCCAAGGTGAGACGCACCTCGACTGCGAGTCAGCAAAAGCCGGATCCAAAGCCACCCGCAATTCCAACTGCAAAGAGCGACGGTCCGCCTCCCACCATCGAGGCAGCCTTGTTGGCGGCACCTCCCAAGCCACCATCGCCGCCACAGAGGGACAACGACACGCCCAACTCGATCGAGGCAGCGCTCCTCTCGCCTACAGATGGTCCCACGCCTACGGAGGCCGCCGCCCAGCATGCTCAGCGTTTGTCCAGATCGCCATTGCCGCCTGAGAATGCGGTCGAGTCGGCTTCGGGACAGGCCGTGCCTAGCACTCTACCTGCGGCCGGTCAGATGATGGCTGCATCGGCGACCAAGCAGCAGACTTCCAAGGCGGGCGCCGATTCGCTCATCCAGGCGGCACAGAGCGACGATCCGACCGAGAACACTTCGGCTATCGCCTGAGTTGGAAAGGGTGTTTGGGATCGGTGCTTTGCGGCATGCTCTCCGGGCTCGCTCGGATGCGGTCATACGGGAGTGCTCCAGCTCACAACTTTATTCAAGTCGCTCAAGTCAGTGGTTTGACATCTCTGATGCACCTCCATTCCGCTTCCGCTTTCGTTTGCCTTTTGACCACCCTCATACTTTTATTTAGCTTCAATTATCAAGTTCGCGCATTGTTTTTTGGTTTCATCCGCCTTGCATCGTCGTTTCATCGCATCATGTCTTGTAATTTTATCGCCTGCTTTTTTCTTTGATGCATCTTACGAACTGCAATTCGTTCATCTGGGAGCTGTGACGACTGCAATGAAATCTCTCTACAACGCGGGGCTCGAAGCATGATGATGAAAGCGGACGGCGTGGTTATTGAGTTAGGCGAAAAGGTGAACTGGTGGATTGGGGTGGCACACCGGAAGAGATGTGTCGGGTCTTCAGATTCAATAGCGCCCTGACCGCACTTCCGTGGTGACAACGTAGCTAGAGCCACTTCAAGCTCAAGCCTCAGCCACTATGATTCGCTTCTGTTGTGTTCCACGCGGGGGCCGTTTTCGATTCTCGGGCCTCTCCGGTGGTCGCATGTCACCGACAGCTGACATATCTTGTTTGGCCGAGGTATGACTCTGCCGCTTGCAGAGGCAGAAGACCGAAGACGTCGCCTATTCTCGAATATCAGACCACGCTAGTCCCGGAACTATACCTGCACGGGGACACAGCTGCCTAGTCTTGGTGGGCAAGGCCGATCTCCGATGCGTCTGCCTCGAAAACTCGACAAAAGGTGGGTTGCCGACGGCGTCACTAGCGGGAACATCCACCACTCAGATGAGCGACAGGAGACTGCCGATCGGCTTGTCAGAGGCGAACTGTCCCACTCCTCATCACAGTCAATGGTGCACCCCTGGATCAGGATCAACGACCCACATTGACTTACGGGTAACGGCCCACCCGTTGGAAACCCACATACAAAGACACGAGCGAGTGCGTGGCTGCCAGGTTGCGTTGACGGAGAAGCAAAGTGGGGCTGTGTGATGATTTGCATTGTCGTGGACGACGTTCGGCGATGAAAAGGTAGGGCCCTTCATGTGCTCACTTGAAGGCCTGCCTGCCCTTGAACTCGGCCTAGTTCCACGACTGTGTCTGTGTCGAGCGTCCCCTGCCTTGTCTCTCCACCTTTTATAGAGGCGGCCTCTTCCTACCTGTCCACACGCCTCATGCTTGCCTCTCTCCTCTCTCACCTCGTTCCCTTCGCCAAAATGAGGCCTTTGATGATGATGCTCCCCATCATCGCTACCCTGACGTTCCTCACGGTGAGCCTCGTCGCCTCCCAGCACATCGTCATCGACTCCATGTGGAGCACCACGTACAACTACTCGCAAATCCAAGAGTTCTCCAACCCAGCTATCGCCTTTTCCCCCGGTCCAGCCCTCACCGCCTCCGTCAACGTCACCGCCTCCGTCTCCGCCTCCTCCTCGAATCACGACCAGATCGGCATCTCGATCTCGGACAACCAGGTCCATCAGACCGTCGACTCGTTCGGTGGTGGTATCACCGACAGCGTCGCCATCGCTCTGCAGGATTTCAAGACCAAGCACCCGAAGGACTACGACGACCTCTTGCACCTCCTGTTCTCCGAGGATGCAGAGTGGTTGGAGAAAGGTGGGGTGGGGATGAATAGTGTACGCGTGCCGCTAGGGGCGAGCGATTTTGGTCAGAGTCCGTATACGTACGACGACACGGAGGACGGCTCCGAGGATCCTGACCTGGAGCTGTTCGAGATCAAGAGGGCTCCGAAGCTGTGGGCTACGTTGAGAGATATCTTGAAGGTGAACGGTGGAGTGAAGATCTTCGTTGCTGCTTGGAGTGCTCCGGGATGGATGAAGGAGAACACTGACCCGGATCAACCGTTGTTCGGGGGAAACTTGAAGGCAGGTATGGAGAAAGTGTACGCAAAATACTTGATCAAATCGATCTCCGAGATCAAGACAAAGGAACAGATCGATGTATACGCCATGAGTCCAGGAAACGAACCTCAAATCCCCAGGTTGAAGTACCCGACGATGAAGATCTCCGCCGATCAAGCGATTCAGCTCGGCGTCCTTCTACGCAGCGGTCTCGACAGCGCCGGTTTCAAGTCTGTCAGATTGCTCGCATGGGACTTCAACTGGGACAACACCGACTACCCGCTCACCGTGCTCAATGCCGACTCCACGCCTTGGTCAGGAATAGCCTGGCACGGCTATGCGGGCCAACCCCTCGCCCAAAAGACTATCACCGATGCCTTCCCGAACCTCGACACCTACTTCACCGAAAAAACCGTCGTGACGCAGTACTTCAACGAGCCCTACAAGAACATCAAGAACGCTGCGCGCGATCTGCTGATCGGTTCGATCCGGTATGCGAGCAAGAGCGTCATCTTCTGGAATCTGGTGTTGAGAAAGGACGAGGATGGATTTACTAGTCCACATCTGCCTGGGGTCTGTGAGAACTGTAACGCCGCGATCTTGCTCTTGCCAGAGTCGACGGATGGTGCGGATGCGACTTCTGCAGATACGAGTTCAGGCAAGAAGACTGCAGATGCAGGTAGCCAGAAGAAGGATTCGCGCAGGAAGAGGAGTATGCTCCGACGTGCGGCTGATGAGACGGTGACATTCAAACCCGATCCGCTCACCGCCGGCACCTCCGGCAAAGATGCATCGCAAGCCGTACCCGCATCCAAGATCGTCGACGCTCAAAAAACCGGTTCCGCCACAACCTACTCCTCCCCACTCTTCAAACGCACCTCTGATCTCTCTGTCCTCTCGCACCTCTCCACCGCAGTCCGACCCGTCGGAGCATCCAAGACGTACTCGAAGCGGATCGGTGTCACCAGCACGGACGAGTTGACCGAACTGGGTGGACGTGTGCTGGCACAGGCATTCCGACAGGACGGCGTCAAACCAGGCATCACCAGGTTCTCGCTGATCCTGCTGAACCAGAACGATCATTACGAGACGGGGGTCTGGGAGGAGGCGACGGCGGTGGTGGCGTTCAGGGGGTTGACGGCGAACGTCACGACGGTGCCAGGGTTGTACACGTTGAGCTGGGAGGCGCCGACGGTGATGCAGCCGGAGGAGGTGCCGACGCCCAAGGACGGTGATGGTAGCGATACTTCTGGTGCTGGAGGCGCTGGCTCTGGCAACCCTGTCACTGCGTCGACCAGTAAACCTGCGGATGTCGCTGCCGCTTGAAAAACGTGACCCATGAATATGGTTCAATCGCCATCCGTGTCGCTCATATCAGCTCCTGCTCCGTTTCGCCTTTTTCTCATTGATTTTCTGCCTGCGCATTCAGTATCTCCCTTTCTGTCATTCACTCCTGTTCATTCCATCATCGAGACTTGATCTCAATGTCACACAATCTTTAGCGTTTTGAGTCGGCAAGCCCAACCTCACACGATGTATGAAACTTCTCCCACCCGCGTCAAGCTGCGCTGCCCTCACAGACCGTTTCGATCAAGAGCGCAATAACGAGCGCGCTTTCCTCGTCCATGGAGTTCTCTCGTCGGCCCCGGGTTTGGGACAAGAGTCTGGGAGCGTCTCAGTCGTGGCAGGGCTAAGGCTATGCCCGCGGGGAACACTCAAGAACGCGTCGTCATCGCTGCTCCCCCCAAAGCGGAACATGAAAAACGAAAAGCTTTAAATTTCATTTTTGTTTTTCCGCGCGTTATGCGAGCTGACGTCAAAACCCCGTTTCGACCTCGCGTGGCGGGGAGGCGGGGTAGCGCCGAATGTAGCCAAATTTAGCCTGTTCGCAGCTAGATCCGCTGTGTCGGTCAAGTTTTGAAGCCAGCAGAATGCGGTGAATGTATTGAGGCTCCGCCGCCGATCTCTTTTAGCTGCTTTTGCAAGGGAGGGCTTGGCGAGCAGCGTCACCGGCTGAGTCGAGTGTGGGCTGATGAGTGATGTCAAAAATAACCTCAGTCGAACAGTGCAACCGAGGTAAGCAATTGACTGGCCGTGCTGACTCGCTCGTTTCAATACTGTCAGGGATCCGTAGTGCTCTCTCTGACTCTGGCTCAGTCGAGGCGGCTCAGCCAGACAGCTCCACCCTGAGGAGTGCGCAGAACCGACCTTTTTGGCCGGACGATCCTACATATACCCCTTGCCCCATCTGAACCCTGAATTCGCCGCCCCCTACCTACATCACGACATCCACCACTTGATTGATACCATCAACTGCCTTTGTAGCCCACCTCAACAATGAAGCTCAGCACGTCTTCTCTGCTCCTCATCTCGGCAGCTCTGCTCGCCACCTCCCGCACGTCGGCCTCGCCGCTCGCATTCAACGCCGACGACGACACCATCTCGGTGCCCATCCAGGTGCCCTTCTCCACCACTCCTCGCGTGCTCACCTTCCCCAACTGGTTCTCCTCCTCTTCGGCGGACGACGATGACGATGACCCGTGCCCGCGTCTGCCCGTCCAGTGCGTCAAGGACGGCGAGATCATCGGCGACCTTGGCGACCAGGACTTCTGCCGTCAAGGCCTGACCTGCAAGATGTGCCACCCCAAGAAGAAGTCTCTTGACTGCAACACAAAGTACATCAAGGAGTGCGCCACCAAGTGCGAAGCTCGCGGACCGCTCGGCGGCAAGCAGGCCCAGATTGAACACCAGCTCGACCAGATCAAGTCTCAGATCGGCGGCATGTTCGCCGGCGACGAAGACGATATCTGCCCAGACCTCAAGGTGTCGTGCAAGAACGCAGACGGAAAGACTGTCGGCGACATCGGCAAGAAGCCCTTCTGCAGGGACGGCGTGACGTGCGGACAGTGCCACCAGACCGAGAACTCGGTCGAGTGCAACGCCAAGTTTATCGGGGACTGCAAGGCGCAGTGCGAGGCCACCGGCCCGTTGGGCGGAAAGAGCGTCTTCATCCACCTCTTCTGAACGGGCAGCCCTTTTCTATCTCAACCGCCTCTAGCATTCGATCGTCCCTCCGCTCCTCCACAATCATCCTGTTACGGCATCCACTATTTGTAGCGCATTGTTCACTGTCTAATCCCATTCATTGTTCTCGTGTCCTCCCATGTCTGCCCATGCGATGCGTGCGATGCGAACACCTAGAAATGAGCTCTCCCCTCCAACAGATCCTTGTACCTCTGCTCTCGATCCGGATCCAACTCGATCAGCTGCTGCAACAATCTCTCCGCCTTCTCCTTTGCCTGTTCCCTCTCTTTCCCCTCCTCATACAGATCCGCCAGGAGCATGTTATAATGGGCCAAGCTCAACGCACACCACTTGCTGTCCGGTTCCAATTCGAACAGCTCCTCGATCACACCGATCTCCTCCTGCATCACTTTCACCTGTCTTTGCCTCCTCCCTTTCCCTTCCGCGTGTTCGGTGGCAGAGGGTTTTGCGAGTAGTAGGTCGACCAACCATCGATGGTAGAACCAGACGCTCTGATCGCTCGGATCGGTGTACATGGCTTGCTTGATCAGCTCGAGCTCGGCGTCTATGCGCAGGTCGATTTGGGTCTGGTCGAGTTGTTGAACGGTCCACATGTGGGGTAAGAGCTGGGAGCGTTGGTGCCAGGCTGAGAAGTTGGAAAAGTTGCTTTCGATCTTGCGGAGTGTATACGCAAGCTCCTTCTCCGCCAGCGTCGACAGCTTTCTTTTGACGGCGACGGCATCGGCTTGTTGCAGAGTCGCGTTGCTGAGGAGGGCGGGGAAGGAAGGTTGAGTGGAAGACAAGTCTGACGTGGCGGGGTGGGAGGAGAGCATGCGTAGGGAGAGGTGTTGAGTGATGGCACGACGACAGTTCCAGCCGTGAAAGTTGCGCGGATCTAGATCGAGCATCTTTTCGACCAGCTTGAGCTCTCGTTCCCACACCCACGTGTCGCTGACGGTCGTGCTCGAGGTCGATGTTGAGGAGGACGGTAGTGTAGGATACTGGGTGAGACACCACATCCGGTGGTTCCAGATCCAGTACACCTTCGGATGCGCACGTAACGCATGCTCCGTCAACATGAGATCGTCTTCCATCAGCTGTTGATTCCTTTCCACCCTCTCCCTCTCTTCGTCTGCTTCACCACCATCTTTCTCCGCAACATCCGCGTTGTCTTGCACTTGACCCTCTCGCAAACTCGCAAATACGTCCCTTTCTTCACCCTTGCTATCAGCTTCAACCTCGACCTTGCCCTCAAATATGTGCAGCAGAACCTCCCTCCGATAGTTCCACACGGTGTAGAGCTCTGGATTGAGCGTCAACAGTTTCGTGGTGTGATCGAATGCGGTCGTGTCCTTTCGTGCGGCGCGTTTGTGGTCGAAGAAGGTTCTTTCGATCTCGAGGTAGGCGGCGAGTTTGGAGGCTTCTTTGGCTTTGCGTGCCGCACGCGCTTCGGCGGAAGCTGCCGTCTTGGGTTGCCGCTTCACGCCGTGCATCTTCGGAGTGATGTAGAGGGTATATGAATCGAGTGCGAAGAAGTGAGAGGAAGGCGAAGCGAGGGTCCTTGTGGTTGGTTCGGAAAGCTCGCATGGCTCGGGCGCGAGAATGAAAGGGTTTTCCGAGATCCGCGTTACCAGCCAAACGAGGTTTGTGCGAGCATGAATAGGAAAAGTGGAGGTGCAGATGGCGAGCTGTCATCATACCACAACATCAAGCTCGAAACGAGGTGCACGAGATTCAGACAGCGGCGAACATGGTGCTCAATGTCGGGCTGATGTGGTCTGCGACGCCGGCAAGAAGCGTCGTGGCAGGCAAGACAGCGTCCGCAATACCTTCTTTCTTCAGGACGCCATTGACGAGGAGATGCTTCTCGACAGCTTCGCAGCCGAGTAGGTTCCGCAGTGTACCACAAGCGACTGCATCTCACCAGCCATCATCAGTATGGACAACAACTGCTGCGCTGACAGCTACACCCTTGCGGTCGTTGGCCAATAAGCCTTGGTCTCTATCTCAAGCACGCTGCTTCTCTTCATCATCCCTAGCGAACGACCAACCTTCATCGACCCCGACACCCAAGCCTTCCCCTGCATCGACCCCAGCACCACCATCAAAACCTGCCCTCTCCGAAGACATCCTGACGATCCCCAACCTGCTCACCATCTCGCGCCTCCTCGCCACCCCGTACATCGGCTACCTCGTCGCGACGCACCAGTTCGTCCCCGCGTGCACCCTCCTCTTCGTCGCCTCGCTCACCGACCTCCTCGACGGCTGGCTCGCGCGTCGAACCAACCGCTACACCGTCTTCGGCTCCATCGCCGACCCCGCTGCCGACAAAGCTCTCGTCACCACCATGGTCATCTCCCTCGCCGTCTCCGGCATGCTCCCACTCTCCATCGCCGCCATCATCATCGGCAGAGACGTCGCCCTCGTCATCTCGGCCTTCATCATCAGGTATCGCACTTTGGAACCTCCAAAGACGTTCACGAGGTACTTCAATCCGAGGTTGCCGAGCGCCAGTGTCACGCCGACACAGATCAGCAAGTACAACACGTTTCTGCAGCTCCTGCTGCTGGGCTGCTTGACGCTGTACCCGATCTTGTTCCCCGACCAGCGTTCGCCCGGGTTGATGTTGACGGAAGCGAAGGAGGAAGCCAGCAGTCCGTACGGGGATGCGATCGCAAGAGCAAAGATCTGGATCGATCCTTGCATCACAGCGTTGATGTGGATCACAGCTGCCACCACCATCTGGTCCGGCGTCGGGTACCTGGGCGGCGCAGGTTCCGCAAAGGTACTAGCAGCCAGAGCTCAGACCGCCTCCCAAAAGGTCAAGAGCTCGCTCAACAAGCCTCCTCCACCTTCGTCATAACTTGGATCGAATCTATGCCGGATGAATGATTGAGTTACAAATACAAGAATGAAAAACGAGTGATTGTTCGTGCTCTCTCTCTCTTTCTGTTACAGCTCCGAATGCTTTCCGCTCTCCGACCAGCCAGTTGCGATGCCCAATGCATGCAGACACGACACCAGCGATCTCTGACAGGCCGCCATCTGCTTCTCCAACCAGCCGAACCAGTGACTCAACAATGTCCCTTCTCCCCCGTCTATCGAGTCGAACCTATGCTCGTCTGTAGCATTCGCCTCTCCTCTACGCCCTGTATACCCCGCGTCCCCATCGATGACCTTCTTCTGCTCAGTCTCTTTCTTCTCCCCAACCGCCTGGTACATATCCCTAAACCTCTCCACCGCCCTCAAACTCTCGGCAATCCTATGCGCCGCATTCACCAACGCCACCAACTCGCTCTTCTGCAACCTCACCTCCCCCTCCTCCCCTCCCCCATTCCTGTTGAACAGCAACTTCAACGCCGTCCCAATCCCATTCACCTGCAACTTGCCCCACAGCCTACACTTGTCGCACCCTACGCAATCCATGATGGTCGAGATGTTCCTGAAATGCTGCCTGAACTCCTGCTTGAGTTCGAGCGATTCGCGGTTCTGACCGTTGAACATCTGCGCTTCATCGAACGTCGTCGGACAGGAACGTGCGTCCTGAATCAACTGGTCCAGCTGTGCTACAGCTAGTGGGTCTTCGATCGAATCGCCTTTGCGGAGGGAAAAGTTTTGCTTGGAGTCGCCCAACCTCGAAAGCGCCCGGAGAAGCAAGACGTAGTCGAAGTAGACGTTCTGCAGCCGCTCGGGATGCTCGGCGATCCTCGAGATGAAGCACTCGAGGTTGGGAGCCCATTCGCCCGTCTTGGTGTCGAGGAAGTCGTGACAGATGTGAATCGAGATCGAGGCGTGCAGTCCCGAGATGATCCGGTAGAACACCCTCTTCTCTAGACACTGTTCGCTGTCTCCGCTATCCAACGGAGCCTGCAAGGAGCTGACCAACCCACTGAATCCACTCGACAGGCCCATCGCAGGACTGCTCGACTGCAGCATGCTTTTATCCACAAACCCAGTGCCTCCCGAAGCAGCCGGCCTCGCTGGTTCGACAAACTTGACGCCGTTGAAACAGTTCTCCTCGTAGATCGACTTCCAAACCCTGTTCGCACTCGGACCCGCATACCCCGTGAACCTCTCCGGATTCTTCAGCAGGTCCACGTACACTCCTTCCTCCACCTCATCGTCCAGGTGACAGAACTCGTCTTGCGAACATGTGCAGCTGGCATCGGATCCCGTCATGACCACATCTTCGGCTGAGGCTGTCGTTACCGAGCTGAGACGGTTGACCCTAAACTCTTCCGGAACGTTGGACTCTTCCTCAGTCTCTACGCTGCATGCCCTGTTCATGCAGAAGCCATTCTCGTTCCAAAAGGGACATTCTTTGAACAGATTCACCTTGTAGAACTTGAAGAAGTCCGTCTTTCGAAGCGTATCGAGCCGGTCAAAGAATTGAGAGTTGATGGTTTCGACGGTTTCGTAGTCGCACGATGCGTCTTCGATCTGCCCTGTAGGTCGACAGATGGGCTCGGAGAGAGGCGCTTCGGAGGAGGAGGAGGACGGTGGCTTTGTGAGGACCTGTTGAAGGAAGTCGGCGCCACGAGAATTGTCGGATGCTGGTGAGCGGAAGAGCGCTGGCCGGGAGGATCCGGTGGCGGCAACGACAGAAGAGACTGTGCCTGTGAGGAGGAGAAGGCTCAATGTGGTGAGGACGAGGACGGCGATGGAGATGGTGAGTCGATGTGCGGACCATTGGCGTTGCCGTGGCAGCTCGCCACTGCCAGAGTGGCGGCGAGTGTGTGAAGTCATGTGGTGGCAGTGATGGCACTTCCAGACTCGCGAGATTCAGGCGACGAGGGTAGCAGAGAGGCCGTCTTAGGGTTATCGGCACATCCGAAGAAGCCGATTGCGTGCTGCGTGATGTTCGGAGAGCAGCGAAGCAGTCGATTCGAGTCGAGGAACCGAGCAAGAGAGGTCGCCACAGATGGGAGCGTTGAGCAGCTGATGAGCTTCTTGATGTCAGATACCAACCAGAAGACGGTTCCTTGACGGTCCGGATGATTCCATGGAGTTTTCGTGGGTGGAAACAAGACAAAGGACGAGCGAGGGCGACGAAAGGGTACAAGGTGTTGCTCTTCCGAAACGTCGACGTGGCCAAGTCATCGAGGTTGCACAGCTGCGTGCCATTCTCTCACGAAGCGTGTGGAGTGGCCAACCCAAAAATGCTGTATGCAGGTCACAAGTTTCTGGACTGAGCCGAAGCTGTTGTTCTGGAATTTCTCGGTGTTAACCGTCAAATTCAAAGCTGGTCCCGAGTTGGTTTCGGGGCACGGCGATCTCGTGGCCCGTCCCGAGCAACGGCAAGCAGACACACACACATCAGGCTGCTGCAGGTGACGTGTCTGAACCAAGGACTGAGAAAAAAGAGAGTATATGTTACGCCGAGCTAAGAACGGGGTTTTTTTTAAATTTGTCCTCCAGACCCCAGTGTCAGCCTGACGTGAGCGCAGCCTCGTCAAGGTCGTGCTCGCCTATTTTCTTTTTTTGGTGCTCCGCTTTCACGGTTTTGCAGCAGGTCGTCGAGGGCGCAAGGGAATCCAAATGTGGGGGAGAAGAGCAAAAGCGTAACCAAAAGCAAGAAGCGTGAGTTACTTGTTTGAGGCTTGGGAGCCGCTCTCCTCTTTCTGACTGACGAGCAAGAAGGTCTCAGGTACAGTAGAACGTTGCGGCTCCTGTGTGTGCAGCAGCCTCGGTAGCGCGAAGTCGATGCAATGTTGCTACACGCTTCGAATCCTGCAGCCGTGAGCGACAAGCGGCAACTTTTGTTTGCGCCTCCTTGGTGTCAACGATCTGCGGCACCTTGAAGTTTTGCCCCGCACTGTTCGCGTGCTAGAAGCAACCCACAGCGCTGCACATACCGTCCACGCTCCGAAAACAGAGAGGCATGTACACTGGGGCCGCTTCGGATCTGCTACCCTGTTTCGTACGACTGTTCATTTTGCAGCTGCGATTGAACAACCTGAGAGCGGTCTTGCTCGACACTAGCGAAACCACTTGCTTCAAGAAGAGGGTTGTGGCACGTTGCACGCACAACGCAGATCATTTCTCTAAAAAGTCGGATGACGATCTGTGACCGCCGAACCGTAGCTGCTGATGCGGCTCGCTGCTCGCCCGCACTGACCTCTTTGAGTTTGAATTCTCCGCATTTCTCTCACACCCAAACCGCTCAGAAATTGTACCGCAAATTCGGAATTCTTGGCCCAAAGTGGCAGAGACAGCGCTTTCAGCAAACAAAATCCGTGAGTGGGCGGCAGCGCCGTGCACTCACACTTGTCGGTGGCAGCCGACGTTCTGAGAAAGAAGCTGAATGACGAACGTCACACCATCGGCCTTGGTCCTACTCGTCCTCCTCTCGCACATCTCCTCTACCTCCTTCTGACCGACAGTGCATCATTCATCCCTCATCTTCCGTCCCTCAAGAACCAACCAGCTAGCGACTTGCGACCTGAGAATCACCCTCGCTTCTCGCTGGTCTGGACGCACCTGGTCCATCTTGCAACTCCACCTCTTCGGTCTCGACTGGAGTCCTCCGCGTGGACAGCGCATTCATCCGTCGCCGATCATATACCCCTCAGGACACCCATTGGCTAGCCTCGAGGATACCCTCTCCCATTCAGCTTCAAGATGTGCATCCCCAAATCCAACCACAAGAAGCTCGTCGACGACTGCTACCCGCCTCCCAAGGCTCTCGTCACTTCGGCTCCTGAGTACCGCCCCAACTCCAACGAGCTCGGGCGCCTCACCTACTATGCTCAGAACAAGCCTGCCAAGCTCACCAAGGTCGGCAACCTCCTCGAGTCCAAGGCGCAGGCGGATGCGCGTGCCGCCAAGGGCTCCGGGCCTGCTGCCGACAAGGGCAAGGCTGGCCTGATGATCACGCTCGGCATCACTAAGAATCTGCTCGCCGAGTGCAAATCCTCCCTCAACTACTTCCTCAAGCCCGCTCAGTCCATCATCGCTGCTGCTCTCGATGCTGCACAGCCTACGCCCGCACGTCCACGCGATCTCGAGATCAGCGCTCGAGCCGCCAGCACCTTTTACGCTCTCGCTTCTTTCCTCGACCCTGCCACCACTTCGGTAGACGATGGCTTCCAGCGTCTCCTGCGATCCTTCGCAACTCTCGCTGTCGAACGTCCTACCGCTGCAGACGCTTCGCTAGGCGAGGATGCAGAGCAGCGCAACCGTACCCGTCTCATCGGTCTCGGTGCTCTCGCCGGAGCCGTGGCTTCCGACGCTGTCTATTCGTCCACCTCCAAACAGCTCATTTCGCTTCTCGCTCCCGCTCTCGTCGAAAACGCAAAGGCAAACCGCGTCACTCTCGATTGGCTTCGCAGCGAATCAAAGAAGGCCACCGAAGGGGAGCCCACCTATGCCGAATTCAACATCGCCAAAAAGCCGCTTGCCATCCGTCGAACTCGCTCCATCTCGGCTCACGTCGCCGGCGAAAAGGGTCCCTCTTCTGAGGACGTCATCTCGGCGGCCATCGGCACGCTTCGAGGTCTGCTTCGCCATGCAGACGCGGTCCAGGTGCAGAGCGTCGTGCAGAACGTCATCGCCTGGCTCGACAACAAGTCGACACTTTCGATCCCCGCCCCTACCGATGGTCGCCAAGCCGTCTCCCACTGGGACGACGCGCAGTGGTGCTGCTGGCTCGCGGAATCGCTCTGCAGCTGGACCTCGCTTCAGTACCGCTTTGTCGTTCTCGACACGCTCGTCGACCACCTCGCCGAGAACGGCGAAGGCAAGGCTACCAACAAGCATCTATCGCTCATTGAAATGTCGCGCACCATCCTCACCGGTCAGCTCAGCCTGATCGGTCTCAGCACTTCGGACACGCTCAGCAACCTCTCTGCTCTCGCCGTCCGCAGAGTCTACAAGGACACGCGCGATCCGCTTCTGCCTCCGCTCGTCGAATGCATCAGCGGTCTCGGCACGCACGTCTACTACGCCGACCAGATCAACGACATTGTCGAGGAGATTGCTGGGCGCATCGCCGCGCTCCAGATGCCCGAGACCGCCTCAGACGCGGCTTCGGTCAAGGCGAACAACCTTGGCGCCGTCCATCGCGGCGAGCAGCAGGATCTCAACAGTCACATCCATCGCCAGCGCCTCGCCAGCGCCGGTCCCGAGCAGCGTGACGAGAGCATCCGCGTTCTCCTGTTCTGCTTGCAAGGCGTGCTCAAAGCCACACACCAGTCGAGTGGTGAGATTCACGAGGCGGTCGATGTCAAGTCGGGCGGTGCCGATGCCTCGAACAAGCAGGCTCGCGGTGCACAGGCTGACAAGGGCAAGGCGGCAGCGGGCTCAGCCGAGAGCAAGATCGGACTGGCTCACGCTGGCACGCGCAACCGTGTGGCACCCTCATCGATCCTCCCGACAGCCAGCCTCCTCGCCTCGCCCAACCACGCCGTACGTCTCGCTTACGCCCAAACGCTCATCACGCTCTTCCGGGACGAGTTCGACCGCGAGCAGCTCGAGCGCGAGAGCGCCGTGTTTGCCGCCGCTCCCATCGGCGAAAGGGTGGGCGATGCGATCGGTGCGATGCATGCGCTCGGTGCAGCAGCTCACGTCATGTGCCTGAGCAAGAGCCTCTCGCCACCAGCACAGGTGCTCGGCAACCTGCGAGAGTCGCCGTTGGAGCTGCTGCCACAACTGGACCGCATCAACGCCGATCCTGGTCGTCCAGGCTCGCTCAACAGCGGCGGTTCCGGAAAGGCGTCGGATGAGTCGACTGCGGCGCTCCCCGTCGACTACGTGGCGGTGGCTCAGGCGCTGGAGCATGCGGTCACGGCGCTTCCGTGCAGTGCCGCGCTGGCTTTGACACCGATGTTGAACGCGCTCGACAAGGATGCCGGCAGCCGATTGACGGTGCACGGTGGCGGTGTCAACACTGGACTCGAGAATCAGCGCCGGCTTTCGTCGCGCATGGTGGCAGCCCGCGTGCTTGCCAAGCTCGGCGAGACGTTCGACGCGAGCTCCGTGTCAAGCGCCGCTCAGAGCGTGCTTTCGCAGATCCCATCGCTAGGTATCGAGCCCGGACCGTCGCCTGTGGGTGGTCTCACGTTACCTCCAGAGGTCGTGCCCTTCTCGGCGGTTGGCACCATCAACGAGCTCGGAGAATCGAGCAGCAGCAGCTCGCCTTCGATCAGTGGATCGTCGGTGGTCAACAGTCTTGTTTCGAGTTCTAAGCTGCAGAGCGCCACGCAGCTGGATGCCACGGTGCTCAAGCGCTGGCTGGACCGGGACTGGAACGTGGGCATTGCGGTGGACGAAGCGTTCGCCGGAGCCAACCCGTACGCGCACTCGTCGCTTTCAGCTGGCTCGCAGCCGGCCTCGCGTCGTCCTTCGTACACGCCCATCAACGGTCTCAACGGCAGCAGTGCTGTCGTCAACGGCAACAACGCGTCGTCTGCGTCGGTCAACAGGAGCAGCCGCATGAGCATGCAGGTGCCTTCGACCGGTGTCAACGACCTGCGCGAGGCGCTGGGCACCTCTTCGACGCTCTCGTCGAGGCAGATCAACGGCGCCAGCCAGGATACGTCGTTGAATGCCGATCGCCGTGCAAGCCGAAGAGAGTCGCGTCGTGGTCCCGCGGTGGGCAGCGTCAACGGTAGCAACGGCAACAGTGCCATGGCGATCCTCGACTCGCTCAAGGTGGGTGTGGATGAGGATGCGTCCAAGCTGGGTCCGGACAGCTCGTCGTTCGCGGCCCCTGCCAAGACTGGTGCTGTTGGCGCCTCGCCCATCAGTCCCCCGTATGCCTCGTAGATACTCGTCGATATACTCAGTTGGTTGGTATACACATTCACCCTTTTTCACTGTCTCTGCGTCGTTCTGCTTTGTCCCAATGCGTCTTCTGTCCCCTGGAAGCGTAGAATACCATTCGTTTGTTTTCTCGTTCCGCTGTGTGGACTCTGGCCACATGAAAGGTCTCATTTGTGTTCCTCAGAGCTTGCACTCGTCGTCGAAGGCAGACCTTGTGGTGAGACCATGCCAAGGGAAACAAGGACGTGGCGGTGTAACAGTGCTATTCGGCTCGAAATTTCAGCAAAGTCTCGTCGCACGGACGCAGAGCGAGAGCCAGAAAATTGAATTTGGCGTGCATAGGGGGGCAGCAGCAAACGAGCGTCACTCTCTGTGTCGTGGCTCAGCAAAGACAGATTCCAATTCTTGGTCGGTTGCACAGCGCGCGGTCGGTTTTGATCGTCATCGCATGGCTCGACTTGCCATTCCCATCTCCACCGTCTCGATCCACATCATCGCCCCCAACCTCTCGATTGACAGGAACCGGAAGGAGCACATACAACATGGTTCGCATCGCAGGCGCATCTCTTGTATCGTTGACGTTGGCAGCAGCAACCGTGGCAGTCACTGGTGCTTCTGCCAAGACGAGCCTGTATCTATCTCCTGCACACAACCTCGCCGCCGCACCTATCGGCATTAACGCGGAAGAAGCGAATCGCATCCTATCTCACCACATCAGCATCGGCGATGCTTTGGGCGAGGACAACTCGGACATGTGGGCGCACGTGCTGCACAGCAACAAGGCGGGCGACGTACAGGTCGATCAAAAAGGCATGGTCGAGCGCCTCTTTGACGGTCATCGGGACGAGCAGAACCGCTTGCTGGTGTTGATGCATGGATCTGCACACGATGGTGAGTAGCGGTACAGAAGGGCGATGCATATTCGAGCTGAATCTGACTGACAATCCGTCCACCGTGCTCCTTAACGTGCTCCTTTTTGATAGATGTGGTTCCCAACGGTGTTCACGCCACGCACAGTATCGAGGCCGCACCCAGCTCCTACTCTTTCGATGCTCTGTTTGACAGCTACATGACCAGCGCATCGCAAGCACTCAAGGCATCCGATTCGACGCTCTCGCACCTCACCGGGAGCTTCCTGGACGGCTTTGGCGCCAGCATCGAGTGGCTCACTACCAAGACGAACGACGTTGCAGCAACGTGGTCTCAACAGGCAGCTTCGTTCAAGTCGTCGGCGTTTAACAAGCTCGAGCAGGAGCTGCAGTCGGCCGAAGCATTGTTGGCCAAGCTGAAGGGGACCTCGTCCGGGGCGGCGGCACAGGACCTTTCACTGCAGCCTCTGCGTTTCTCTGGTCTGCAACAGGTGGAAAGCACTTACGGCGCGGACAGTACCGAGTACGTCAAGGCCAAGGAGATGGTGCGTGCTGCGGTCGAGCAAGTCACTTCGTTCTTCCAGAGTCGATCCCAAAAGCAGGGTCGTGCTGCCTCGATCGCCTTCGTCGTCACGGACAACGTCGAATTCGACGCATCGCACCTCTCGAAACGATCATCTGATCTCCTGCGCCCCTTCCAGCGCGCATCCGCTGCTGCCGTCCGTCCAGACATGCTGAAGAGCAAACCATCATCCAAACCCTCGGCACTCCCCAAGAACCTAGCTGGCACCTGCTTCACCTCGCAGTCATCGCTCGAGAAGGCCACCAACAATTGCTCCGGTCACGGCAAAGCCGTCAAGACCAGCAAAGGCGGCAAGCCGTGCTACCGTTGCCAGTGCAAGGCTACCGAGGAGCGCCGAGGAAAGAAGACCTACTGGGCGGGTGCAGCGTGCGAGAAGAAGGACGTCAGCACCGAGTTTGTGCTGCTCGGATCGAGCGTGCTGTTGCTCGTGCTGATCACGGTGGGAAGCGTGTACTTTTTGGTTGCCCAGGGATCGGAGGACCTGCCCGGTACGTTGGCTAGTGTTACGATCAGCCTCAAGTAGGCGATGGATGAAGGGGCAGCATGAGGGGTCGTCGACCGGATTGATAACTTTGGTCGATCTTTGTCTATTGATCTTGTTCATAAAATTGGATTCTTAGCATCAAACGTGAGGGTGTTCTGGTCTGTGAATCAGCGCGGTGGATGAGAACAGACGAGGAAAGCATGGCCGAATCGCGATCTCAGAGCGGACATCGGGCGTCACGGCTGAGAGCGGTGCGTCTGTGCGGCGCAATTTGTCCTTCTGACGTGGACCCTGAGACGCATGAGCTTAAATCACCTCGCCAGCCAACCACCATCTGGAACACCACTCAAACGACAGCCCACATCGTCTAGCGCTGGACACGGGTTCTCTGGCGCAGCCAACAGCGCTCTGTACGCTGAGGTGCTGCAGTGCTGGCCATGTGAGCTCGTCTCGTGTGCCATCTGGCAGAACAGTACGGCATTGCAAGTACGAATTCACAAAGTTTCAAGGTCAGCGGAAAGCGAAAAGCCACCCTTGACGAGCGATCGAGCACATCCCTTGCGAGGCGTGGAGTCAAGCTCTGGAATCGTCACGATGGCACATGCACATCGGCCGTCACCATTACGGTTATCAGACACGGCGTGGGCGACCAACGTCATCCTCGATCAGCCGCACTCGGCAGACGCCAGAACTGGCGGATCCTCCTCCTCGTCGAGTCTCGATCTTGTGCCCGCACCTCGTGCTAGCGATCTCCAAATCGTACTCCGAACACGAGATCATGCGGCCTACTACGATGCAGTCTCGAACGAGCTGTCACTTCAAAAGCATCCTATGCGATCACGGTCACCAGACGAAAGCCGTGCTTCTTCCCACGACGACGCGCCACTCGTGCCGCATCGTGGGTCTCGAAATGTCCTGCAGCAGTTCCACCGAGCAGAGCCGCTGCGTAATTCTACAGGCGAATCAATCTGTCCTACATGCGCTCGGCCGTGGCCGATCCACGAGGAGAATCTCGATGCGCACTTTGACACCGACTACCCTTCGACTCAAGCAGATCACGAATCGCCCGCCTTCATCGCTCCGAACTACTTTCGACTCCTAGCGCAGGCTTCCACCAACACGACCAACACCAGCACCACTGCATTACCCGACTCTTCCTTCTCCCCCGCCTCTCGTCCGCCTACCCCTCGCAACCGCTTCTCCTCCGTATCCGGTACCTCGACCCCTCAACCCCCCTCCTCCGGAACCTCCAGCCCCCCACCGGAGCCTCTCTCGCAAACCTCCTCCGCCCAAGGCTACTACTCGCGCTTCTTCATCGAACTCCACCAACTCGGTCGCGGTGCCCGCGGAACGGTCTACCTCTGCCAACACGTTCTAAACGGCAACAAGCTTGGCAAGTACGCCGTGAAAAAAATCCCCGTGGGCGACCACGCACAGAGCCTGCTGCAGAGCTTGAACGAGGTGCATCTCATGGAAAGTCTGCACCATGAGAATCTGGTGGGATATCAGCATGCGTGGATCGAGAACTGGAAGGAGCCGCGGAGGTGGGGGCCGGAGGTGCCGACGTTGTTCGTGTTGATGATGGCGGCGAATGGAGGGAGTTTGGCTGATTGGATCAGCCGGAGGGCGGGGGAGGGGGGAGATGGGGGAGGAGGGAAGATGGGAGAAGGAGAGGACGGGGAGGACGAGGGGAAGGGGGTGAAGAGTAGCGCGGGTGGTGGCTCGGAAAGGAAGAAGATCGAGACGTTGAAAGCGGCACTTCGACAACGCAGAGCCGCTCGATCTGCCTCCACCACTTCTCCCAATCCATCTCCTGCTCCTCCCACCACCACTACCCCCTTAACCAACGGTGCGGCAATCCACCTCCTCCGAACAGAAGAGATCTACTCTCTCCTGCACGACATCGTCTCCGGTCTCTCCTTCCTCCACTCCCGCGGCATTCTCCACCTCGACATCAAACCGGGCAACATCCTCTTGCATTGGGACGAGGACTCGCTCATCCCTCGAGCGCTGCTTTCGGATTTCGGATCCTCCCTCTTTCTACACGACAACTGGACGCGTGTGCGATCGGGTCACACGGGTACGATGGAGTACATATCCCCCGAGGCGGTGCTGGTCAACCCGTTGACGGGCAAGTTGGACGAACTGAGCAGCAAGAGCGACGTGTGGAGTGTAGGGATGATTCTGCATCTGCTGGTGTTTTTCCGCTTGCCGTGGGAGGGAGATCTGGATGACTTAGGTAGGTTGAGGGGGGAGATTGGAAGGTATAAGGGATTCAGCAGGTCGAGGAGCGGGGGAAAGGAGAGGGGTAGGGGGGATGAGGTGTTGCTAGGGTTGTTGGAGCGGATGCTGCAGGTGGAGGCGAGTAAGAGACCGAGCTGTGAGGATGTGTTGGAGGTGTTGAGGGCCAGGAGGAAGGAGGGAAAGAAGGAGAGGAGAAAGAGAGGTAGGGAGTCTGGGGAGAAGAGCTCGTTGGCGCTGTATAGACCGGCTGCGTTGCCTCCCCTGCCCCTGTCACCCGGAGAAACAGGACCCTCGTTCCCCATCGCAGGTCGATCCGTCGCGAGGCAGGTCGCACAACGTTTACCGCGCGAATCGCTCGCCGTGACGTTCGCCCTCTTGAAAATCCTCTCCCCTCACCTGCTGGCGTACGCATTGCCAACAACCTCATCGACACAAGCTACGCTCCTGCAAACGGACACGATCAACCTTCTAATTCTGGTGCTGGCATTGGTGGATCTAGCAACGGCGAGCGCGAGGGATGAGGGGCGGGGGAGGAGAGGTGTCGGTGTGGTGTGTCGTGTGGGACACGCGTTGTTGCTCTTGGTGGCGGTGGGGAGGAGGTGGATGTTTGCCGGGTGAGGGAGAGACAGAAGGGATGCAATGCGAGTGTATTGAACTGTAAAGGAGTGTAGCGATGTGTGTGAGGGAGCGCTGCAGAGTGTGATGTGCAAGCATTAGGTGGTCGTGTGGGGGGCAGAGAGGAAACCATGTTGGCGAGCGAGTTGCGCAAGCGTTGACGTATTCGCCTCATTCATCGGAACCGTTGATGCTTCTTCGCCATCCTCTTCCTTCGGCTCAGCCTTTGGTTCGTCTACCACCGCCACCACCTGCTCCTCCAACTCGGTATCCGACTCGGACCCGTACCCAGCCAGCAACCCTAACGATCCCAACGAAGCCCCCGCGACCTGCGTCACCGTCGACACCGCCTCCTCCTTCTCCTCCCTCTCCACGTGCTCTTCTCCCTCGCCAACCAGCTCCACCACCTCCAGCCCTTTCTCCCCTCGTATCCGCTTCACATCGTCGGAGGGTACGATGCGCAGTTCGGGGAACTCGACAACACTGTATCCGTCAGGAAGCGTTTGCAGCAGCCACGAAAGGGTGGTTCGGTGCGGGGCGGTGATGTGCGTCAGGATGGAGCGCGCGGAATCCGGTTGTGCGGTGGGCATGGATGGTTGCGGGGAAGATTCGGAAGGAGGTGCTGGTTGGGAGAGGGCTGGCATTGAAGGAGGGTCGAGCGAAGGATCAGGTCGTGAGGCTCGACCTAGACGCTGGCTGAGCATGGAGAGGAGGGTGTTGGAGATGAGGGATTGCGAGGTCGGAGCTGTGGATGCTTCAGTTGTCGCAGGTGTCTGCGGCATCTCCGCTGCAGGTGGCTCTACCGTTGCATCCTGCAGCTCTTCTGCGCGACCCCATCTCCTCTTTCCATCTTCAACCTGGCCCTCCCCTTCGCGATCGCGCTTTCTCCCCCACCCACCGTCTCCTCGACCCTTCCCCTCCCACGCCCTTCCCTTCTCTCTTCCAACTCCCTGTACCGCGGCTTGCAACCTCTGCTCCTCGGCCAACCCCGGATTCGCCTCCTCCCACTTCCTCTTCCTACTCCACCACTCCAAATACCTCGTCGTACTCTCGTTCGTCAGCCTTGCAGAATACGCCGGCACCAGAACCGCCCATTCCTCCGGCCAGCTTTGCAGCTTTACCAAGCTTTCACCTGCCGGCGTCCCCTCCCCCTCGACGGGCTTGGCGTTTTTCGGAAGGACAAGGTTCGATTCGCTCAACACACGAGTGGAGACGATCCATACCGGCTTTCCCCCTGCTGCCGTGGATGTGAGGGAACCCTTGATCTTCGAAAGATCCTTCTTGTTCGCAAAAGATCGATTCTGTAGTTCCAAGAGGATCACTGCCTCAACGGTCGATGCGGAATCTTGCTTGTGCACCACCTTGGCCGCAGTTCGGGGAAATGTGAGCTCGATGCTCAAGACGAACTTTTTCTCCTTGGCAACGAACCCGGATGCGTTCATCTTTCTCCTCGCCATACCGTCCGGTAGGATCATGACTTTGAAACGTCGGTAGTGGAGCTGTTTGACGAGCTGTTCGCGTTGACGTTGCTGATTCGTCATTCTCGTCCCACCACCACTGGAGGCAGAAGGTTTGTGGTGCGTTTCCGCGCTGGTGGAGGTAGGAGGAGGAGGAAGCAGGTTCATGGAGAGGATGTTTCGACCGGTTTCGGAGGTCTTTCGTGAGATGGACGAGAGGAAGAGATAGTCCGACATCATTGTTTCCTCTGTGTACGCGGTCATTGGGACGAAGGCTGTGGTGTCGGTCTTGGGGGTGGGGGTGGATGCAGAAGTGGATGCCGCAGATGGAGTGGTCGTGGGGGTGGGCTTTGTGGAGGAGTGCGAAGCTTTGTGTGATTGTGTGCATGCTAGAGAGCAGGTGCGGAACTTGCAGGTGGGACAGGTGTATTTGGACGGTTGGAGGGAGCACTGCTCACACACCGAGGTGGATGCTGCAGGCATGGCTGGACGAGCGACGCACGCCAGTGGATGGCGTGCGACTCGAGTGCGATGGATTGAATCAAAGCGGACGTGGAAGTCTGCGCATCGAGAGCGATGTATGGAGGATTTCGAGATGAGGGAGGCTGTAGCGAGCGTGATGGCAGGATGAGAAGAAAGTCGCAACGTCGGTAAAAATTCAAATCAGGGTCCTCCTTAAGCTTTTTTTCTGCTTTGTGGAGGCGACAGCGAGGCCGACTTCCGAATCCACTTAACAAACTCCAGCTTCGCTCATCAAACACGACGACACAAGACCTCGCACAACGTGCAGAACAAGGGAGCGACAGACCAATGCAAGTGAGCATACAAGTACAAGTACAAATGAGAATTTCAACAGCGCGCTTAGAAAGAACTTTCAGCGACGACCCTTCTTTCTGTTCTGGTTCTGATGACGTCCATTACCCGACACAGGCAAACCAGCCTGGACCTGATCATCGTCTCGATCCATATCATCCCCGTACCTCCCATCCATCTTCCTCTTCCTCTTGCCCGAACCGCCTGCGCCTCCCACACCTTTGTCCTTCAACTCCCTCACCGCGGCCCTATGCGCTTCCGCCACCCGTTCGCTCAACAGCATCACCGCCTCCTTATCATTCCCACCCGGGAACTCGGTCATCTTGAGCCCGATGACCGTCTCGATGCGCTGCAACAGCTCGACATCGTACTGCGTCACCAGCGTGACCGAACGACCCGACCGTCCAGCACGAGCGGTACGGCCGACACGATGAATATAATCCTTCGAGTTGGTGGGGATGTCGTAGTTCACCACCAGATCCACCGCCGGGATGTCGAGACCACGAGAGGCAACGTCGGTGGCTACGAGGATGGATCGTCCGCCGGTCTTGAACTTGTTGAGCGCACCTAGACGCGCTTGCTGGCTGAGCTGGCCGTGGAGCGGGATGGCGGGGAAGCCGAGCAGCCGCAACAAGATGGACAGGCGCTGCGAGTCGTGCACGGTCCTGGTGAAGACGATGATCGAGTGGCCTGCCTGTTCGTTGGCGAGGTGGACAAGGTAGGTGTCCTTGTGGGCGAACGGCATAAACATGTAGTGCTGCTTGAGCGTGGATACGGTGGTGTACTTCGTGTCTACCTCGACACGTACCGGGTTCTTGAGCGAGGCACGTTGCAGTTTAGCCACTTTGGTGGTCATGGTGGCGCTGAACAGCATCGTCCTTCGTTCACGAGGGATCGACTGGAGGAGCTTGTCGATGATGGGTCCGAAATCCATGTCGAGCAAACGATCGGCTTCATCCATGACCAAGTACTGCAATCCTCGCAAGCTGAAGCCCTTTGTGTTTTCTAGGTGATCTTGCAGACGACCTGGTGTGGCTACGATGACGTGTGGTCGTTTGGAGAGCGCGATGGACTGCGACATCATGTCCATACCACCGACGATGGTGGCGGAGCGTACTCCGATGGTGGACCCGAGCGCTTCCACCTGCTGCGAGATCTGGTAGGCGAGCTCACGCGTCGGCGCGAGTACACACGCGAAGAAGGGCTTGGGGTTATCCCACAAGGCTTGTAGGATGGGGATGGTGAACGCTGCCGTCTTTCCTGATCCGGTCTGGGCGAGACCGATAACGTCGCGTGCCTGGAGCGCTTCGGGGATGGCCTTGACCTGGATAGGAGTGGGATGTTTGAAGCCCATGTTGGTACACGCTTCGACAATTTGTGGAATGACACCGAGGTCGGAGAACTCGACCTTTTTGCCATCTTCGGCGATGGTGGCCACCTTTTTCTCGTCGTGCTCCTCGTCTGCACCTGATGCATCCTTGGTGGAGGCGTCGTCGTCGTCATTGTCGGAGTCGCTGCTGCTTTGACTGACGCTGTTCGTTTGGCTGTCATCGTCGCTTTCGTCGTCGTCATCATCACCGTCGACACTGTTGCTTTCGCTTTCTTCGGAGGCTTCTGGAGTAGGAGAGGGGGAGGGTGCTCTGCTCTTCTTGAGCTTGGAGCTTGATGGGGAGGGCATCGAGGTGGACGCCCGCTTACTGACCGGCGATGTTGTTGATTTCGGCATGATGTGGTGGTGATTGCCTGGGTATCAGACCTCGTCAAGATGGGATGAGAAGGTGAAGGACAATGCGGAGGAGAGAGCAGGAAGAGGAAGAAATCACTCCACCCAAAGCACAAAAAATGGAAGGAACGCTCAGTGCCAAAAAGCCAAAATTCTCGAACCCTTGCCAACATGTCCGAATTCCGAATTATCATAAGATGATTATGCCGCACGATACAGCATTCCATGTGAGCCAGATCGAGACTTGCCTCGGAATTTCCCGATCGCTGCGAGCGAATTTCTAAAAACACGGCACAAAACGAGAGGCGTTTGGCAAGCTGACCCTCTTGAGTTGATTGATGCTGATTTTCTTTTTTGGGTTAAGTTGCTGTGTCGGCAGAGTCGAGATGGCTTGGTCGTCGCGCGACCGTTTCCCGTACACCAGCATCTCTCACCTCTCATCGCTCACCAATCTCCCCCCTTTTTCATCGTCCCAAACGGCCTCTCATCGTCTCAATTTCATCCTCTGGTCCAGCGTCATCGCTTCAGGAGCATTCAAGCTGCAGTTTGGTACCCGTCTTGGGTCGACTTCATAGCGGGCAATACCAACAAGATCGATTCGAAAAAGGGGCATTTTGTATCATTCCGACCGGAAATTAAGACTGCGTTTCTGCCGCATCGAAGGCGGAAAACAGTGGTCACACGCACACGCGCGCGCTGTCATTTCGCATTGCATTCAACGCGCCGCTCTCACATCGGCCACTTTACTGATCGGCAAGACGGCATCGTGTAACAAACACACACAAAAGAAGCGTCGACCGTACCAACCCTTCGACGAGCCGGCAAGCAGCGCCGCGGCAGAAGATCCTGCCACACCAGAGGTGTGATCGTCGTGATCGTCGTCGCTGTCGACGCTGTCGTTCCCGGCACACACCGCGGCTCGCCCTATCACCGTGCTCGCCATCGCGGCTGTCCCCGACATCATCGCACCGAGACCCTAACGCACGAGCCTCATCCCGATCCTTTCACCCCCACTTTGCACCTAGATCAACCCGACATCATTCGCATCATCATCACCCAAGGGCCTTTCAGCATACACGGTCGGTTCGTCGCCATCGCCGGCCGTTAGCCATCGTCGGTTGTACTGCGAATCTACGCGCAGGTGCATTGACCGACAACAATATACCCCATCACCATCGACAATCAGCTTCTTCCCAGCGCACGCATAAGCATCGTTAGCACACCTCGCATCCGGCACAGTCGCCGCCGCGGCTCCTTTCCTCCACAATGACGGTCAGTCATCGCAAGAACAAGCCCGCACCAAAGACCGAAGATGGCTCCACCTCGGCCGCAGCCGAGCCCGGTGTGCGCTACCATTGCGATGCCTGCGGTGCTGACATCACGCTCACCGTCCGCATACGGTGTGCAGGCGGCTGCACCGACTTTGACCTCTGCGCTTCCTGCTTCTGTTCCGGTGCGCAACCGGGCAAGCACAGGGCGTGGCACGACTACCGCGTGGTGGAGCAGCACGCCTATCCCATCTTTTGCGACGATTGGGGTGCGGACGAGGAGCTGCTCCTCATAGACGGCTGTCAGACGTATGGGCTGGGCAACTGGGCCGACATTGCAGATCACATCGGCAACCGCACCAAGGAGGAGGTGCAGGATCACTACATCAAGGTCTACGTTGAGGGTCGCGATGGAACTGATCGGGGCGAGCAGCGGGCCGGACAAGCTATGCAGCGGTACAGTCACGTCGCAAAGCCTGTGTTTGATCCGCTCGTGGACGACGAGGGGACGGGAAGTCGTGTAGCATGCCAACTCACAACAGAAGAACCACCGGTCGTCGGACCTTCCATGTCGTTCACATCCTCAATATCGCTAGAAGAGTTTCAGCGTCGCAAGAGGCGGCGTGTCGAGACGCTTCGAGAAGCGCAAGCTTCCTACTCGCCTCCCAAATCAGCCAAGCCGCTCGTCAGCGCACCCACAAACCATAGCGAGCTGGTCGGGTTCATGCCCGGTCGACTCGAATTCGAGCACGAGTACGAACAGGACGCGGAGCACCTTATCAAGGACATCGAGTTTGGTCGTGTCTACGAATTCGGTGGCGCCGACATGCCGTCCGAATGGGAGGCATTGGGCAGCAAAGCGACGCAAGGACATGCCAGGATGGAAGCCAGCGGTCGTGGTGGACCCACCAGCAAAAAGGCGACGCAGAACGCCGAAGACGACAAGGACGGCAACGCCGCCACCGCTGCGGACGAAGAAGCAGAAGAGCAGTCGGCAGCAGATGCAAAGGAGAAGGAGAAGGACAAAGACAAGGATGCCGAGCCAGAAGACAAGCCGTTCGACTGGGACGAAGATCCTACCGACCTGCATCTCAAACTCACCGTCATCGACATGTACAACGAGCGTCTCGATCGACGTTTGCGGCGCAAGCACTTCATGTTTGAACGCAATCTCGTCGACTACCGTCGTAACCAGGCAGCGGAACGACGACGACCCAAGGAGGAGAAGGAGCTGCTCTCGAGGACCAAGCATTTCGCCCAGATGCAGACCGCACTGGACTACGAGGATTTCCTGAATGGCTTGTGCTACGAAGAGGCGTTGCGCAAAGCAGCGGCGCAGCTGCAGCACTATCGCAAGATGGGTATCGTGACTTTGGACGATGCGAGCAGCTACGAACGTGAAAAGGCGGAGCGCGCACGTAGGGCAGCCGAGCTGGCAGCAGGTGGCTTGGCGGCATTCCCGGCGTCGGGAGCGGCGGCGACGCCCATCTCGGCGTCTGCTCGACCCCGCATCGACGCCGCGCGCGCACGACAGCGCGAAACGAGCACGCCCACGCCCATGGAAGAGACACTGGCAGCAGCCTCGACAACATCCACCGCCTCGGCAGTCGCCGCAGTCAACGGCAAAGACGCCAAAAAGGACAAGGACGGCAAAGCCGACAAGGACGGCAAAACGGACAAGGATGGCAAGGGCAAGAAGGGTGGTGCTGGTGAAGAGCCAAAGACGCCGCGCAAACCGCCTCAACCGCTCAACCTCGCCAAGGCACCCTCGCTCAGCCTGCTCACGCCTGCCGAAGTGCAGCTCTGCTCTGCGCTGCGCATCCTGCCGCAACCATTCTTGCTGATCAAATCGACGCTGATCGCCGAGTTCATCGCACGCGGTGGCAAGCTGACGCGCCGCGAGTGCCGTACGCTGGTCAAGATCGACGTGAACAAGCTAGGCAAGGTGTGGGACTTCTTCAACGAGATGGGCTACTTTGACGCTGCGCGGGAGGCGGGCTGGACGGGCGGGATCGGCTCGCCGCCGAGGAGCAAGGAGAGGGAGGTCAAGAAGCCGAGTTGGTTGGAGGGGAACATGGCTATGAGTGCGAGCTATTCGTTTGCTGCTCCTGGTGCGGGTGTGAACGGTGTGGCTGGATCGGCGCCGCCGACGGTGGTGAATGGATCGGCGGGGAGTAGCGGTGGAGGCGGATTGTTCGGGAGGGCGTTTGGAGGTGCGGCGGGGACCGGGAATGGAGGAGGATTGTTTGACCTAGCTCACTCGAGCAGCGGCGTCACTTCGGCGCAGCATCAGCAGGCGCTTCTGAATCACAACGGAAGGGGCGCACCGCTCGTCTCGATCCCCGGAACCGCGAACGGTGTTCATACCAGCAACAACATCAGTGCCAGCAACAGCAGCAACGGCAACAATGGCGGTGGCGGCAGTGGTGCATCGTCCAACATGGCGACCGGCAGAGCTGGATCGCAGAGCCCGAGCAAGGCGGAAAAGTATCGACCTACGGCTGCTGTTTGAGTGGCTGGCTGCGCAGACCCGGTGTGTCTTGTATTATGAAGCGAAAGGAAACGTCTGGTTTCCTTGCAGCATGGCCAGTGTATTCCAAATGTACTTTATTCTGACGACGATGACGGTGGTGTCGACTGTGAAGTCTTAGACTCAGAGAATGGTTGAACGTGGTAGTGTCGTGGATGAGCCGAGAAGCGGGGCGTGAAAAAGTGGATCTGGAGGTAGAGCGATGCGAATGGCGTAAATTGACGAAAAAGGCATTTGCGTGCCTTGACCCTATTTAGGTCGAGTTTATCCCATGCAGATGCTTTGGATCGCTCGCTTTTGCTGCCACCTCCACCATATCACTCTTGATTGCGACTGCCATCCACCCAATCCGTCCTCCCTTCAACGACCATCCTCACCATCACCCTTCGACGTCACCGCCGCAATCAGACAGCAGTCAGTCATTCCCGCATCGCATAATCGGTCGCATCCCCATCGAGACCGCATCACCGGCACTTCATATCGAGCATCCGACTGATATCTACAGCTAATCAACGGACCAACTCGACTCGACTCTTCCCAGCACTCTGCTTCCACCGACTCATCAGCTCTCTCTCATCATACTCCACCATGGCACCTCCGCGTATCCCATCCGCGTCCTACACGAGCAGCTCCACGGCCAGCCCGTCCACCGCGCCCCCCTCCTCTGGGTGGGACTACATCCTAAAATTCATCCTGATTGGCGACTCTTCCGTGGGCAAATCCTCCCTCCTGGTCCGGCTCACCGACGACCGATTCCTCACCTCACCCGATCCGACCATCGGCGTCGAGTTCGGCTCGCACCTCATCCGCCTCGACAACGGCGAGACCGTCAAAGTCCAGGTCTGGGATACGGCCGGAAGCGAATCCTTCCGCTCCATCACCCGATCCTACTACCGCGGTGCAGCCGGCGCGCTGCTCGTGTACGACGTCACCCACAGAGCCTCTTTCGCCAACGTCAAGAGCTGGCTGGACGATGTGAGGACGAACGCGGAGGAGAAAGTTACGGTGGTGCTGGTCGGGAACATGTACGATCTCGTGGAGCAGGAGGACGGAGTAGAGGAAGACCAAGGTGCAGCAAGGTTGGTGAGGAGAAGAAGCAAAGGTGCGAGACGACAGGTTCCGACACAGGAAGCGAAGGAGTTTGCGGAAAAGGAAGGATTGCTGTTCGTTGAAGCGAGTGCGAAAACGGGGTGGAATGTTAAGGAGGCGTTTGCGTTGGCGGCCAAGGATATCCATGAGAAGTTTTCGCAGGCGGATGCGGAGGGTGCCAACGGCGATGCGCGGCAAGGCGGAGATGCGGGGAGCGGAAGGGATACGTTGGGTAAGAGGAGCCGGATGAGAGCGAGAGCGGGCGGGAGGACGAGCGGTACGGTCAGTCTGGATCAGCAGCAGCAGCCGGGGTCACCGCAGACTCAGAGGAACGTCAGTGGATTTTCGATCCGTAATCTCACACGTGGTGGTGCTGCAGCAGCAGCACAACATCCTAGTGGCGATGGCTCGACCTCAGATTCGCAACCAAGAGGCGCTGCCGAATGCTGTATCATCTGCTAGCTCCACACACATTATGCGCCATCCACACACATCTTTCCACTCAAAGTACCCATTTCATTCAATTCCTTCGTATACCCTTGTCTCTATCCTTCACTTCCTCCTAATCCGCAACAACTGCGTCCCCTGTCTCTGGTACTCCCTACACCTCACCTCATCGTCATCCTTGACATCCTCGAACACAAAGTTCTTCTTCAGCAGACCGAAAAACCGCTTGTCCGCCTTCCTCCTCTTCTGATAGCAGAACAGGATCTCTGTCTCCCTCGTCGACAGGTCGAGCATTGTATCGATCAACGGCTGGAACGCGCTTTCGAGGTAGACGCAATCAGCTAGGAGCAGGACATCCGGGAGCGGCTCGCGGAAAATGGGTGGTAAGCGGGTGCCCCAGTTGAGTTCGTCGACGGAGATCGAATCGGTTGAAGAAGGAAAATTGAGTTGGAGGTTGTCGCGCATGAGGGGAAGCATTACGTCCTGATCGGTGACGGATATAGTGCAATTCGAGAGGTGGAGGGCGTGGACTAGGAAGCCGACGAGGCCGGTGCCGGAGCCCAGTTCGACGATGCGTTTGTTGCGCCAGTCGAAGTTGTGATTGTTGAACCCAGCGTTGACGGTCGCTTTCCCCTCCGCTGAGCCGGGTAATGGCGGAGAAGAGTATTTCCCAGCAATGTATGCCCCCAGCACCTCCGCCGCAGGCCATATCTTCCCACCACAGCCCGTCGTCATGTCCAGCTTCAGATGTACGTCCCACCACTCCTTCCCCGCATCGCCATCCGGTGCAGGGTGCTGTTCATCGATGAGGACAGGTTTCCGCGAGAGGTCTTGGTAGTAGCGGATGGTGGTCCGACGATCGATGATGCTCTCGATCTGCTGGGGGACGATGCTGTAGTCGGTGCTGCTGGGAAGGTCTCGAACATCGCTGGAGGTGGGTGGGGGGGAGGGTTCGTCGTTCATGGCGAGAAAGTGTCGTAGTGGATCGACGAGGTCGAGCTGTTCTTCTCGGATGAGTTCGGATTGCACGTCGGTCGGGGTGAGATCCGAAGGCATCGTAGGCTGATGCTCGAGTGGAGAGATTGCAGGAGTGAGAGAGATGACGGGAAGGTGTTGTCGAAGGAACCCGATGTGGAAGAAAGGGTCAAAAGCTTGGGGAAGGAAGAAAGCTTCTCATTCAGACCCTGAAAATGTCGGCATTTGGCATTCTAGGGCTCCTTTCAGGAGAGCTGGTTAAATCGATCTTACATCGAAGAGAAGAAAATGGAATGCAGGGTCCAGCTCGTTGAAGCGGCAAAGAGTGAGTGACGCAAAATGAAGTCATTGCTCAAAGCACAGTCATACGCAAGGCGGTTCATCCGCGAATGCATTCCTTTGCCGCAGACGAGACTCTGCTTCTTCCGAGCCGAATGAACGGTGACTTGACTGTAGCACCAATCTGTGTCGAGGCAGTCGTTGAACACTACCACCATCGCTATCATCATCCGGTATCAATACCATCCTGCGTCAGATCTCTACCTCGAACAATGCGGCCATTCGCACCGACCTCATCCTTCGCTCGAGCGGTATCCGCATCGTCGCGCACCGCCGCCTCCCCCATCGCAACCCGACTCGGCCTCGCACCCAACCGCAACTTCACCACCACCCTCATCCGTCGTGATGATCAATCTCGAGCCAAAGCCGGCGGAGTAAGTGCCTCCTCCCACCCCCGTACCGTACCCTTCTTTGCCTTGTTTTCCGTTTCTAACCCTCCCATCTTCTCCGATCCGTACTGCCAGGTGAAATCCGTGATGAACCGTCCCGAAATCACCCCGCTCTTCCTCTTCACCGGCGGGATGATCTGCCTCGCGCTCTTCTTCGGCGGCAAACACCTCGTCAAGGACAAAGAGCTGCGTCTCGACCACAAACAGCAGAACCGCCTAGCAACCCAGACCGACCAACTCGACTTCGACGCCATGGCGAAAGTCGCCCAGGATCCCGACGGAAAACTGACCAAGGACGCCATAGAGGAGGATAAGAAGAGACAGCAAAGGTTGGAGGGGATCAGAGAGGAGAAGAAGGAAAAGGCGAACGACAAGGTGTAGAGAAAGAGTTGGCAGGGTAAGATTGGGGTTGGGGGATGGTTTGGAAGAGGAAGAGCGTGATGGCTTGTATCTCAGCCGGCTTCGAAGTTGAGTTGTTGGAATCGACATGACGAGTGCTCAGCCTAGCGGATAAGATTAACCGAACGACGATTCGGAATAGCAAGAACATACAATACAACAGCAGCCTTAGCTGCGTGAAACGATACAAAGCAAAAAAAAAACCTCTTCGACGACAGTGAGATCCATTCAACACGCGACGCACCTTAAGGCAGCGTTGGATGCCTAGCCGAGTCGAGACTGTACACACCGCCGCTCTCCTTGACCACATGCTTAGCAGCCACCAGAGCGATGAGCGTCTTGTTGATCTTAGCCTGCGACATCTCGGGCGTCTTGACGATGTCGGCGATCCTCAGCCCTTTGCCTCCGGCAGCGAGGAGCGCCATGCAGACGTGCTTGGCGATGGCGTTCTGCTTGGGTTCGTTGCCGCTTCGATACTCGAGTGGAAGCGTTTCGATGATCTCGTCGCTGTATGCTTCGCGCTTCTTCTTTTGCGCCAGTGTCATCTTTGGTTTCGCAGCTCCTGCTGCCGCTGCTGATGGGGCTGGTTTTTTGGCAGCAGCGCCGGTCGTTGCAGCGTTGGACGTCTTTTTGAGTGCCGACTTGAGCGCAGGCTTGGCTGGTGCAGCGATGGGTGCGTCGTTGCGGTAGATGCTTTCGTCGTCGGTGGTGACGTAGGTCTGATCTGCTGCTGGGTTGTACATCTGCTGTTGCTGCTGCTGCTGGTGCGACATTTGCTGCTGCATGTACGTCTGCGAGGCCACGTCCAAGTTCTGCTGTGCGGCGTACTGCTGTGCCTGTTGAGCGATGCGCTTCTCTGCTCGATCAAAGTTTTCGTAGCGCGGCGCTTCGGGCCACTCGACGCAGTATGCGTTCATCTTGAGACCGTAGATGTACATGGCAAAGTTCTCGTTGAAGCTGTGCAGACTCTCGTGAACCGCTTCAACGTTGGTCATGTTGAGCTGCAGCACGCCCACTTCCTCGGCGAGATCCGTCATGGCGCCTTGCAGGAACGAAAGCGGCGTTGCGCCTGCAGAGAGCTGTTTGGATGCCGAGTGCGAGAGGGCGTTGAGCGAGCCGCGCGAGATTCGACGCAGAGGCGTGGTGGGTGTGGGACCCGTCGGTGCTCGTGTTCGTGACATGTTGGCCGTCGAAGGATGATGCGTGGGTGGGAGAGGTGGTGGCGACAATGATGGTGGCGGAGCGGCACATCGAGAAAGTGTTGGACTTGAATCCGGTTGGCCATTTTTTGTCACAGAGATTGAGGCACAATTCCAGTGTCACATTCCCATGCCTGCGCGTCGCGAACGCACGTGATGCGCGCTCACTTTCAAGTTACGGTGCAGCAGAGTGTTACTTTCGGGTCGAATCCGCTCGACATGCGCAGCAGCGCACGCGTTCCAGCTTGCTCTTTTTTCCGGCTCCAATACAATGTTAGTTTGCTTCTGCGCAGAGCTGAGCTCTGTAGGACAGCGCAGCGCAGCAAAGGACACTTCCGCACTTTCGGGCCTCCCCTCTTGCCCTTCCGTTAGGTCGTGCTCTTAGTCAACTCTGTCCTCCTGTAGATCACTTCTGACACTGCCATCACTCGGACATTTCCCCTAGACATCATGAAGCCCCTTCTGCTGGTCGCAAAAATCCTAGTCTTGCTTCGAAAGAAGAAGCGATCCAACAAAGCAAAGGAGGCACTTTTTCCCTTCATGCGGTTGCCAGTCGAGATCCAGTCGCGTATCATTGGACACGCTATCAGGCAGGTCTATCGCAAAGACGACCCATTTCGAATAATTCTTCCAATCGCTTATACGAAGGACGTGCTCAATTTGCTCTGTGTGAGCAAGCATTTTCACGGTCTGACGGTGCCTGAACTGTACGCGAGGATCGTCTGGGTAGACTACGAGCAGTCATCTAGCCTCATCGAGACTATTCAGCTTCACCCCGAGTACGTATCTCATGTGCGTGAACTCGAATTGATCGTCGGCTGGACTCCCAACCAAGACCTTCGATTTACGTGGCTTCTCGTCGCGTTGTTGAAGTTTCTCATGCATCGCGCAAGGAGACCTGACAGCAGCAGCATCACCCGGTTGCTCATCTTGACACAGCACCCTCAAGAGCGAGAAGTTATGAATCTCGTTAGCATTATCCAGCCAACGCAGCTAGAATGGACGTATAAACTGTCGCAGCTCGAAATCTACATGAACACTTGCCCATCCTTTCATAAGCTGATGACTGGCCCCTCCATAGGCGAAGACTTTGACAGCTGGACACCACCTTTTTCCTTAACGCAGCCCGGGTTGCTCGATCAGCTTGTTCGATTGCGATTCACTTTGTTCAACGTAGACGTGGAAACTGCACACCTTTTGGCTTCGCTGCCGAATCTGCAATCCCTTACTTTGTCGGGGAACACGACATCCAACATCGACAGGGAGTACTCACAAATTATCCTCACTACAGGACACACACGCGAGAATCTCACCGCTTTATCCATATGTGGAAGCCCTTTCGCAATACGACGCGAGCTTCACTCAGAAATCGGACTGTGCATTCTCACGGCGGTAGGGGCCAACTTTGACTGCAAGACATCTGTGTGCGACCTACGCCATGGACCCGAGCAAAAGGTCTGGCACGGCTGTCTGGACACTGCGATATTCGATCATCATGACCATCCAGTAGGCCCACATATTCAATGTCCGCGATGCTGTACGATTGCTGGGCACCTAGTGGTGATGCCGGACAATTCCTCTCCTTCTACTCAGGCGCTTGCTGTCGAGCAGCAGAAATCGGTGATCCCACCTGCACAGAGGTCTTCGTGGCGCTATGGACTCTGCAACGATCATTACCGCCAGGTCTTCCAGCAACACCTCAGCAGTGACGATCAGGTCCGTGACGACGATGTCAATTTTTTTCACAAGAGATTGCTCGAATGCGTGCGATGGCACTCTTGCAGGAAGCACTAGCTTCAGTTCCAAACACCAAAGGCCTGCTCCCAGACGAATACATAGCAGTTCAACAACAATGTAAGCATTCGAAAAGCAACGAGTCAATGTCAAAGATTTTCTCCCTTGAGCGTGCGTGTAGGGGACATAGCGTTGACGATGGATCTTCCGACCATCCAGCGAGAGAAAAGGGTCGGCGCCGTGTTTGACGTGAAGCGCAGGGGCGACTCGCTTGCGCAATGTGACAGTAGAGAGGGAAAATCAGCGCAGACGCGATTTCTGGCTAAATTTGATCTAAGCCTTGGTGTGCGCTGGTGGGTCACTTTTTTTGTCTGGCGGGATCAACACTCGGTGTCGCGCCTGTCAGCACGTTTCTGTGACTTCTGCGCTGAGCCATCGACCTCATTTCGAGGAATCAGCTTGAGCTCGCTGTGCCTTTCGGACGTTGCAAAAGGCTTATAAGACTCTTCCTGGCTGTCGTGCAGGCTTGCTTCCCTACCACATCTTTCTACTCCGCTGATGACTACCTTCCTTCCGTTTCAGATCATACCTTTGTCCCTGCGTCGATATGGCGAAACGAAAAAATAAAAACAGAAAGCTTCGCCAAACAGGCAAAGAGCGGCAGGAAGGCAAAGAATCAGAAAACGAACAGGCAGAATCGCCGCCACCTCTGCCGCCGCCGCCGTCCGCCGAGGTCGTGAGGGCAAAGTCGCCACCATTGCCGCTCGCTGAGGTCGCGATTCCCATCCCCGTCCAGACCTTTGCGTTCATGCGCCTTCCTTACGAGCTGCGATCCCTGGTGATATGTTTTGCGCTTCACGAGGCGCGTAGGCCGGCGGAAGGGTCGCGCCGAAGAAAGAGTCGTCGCGAGGTTGGCGATGTTCTTTGCGCATGCTCTCACGTGCACCAACTAGCGATCCCTCGCCTTTATGCCCGCCTCGAGTGGTGGAGGATCCCGGATGCAAATCGGTTGCTTGAAGCGCTCTATTCGCATCCAGAATACGCTTTGCATGTTCGCGAGCTGCACATTTCTAAAGGCGATGAGGACACCTACAACTCTCATCGTGCATTTCAAGTGGTCGATGCTTTGAAGTCAGGTCTACAAGGGCTCAATACCTCGGTAAACAAGCTGCAACGACTGTCATTATCCTTCACATCAGATTTTGCGGATAGAGCTTTCGACGTTTTCCGGACGTTCGAGCCTTTGAAGTTCCGATGCCAAGCGAAACATGATCCATTTATCGGCAACACTTACCCTTCGCAGCGGCTCAATTTCAAAAGTCTCGTCGGAAATGAACGCCCGGACCACGGCTGCCTCTCAAGGCTCGAGGTATTGGACTTGATTGGCTTCGAGTTCGATGAGGCAACCGCCTCTTTGCTATCAAATTTACCAAATCTACGGGCGCTCTTCATTACCGGGAATCAAGGTGTTCTGCCACTCAACTGGGCCAAGGCGATTCGTGTCGTGCTCTCTACGGGCAAAACGAGGGCAAATCTCGAACTTTTTGGTGCAATGGATTGTTCTCCTTCGGTCCGTGCTGACCTGCATCGGCTCCTGGGTATCTGCGTACCTTGGTTTTCACTTAAAAGCGCCTCCACGACCAAAGTATCCCTTCGATTTTCTTGGATTGGCTGTTATGAAATCGATGCAGTCGACGGCCCTCGCTGCGCGAGATGCTACTTTGATCCACAGCAAGCCTACATCGAACCGAACAACACGGAGAATCAGGCTTCTCCTGATACAACACAAGTAGGAGTATGTCCAGACAAGCCTCGGAGGTCCGGTCTTCCCTTCGATTTATGCCCAACACACTACAAGAACATTTTTCCCGAGTTCAATGTCGGACAGACAATCCAAGACGAGGCTGACTTTGTCCGGCGCAGGGCATTGGAATGTCTGCGATGGTTTTGAGCGGTTCGAATCGCTGAGATGCGTCCGAGAGATCATCGCGCTTCGAGCCTGGTTCGGCCATTTGATGTAGCAAAAGGGAAGCGAGCATCAATGCCAAGAGCGCTAGGTAAAGTCAGTTGCGGCAAGCGGGGAAAATCGCATCCACACGACGATTTTCTAGCGCCACCACCGAAATTTTCGAACCTCGACTCCAACGTGCAGCGCTTCCTGCGATCCACAACTGCATTCGCGCAGCTGACCTGCAAACAGCATACAAGTTGGACGCCATCTACCGCGAACAGCATTCGCCTCTTGCACACGCAACGAAACGCACCTCAACTTCGCGGACGAAGCTATAAGAAGTTGCACTCCTGCCAGGTCGTCCTCTCTTTGTCGCTCCGATTTCTCCTCCCACCTCACTCGAACTTTTTTGTCCAGTAAAGCAGCCTTAAGCCCAATGCTGAACAGCAACAACAACACGAACGAATTTCAGCTCGACATTATGCCGTTCCCGTTCCTAAAGCTACCACGAGAGATCCAGATCATCATCATGGAATTCGCACTCGCCGTAGACGATGTGACGAACCACGTAAAAGCCAGTTCAGACCTCATCAGCTGTTTAACGGTTAGCTCGTATATGTATTGGCTGAGCCTCCCCATCGCGCATCGTCATGTGCGGTGTCAGGGTTTTGTCAAGTCACACTGGCTGTTTCGCGCCTCGGTCGACATGCACCTTCGAAACTATTGGATCAAGATGAGAACGTTAGCACTACACGTTCAGCATCCTCCTCGAGCGGTCAAACCTCCTTGGTTCGACTATCATCCGTGTCGAGTGAATGAGGCCCGTCTCATCGTCATCCTTGCTCGTGCCATTAGTTACGCGCTCTGGGAAGTTCCAGTCCCCTCGGGTCTGGACACTTTGGAGCTGGCTGTACCGAGGGAGAGAATGCGAGAGGTCGCCGAGACTCTTGACCTTCTGTATCCAGCTTGCTTCATATGGCGAGAACCCAGGGGCAAGCCGTACACGGATGTTCGAGGCAGCGGTCACGCTTCGTTACTTTGTATGGTGGAACGCTACGATGGCTTCTTCAATTGGCTCTGTTGGGTCAGCGACCTGGAGGTTCCGCTGTATCTAGACACGGAGACGGCGATGCTGCTTGTTCAACATTCGAGGCTCAACACCCTGACGATACGCCTACAGTATGAGGTGCGCGAGTCTTGGAGACAGCTGTACTACCTTATGCTATGCGATCAGACTCACTCTACTCTTAAGCTTTTGGTTCTCTCGTGCCCCGAACGCGCACAACGCCGCCGTCTCGAGGAGGATCTAGGCGTATGCTTGCCGTACATGTCCCTGAAAATCGGAACGAAGGCGTTAATGTTCAGTTGCACAGATGCCAAGGACCCTCGTGGCTCATGTCTTAAATCCCACTACTTGGGAAACAGTCATGACAAGACGACATGCCCAAGATGCTGCGTGCTCTTCAACCAAACAACATCCTGCTCCGCGAACGAACGCATGGACGTGGACACTTTTCAAACGGGTCATCGCTCCGTATAGTGTCCACATGGGCCAGCGTAAGAATGCGGCTTCACAACGCGACTTTGGACTCTGCGAGCTGCACTATGCAGAAATTATGCAGGTCGACCGAAACAAGGACGATGATCAAGAAACGATAGCAAAGGATCTGCGTTGGGCGGCTCTACAGCGGGTTCGTTGGTACGATCCCGAGGATAGGTGGTAGGCTGTGGCTGATGTGTCTTGACTCATTCTTGTCCTGTATTCGGATATCATGCAATCGCTATGTCGTTATCAAGAACAGAGGCTCGTTGGCGGAGCGACTGTCGAAGTGTGTCAATACCAGGCGAGTCCTGTCTGACGTTGGACGTGAGCTGAAAGGTTGTAGAAACGAGCCATCTTTCGTTGGGGTGGCACTCTTTGACGGCGGCGTTGTCTCTAATTTTCCATCAGGTCGCGCTTGTCAGGTCGACGTGTCCTGCCGGATCTTGCGATTTTCCTGCACGGACCTTTGCAAGAACTCGTTCTTCACCCAACTCTCCTTCTTCCTGTCCACCACAAATCCATCCCTCACCCTGTCATCGGGATCCTCCAGGGTGTCGGAACGATGGATCGACTACTGAACCTTCAAACGGCGCTCTCGCTCGGCTACGTCGGGAGTATGGTGCTCGCCGCTCACTTGCTGTCCGTCTCCGTCCTTCCTCGCACCGCCTCTCGCAAAACCCGCGGTATCTTCCTCTGGCTCGTCTTCGACGCGATCTGTCACCTCACCCTCGAAGCGTCCTTCCTCTACCTCTCCACCCAAAACCGGACCGTCAACGCCTCCTCCTCGTTCTTCGGTCAGCTGTGGAAGGAGTACGCACTAGCGGATGCACGATGGGGTACGGCGGACGCAACGCTCGTAGCGATGGAGTGGGTGACCGTGCTGCTGGCGGGTCCGTTGGCGGGGTACTGCGCGTGGCTGTTGGCGAAAGGAGATGTGGGCTACCACTACTGGGTGGTGGTGCTGTGTACGGGGGAGATTTATGGTGGGTGGATGACGTTCGCGCCGGAGTGGTTGACGGGGAGTGCGGGGTTGAAGACGGACGATTGGTTGTTGCTGTGGGGGTATCTGGTGGTGATGAACCTGGTGTGGGTGGTGGTGCCGATTTGGCTGATGGTGGACAGCTATGGGTTTGTGGTGGAGAGTTTGCGGACGAGTCGTGTGGAAGATACGACGGTCGTCGGAAGGAATGACAAGGAAAGGAGGGTTGAGAAGGTCAAGGCGCCGACGATGGCGCGCAGCTTGACTTCGACGAGAGGCCTTTCCGGCTCGGCATACCTTTTAGCTCTCGCAGCGCTGTTCATCTACGTCATGCCCACAGCAGCAGCCGCGCAGCAGACGTACGATCCCCTGGCAACAACGACCTTACTACCCATTCCTCCTTCCGACCGCTCTGAACCCTTCACCACCACCCTGCGCAACTTTTTGGTGCCTCTGCTCCTCCCGCTCGGCCTGCTCACCTTTTCGTTCAGCGTCGGTGCCGTCCAAGTCGCAGACAAGGCGCTGCGCAAAACGCGCAAGTCCAACCGCATCCGTCGACGCAAATTCCTCTCCACCCTCGACATCGACGAGAAGACGCAGGGAGCTCGGAACATCGTCGGCTTCTTCCACCCGTACTGCAACGCCGGTGGTGGCGGAGAACGTGTTCTGTACGAAGCTGTGCAGCTGCACCTTGCGTTGGATCCGAAGTGTATCATCGCTGTGTACACGGGTGACTTTCCTGGTGCGTCGAAGGAGGAGATCCTCGGCAAGGCGTCGAGTCGATTCGGAATCGAGCTGGATTCCAGCCGAATTCTCATGATCCCGTTAGGCAGACGCTGGATGGTGGAGGATACGACGTGGAAACGTTTCACGCTGTTGGGGCAGAGCTACGGCAGCATATGGTTGGCGTTCGAGGCGCTGTCGAGCTTGATACCCGATGTGTACATCGACACGATGGGGTACGCATTCACCTTCCCAGTAGCCAGACTGTTCAAACGCGATCTTCCCGTAGGCGGGTACGTCCACTACCCGGTCATCTCGACGGATATGCTCGAGAGGGTGAGGAGTCGGGTCGGCGGACACACGAATGCGTCGAGCGCGAATTCGAGCGTCAAGACGTTTGTCAAACTGGCGTACTACAGGTTGTTCGCGTGGGTGTACGGGTGGGTGCTTAGGCGGGCGGATGTTGTCGTTGCGAATGGCAGTTGGACCCAGGCACATCTGAAGCAACTCACGGGAAAGCCAGTTGAAAAAGTCTACCCGCCTTGCGATACGGACGAGATGGCCGGGTTCGCACTCGAAGCACGAACGCACACCATCGTTTCCCTCGCCCAGTTTCGTCCAGAAAAGGAACACCCCCAGCAACTGCACATCCTCCGCGAACTCCTCTCCACCCACCCGCACTTAGCGAACACCGTCAAACTCGTCATCATGGGTAGCTCGCGCAACGTCGACGACGAGCACCGCATCTCGCTGCTCCGACAACTCTGCACTTCGCTTCAGCTAGACGATCACGTCGAGTTCGTCGTCAACGCCGACTTCAAAGAAATCCTCAAAAGGCTGCAGACGGCAAGTGTAGGCGTCAGCACCATGAAGGACGAACATTTCGGGATCGGCGTCGTCGAGTTCATGGCGAGCGGCTTGGTGACGGTCAGTCATAGGTCGGCGGGTCCGTGGTTGGATATCGCCGTTCCTTCGGCGAATCACCCTCTACCGAAGGAGAAGGCTGCAGCGATACAGCAGGAAGGGAAGGAAGTGGCGGTGGGGTATCACGCAGAAACAGTGGAGGAGTTCGCGTCGGTGCTAGCCGAGATCTTTGAACTGCAGGACAAGAACCCAGACAAAGTGCTGCAGATGAGGGAGGCTGCGAGGGAAAGAGCGAGACGTGTTTTCGGGAGAAAGGCGTTTGTCGAGGCATGGCAAGAGAAGCTTTGGTCGAGGTTGGAGGGCAAGACGCAGAAGATAAACAAGCAAAACAAGAAGGATCAATGACATTCAAAAATGTTTTCATTTATCGACGAGGTCTGCACAGTCTCATCCGGATAACGGCTCTGAGATTGGCTGTGGCATTGACGCTTGCGTTGCAAGGTCGAATGGGAGACACGAAGGCTGCGCTGCCTACATCAACAGCGTTCAAAGACCCGATACAGATCAGGGAGATTGGCGACTTGAATCACGTACTCGTTGGTCGCCTTGCTCGGCACGTACTTGCCTCTGGATTTGGCCATGCTGTCGAACCAGAGATGCTGAACCTTCCTTTTGGATGCTTCCTGCTCTTCTTCGCGCTCCTTTTCTGCACGGGCTTCCTCCTGCTGTCGCTGCGCCACGTCAACCGAAGCCTCCTCGCTGATATTTGCTGCTGTAGCTGCTTCTGCTGCTGGTGTCACCGCTGCTGCCGCTGGTGGCGGACAGGGTGTGCAGCTCCAGGCGAGCTGTCGTGCAAACGTATCAAAGCATTCTTGCTCGTCCGACCAACCCACACGCGTCGCCATTCTCACCAGCAGCTGCGGCAGACGATCAAATTCGATGGCACTGCCGTAGACGCCACTCCCGGAAAGGAGACTCGGAAGTGCCTCGATTGTCCGCTTCTCGGCGTCCAGACACACTGAAAAATATTCTTGGATCATCTCGGCGTTGCCGACCAGCAGCTGGACAATCTTTTCCCTTGTCGCCTCGATGCTTCCCGAGTCGTCTTCGGGGATACCGACCGTGTCTTGGAGTGCCAAACGAACGAGATCGTCGAGCTTGGGTGCAGGATCCAGTCGGATCCGACTCAAACTGCCAAATTGACGAAGGACGAGCTGGTAAGCAAACTCACGGATCATGGCGTCGTGATTGACGAGCAGCAACCTCGTTTCGTGCTGTACCAGGCTAAGGCCCTTGCGAAGATCAACGACGCCGACGAAGGTGTGATTTTGGACGACGTCGGTAAGATTTCGATGTTGGGCTTTTGAGATCTGCGCTCGCAAATGTCGTACAGATGTCAGGGAGCAGTCTGAGTCAGAGATGCGGACATTGAGCGATTCTCGACCGCGTTTGATTAACGAGCCGACACTGGTGCTACCGCCGTCGCCATCGGTGTTTGCGAACGAGGCGCTGCTTTCCACGTTGGCAGCCCAGTGTGGCACGGACGTCGAGGCCTCGTTGTCTGCTGCTAGGTCTGCCATGGTTGCATCGGAAGGTGCAGACTCCAGGCCATCAGACTCGAGGGCGCGCTTCTTGCCGATGGCTTTGGACCCAAACATGGCATCAAGCGTCCTCGTCTTTGCATCGACACGGACCAGATGCTGTGGATATCCCTTGGATGAAGAGACGGGACCGGAGCTGTCCGATTTGCGAACAGAATTGACGGGGCTGTGGGTGCCGCTTGCGCCGCTACTGCTGCTACTGCTGGTAGCCTCCCCCAGAGGCGGTCTCGACACGTGCTCGGTCACTCTTGGCGCAACCGCTGAAGATGCTGAGGTGACACCTACATCGGGGGCAAGAATAGGAAGGACCGCTTGCGAAAAGGTGAAAGTCCTGCTCGAGTTGGCACCGGCCAGCAGTTTCTGTACATCTTGGCAAATGTGCTCGACAATCTCCTCCTCGTGCAGGAAATGAACCTCCTTTTTGGTAGGATGCACATTGACATCGACGTTTGCCGGATTGACTGTGATGGACAGGTAGACCCACGGATGGCCACCCTTGGGCAGGAGCGTAGCGTAGAGCGCTTCGATGGATCGTTTGAGCAAAGGGCAATCGACGAGACGATTGTTGATGAAGCATAGCATGGTGGTTCGTTTGCTGCTCCAATTGGCGCCGCTGACCCAGCCGTGACACTGGAATCCGAGATTGCCGTCCGCGACACCTTTGAGCTGTACTAGTTCGCGCGCGACTGCGTTGCCGTGCAAAGTTCGGATCGTGTCCAGGGTAGAGTTAGTCGGAGACGAGGGAGTGTTGAGATCGGTGGCATTGCTGGAAGCTTTGCGACAGACGAACCCAACGCCTTTGCCTCCGTAGTGGACGGCGTATTTGGAGACGACGTCGAGCGCACGATTGTATTCGTCAGCCGCGCTACGCAAGGCTCTACGACGTTGAGGAACGTTATAGAAGAGGTCCTCTGCGGTGATGAGCGTTCCGTCTGTTCCTGCGCATTGCTTTGGATCGGCGCTCTGACCAGGTTTGGAAGGGGTGAGGCTGCCGTTGGCGTAATAGGCTCGAAAGGCACAGTCCTGATGTTTGGTCTTGGAGACGACATTCATGGACGCGGTGACGTAGCTGATGCTGGCGAGCGCCTCACCTCTGAAGCCGAAGGTGGACATGTTTTCGAGATCGCCAAAGTCTCGCAGCTTGGAGGTTGCGAAGCGTTCGCAAAGCAGAGGCAGGTCAGAGGGCTGGATGCCGGAGCCATTGTCTTGAATCTGTAGCATCTTGATACCGCCTTCCTTGAGGGTGATACGGATGAGGGTGGCGCCTGCGTCGAGCGAGTTTTCGATGAGCTCCTTAAGCGCATTGGCGGGACGATGTATAATTTCGCCGGCTGCGATGCGATTGACGACACTTTCGTCGAGCCGTTTGATGGGTCGGTAACGAGACGACTCTGCCTCGGGCGAGAGCTGCTGCTCTGTTTCGTCTGCCATACTGAAGAGCGTCAATGCAGTACAGGCGAGCAATAGGATGGATGGAGTCGAGAAGGGTGGGCGGTCCTATATACTAGTGGAGGCATCTGCATCGCTGAGCATGGAGGTGTGCGATGGGGCTGAGTCGAAATGAAGTGGCAGTCGAGTCAAGCCTCGGGGTGACTGGTGGCTACTTTCATGTCGGCGTAGCGATTCTTTACGACATGACAGTCCAATCAAGGTGATACAGTAGACGTGATGGTCGTTGTGCTTGAGGGGGAGAGATGGTCGGTGCGTTTATGTGAGTGTGGCTGAGCTGTGCGTCGGTAGAAGTTCCGAAAGTGTTGATCTTTGACAGTTCTTGCGCCCAACTCTACGCGTCGCGTAAATTGTGACGGCCAAGGCTCTCTCTTTTCCGCCTTCTCTTCTTCCATCCTTCCAGCCATCACAACCATCACAACCATCACACTCACATCTCGCTCTTCTGCCTCACTGTCACAATGTCACAACCAGGCTCGCCAACCACACCTGAACCCTCCTCGTCCACCGTCTCACCCTCCAAATCATCCAAACCCCAACGCGGCACCTCCATCTTCCCCACAGCCCGAGTCTCGCGCATCATCAAGGCGGACCGCGACGTCGACATCTGCTCCAAAGAAGCCACCTTCCTCATCAGCATCGCCACCGAAATCTTCATCAAGAAACTGACAGACGAAGCCTACACCAACGCAAAGCTGGACAAACGCAAGAACGTCTTCTACAAGGATCTGTCAAGGGCGGTTCAGCAGAACGAGCATCTGGAGTTCCTGAAGGATGCTATTCCTACACCGGTGGCGCTGTCCACCGCGTTGGAAGCGAGAGAGAACAAGGCGCAGCAGAAGCAGCTCGAAGAGGAGATGATTCTGGAAGGCACGCTGCAGGACGAAGAAGAAGACGAAGAGGAGGTGGAGGAAGACGAGGAAGATGACGAGGGCGACGACGGCGAGGCCGCAGAAGAGAATGCAGACGGAGCAGAGCAACAAGCCGATGCTGAGCCAGCCCAAGATGCAGCTGCAGAGTCGCAGCCCTCGAAACCTACCAAAAAGAAGGCTGCTTCCAAGAAAAGCCCTTCCAAATCCCAGCCTTCGGTCCAAACACAAGACGACAGCCAGCACGACGACATGGACCAAGACGACGACTAGATTTTCCTCCTCAAAACGCCCGTCCCTGCTGCTTCCCCCGCACGTCGACTCGGCATCGCATCCCACACCATGTACTTTTAGACTCATCCGCAATCCACCAACATTCTCATTCATTCACGCACACAGAACTCCAGATGCAGATGTATGACACTGTCTATTCGAGTAACACATCACCTTCAGGCCAAACTGCCGCCCATGGAAATCGCCGCCGCCGTACGATCGCTTCCCTCCAACAGCTGACCGAACAGTCCACTGGCCGACTCCTCACTGCGCATCTGCAGCATGTAAATAATCCCCGTCCTGTTGCCCTGATCGCTCAACTCGACCGCCACTCCCACCTTGCCCACACGCTCCACGCCGTCCGTCAGCACGATCGTCGAGATGAGCGTCTTGCGATCGTTCTCCACCACCAACTGCCTGATGTCATCCGGCAGGATGTGGAACAGCTTCAACCGTGCGTTTCCCAACGACTTCCACTGCGCGTGTGACTGCTTGAGGAACAGCTTGCAGCGCATCTGCGCAGACACGGTGCTTCGGAACGGTCCCTGTCGCTTCTGAACCGGGCTCGAAGGTGGCGAAACGTCCGTGCCACGTTCGCCACGTTCGCGTCCCTCCTTCATCATGGCGGAAGGAAGTTTGGGCGCAGAAGAGCCGGTGCTGGACACGGATCGCGTGCGGATGAACGATCGCCCGCCGCCCTCGACTTCGTCCGAGGTGCGTCCATCCCCAGACGAGCTGTGCGATGGCTGGCGCAGATTCGGTGCAGAAGGTCGACGCATGGCTTCGCGTGTTCCCATACCGTTGGGAGGTGGACGAGGCGGTCCGGGCGCCCACGATACACCTCCCGGAGGCGGTCGTCCCATGGGCGATCGGGGAGCGCCGTTCATGAAGGCAGGTCCACCAGGTCCCATGCCAGGCGGAGGTGGCGGTCCCATTCCTGGCCGCACGTGCATCGGACCAAAGCCAGGACTGCTGCCTGGACCGCCACCTGGCCTCTGACCGGGGATCGGACTCGGCCCTCCACGTGGGAATTGCATCGGTCCCCCCGGCCCACCGGGTCCTCCAGGTCCTCCAGTTCCACCAGGTCCTCGCATACCGCCTGGCGAGCGAGGCGGCATGTTGGGATCCTGCATCAGCGGCGGTCGTCCCATGCCCGAGGGTCCATTCGGCCCAAAGCCGCCCGGACCATACCGTGCAGGTCCAAACGCCGGACTCGTGTCGGGCGAGAGCGTGCCACTGGTGGGCGACATCATACCGGGACGCGCCATGGGTGGTCCACGAGGTCCACCCGGTCCGCTGCCCGGTCCAAACTGCGAAGGCGAAGGCGCCCGGGACGAGAATCCCGGATGGCTGCCGTGCGGCAAGATGCCGAGATCCGGTGAGCCAAGCGCAGGTACCTTGGGGAATGACGCGACCGAGTTGAACGAGGCTTGCCGGGACAGATCCGAGCCGATGACAGGCGAGTTGTCTGCTTCGAGGCTGAAGGGTGCCGAACTCGCATGCCCTGCCTCGTCGTGTCCATTGAGAGAAGACGGTGTGATCGAAATGGCGGGTGAGAGCGCGGGTGTGGTGAGACTGGGCGCTCCGGATGCTAGCGTGGCACCCGACGCGACACTGCCACCTGCAGGAGGTGCGGCCATCGTGCTGGCGCCCGTCTTGAGCTTGAGCCCCATGTTGGCTGCAAACTTTTGGCAATCGGCAAAATGCTCCAGCCAACTCTCCTTGGCTTCTCGAGAGTCGGTGTGCACGATGAGCCTTTCCTTCTTCAGGATGGTGATCGACAGCACATTGCCTTGGCCGCCCATATCAGCGACACGCAGATGCTTGCCGGCTAGAGGTGGGTACAGGAGCCACATGTCAGGACCCACGCCGCCACTGGAGAGCTCGGCCTTCTCGCTCGGCGTCATGCGCTCGCAGACCAGGAAGAGGTCGGTGAGCAAGAACATGTGCGCCCTTCGAATCGTGACCTCGGGCCCACCGCTGGAGGGGGTAAAGTGGATCACGACGTCGGCCGACTTGCGCATGGAGCGGGCAAAGGGGATGCCGGGCGGGTTCATCTGTAGCTGACACTTCTTGGGCTTCATGGTAAAGATGTCGAGCGTCCTGGACGTGTCGAGACGCTTCTCGAGCAGCTCGATGGGCTGCGAGAGCGAATTGGTGCGCGAGGATGTGGCTGTGTCGGTAGCGGTCTGCGAGACGCTGTCGTGGACGCTGGCCACCTCGGAATTGCCGCGAATCAGATCGGGCCGCGAAGACGTGAGGGTGGGCTGATCGAGGCTGAGGCCGTTGAGCTGAGCAGTGGGTGGCGCGCCTAGCAGAGGAATGCCTGCGGGTGTAGGAGCGCGGACGGTAGAGGCGGCAGAGCCGGTGCTTGCACCATTGCTGGGTTCTGCCGCTGAGATGCGAGGGGGAGAAGACTTGTTGCCGAAGCTCTGAACAGGCTGCACACTGGGCGATTGCGACTCGGACGCGGAAGTGGCAGAGGAGACACGGTCGCGCGGCGAGTTTTCGCTCGTGACGTTGCTCTCGGCGAAGGAGCTGTCGCGCGACTCGCGGCCTGCAGCCTCGTCAAGCACCGAGACGGCAAGTCTTCGTCTGGATTTGTCGACGAGCTCGTCGAGCTTCTCGTTGGCGCCGACAAGCAGTCGGTGATCGCTTCTTCCCGGCTGGGTGCTTTTCAGAAGGCGCGAGTAGAGCTTCTTGTAGTACTTGAGACGGATGTGCGGGAGCGCAAAGAGTGCATCGAGCGTCCACAGCTCGGTTGGGTCGCGCTTTCGATCGCTGAACACGACAGCTCGACCTTCGGCGTCTGTGGCACCCGAAACTTCCTCGAGGAGCTTGGCGAGGCGCGGATTGGACTGGACGGTGGACCAGGCGTCAAAATCGGCGAGGTAGCCTTCGCAGAAACGCGTGTAGGGCGCCTCGAGGTCGTCGATCCACTTCATGAGCAAGTCGCCGAGTGCTTTGGGCGAAGAAGGGTTGGGACCGATCTCTTTGAGTGCCTTGAGAAAGCCGCGATTGGCTCGGTATATGGCTTCGACGTTGCGAAACATGGTGTCGAGCTCGGGTGGTGGGAAGTTGGAGCGGGACCAGGCGGCGGCGACCTTTTTTATGATCTTGCTGAGCTCGGACACGTAGGCAGCTTCTGTCTCGAGCAGATCGACGAGTGGATTGGTCTTTTTGGCCTTGTCCTTTTCGCTGGCGTCCTTGGAGCCGTCGTCTCCGTTGCCCCCGGCATCGTTGCCGTCGCCTGCTCCGCTGCTGCGCTGTGAGCCGTTGCGATCTGTGAAGCCAGAGCCTGCGCCGCTACTTGAGCCAGGCTGACCGAAGGAGTTGCCGTTGGTGCTCGAGTAGGCGCCGTTGCCGCCAAAACTGCCGCTCGCCGAAAGGGTGGAGCCGGCATTCTGGCTCAAATCGAGATTGAAGGGGTCCGTCTCGGTGAGCGAGTGTGAAGAGGATGAAGGTTGCATACCGCTGGACGGACCGGCGAGCGCATCGAGCAATGCAGCGTTTTTGGGCGCCCCTGGGTCGTGGGACAGAGGAGGAAGTGGTCTTGATTCGGAAGACGAAGCTAGGGGAGATCGAGGCAGCGAGCTTGAGTAGGAGGAGGAAGAAGGGGCTGCGTCGTTGCCGAAGAGCGTGTGAGGTATCGAGAATGGGCTGTGCATGCCACTAGCTGGACCCAAAGGTGGGAGCCTGTCCATTGGAGCTGCCGCCATCATGGTCTGGGTTATGGACGCGAAAGAAGAGCTTGGCGTGGACAGAGCCGGTGTGTGATGAAAGGGTGCGACAGGTGCAGTTGCTAGATAGAAGGTTGGTGGACAAGTCTTACTGCCACTGCTGATGCTGTTGTCGCTTTCCCTGACGGCCTCGTCGTAGTGCTGAGGATTTTGGTGTCCAGATGCGGCTGGCAGAGAAGAAAGGGGACGACTGAACGAATTGCGAGGCGGGTAAGCGCCTTGAAGGATGCTGCTGGCTCGGCACTGATGCGATACTGGTGCAAGTGGAAGGGTGAAGCGCTGTGATGTTGCCGAGTCCGCTTGTTTGCAATCCGGAGCTGTAGTGGGCAACGAGACACCAAGAGGGTGTTGTGTTGGCGATGGTGCGGGTAGTGAGCGTCGAGAGAGGGGGTGGAAATGGTCGGGCGGGTCGCGAGGCGGCATTACGACGTGTATCGGCGCGGCGGTGAGACGAGATGATGGTGATGCATTGGGACAGCAAGAGGAGAGAGTGGGTGTTTATGCAGCAGAGGTTGAGGCGATGCGATGAGAGCGATTGCGAGAGGAAATCGGCGAAGCAGAAAAACCGGCGTGTCAGTGGGAACAAAGGAAAGCGGAGTCGAGCGACGGAAGTGCGCTGACGTTGGGCGGAATGAAGGCAGCCCACGCGGAGATGCAGAGTACGTACAAGGTTCCAAGTTGACTTACGAGTCTATCTTGACGGAGCTTGACAGAAAACCTCGAGACGCAATGATTGCGTATCCAAGGTAGTAGCAGCCAAATGCAGAAGCAGCGATTTACGAGATTACAAGCAGGCGACCGTGACGTTGAAAGCGACAGCGACGACCGAGTATCGGAATGGCAAGAGCCAAGCTGCGATGCACGACTGGGAAGAAGGATCCAGAAGCCAGAAAGAGACTTGCGATGTGCGCGTAAGAGTGATGGTGGGAAGAACGCAAAGACAATTCGGGTGTGCGGATCCTGAAGAGGTGCGAGATGCGAATCGATGCAAGGCGAGGCGAAACCCAAAGTCCAGGTTGTGAAGCGCGGAGCGTGAGGCTGAACGCGATGGAGGCGAGATGTGGAGACACTATCGCCAGAGTATGGGTAATGATGAGCTTGACCGGGATGGTGCGGCTGAAGGAAACAGCGATGGAGGATGGCGTCGAGAAGGTTGGATCGCAAAGCCAAAAGGCAAATCCAGCATAGCGAGCAAAGCGAGCAGCCAAGCACAGTCAAAGCCGACAATTGGGTCGAAGCATGCGCTGCCGCCCTCTCGAGCGCAGCCTGGCTATCCATCGACAGTCGGATTTTTGAATCGCGATCGCACGCTGCTGCTACAGCTCACAGCAGACAGCGAGAAACAACACTCTCACACACGCCAGGCAATTATTTTCTTTTTCTTCTTTTCTTTTTTGGTTGGTCACCTTGGTGCATTCCCAGCCTCTTTTGCCAGCCAGGCGCGACTAGGCGCGACGCTGTGTGACGAATGGTAGCGAGACGAGACGAGGAAAAAAGATAATCGGAGCTTGAACCACACTCGTGCAGCACCACCCCCAAGCAGCCAGCCACCTTGCACTTGGAAATAAGAACACGCACGTCGGCGCACGTAGCTCATGCACCGTGATCAGCACAAATCGCGCTTGGGCAGACGAAGCAGCACGCCAACATACAACGCAGACACACAGACACCGGTCGCCCTGCTACTCTGCAGCGCCAGGGTGTTTTGCCGTTTTGATGTCACGACGACGAATGCAAGCTGCAAATCTCGGCTTTGTGCCCTCGTGTCCCTCGATGGAGTGGCAGCGGGCATATCTCTGTACGTTCAAAGCAGCTCATTGCTCATGCACAAGGCGCACAGGCAAGGCGAGATGCTGTATCTCCAAGTGTTGAAACGCACATGGACTCGTGTACTGGTACCTTCGAGTGCGAAAGCAACCAGGATCATCAGCATCGCAACCCGGCAACGGAGCTCTCTCTGTCCGTATGCATATCGAGAGTAAGGGCTCTTCCGATGCGCAATAAACTAAGCGCAACGTGCAATATTGCTTTCTGATCGACCGCTCCCCCACAGCAAAACAGAGGAAAATCATCCGGAATTCGAGGAAGAGAAAGAGACGTAGTAGCGGGGTTTCAATTTTAGACCCATCCGCTGCCAATCAGCTGTCTGTGTCTCTCGGTTTCTCGAAAATCACAGCCATTTCTCTTTTTTCTCTTGCAGTCTCGGTGTTGGTCTCGGTCGCGACTTTCTTGTTGTTGTTGTTGTTATTGCTGATTGGCGTTGTTTGGAAAGAATTTCGCGGCTGGTAAACACGATGGAGCCTTGCGGGCGGCTTCTCACCTCGAACCGCATCACTACAGCGCGCGACGCAGAACCGTCCGCCCCGTCGGGTCTGTTCAGACGTCTGCAGTTGCTGTTCCGAGCACCAATCAAGTGATCCGCACCGCCCTTAGCATCCTTTCTTCTCCCCCCCGTTGGTTCCGCCGCCGGCGTCGGAGCGGCGATACGTTCGCCTTCGCTTTCCCCTTCCAGAAGAACGGGCAACCTTTGACTGACATTTCCGGTCCAAGACCTGACGCACAACGTAAAGCCAACCACCCGTGATCTGCGGTGCATCGCCAATTTCGGTTGCTACATTCGGCAGAAGCTTCTCCATGCCAGTATCTCTGGCCCTCGCTTCACAGCCGTGAGACGCTCTGAAACGCCGCACTGCTTCTTGACCGCGTTCTGAATCGTCCATTCGGAAGCGAGGACGATCAATCGAATTGACAGCGCGACGGACGGCATGCAGCCTTCGCTCTTGGCGCGCCACGGATCCAGATCATCACCCGATCTCGGTGAATTTCGACGCACCCTTTTTGAGGCTCCATTTTATTATGAATACTTTTGTCTGAACTGCTCTCGAATTCTTTCATTTCACCTCGCTAGACACAATACCAGACGTGCAAATTTTGAGTGACCAATGCTGATGTCTCTCGACCTAACATTCATGTTTCGACGCCAAACTAGCTCGCAGATACAACAACATCATACTCAACCCGACTGAAGATGGACGCGTGACGACCCTCCGAGGACACCCCCCAGCCTCTCGGTCCGGGCAACATGTGTTGAGCAAAGGAAAGCATATCTTCAAAGACCACCACTTGCACGCATTCGAAATTGACATGGAAGCACGACAGCTTTACTCGCGTCCGGAGGAATGGACATGCCCATCGCTCCACCGCCAACAAATCATTCAATACAAGGCCTCAATCCACGGCAAGTCCACCAGCTCCTCTCGACGGCTTCGATCGTCTGTATGGTCGTACGCAGGCGGAGCGTCCTGTCGTCCAACGCGCAACCTCAGCTGCGCCTCACACCATAGGAAACCCGGAAGCCTTCCCGCCAGCGTCTGGATATGATGAACCTTCATCCCCGGCACCTCGAGTGTCGCGCAGGCACTTGCCACCATACCTTTCTCCTTGCTCGAGTCCCGCTCGAGCTTGACGAAGTACCTGATGCAACTGAGCAGACCTTGAAGCGTGTCGAACGTGTCAGAGGGGACGGAGAGGTAGATCTCGACCACGCCGATGAACGGGTCGAACAGAGCAGCTTCAGGTTGCGGAGCTTGAGTGGGAGTGGGGGCGTCGGTGCCGAGCTCCAGGTTGGAGAATTGAGAGCCCATCCTGGGAGGTCAAGGGTCAAGTGCGGATTTGGGGGCGAGGGTTGGAGAGTGAATGGGTTGATGACGACAAAGTCGATGATCACGCAGCGAGATGGATCCTCGATCCCTTACAAAGGGCTTATGATGTGAACAGGAGAATGAGGCTGACTATGAAGGGAAAATGCTCGTAAGAGGAAGGCGAGAAGAGCTGACGATCGACGAAAGAGACGGAGCTTGGGGAGCGTTCAAGTGGGCAGGGTTTCAACAGAAACGTCTTTATATCCACAGCGACGCGTGATCACCAACGACGCAAAACCCTGCTGCGCAGTTGTCAGCGCACAGCTCGAGCGTTCCGCACAGCTCGTTCGTTCCGCACCTTATCGTTCCGCCTCGTCCCTTTCATTTCACAGCTCAAGTTTTGGCCAAATCGCGGAAGTCAATTAGCCACAGCTGCTCCGCTCGATGACGGAGAGACTCTGCGGGATGCAGAAAGGGGGCGCCTGAACAAAGCATTCAGGTTGTCGTGGAGACGCCTTTGAACGTGACCATCGGAAACGATGCGACTGTTGAGTCCCTCTTTAGGATTCCGCACTCAGCGCTATCCGGATGCATCGCGCATCCGAATTCAGCGCTCATCCACACGTCCGCAAGCAAGCATTTGACTCACTCTATTACCGGATCTTTCCTATAACCTACACTCCAATCAGTAATCCAACGCAGGCTCGCCCCTCGCCTCGTTCAAGTAACCCTCCAACTCCCAAGCACCGTTCCAGTACTTGACCCCTGCCTTGACGCCTCCTTCCTTCGCGATCCTCGTCTGCAACCCTCTGAACTTCCTCACGAATGCCAGGTCCTTCGGCTGCAACCTCAGTACGGGGCAGAAATCATTCCCACCATCACCCACGTAGATGATCCTATCAAACGCATCCCTGCCCCCGTTCCTCTGCAGGAACGCATCGAGCTCTTCTCCCTTGCACATGTTTGCGCTGCAACCGACCTTGCATCCGTGCTGCTTTTCCGCCGTCGCAAGGACGCGGCGTTGCAAGATGAGCGCACCGGAATCGTTGAACGCTGCCGGGTTGGTGACAATCTCGTCGAAGAGCGATTCGAGCTTGTGGTGACGCAGGATGGTGTCGATGTAGACGGTGTTGCTGTTGGACAAGAGGAAGAAGGTGGTCTGACCGGCAGCTTTGAGGTTGCTGACACCGCGTTTGACACCCGGGTGGAAGGGTAGGGTCTGGAGCGCGGATCGAATGTCGTCCGGCGTTGCACCTTGTTGGTGAAGCTTGACGAGAAGCGATGCGCAGAGATCGGTGAACTGCTCGCTTTTCTTGCGTCGTTGCAGCTCGGCCCGAAGAGGTGGGCAGAGAACTTCGTGTACGTATCGGTCCGTGTCTTGATCAACCAGCGACCTGTATGCGGCGAAAGCAGAGCAAGCCGAGATCAGCAACTTGATACGTTTGACCAAGACGCATCCATACAGACCCGCGGCGTGATCATCCAAGGACCCAAACTTACCAGTCAAAATCGAACACGATGAGCTGCTTACCCTGCAGAGCAGGTAACGGTGAAGGTGCCGTGTTCATTGTCGCTGCCGGGAAAGGAAGTGATGATGATGGTGGAGAGCTCGCAAGCTATCCCGAAAGATGGCATGCACGCGTGCCCGTCTTGAACCTTTCTTCTCAAATCAGACTTTTTTTTTGGCAGTTCGAGTCAAGCCAAGCAGCCGAAAAAGCACAATCAAATCTAATCGCTCCGCTCTGTGCCTCTCTCTCTCCGCGACTCGCCTGCACTCGGCGAAAAGGCGAGTCGCATCTGGCCAATCACACACAATGTGCGTGTGTCGCGTGTGTCCACGTTTTTCCACAAAGCGACTCGACTGCAGGCAGCCCCTGCATGTAACCGTCACTTCAAGGACCATAGGCAGGCACACTCTCATTCCCCAACGAGAACAGATCTAGCAACCAGAATCGTTGTTTTGCAAACTATATACATGCACTTGGATGCTGTTGAATGGATGAGAAGGTCATGAAAGCGAAACCGAAACAGTCGAGCCGCGGAGGGTATGTGTGTATCGAGAGCAAACCAGAGCAATGGCCTGCGATGCAACTTCAACGAACCTCAAAATCACCAAAGATGTGGTACACGTTGTTCCAATCGGCCTGCTGACCCTTGGTCTTCTTGGATCCGACGTCGTACCTCTCGGCCCAGTACGACGTGGTCTCCTTGCCGCCGGCACCCGTACCCGGCGTCGCGGGCGCAGGCTGCCACAGCTGCTCGCGCGTATCCGGATCCGTGGTCCTCTTGAACCAGCGCGGCTCGTGCGGCGGCAGCTCGCCCGCCTCGCGCTTCTTCCTCGTCTCTCGCTGATAATTCTCGAGCTTCTGCTTGAGGTCATTGGCCTGGTCAAACTTGCCGCTCTCGAACGCGCTCAAGTCGGGTCGCAGTCGGCAGTCGGTGGGCGCGAGCCAGGGGCGCAGGTCGTCGGGACACGAGTTGAGCGTGATGGCGAACGGTGTCAGGTTGAACGGCGACGCCGGCTTCTCCGAGTTGCGCCACAGCAACAGGTACTCGGCGAGCGGCTGTGCCGTGGCGATCTGTCCGTCCGGTGCATCCACCGTCTGGTCCGGATTCAGGTCGCCCGATCCGGCACCGCACTTTCGCGCCACCAGCTGCGAGTTCCAGCGACCCGCAATGTCCCATCGCAGCGTCCCCTGCGCGTCGTACACGCTGCCGCGAATCTCGAACGCGTCCTTGCCTCGCCAGCCTCGTGGCTTGAACGTGAGCACGCAGCGGTCGCCCGTCGCATGGTTCGTCACCTCCATGTCTCCAAAGTGGTCGATGGTGGGACTGCCTACAATGAATCCGGAAACCGACGTCGTCACCTTGTTCCACGAGTAGTGCTCCATCACGTGGTCGTCGGTCAACAAAGGCGCGCTCTTGAGCTCCTTGTCCGTGTTGACCCACTTTCGTGGCACCTTGAGGTTGACGTGGGCAACGCCGGTCGGTCGGATCTCAAAGGTGCGGCCGAGGAACTTGGACTTGGCATCGACGCATCCCATGTAGTCCCACGTAGGCGACTGTGCGAAGCAGGCCGAGATGGGCGGGTGGTGCGAGACCTGCTCCGAGTAGTACCTGTACTTCTTGTCTGGACGCATGTACTCGAACGTCTCGCCCAGCAGCGGGTTGAACGGCTTTGCGATTCGACCGATCGTCGACGAGTAGTTGCTCATGGCGAAAGCGGCGACGTAGGCGATACGCTTGGTCGAGTCTTCCTGCATCGATGCGGCGTCGAGGCACTCGGAGAACTCCATGTCCTCGGCCATGCGCTGCAGCATCGACGTGGGTTCGTTGAAGCTGACAGGGAACGAGATCTTGGTCAGGTCCTTGCCGATGTTGTTCTTCAGAATCGCCCACAGCGAGACCGAAGGTCGGTCATCCTTGCCGATGGGCATATGCGTTCGCAGGTGCTTGTACGGCTCGAAAGAAGCCATGACGAGGTCGTCAAGCATGTTCTTGTCAAACTTCTCGGGCCACTTGTTGGTGTCGGTCTCGGGCTGGCTGAGCGCCTGCTCGACCTTGAGTCCTGGCAGATCACCCGTCTCGATCGCGTCAAAGAAGTCGTCTTCGGCATCGTCCATCGAGTCGCGCGCCATGCTCGTGTCGTCTGCGATTCCCATGATGGCCGAGCGTTGGCCCTGGATAGGAGGAGTCAGCTGATCGTCGAGCTGCAGCTGAGCGCCGCCCTGCTCGCCCAGGCGGCGTGCAGCGAGGGATCCCGCATTGCCGCTATCAGCAGTCTCGTACGACTGAAGCGTCGAGTGACGGCGTGCGTTGTGAAGCGACGATGCCATGGAGCCGGAGGCCGCGAGCCCCGCGCCGATGCCAACACCAGCGCCACCAGGCGACAGGATCGAGCCGGGCGACGAGCCCATGGTCTCGCGCACCTCGCGCAGCGCTTTGCGCCTTCGTGCATTTTCGGCAGCGGCCTCCTTGAGCTGCGACTCCATCTCGGCGTGCTGTTGTGCCAAGACGGCCATGTTCTCCTCCCAGAGGTGCTTGATCTGCAGTTCGCGTTCGTAGCGCTTGATCATGTAGGTTTCGCGTGCGCTGACCATGGTCTGGTAGCGTTCGACCAACTGAAAATTGCTTCTGACGGCGGCCTCGAGCGCCGACCGCAGCGAGTCGCCATTGCTCACCAATGAGCCCGACGAGGCGCGGCTGTGCTTGCCCTCGCTACCATCAACGCTACCGGAGGGAAGAGCGTTGGAAGCCAGCAGCGTTTCGACGAGGCGCTGACTTGCTTCTGCCTGCGCCTTGAGCGTTTCGGCGGTGAGCGAAAACTCGCTCTCATATGGGATGCGTCCAGCGGCAGCGCTCGCGCCAGCATCGTCGTCTGCTCGTTCGCCGCTCGACAAGCGACTGAGCAGACTTGGGCTGCGATTGAGAAGAGGTAGCGATCGTTCGCTCGCGGCGCCCGAAGGAGGCTGTGTGCTGGGGGACTTGAGCGAGAGCAGACCGCTGCGGCTTCCTTTCTCGCTCGGTGCAGTCGACGAAGGACGTACGATGCCGGCGGGGTTGGCGAGCACCGTGGCACCCTGGATGCCCTGCCCGGCCGAGAGGGAGGACGAGGAGGGAGCACGTTGACGGTAGATGGACTCTGTCGCTGTTGCGCGGCTCGACTGTCGCTCGAGGTTGAAGAACTCCTTGGTCTGCTGGAGCACTTGCACCCAACGTGCGCGCTCGACGGGATGTGTGCCGCGGAGGTAGAGCTTGGAGGTGCCCTTGCCCGTCTCGCTGAGGATCTCGAGGCGGTGCTTGTCGTTGTTGTCGGCGCGGATCTTGGCGTAGCGCATGTTGATGGCACCGCGTGACTGCTTGCCCTCGTCGTCCTGGCTGTGGTAGTAAGAGAGGATGCCGTCCTCGAGCACGAACCATCGCGTCTTGTAGCCATGAGCGATGTTGGTCCACTTGCCGAGGTAGCCCTTGAAGGAGGGTGGCTGACCGGATTGGCTGGCTTGGGATGCTTTGGCAGCGTCGGCGTTGTGGAGCTGACGCAGGAGCGCCTTGACCTTTTCGTCCTTGGTGACGTCGTTGACACGCTTGCCGCGACGGTCGCGGGCGTAGACGTCTGCACCCTTGCGCACGGCGGTTTCGATCATGCGCGTGTCTTTGCGCTTGACGGCCTCGTGCAGGAGCGTGCTGCCGTTGCTACTATTTGCGTTGAGGTCGATGACAGCATGTCGTGGCAAATCGAGGAGCTGGTGAATCTTGACGTCGGCACCGGCGGCATCCTGCTCGTATGCGGCGAGCAGGTCGAGATACTTGGCATTGAGCTGTGCGCGGCTGACTTGGATCTGTTGGGCGATCTCGGGCGTTTTGGCTACTGCCAGTGCATCTCTGCCGTCCTTGTTGGGCTTAGAGTCGTCGATGTCGTTCTGATCGAGCAAGAGCTGAACGACATCGTCACGACCGGAAGCCGAGGCGATGTGGAGGGCCGTGTTGCCCTGCTGAGCCTCGACCGCGTTGAGGTCGATGGTCTTGTAGTTCAGAAGGAACGAGATGATGTTGAAGTCGGCGCACTTTACGGCAAGGTGGAGCGGACTGGTGCTTTCCTTTGCGAGAACGTTCGAGTTTTTGGCGGAAGGTTGTAGGAGAGGGATGAGAGCTTGCTGATCGCCCTTTCTCAATGCCTCCAGGAGCTTGAAGCTGTAGACGGCTTCGGCGACTTTTGGTTTGCGAGTGGAGGCGGCGGAGGAGGGTAATAGAGCGGATGCGGAGGACCGATCAACAGTAGACGTTGACGGACCAAGGAGTTGGTCGGCATCCGCGCGAACGTGTGAAGGCAGTGGTGGTACAGGGGGTGGCGAAGGCGGCGTCGATGCGGATGAGTCGCGAAAGTCGAGCGCAACGTTAACGAAAGAGCGGGCGCCGACGGAGAGTCGACGTGCACGCGTAAGTAGTGAGTATGAAGAGGTGCGGCGGATATGATGAGGGTACGGTGGATGTGTTTCGGCAGCCATGATCGAGACGGTAGTGGAGAGGATGGTGGACGAAGCGAGCGTTGCCAATCAATGAAAGAAAGGGAATGGTTGCGGAGATGTTCAACGGAGTGAGCAGCGTATGAGAGAGGGAGAGAGCGTCAGTGTCGCTTGTTACATGAGAAAAGAGGGATCAAGAGTGCGGAAGAGGGCAGTGATGAAGGAATGCATTCCAGGCAGGAAGCGTTTTGTTCGTTGCTTGACGGCTGTTCGCTGCGTGCAGACACGCTGACCAGGCTGAGCTCGCTGCAAGAGGCTCGAGCGGCTGCCTATTGTGCAAGCAAATGCCAAGGCCAGATGCTATGAGGCTGCGCTGCTAATCCCGTTTCTGGGCCGCAGCGTCAGGCTTGGTCCGATCGGACCGCTTGGGGTCATGTAGGAGCGAGGGTGGGGAAGGAAGAGATTCGAGAGCCAAAGACTTACCGTCGTCGCCAGATGTGACGCTGCCGTTGGAAGCGTGCGCCATCGTTGCCGGATCTAGTTGTGGCTGCGGATCAGCCGACAGGAGGCTGTGTAGTTGATATGAGTGCTCGCAAAAGATTCGGAAACGATGTCGTTGCGTACGGAGCCGGATGTGCCGTGCACGGGTATAATAGAGCTGTGACTGCTCTTGCAGCGGACGAGCCGTTTAGGGGGAGCAATCCTTCAGCCCACCTAACGTAGCAGCGGATGTTCCGATCCGACGATGCTGCAAGGGGTTTGGACTAAGCGCTCAGAAGGAGAGTCCAAAGCGATTGCTGGGCGCGGTCAATGTCCGAGAGCCGCGCCAACGTGTATCTTGTGGTGGCAATCGAGAAAGGGGATGAAAGGGAAGTCGAGTGGGTCGTCGGAAAGGGACGAGGCTTGACAAGGTATGATGGAAGTGCAAGCTAGGAGTCGCATGCAGCACCGGCAAGCAAGTGAGCGCGAGCGCGAGTGTGTGACAATAGATGACGGGTTGCGGTTTGCTTTGGCAATGCAGAAATTGAATGATATCTCAGCCTGCTGTTGATGACGAGCGTCCGAAATCCCACACTTTACATGGACCGCGCGCACGCCTTTGGTGCAGCCACCGCCGCGTCGCTGCTCTCTGCGCGGCTTGGTCGGCGACTTGCGTATTTTGAAAGACACTCGAGAAGCGGAGTTGAGGTCTTCTGCAAGCCGCTGCAGGTCGAAGGGCACAAAGGCAGCAGAGCAGACTTCGCTGGACCACACACACCTTCAGCTTTTTGAAAGTGTACCACCGAGTCTCGGTTTGCATAATTTGGGATCAAACACCCAGAGGAGAAAGCCCTGAAATCACGAGGCAAGCGAGATGAGGAGGTGACGTTGCTTCTTCTCTGGTTCCGACTGCCAGTCGTTTTCTTCGTCGTCGTCCAAAAAGACCCTTCGCTGAAACAAGTTCATGCACCTGACGACAGGCCAAGGCATCGACTCTGTGTATGTCGAGCAATCCTCTCATCCCTATTCCACGAGATGCGTAACGTGGAGTATGTATTGCACAGTGACCGTTTCATGTTTCGATCTGCATTGGTGCCTTGCCTCTGCAACGCTGCATCTCGACGAGCCTCGGTTGCAGAAAATAGCATCACGGTGAGTTTGAGCACCCTTTTCAGCAGCATCCCGGCCGTCGACAACAATACAGCAGTGGCTGCACTCGTAGCATGTCAGCTAGGGTACAGCGTGAGGTTGCGTGGCAACAGGCCAGCCCTCTTTGCTGTCGAAATTCGGCAGCGAGCCAGAGGTTTGTGTGAAGGTGCTCGCTTGTTGTCGGTCCCTGCTGGCTTTCAAGACAAGAGCGAGCAGCCGACACTGCACTCGCGCCGTTCGGCTACGTCATATCCTTCGATTGTGAACGATTCGGCAGCGTGGCAATGCGCTCACGGCCGGAATCATATTTTCCAACAGTTATTTTAACAGAATGTGAGATCGAACAGGATCCCGCCGGCTGCCAAGCTGTCAGGCCTCGCCATATATCACGCGGAGCCTCGCTCAGATCAAGTTTGATCACCATCATCGCTCACTCGTCCAGTTACTATCCCATCAGCCTGAGACAGACATCAGAGTCCTGAATGGGTGGGGGTCGAATACGGGTGTCGCTTCATCCAAATGCAGATGCAGCGTGAAGGGGGAAGATTTCATTTGGACGCTGGATGAGTCCAGCCGTGTAGCGCAGGAAACAGGATACCTTACGAGCATTGGGTGAAGCCATCGTAGCTGGCCGCACCAGTGTGGCTGCAAGTGATATCAAAGAGGTGTCAGACGCAATGAAGCGAGTGTCAGTGGCTGTTTCGGCAGATGAAGAGGTTCGCTGGCAGGCGCATACGTACGTGACGGTGGCACAGAACTCGCCCGTGTTGGTCTGGTAGATGACACGGTCGGGGCCAGGAGAGACGTAGTTGTCTTCAGTAGAGTAGTCTGTAGGGGATCAGAGAATGAAGCGGGTCAGTCCGGATTCTGCATATCAACTTTTTCCTTGTTGATCCTCCTCCTCCCCCCACAGCGCGCGTTCATCTTCCACCTCGCCGCCGTCGTTTCAAGTTTTCGCATCGATACAAACATGGTCCATTGTACACTAGTGGGAATTCTGACCACGGACCCGACCCGCAGCACAGTTCAATGCCCTCCGAGGGCTCGTCTCTCTGTATGAAGTGAAAGAAAACGAGAGGAGGAGAGTCAATAAATGACTTTTGCTCGTCATGGTCCAAAAAAGACGGGTTTTAATTATTTCGAATATTTTTTTTTTGGCCAAGACACCTACGTATGCGTGAGGGTAGTTGTCGGGCCTGTCTCCACTCTGCGCATCTTGAAGACCAGCCTGAATGGCAGTGTTCATGTCATCGTAGGAGTATACGTTGCCGCCGCAGTTGGTCGACTGAGGGATGTCGCAAGCGGCGCCGAGACCGGCAGCAAGGGCAAGAACGGAGGTGATGGCGAAGAACTTCATCTTGAAGTGTGTCTGACGGCTGAAAGATTCGTGGATGTCTTGTTAGTGTTCAGCCTCACAGGACGGTACTTATATACCTTCGAGTCATCGAGACATGGGCGAGCTAAAGGATAGAGAAGCTGGGCGACGAAGGAAAGGCACAGCGCAAAGCTATTAGCTGTGCAGGGGAGCTGGAAGCGAGAAAACGTTCCTCGCCGAAGCTTGTTGTCGGGTAAGCCGATGATGGCTGCACTCCATCAAACGTTCCTCTCTAGATCGGAAGACGGAGATAGTATAACGCCCAAGCTAAGCGCCTTTGCTGTTGCCGAGCCTTGCCACCCGAGGGCGGAACACTCGCTGCCGGCGGTCGGTGTCAAGGCAGATACAGCTGGTCTCCTGCAGCACAGATCCAGCTTACCAGCTGCCACGTTCTGCCGGTCGCTCCAATTGACGGCACAAGACCTCGTCTGGAATCATTGAGCAAGTAGATCTGACTTCACACGTTTCCGTTGACAAGCTCAACATCTCGACTGACGTCGCCGGCGGCGGTGCAGAGATCAAGAAGCATGAATTCGAGGTCGGGGAGAGTTGCATCTACGAAAGGCAAGGCGGTCATGCTGACGGTCCGTTGTGCACGTGCGAACAACGGAAATCCACTTGCAAGCTTTGACAGCTAAGCGAACTCCTTTTGCCGATATTTAGTTTGATGGAGCAACGACTTCCGGTGCAACATCACGGCACGACTCTCCAGGGCAACCTTCATGCGCTTCCGGCAGCCGCGACTGTATCGAGCTCACTGAGCCCTGCAGTGCTAAGGAATCGCATCAGCGTAGAGGATTCGGGCTTTCCTTGCTGGAGCATGGACGTGCTTGGCCCGCTATGATCGACAGGTGTCTCGGGTCAAACGGTCCATGCCGGCGGCTCCGTGGCTACCATCAAATTCGGCATGAAACGTGTTCGAGGAGTTGCGCTGCACTTCTGGTCTGAGAAAGGCTTCCATCGCAATGACATGATCACACGCGGGACTACTCACGCCGTGCCGGCGGCGAGGTGCATTGTGTTCGGGAGCCGCGGAAGTGCGATATGCGCACTACTCGGTCCCTCATTGATGGCAGGGTCAATTGTTGTCAATGTTGAGTTCTGCACGCTAACATTCCGATGTCTTTACTCAACTCTAGCGTTCAATCTCTCCCTGAATGACGCTTCACGAAGAACCAAGGCGGATGCTTGCCGCGAGGATGATTCAATCCCGGCATCACCGAGATGTACACGAGCAGAATGTCTTCCCGTCCATTGATGCTGTGAACCGATCCACTGCTGACGACAAGGGAGGTCACCTTCGCAGGTCGAGCAGAATGACCAGATTCCGGGTGTGACAGGCGGACGAAGACCAACCCAAGACTGGTCAAGGATGACTATGGGAGGGTGCGAAGTACAGTGAGGTCAAGCTCTTGGACGAGGTCGTGTGACCAGTGTCATATCGAGGACCATCTTGGACCGTCGAAAACGAGGCTTTGCCTGTTCAGCTGGATCGTAGAGACCACTTGGGACGTGACGCTCGAAAGGCTGGCTGGCTGGCTGGCGGGGCTCTTTGGATCTGGCATGCTCGGCCTGCGTCACCGTGCGTGCGTTCTGTCCTTGCGTCGCGAGTCTGCAAAAAAGTCTCGAGGGAATTGCTGGGAATTTTCTCCACAAAAATGTGACTGTGACTGTACACACGAGATCGCCTCTTGTCGCCGAGCTGCTGCTGCTCCTGCCGGTGCTGTGTCGTGTCGAAACTGCGAGAATCGGAATGTGCGCTCCCGAAGCGAGGTCAGGGCTCAGTCTTGAGACCGACCACGAGACTCCGACCCTGGATCGATACCGTGCAGCAGCAGCAGCAGCAGCAGCAGCAGCAGCAGCAGCAGCAGCAGATATATGAGCCAATCAACCAGACAATCCACTCTCGACCTCTCACCACCAACCGTGCAACCAAAGACTTTTCACCTCCACCACACCTACCAACCTAAAGACCAAGATGGCGTGGAACGACGACCTCCTGCTCAAAGTAGCCAACATCGTGGCCTACGTCTTCTTCACCACGGGCAATGTCTACTCGCAACTCGGCGTGGGAGCCAACCCGGTGGTGCAAGAGACCTACCTCTCGCCCGAACGATGGATCTACGGCGTGTGGCCCTTCATCCACTTCCTGTTCCTCGGCATGATCGTGTACCAGTTCACCGATGCTGGATCCACCCACGTCGTCCACGGCATCGGATGGAGGTTCCCCGGACTGTGCATCCTCAACGCCGTCTACTCTGGACTCATCTCTGCGCAGGTCAATGCACACCACGATCGCATCTACGCCATCCTCGCGTTTGTTGTCATGCTGCTCATCGCCGGCACCGTCTCGCACTGCTACCGATCCCTCAAGGTGCACCACACCGCCAACAACTTGGCTGACACCGTGTTCGTTCACCTCCCTTTCAGCCTCTACCACGGCTTTGTGGTCGTGCTCCTCTTCGTCACCGGTTTCGAGGCGTTCGGCGTCAACGCCATGACGCACAAGGCTGGCATCATCACCAAGATCGTTGTGTTCCTCTCGCTGCTGTTCCTCGAGTCCACCGCCGCAGGTTACGTGTGGTACTCGGAGGGCGACGTCGCCGGTGCGCTCGTGATCAGCTTGAGTCTGCTCGCCATCTTCCAGCACCAGACCTCGAGCAAATTCATCCACTGGTCGGCACTCGCCTTCTTCATCATCAGCCTGATCGCCGTTCTCAGGGCTGTACTCTCCATCTTTACCAGCAGGAACAGGACCGCCGTCACGGACGAGGAGCGCGCTCCTTTGGTCGGATGAGTCGTTGCTCAGGATCAGTATCACCCTTTCGCTGCTTTTTCGTCATCCCCCTCCCTTTGACGTCGCCGTCCTTGTTTCTCGATTCGAGAAGCGTTCATCCTCGCGTCTCGTGTCGAATTCATCACATCGCGACCTGTTATTGATACCAAAGCATGCACGAATCCATCATCTCTTGTGCATCGATGTTTGTGGGCGTGTTCTTCTCTACTGTCCTGCACACGCTGCCATATTTTGCAACCTCTTGTTGTTCTTGCCCATATACCGTCAAATCGCATCTCGTGAGCCAGACGTCAATCCTTGGTGGGATTGTTGATCAGCAAGTCAGCATTCCTGCCCCTCACGACGGCATGAATCCTCTTACTCAGCTGCAACCCTAAATTGGTCCTGTTCGCTCTCCTCTCCGTTCCGTCCTTGTTGCTGACCACCTGGACGCTGCTGAGCAACCCTTTTTCCTCCGTTTCGTCTTTGCATCGCTGGTACGCCGACACGAGCGAGTGGAAGGATGGGTAGATGGTGGTGATGCTTTGCGAGATGGCGGGGGTGACACGCGGGATCTGCTGAAGCATCATTGTGTAGATGGCAGCGGAGGAGGACGAGGTGGTGTTGCGACCGGTATCGACGGCGAACGAGAGGTGGGTGTCGCGGAGGGATTTGTACGGTTTCAGCGAGAGGTCCGAGGTGAGTTGATGGAGCCACTCTACGCCGTCGACGAGCGAGGCGGCGTGGATGACGTAGCATCGATGGATGAGTTTGAGCTGCAGCAGGCTGCGTTCGACGAGGGCTTGAGGTGGAGCGCTGCTGCTTCTAGCAGTGGCTGTGGTAGTGTTGCTGGCAGCGTTGCCCTTTCGACGCGCTGGTTTCGGAGCAGCATCCGAAGCTGTCGTCGTCGCATCTTCCGCAAGCTGGTTCTCTGCCAACTGCTGTCGGATGCGCGCCGTATACGCTCTGTTCTCGCTCGCCCGCAGCCTGCTGTAGTGCTTGACCAAACCTTGACAGATGAGAAACACCTGCTGCGGCTGTCCGTCGTTTGCCTCTCGACCACCATTCATCGCACCGAGCCTCCGCTGCAGATCTCCGTACCAGCTCTCCAATCCTGCTTCGCCTCCCTCTGCAACCTGCTGCACGATTTCCTTTGCGTCGATGTACACGATCACCAAACCCTCCCGCCGTATCTCTTCTCGGTCCAACGGCGTCCAATGGCGTCTCTCAGCATTCCACTGCGCTTTGACTTTCCTCCTGAATCGCACAAGTGGCGGAGCTACCACGCTGTCGCACAGCTGCACGCTTGCTCCTTCCTCCTCGAATCGAGCCGTGATCGAGTCTTGACATCCTGCAAAAGGCTGGCCCGCACTGAACAGCGTGCGGTCGAGGTCAACGATGAGCTCGCGCATCGTGTCGGCTTTCGAGGTGCGCAGGCGATTGACTTCCAGGAAGCGCTTCTTTTCCGCTGCAGCCTGCGCCTTGGCGAGCTTGACGGCTTCGCGTTCTCGTGCCTTAGCTTCGCGTGCCTGCTTGGCTGCTGCAGCTTTCTGCGCCTTCGAAGGAGATGCGTTGCTCTTTGGGCCATCTTTGCTTTTGCCAGCCGTGGAGGCAGCATCTCCGGTATCGACGTGATCAGTGACATCGGCAGAGGCCCTCTTCTGCTCCTCAGCAGTGTAGAGCTTGTCCAACGCTTCTAGGAGCGATCCGGTCCTGCTCATTGGCCGAGCTTTCTTTGGTGTGCTGGGATTCGATGCTGATTCTCGTGCTCGTCGTCTTTCCAGCAGAGGCGAGGTAGCATCTGCTTCTGTTGGATGGTCGTCCAGCGAGAAGGGCGGACTAGGCGGCGGCTCTTCGAAGGTAAATGACGATGGTGGAAAGTTTTGCGAGCTGTACTCCTCTTCGGCTATATCTTCGACTGTCTGTGCCAAAGATCTCTGGCTAAGCCTCGGCAACGAAGGCGGAGGCGGGCTGCTAGACAAGATGATGATCGGAGCAGAGTCGGCTCTGAAGGTGGATCGAGCTCGTCTTGTCTCTCCGAGTCTTTCTGGAGCAGCAGAAACACGATGCGGGGGAGAGGTCGGTGAAGGCTGACTGGAAGGCAGACGATGCTTGCTGCTGAATTGGGACCGGATGGGGGACGACGTCTGCAAGAGGTGCGCAGCGTCAGCTTCACTGGCAGGATCCGCGATCGAATCGGAGCCAATTTCAATGACTTCTGGCAAAGCTGCGCTGGCTGCCGACTTCTTGGAGGGACGACGGATGGATGTACGGAAATGAGATGAAATGGGTTCCTCCTGCGAGCTGGAAGCGACGGGTTGGGATGCGGTGCGTCTGAGCGAGCCCGCGCGAAGTGAAGCTGAAGCTAAACGCGACACAGATGGGCCAGCCGCGGAGCAGGATTGTTCGCGCTCGCTAGATGGCGGAACATGAGCAGACGTGGCGCCTGTTCGTAACTTGTGATGGCGAAGCAGATCACGAAAGCTCGGCAGCGATGTGTCAGGAGAGGCTTCGGCGAGGAGCTGTGCCATTCGCTGCCCGGGCGTCGACTCGACCATACGCTGTGGAGGAGCATTGACACGGCCAGAGCTATCGAGCGATTCGAGCGAAGCCTTACGCTTGCGCTGTGTCCTGTTCGACACACTGGGATAATGATCTTGCGACGAGGACAGGACAATGACCGAGGACGAGGAGGACGCAGTCGCAGGAACAGCACGTCGCGGCGACTTGCGCAGCTGAGACGCACCCAGACGGGACGGACCGGCTACCGCATTGCCGCTAGGAGCTCGTGCCTTGACATACTGCTTATGCGATGCAGCATCGCTGTCGCTGTCGGATCCACTCTCGATCCAGAGAGCGCCTACCATGGTTTAGGAAGTTGGGCAGCGGTGCAATCTGAGCAGCATTGCGACGTCCGTCTCTGTCTCGAGCTGCTGTATCTGCGTATCGAGCGTCGATGATGATGGGACGACGACGCAGCAGGGAAACAGACCCATTGAAGTCACACACATACAACCTCTGCTCTTGTCCGACCTGTCACGGCTGCACGTCGCGGAAAGTATCAGCGTACACTGGCACAGAACAACACAGGCAACTCAGCCGCTTCTGTCAGATTGAGTGGAGGTTTTGGCTGACCTTTTGGCTGATGGCGTGGGGCAACGCACGTGACACGACGAAAAGGGTCCAAAATCCAAATTTGGCTTTTTTCCCTTTTCCTTTTGGCTTTCTTCCGAAATTTTGGACGGAATTCGAGCTTTTCGTTTCTGCGTTGGAACAAGCAGCAAGCAAGACTCTCGGCGGCGGCCTTGTCCTCCTTCTTCTTCGCTACCAGGTACACCCTTCACGGCTATTCTCTTTTTACATCAAGCTGCTCGCTACGTACAGCACCAGCTGCAGAGAGGCAAGCTCGACCAGGATGGCCAAGACCATCGACTTTCTCGCCTCGGACGGCGAGGACGACTTTGCTGCTCGCCCAACCTCGACCAAGTCCAAGGCCACACGCAGCAACGCCGCCGCTTCATCCAGCAAACCGCTGAAGAGACCCAAGAGATCTGCAAAAGACGACGATGACGATGACAACGATGACTTCGACATCACCTCGTCGCTCCTCGTCGATGCAGCCGGTCCCGCACCGGCTCCCACGCTCTCCTCCTCAGAGCAGGCTGCAAAGAAGGCCTATGCATCTCGCGCAGGCCCCAACGACGATGACGATGACGCCCGATTCATCGCTGCTGTCATGCAGCAAGCCAACGTCAAAGCAGGCGTCGAGGTAGCGAAGAAGGCACTGTCAGGAAAGGGGAAGAACAAGCTCGGTTCCGGAATAGTCACAGGAGGTGGATCCTTCCAAAGCATGGGTCTCCATCCTTCCTTGCTTCGCTCGCTCCTCATTCGCGGCTTCAACACACCAACACCCATTCAGCGCCAAGCCATCCCAGCTATCATGTCGCAACCGCCAAGAGACGTCGTGGGCATGGCTCGCACTGGTTCAGGAAAGACGCTCGCCTACCTCATCCCCCTCATCAACCGTCTCAATGGCCGTCATTCGCGCACGTTCGGCATCAAAAGTCTCATCCTCTGCCCCTCGCGAGAGCTCGCAGTGCAGATCCTGAGAGTAGGCAAAGAGATTGCTCGAGGATGGAAGGCAGACCCCGGCGAGGGTCAGGACAGTCGCGGAGAAGCTATCCGCTGGGCTATGATCGTCGGTGGAGAGTCGCTCGATGAGCAGTTCTCCATCATGTCCAACAACCCGGACGTCGTCATCGCCACTCCCGGTCGAATGCTTCACCTTACCGTCGAGATGAATCTGGACCTCAAGGCGGTCGAGTATGTCGTGTTCGATGAAGCAGACCGTCTCTTCGAGATGGGATTCGCCGAACAGCTCGAGGAGATGCTGTTGCGGCTGCCTCCCACGCGACAGACATTGCTATTCAGTGCCACGCTACCCAAAAAGCTCGTCGAGTTCACCAAGGCGGGACTGCAGGCCAACCCCAAACTCGTACGTCTCGATGCGGACAGCAAGATCAGCGCCGATCTCCGCATGGCCTTCTTTAGCGTCAAGCCCTCCGAAAAGGAGGCTGCTCTGCTTTTGCTGCTGCGAGACGTCATTGGCGTCCCTCTCGGCGAGCAAGCTGAGCCAGATCTGGACGAAGAGGCTCAGTTCAACGAAGACGCGAGTAACGACGAGGGTGACGGTCGGCCACGACGAGGTTTCGGCAACAGGAAAGTCGACTTCAAAGGCAAGACCAAGGGCAAGCCTTTCGCCAAGCGAAAACGCGGCGGTCCTGGAGGCGCGCTCGAGTTGCTCCCCCACCAGACCATCATCTTTTGCGCAACCAAGCACCACGTCGAGTACCTGCTGCTGCTCCTCACCACCACCGGCTACGCATGCTCTCACATCTACTCTTCCCTCGACCAAGCCACGCGAGGCATCCAAATGTCTCGGTTCCGACGTGGTCAGACCAGCTTGCTCATCGTCACCGACGTCGCCGCCCGTGGTATCGACTTGCCTGTGCTCGAGCACGTCGTCAACTTTGACTTCCCGCCACAGCCACGTACTTTTGTGCATCGAGTCGGACGTACCGCGCGTGCAGGTAGAAACGGTTGGGCTTGGAGCATGTGCACCAACGCCGAGCTGCCTTACCTCTGCGATTTGCAGCTGTTCCTTGCGCGGCCCCTCGTCTCTTCCCACACCGCCATCGCTGCGATTGCCGGTGGCAAGGACGTCGAGTTCGCCGCTCCGCTCGGTCTGCACGACAGTCTCGTCCTCGGCACCTTCCCTCGCGAAGCGCTCGACCTCGAATCCGAGTTCATCAGCTCGTCACTCACAAACACCTCTTCGTCCACCGCACACGATTTCCCCGCTCTTCGTCAAGTCGCCGAACGCGCCCAGCAAAAGTACGAAAAGTCCATCGCAAAAGCTTCGCAGGAATCGCACCGTCGAGCCAAAGAGATGGTCAAAGCAGGCAGCATCGAGCAGATCAACATCCGCACCGCTTCCGGCAGCGAAGGCGAGGTGCCGGATTGGACGTTGGCCGGATCGCCGTTGGAAGAGATGGCGGTCCACGACGTCATCAAGCGCTCCGAAGTGTATGGGTTGAACGGTGCGAAGATGGCTGAAGCCGCGAAGAGTGTGCTCGGTGGTGAGGTGGTGGAGAAGACGAAGATTGATGGAGGCAAGGCGGTCAAGGACGCGGAAGAGGCGGCCAAGAGGGCGGCGCTGCTGGCCAAAGTGAATGCTTTCCGACCGCAAGAGACGGTATTCGAGATCGGGATGAGGGGAGATGCTACGCCCTTGGGTGCGCTGATGAGGAGCAGGAGGCAGACGATGGATGTCAAGACCAAGAGGGCCGAAGCGCTCGAAGCCAGGAAGAGGTCCATGGAGGGCGGAGACGCCATGGACGAGGATGACGACGCTGAGACGAATGTCAAGCTTGCCGCTGCTAAGAAGGGCAAGAAGAAGACGGCTGGCAAAGGTGATGAGGACGACGAGGCAGCGGCGGGAGATGCAACCGTGGATCTCGAGCAAGCCGACGAAGCCGACATTCTCGCTGCGTTTGACACGGGCCTCACCGCCAAGGCAAGCAGATCTGCTCGACCTGACGACGGCGCAAACTCCGAGTCTGAACCTGACTCGGACGCCGAGGAGAAAGCCGCCGCACCAGCCTCCAAACGCCCTCGTACCACCAAAAAAGCCACACCCGCTTCCTACCGCGATCCGAACTTCTACCTCTCCTACGAGCAGCAAGGTTCCACCTCGGAACGCGGCTACTCGCTCAACAACCCGCGCTCCCACACCGACTCCTTCATCCAACAAGCTTCCGCCGCCTCGTTCGACCTAGCCGGAGACGATGCCACGCTCGGCACACAGTCCCAACGACCCAACGTCACGCGCTGGGATTCCAAAAAGAAGAAGTTCATCCAAGGCACCGTCGGAGCAGACAACAAAAAGATGATCCGAACCGAATCGGGCGTTCGCCTGCCCGCGTCCTTCCGTTCGGGTCGATTCGAGGAGTGGAAGCGAGAGAAGAGGGTCGATATGCCCAAGACGGGCGAGCTGGAATCCAACTCGAGACGTTCGCACGACCAGCCGCATGCAGGTGGAAGCGTTATGGGTCTCAAGAAGTACAGGCATAACAAGGTCACTGCTCCCAAGGCACAGCAGCCCGTGTTTGGGAAGGGCAGACCGGGTCAGAGTAAGAGACAGGCCGCAAGGGACGAGGTCAAGAGCGCGAGGGAAATTCAGAAGGAGAGGGAGATCAAGGAGAAGAGGAGGGACAAAAACGCTAGACCGAGTAAGAAGGATGCCAAGGGCAGGAGTAGAGGTGGCGGTGGTGGAAGGGGCGGTCGAGGTGGTGGTAGGGGAGGTGGACGAGGAGGAGGAGGAAGAGGCGGTGGACGAGGTGGAAAAAGGTGAGGAACGCGATCACAGTGAAGTGTCCACTCCTCTCTCGTTCCGATCATTGCCAGTCACACACATCTTTGCAATCTCAACATGTGCTCTGCTCTCACACCCAAACCATGGCGACTTTGTGCAACTTCTTCGTTCAAAGCCACAAACGGCGTTCCGTACACAACATCCTCGAGTCGAAATGCCATGGATACTCGCGCATCACTGCTTGCTACCATCCTTCCGACCCAATGCAGCCCCGAAGAAGTTGCCAAACTTTCTCAGATCACTGAACGCCCTTCCTCCCGCCCCTGTCCCCGCACTCCCCTCAAATCCACCCGCACCAATGGTCGGACTCTTCAAGCTGTCCACGGCGAACAGACTCGCCGACCTCGTATTCACCCCGCTGTCCCTCCTCGCGTTCCCGTCCAAAAACGACGGCGTCGAGGCGCTGAACGGCGAAGACAGAACAGGTTGTCCCGAAGGATCCATATCGAGCTGCGTCAGGAAACTCTGATCCTTCAGCTGCGCACCTTCGCCAGCCGCGCCATCGTCGACACCCGTCACTTGGATGAAGCGATCCAGCAGGTTGTTCTGATCCACCTTGCGCACTCCTTTGAGATCGAGCACCTTGGAAAAGTTGGAAAACGATCGATCGCCGACCAGCTTGATGTACGATTCGATCAGATCCATCCTGGCCGTATCGTCGTTGAAATTCGACGCAGATCGGTCCACCTCCAACGGTGCAAGGATGACTCGCAGCAGTGTTTCGATGCGATCCGTGAGCCGATGCACGTAGCGCACGTACGAAGCCGCCTGCGTCGACAAGGCGGTCTGCTCCGCCGAAGGCGCAGGTGTCCAATGCGAAAGACTCGCCTCGGTCGCAGTCTTGCTAGAATCCGCCAAATCGTCCACCGGATACCTCGGCAGCTCGATCAAACTCTTCCTCAACTCCCCTACATCCACCAACAGCTGCTCCGCCATCCCCTGCGTCAACGGCCGCAACCTCACCAACCCTTGCAGGAACCTCGTCGCCAACACACCCACCACCTTGTCGCACCAGCTACGCACGTACCTCTTGTTCTCCACATCCTGCCTCACAACCACGCCGATCTGCTCCAGCAGACTGGCCATATCCATCACGTACTGCGACTTGCTCGCCGTCGTCGGACCCGATCTCGGTTGCACCTGGCTCCACGCAACCACCGGTCGCAGCATCGAGTTCCATATCGGTTCCGAGCACAGCTCGAGCTCCCTCGCCAGCGTCTGGACTGCATACGATACCAACGTGGTAAAGATCTCGCGCTCCTCGTCCAGATTGATGCTGCCCCTGAACTCAGGATGAATCTTTTCTCGCAGCTTCTCCTCGAGCTGACTCGACGTGCTGGCGCAGTAATCGGCGGTGTTGAGCACCAAACACCACTTCTGGATCTCGGAGATGTTGGGTCGAACGTCGATCGACCGACGTGTCGGTTCGGTTCGTATCAGCGAATGGCGCAGCACTTCTTCGGCGTAGACGCGCAGCCACTTGCGGTACACCTCGTACAGGTCGCGCAGAGGTTCTCGATTGGACAAGCGTGCACACTGCTCGAGCGTCTGACGGTAAAAGTAGAAGAGCTCGGTCGAAGAGGGAAGCACAGTGGTGCCTCCGTTCGAGTTGGACGTGGCACCATCGATCCCCGCCGAAGCATCAAAGGCAGTATCGGCACCGAATCCTGCGATGGCCTGATGGTCTGCGTCTTGCGAAATGCGCGCACCCTGTCGTCGATACTGGACAAACATCTCGGAGAGCGCTCGATCCTGGGCCTCGACGAAGACGCCGAGGTACGGGTCGAAGACTGCGGAGAGTGTCTGGACTTGCGGCTGCTCCGGACGTTGCTGCGGCTGCTGGGATTGCGCAGCAGTGTTGCTTGCAGTAGTAGGTGGCGCAATCAGCTCCTCGAACGACGTGTTGTAGCGCCGGCTCATAGCAGCTTCAAACTCGAGCGTCGCATTGAGCGCTTCCATAAGAGTCGATACGTTGAGTCGAGACTGCTCGCGGATGAGCACACTTCGCAGGTCCTCCTTTGTGACATCGGCAAACTTGCGAATGAGCCACCTCTCCGCTTTCCACTGTTCGGGAAAGGCAGGTGCATGTTCCTCCTCATGAACCTTGAGGATCCTCCTGAACCACGCAAAACGCCTCGACACGTTGTCCAACTGGCCTGCCTCATCAGTCGCGCGAAAGATGCGGCGATACTCGCGCAGCTGGAGCGAGCAATACCAGTCGATGAGCGCCGTCTTTGCTTCCGGACCGATGGCGTCGATGACGAGAGCAGACTCTGGCAGGTTGGTGGATCGAACCGCGCGATTGGGATCGTGCAAGAAGAAGGTTTCGTAGTCCTTCATGATGGTAGTGCGCAGACCGTTCTGCAGATCGTTGACCTGCTTCCACGCAGAGGCGATGCGCTCGACGCCGCGATAGGACTGGAAAAAGTCGAGCAGCGATCTGACAGCCTGGAGAGCAGATGCGGCTTCCCTGTAGCGTTTGGTTTCTGCGAGGCGCTGGAGTTGGTCGACACCGTTGACGAGCATCTGGAGGCGTTTGAGCGCGGTCATGCTGGAGACGACGTTGCGTTTGGCGATGTCGAGGCTTCGGATATCGCGAGTAATCTCCTTGACGACGTTTTCAGACTCGCGCGCTTTCTCCCTGATGAGGTGGAGTTGCTCGAGCAGCGCTGCGATGGCCTGCTGCACCTGGGTCATGCGGTTGGTGTCGATCTCAGTCTCGAGCTCGGCTGTGAGCGCGGTGATCTGTTGTCGACATGCTCGAATCTGAAGTCGAAGCACAGCCTGCACCCGATCGATGGAAACAAGGCTGATTGGTTCGTCCTGCGCTGTGGACGAGGTGAGGAGCTGGTCCAACTGCGATTCGAGAGAAGATCGTTCGGCCAGGCTGAAGGGAGGCAGCGCACTGGCCCCGTTGGACTGTTGCTGCTTGTCTGGTGACAGGATGTGATCGATCTGAAGGGCGACATCGTGCGACAGATCGTTGGATTTGGATGGCGGTATTGGCGGCAAGGGTGTCTCTGATGTTGTCGCCTCATGCAGCGTCGAGGCCGGGAGAGGATTCGCCATGGCTTTGGGCTCCCGGAAAGCGGAAGGGATTTGCTGCCAGTTGCTACCACCTGCTGCACCTTTCCAAACGCACCCGAAATGTTATGCCTTGACCGGAAGCACTTTGATTTTGACCACCTTGTGTTGAAGTGAAGGGCTGAATGGGTGATGCTGCTGATGGTTGCGAGAAGTCAGCATGTCAAGTGTATGCGACATTCACAATTGCTGGTCAAGGCGCACTGCAACGCAGTTTGGAACAATGTGTTAGACCACTTCCCCCACATTTGAGCTCAAGAAGTTCACGTGACTGATTTACGCGTGAGTGAGTGTTGGTTGCGAGACGGCGCAATTGCACGTTGGAGAGTGTATTTACTGTTAGGCGAGGCAGAACACAGCGTTCTCCTCGTGGCTTGTACGATCCCTGGCCATTCACAGTGCAGCTTTCTATCCATCCATCCATCCGCTCGCTCTATCGGACTTGCAGCACGCCCTGACTGATTTCGGCTCCGACCAGCCGCTGCTCGATTGTGACCCAGCACAATCACCAAAGCGCCTCGATCCTATCCACCTCCATCATCCATCACGCCTGGACCCAACGCATCCCATCCTACCGCGCTGCAACCGCACTGGAAGCAGGGTTTCTACCCTGATCGTCCATCCACTATGTCGCGCAGACCACTCGCCGAGAACGTTCCGACGGCAGCTCCTCACGTCAGCGTCGTGCGTCGACCACTCGGTCCCAGTACAAAATCCAATGTTGTCCCCACCACAACTTCCGCAGCCGCACCAACACACGCGATCAAGACCCAGCTGAAGATCGAAGATCGACTCATCAGGGCAGAGTCCAGGATTCAGGACTTGCAGCACGAAAAGGTCACTGTTCAGAATGAACTCGGCGACTTGCAAACCGAACTACGACTCGCGGCACAGCGCGAAGCAAAGCTCAAACACAGCCTCGAAAAGTGGGAAAAGTCTCATGCTGCACTGAAAGAGAAGAGCAGCAAGCTATCGGACTTACAGTCGAGACTGGGAGAGCTGCATAGGGTGCACGAAGAGTCAAAAGCAAGGAGGCAGAAGGAGATCGACGAGCTTACCGAGAAGCTGCACAAGGAGGAGGAAAGGCGCAAGCATGACACCACCGAAGCTGCCCACGCGGTTGCTGCCGAAAAAGCAAGAGCGCGCGAGCTGCAGACGAGGTATGCCGCCATCGAGTCCGAGTTGGAGGCTCTTCGACTGCAAGGAACCGCCTCGCACGACGTTCTGAAACAGAAGCAGAGCTTGATCGACGATTTGCAGGCTCAGAGAGATTCGGACAAGATCATCGCTATCGACGCGCAAAAGTATGCTCGAAGGATCGAAGTGGAGCTTACCGCCCAGATTCAACAGCTTAAAGCCGAGATCGAAGCGAAGAGTGATCAAGCCGCACAGATCGCACACGAGCAGCAGGCAGTAACTGATGCAGCGCGCTCCGAACTCGAGTCTCGCATCGACGACCTCCTGAACGACATGGACGATATCGAGCAGCAACACACACACAATCTCGCCATGGTCGCCAAAGCAGTCTCGATGCACATCGGCACCGTGCAGCAGCGATTGGAGCTCGACAAGGACTCGTTGAGGTCCATGTGGCATGCAAACGCCACCGAACGTATCAAGATCGAGACAGTCGCAGAGGAGCGAGCTGCCCAGATCCACGAGCTCGTAGCCGTCGTCAAGCAGGTGCAGCAAGATCGAGACTCTGCCAAACAGCTTGCGACGACTCTCGAAGCGGACCTTGACAGCATCGCTGCCGAGCTTGCTGCCGAACGTCGGCTCGCTTCTCGCCTCATCGAGCAGCAAGAAGAACGACAGCAACGCAGCAGCGTCGGCGAGAGCTCGAGCTGGGGCGATCTTTCCGGCCTCACCGAAGCACTCGACATAGATGCAGGATCCGCTTGCTCCGTGAGGGCGGAGCTTGAGGACGCACTTGCGCGGAATGCTTTGCTCCAGGACGAAGCTGCGGAACTGCAAGCCAGGTGCATTGCACGCTCCACCGAGGCCAAATCCGCCGAAGAGGCTCTTGCCGCCACACGCAGTCAAGTGGCAACCCTCGAGGCCTCGATCGCAGCCAAGACACGAGAAATCGACACCCTTGTACAACAGCTATCCGAAATCGAGCCGCTTCGGAAGCGACTCGCCACTGCAACCGAGCAAGCCTCTTCGGCGCGCAAAGAAGCCGACACCCAATCCGAAGCATGCCGTTCCCTCGCCGCCTCTCTGCAGAACGCCAGGGTCGCCGAAAAAGCATGGCGAGACGATCGCGATCGCATGGCGTCCATGCTCAACCAAGCCGAACACTACGAGGCCCTCTACAACGAGCTCGTCGAGCAAACCAAGCACCTCGTCCAACGCAACGCACTGGCCGAGGAGCAGGTCGCCAGCCTGTCGGCGCTCAACTCGGAGCTTCTGAGCCACAACAATCCGAACCAGAAGATCATGTACATGGATCGCGTGCGTCACGAACTGGACGATGTCAAGCACGAAAACATCGACCTGAGGTGGCAGCTCGAACGCGCGCAGGAGGAGAACCGGGTGCTGCAGAGGGAGTTGGTCAGCTACAGGGCGGTGGACGCGCCGTTGAGTCAGAGGCCGAGGGCGGAGGTGACGAGGGTGATGAGGGCGGGGGATCACGAGGGGTTGTTGAGGCAGGTCTCGGGGAGTTTGGAGCAGCCAACGAGGGCGACGTTTGGATCGGCAGCGACGATGGTGGGTACGCCAGTCAGATCGACCTTCGCAACGGGGCCCGCCAAAACACCCTTCTCGGTGCAAGGTCCCAGATTCACGGCCGAACCGCTGCAAGCTGATCTGGTCAAATCGCTTTCGCAAGATGTTCGTCAGCAGCCAGCAGAGCCGGTGCAGGAGACGTACGAGACGGGAGCGGAAGCAAGCTCGCATCCGCCGCTGCCTATGGACACTGGTTTGTCGCCGAAGAAGAGACGCTCGTACGGCTCGCTCTCGGTCTACGCTGCGGAGGCTCGGCCTGAACAGGGCGAGCAAGTAGACGATCAAGGCGAGCCCGACGACGACACGCTGCTTCCCCTCCCGACCGCTACAGACGCTGACGAGGACCACGAAAGAGCCGTTCGTCGCAACCGTCCGCGTCACACGCTCGTCAACAGTGGCGCACTCCGCGTCGGTCAGCAGCAGCCTTCCTCCATCCCCGTCGCTACGCCCGTCGTCAAATCCGAGTCGACCCCAGCCATTCCAGGCGCTGCCACCATCACAAATGCAGGAAACGGAAGACGTCCGAGCCTCACCACCTCTTCTCTCGGTATCAAAGCCCGTCGAGTATCGGAACTGGTTCGAGCCTCTACACCACCGCTTCCCTCGATCGCGGACTTTTCCTCGCTCGAGACGCCCAACCACCTCCTCACCGCCGCCCTCCCCTCCCCCTCTCTATACGGTCTAGCTGACTGGACAGCTACCGACGAGACATCCCACGTCCCCGGTCTCAACCCGCACCGTGGCCCGTTCGCCCCCTCCTCCTCAACCGGCCTCACCCATTCCACCCCGCTTCCCGCACCTTCCGCCAAACGTCCCAAATCGCGCTACTCGAACGCCCAACGCATCCCCTCCACCACCATCCCCGACTCTTCCCTCTCCATCACACCACGAGCACCACTCAGCCTCCTGTCAAACCGCAAACCCGCTCGAGTGCAAGTGGCGGAAGCAGGTCAAACCACCTACGAGGATGAACACGATTCGTTCCGAAACGGTTGGCTCTACGATGATCGGGATGACGACGTGGTGGATCTGCCAGATTTCTCCATCGAGGATCAGAAGAGGAAGGCGTCGACTGCGGCGGGGGTGAAAAAGGTCAAGTCGAAGGCGAAGTCGAGGCATTCGATGAAGTTGGTCAAGTCTGGACCTATGGCCAGGACGTTCTTCCGTTGAGAAACACATACCCATAGCCAGCCAGAGAGATATATACCATGAAATGCACAAAGTATCATCGAAAACCTGCTTGAGATTGCCGAGGAAGACCCGGAATGATCACAAATGCATCTGACGGGAGACATAGGTGGGAGGCAGATCGTAGATATCATGCAGACTCTTCTCCAGCCTATCCTGATCATCGAACAGATGCATCTCGTCCTCCATCGAGATGGGCAGAACGTTCTGCGCCGTATCGGTAACGTTCACGACCTCACCCAACTCCGGCGTGTTCCTCGCGTTCAATCCAATAAACCCGGCATACACGGCCAATACGGCGAACAAGGACCAGGCCGGCAACAAAAACGCCCACTCGCGATTCGGATACCATCCGATGCCTACACTCTGCAGCACGTGATCCGGCGTCAGTGCCCACGCTATCCATCCGACCCACAGCAAGGTGGCGAAGATAAACAGCGCAAAGCCGTAGTACTCTCCGGAAGAGCGTTCGGTCACAGATGTGGTTCCGGAGGGGGAGGGGACGCGAAAGGAAGTGGCTCGAAAGGAATGGTGCGATTTTTCGTCGAGCCATGACTCGGGGTGTGGTTCGGTTTGCTCGACTGGCAAGGCTGAGGCGACGGCATTCGGGTCGGTGGCTGAGAACTGGTCTTCGGTGGGAAGAGCGTTGAGACTGTGCAGCTGAACGGCAAAGGGTCCGGATTGAGCTTGGAAGTTGCTCCGCGCCATGAGGCTCCATTCGTACGTGTTTGCGGGGTTGAATTCGCCGGCGGTGTCTGGATCGACGGGTCTGCCACGATAGAACGGCTTGAAGTCGGACCAGGTCGAGTCGAACACCCAAAAGTCGTCGTTGGTGAGCGCCATGTTGAGTCTGCCGTCCTGAACATCGTCGTCGCCTTGGGGGAGGGTGAAGCTCCACTCCCACACAACCACGCTCTCCCTCCTACCATCCGGCCTCCTCTTTGGCTCCTCGGTCTTGATCTCAAACACGAAGGACGTCACCGGTCCTTTGCCACCTCCCGGATTGCTTCCATCAGAAGGGGGCGATGGCTCCTCCCAATTGGCCTGCTTGCGAACGACGAGTCGAAGACCAATGAAGTCGTCCTTGCTGAGCTTGACGGGGAAGGGAGTGGTGGAGGATTGCGAAGCGAAGCCGGCACCACCGAGGGTGAGCGTATCGAGGAAGCCGGAGAAGACGAGCTCGCCGCGGTTGTTGGGAGGGTATTGGACGATGGCGGTGTGCGAGTGACTGGTACCTCCGCGAACGCGATCGTCGACGGCGAAGAAGTCGTCGGATCGCCAGGGACGTGCGGGCGCTCGTGGGTTGGGTCCGGGAGCGAACAGCGCTGTCGTGCCCGTGTACGACATGTTGTGGTATTGCGATCGAGAAGAGCACGGAATTGACGATTCTGGTGTGATGAGGAGGATGGATGGCGGAGCGAAGCAGGAGGTCGAGTAAGCTGGAATCGTCACGAGCCAGCCGACATGATCTGCGGAGTGGAGGTGAAACGTCGATCAAAATGCGGAAACCCAAAAAGTTGCAGCAGCGCACAGGCAGCCGAGATTTCCCCACACACGACAGGCCAAGGAACAGCAAAGCAGCAAAGGTCGTCGGTTATTCGAATCTGCCTGATAACCGAGCCTCGACCATCGCCTCGTCCACCTCCGACTCTCTCGACGGCGACCTCTATTCCAGCTTCACCAACTGGAAGCATACACCGAAAAGCCATGACCTCGCACACATTAGCTCGCTTCGATGCGAGCAAGGATCTCTCCGACGACTGCGCGTTCTGTCGGATCGTTGCCGGGCAGTCTCCTGCGTACATCGTCTATGAAGATGAGCACAACCTTGCCTTTTTGGACATCCTGCCGCTGAGACCGGGCCATACGCTGGTAATCCCCAAGAAGCACGTTCAGCAAGTGTCCCATCTGGATCAGGAGACGGCAGCTTCACTGTCGCATGCGCTCGTACAGACGACACGAGCTGTCGGCAAAGGTGAGTTCTCCTTCGATAATACTCCTTCTGTGAAAGACAAGAACGCTAATCATCGCTTTCTCATATTACTCGGTGACATCTATGATGCAGCGCTTGGCGACGAAAGGCTGCAAGTGATCACCAATCAGATCTACGCACAGCTTGTCCCTCATGTAAGTTCGCCATCGTAGGCTACGGCTTGGACAGTCATCTCGAACTCATCAGCTGATTCTGCCGTCTTTCGCCCATCGGACAGGTTCATTTCCACATCGTCCCCGCTGCGATGCGACCAAACACGGACGGGAAGGCCAAGAAAAGTTCAGCATCGAGCAATCCACTGGCGGCACTGGGACTGGGGCATGGACGTGAAGAGCTCGACGATGAGGAAGCCGAAGAGCTCTGCAAAAAGATCCGTCAAGCCGCGCAACTGTCCAAGAACGAACCGCATGCAAAACTGTGATACCCTCCTCGGCTAGCCGGGCTTCAACCTTGCCCGTCTGCTGCCTGACTATGATGCGTTAGGAGTGTGAGAGTTGGCGCTCATCAACGCGCTGAATGCTGTGCGCTACGTCGAGCAATTGCAGATGCACTGATCAGATCGATATTAATCAATCCAGGACTGTGTGGTGGTGGAATATGTGGCTATATTGCTGCACTGCTGTCGCAAAGATTCTAGTGTGGATGCGCAAGAAGATCACTCGGAAGCTCGCTTGATCTTGAGGTCGGACAGATCGACTTGCGAACCAGGGGCGACGGCGTGAGGCGATGCTTGCTCAAAGATCCTGTTTCCCAAAAACGATGTAGAATGGATAAAAGGTCAGCTGATGCACACTCGAAGCGCATCTTCCATGCACGCAGCTACTCACTGAGTGTATCGCAATCGGTGAACAGGTGGACGTTCAGCATCCTGGAACAGCAGACGCTCCTCGGCCTTTTCCTTCACAAGTTCGAGGTGCCTGGCGTTGCGCTCCTTCCATACGCTTGGCGAGGTGGTCCAGTGCTCGATGTATCGGGTGAGCCATGGCTTTGCGTCGTCGTCGTGGAAGTTGTCTTCCGACTCGTTGCCCGGTGCCGAACGGCCCGAAGACGAAGCTCGAGAAGGATGAGGGTCGGCGTGAAGCGTCGAGATGCGGTAGAGGCCGAAAGTAGCGATGGCGCCGAGGAAGGCGTAGCGCCAGATGGGAGCGCCAAAGTTCTCGCTTGGGTATTCCTCGTCGGCGGCGCTGGAGGAGGAAGCACCGGCGCGGACGATGCGTGTCGAGTGGAGTGATCGCACCGGAGCGGCAGTTGCGGCGGCCAGGGCGGGTGCGCGACGAAGCAGCATGCTAGCGGAGGATGTGGCGACCATCTTGATGTGTGCCAGTCAGATGAGTTAGGGAGCTGCGAGGGACGAGGTGACGATCTAGAAGAAGGTATCGAGCAAGGTCAGTGATATCGTCGAGCTGCAGACTGCCACATGAAGCCAGCTTCTTGCCAATCTGGCTCTCAGACTCCACTCCAGATCGGTTCCGAGATTTTGACTCTCAAACCAACCAGACACGCTCAATTTGTCGACTGCCTTTTTTTCCAACTGCAGAGCGCACAACTGCAATCGTGATCGACCTTGCTTCGCCTTTCGCACGGCAGCTTTTTTCGACAATTCGAATCAAGCTGGTCTAACAAATCATGCACGCCAAATATAGCTGCGCCGTGTCGATCCTGTCGAAGCTCGCCAAAAACAGACGGAACAGAGCTTTGAGGTGCTAAAAAATCGACGCGCCGGTGTGTTGGTCTCACACCGCACACTCTCGTCAAGGCAGGTCACCAGAGACCCTGGACAGCAGAGCAGTCTCGGTCTTGTTTACCGTTTTGACCCCTGTGTCAACATGCAAGAGATCTTTCCATCGACGCCCTTGGAGCAGCGTTTGCCCACCTACAGTCGAGTCGCTTCTCAACCTGCCCCCCTCTGCAGTGCAGCCTGCAGCTCCCGCGGTTCGGCCCAGAACACAGTCGTTCGGGAGCGAGTCTTATTCTGCAGATGCTTGGCCCATCAATACGTGCCGATCGATCGTCACCATGCTCTAGCTGTGTGGATGCAAGCGAGGTGCCACCTGCCATCAATTGCTTGGCTGGTGTTCGTCTTTCGGCGCCAGGCAACATTGAGAACGTGTCAGACAAAGGAGTATGAGGGCAGATTGGTGGGTCGATGTGATCTACCCAGAGTCGTGCTGTACGACTTCATAAAACTCGCAATGACCTTCCACTTTTTTTGTGCATCTCACAAAGCGTGGATCATCAGCTTGCTCATGCTCGAGAAAGATCGCCGTTTCAGACTTTCTTTCTGTCTTTCGACCTGGCTAAAGGCTAGCTGAAGCATGATCATCTCCAGCGAGCGGGAGCGAGGTGAGCCATCGAAGCCGTTCCGAAGAAATTCTGTGTACATAGCGTGTTGTGCAGCGTGTCACAAAGAATCATTGTACTGCTGCTGTGTCGCTCTCGCTCGCTGTTCCGAAAGCTGCTGTGGTGAATTTGGAGCGCGCCTCGCCACGAGCCTTTTTTTCTCGGGTGGATTCCGCCAAGCGCCACTACGGCAATGTGAGACGTCTCTTTCACCTTTACACCATCACCCGTCCGCCTTTCACCTCGTCACCTTTGCCTCGTCGACCTTTCACCTCGCAGCCTGCTTCGTTTCTTGCATCGCTCTCCTCTACCTCTTCCTTTCTCTCGCTCAGGCGCGCAGCCGGCCTTCCTCATTTCTCGCGTCCAGTCCCTTCCCGCGTCCATCTCTGGTTCACCATCTGCCGCATTTCGAACCGCCCTCAGCATCAGTCTCCTTGAGCTTGCTTATCATCGATTTTCGATCGTACTTCGGCTCATCACACTCTTTTGACCTTCTTCGTTTGGGCTGGGCCGGCTTCTCGACTGCATTTCCATCCCAATGCTCTGATTCGTCGCTGCTAATATCTGTCGTCCTCCCTTCGCCGCCGGGTGCGTCTTTACTCAGCCTCGACAGCCGTCTCGAAGCCCGATTGCTCGTTGTAAAGCGAAAGCGATAGCCACCATGACGCATCTCATGTCCTCCGCCGCAACGGCGAGCACATCACATCGACACTGGTCGTCATCACGATCATCCACATCACGGCTGACACGCGCCGTTTCAAAATCAGCCCTCCTCCTCACTGCCGCCATACCTCTTGCAAATGCATCCATCGCCAACTTCCCCAGCATCGACTTTGATCTCCTTGGTGCCGTCAGCATCGCAGGCTCCTTCGCAGGCATCGAGCTCTGGAACCAGACCGGCTCTTCTGCGAGCCCAAATGCCACCTACAATCCAGCAGCATCTTCCCTGCTCTCTCGCGCCAACAATGGCACCGTCTCCTTCATCAGCGCCACCGAACAGGGTGGCACCATCCGTGCCATCTGCCAGATGCAGTCGTCCCCCAATACTGTCTTTGTCGCTGGCAACTTCTTCTCCATAGGCGGCACGTCCGTCAGCAACATTGCCTCGTACGATCCTCGTTCCAACACGTTCCACGACATGGCTGGCGGTCTCGATGGCGTCGTACAAGCCTTGTATTGTGACAATGAGCATCAGCAGCTCATCGTCGGCGGTTCTTTCACTGCACCCGTGAACGGCGCCACCGATCGATACCTTGGCAACGTGGCTCAGTGGGACGTAGCAGCATCCGCATGGAATCCAGTTGACTTTGGCGGTCTCGACGGCGCCGTCAACACAATCACGCAAGGTGGCAACAACTCGCTCATCCGCTTCGGAGGCAGCTTCGACACGCGCTTTGCTTCCATGGGTGCCAACGGCATGACCTCAGGCACCAACACCTCGGCATCCTCGCTCACAGCTGCCCTCACTCCATTCTCTCTGGGTCAAGTTGAATTCGTCGGCGGGCCCAGCTCCAACCAGGCCGGCTTCAACAACCCAGCCCAGATCCTGTGTCCACAGGGCGCCGACGGCTCCGGCAACTCGTACCTGTTCGAAGATGGTGTTGACGGCCGACTCACCGCGCGTGCTTTCCGCGCACTCAACGTGCGTGCCATCCGACTAGGAAACACCTTTGTCGACGGTCGCGGAACGCGCACATTCGGCATCGTCTCGATTCCCGACAACACGGAGCTCGAACTCATTTACCTCGACCCGGCCACCAATCAGAACGCCACCTGCACCACCAACTGTACTCTAGCGCACGATGCATCCCTTCCTTATCAGGACTTCTTGATAGCAGATACCCCCGCCAACAATGCGCCAGGCGGCATCAAGCAGCTCACCGGCATCCAATTCACCGCCACAGAATACTACGGCGCCGGTGCCGGTCTGCACATCCTCGAGCTGCTCTCCGAGGGGGGCTGGGCGTACGCCTACAATGCTTTGAATCGTGGTGCCTGCAACTCGGATCAGAGCGGCGTCAACGGTACCGACTCGTCCGCCACCAACCAGGGCGGCTGGTATCCGAGCACCATCAACACGCTCGCCGGCACCGTCGAGCCAGTGTTGGCCTACACGGACTCGTATTCGAACCTGCAATCTGCCGCCTCGTCCGCCACCGTCACCTTCTCCGTCGACATCCCCGTCAACGGGAATTATACCATCAACATGTTTGTGCCCGGGTGCCAGGCAAGTGGGCAGTGCGGACAGCGCACTGACGTCCAGGCCAACGTGTTTGCCGTTAAAGGCTCGCAAGGCAACCTCACGCGCGTCTCGCAAACCAATCAAGACGATCGCACCGTTCAGATCTACAGCGGTGAAGTCAACAAGGCCGCTCAGGGCTTCCAGCCTACCGTGGTGCTTTCCATCCCCTCCGATGCACCCGCACCTTCTGGCGGTGGCGACTTTACTGTCATCGCCGACAAGGTGAGCTTCTTGTTGCGCGACAGCAACGAGACGCTTCAGATGAGCCGCTCCACCGGATTCGGCGTCTTTGAGTACAACCTCTTCGACTCGGCCGTTTCGGCGATTCAGGGCAACGGCACCGGCACCCTGCCCAACACCACCATGACGGATCTAGATGCCTTTGCAGCTACGCTCTACGCCAACGGTGTGCGCAGCAATGCCAGCGACACGGCCGTCTCTGCCGTAGCTTCGGTCGGATCGCGCACCTTTGTTGGCGGATCCTTCACATCGAGTGGCAACGTCAGCTTTGCCAATATTGCCGGCTTCTCTCAGGATTCGGCCGGTAGGACTCCCATCGAAGTCGCCAACGGAGGTCTCAACGGTCCAGTCGCGGCTCTGGCCAGCTTGGGAAATGCTCTGTATGCGGGTGGAAGCTTTACGAGCACTGCCGACAGCGCCGTCGCTGCTTCTTACATTGCTCGCTATGATCCGGACGCCAATACATGGACCGCTCTCGGAGGAGGTCCCGATGGCGCTGTCTCTGACATCTACCCTCTCGGTCCCGACGCTATACTGGTTGCCGGCACGTTTGCGACTGTCAATGGCACCGGTCAGAGCGGCGGGTACGCCGTCTGGAATTCGACCGCCAACGCCTGGCAGACACAGTCCAGCTTTGTGTCGGCAGAGATGACGGCCGCCTTTGCAGACTATGCCTCGAGCACGCAGCAGAGCTTCCTCGCCGGAAGCGTCCGTGCGCTGAGTCTGCAGTCTGCCTCGGGTGCCGCTCAGATGCGTGCCCCTGACCAGTCGGGCAACCTGCCGATCATCGAGTCGCTCAACTTTCAATTTGCCACACCTTCCGGCTCTTCCGCATCAGCATCGTCGTCTGCCGGTCTCGCGCGCAGGCTCAGCGTCAACAGTGCACGACAGCAGCAGCAGCAGCAGCTCCAACAGAGACAAACGCAAGAGCGAATTCACGTTCAAAAGCGTGCTTCGAGCTCGGGTCTCGGCTCCAAGCTGCTTTCGGTGCTTCCGAGGTCACCATTGGGAGGCGCCCACGTCGATGCACCCTCTGCACCTGCATCTTCGTTGACAAGGCGTGCTGCCGTCATGACACCCGCCTCGCTCATGTCGACTGGCCAGAACGAGATCCTCGCCAGCACATTTTGGCAGCGAAACGACGGATCGTTCGTCAACATCCTTGGCGGCAACTTCACGACCACGTCGGGCATTCGCAACTTGGCTTTCTACGACGACTCGACCAACGCCGCTACGGCCTTCCCTGTGCCGCCCACCACCACCAATCAGCAGTTCATCTCGGTGGTGCGCTCGTTGCTCGTCGACTCGGACATCCTGTACGTCGGCGGTGACGAAGGCTTCGAGGCGTACGATCTCAAGAAGGCAAGCTGGCTCACCAACGGTGCTCCGCTCTCCGCCAGCTCCGGCCAGGTGCTTTCGGTCACTGCCATCGACCACCGACCCGACTCTACGCAGCTCGTCGTCTCTGGCAGCTTTGCGTCCGCTGGCTCGCTCCCATGTGCCAACGTCTGTCTCTGGGACACCAACGGCATGCGCTGGAGTCCTCTGAGCGCTGGTCTGAGCGGTCAGATCTCGGCCATCGACTTTGCCGGTAGCAAGGCCAATCTGCTCATCCTTGCCGGCTCCATGACGGTCAATGGTGCCGAAGCCTCGCTGGTCAGCTACAACTTTGACACGCAGATGTGGTCCAGCTTGGGCAGTGTCGGTGGCGGCTCCAATCAGATTCCTGGACCGGCCACCGCGGTGAGTGTCGACGATCTCGATGCCAACGCCATCTTTGTCGCTGGACGTACGGCCGACGGAAGCGCTCCGTATCTAGTCAGGTGGGACGGCACGCAGTACACCGCGGTCGGCACCGGTCAGTTCCTACCAGCTACAGGCATCTCGCAGTTGACCTTTGTGCCCATCTCCAAAGCACACCCTAGCAACCAGATCCTGGAGGACAACCGACTGCTCGTGGTGAGCGGCGCGTTGACGACCCAAGATTACGGCAATATCTCGAGCGTCTTCTTCGATGGTCAAAGCTATTCGCCCTTCTTGCTGGCCACCAACCAGGACGGTTCTTCCGGTATTGTGCGTGCTTTCACTCGATCCACCGAAGTGCTGCAATTCCCTAACCTGCACCACCTTGCCGTGGGTCTTGTGATTCTCATCTCGATTGCCATCGGACTCGGGATCGTGTTTCTGCTGGTGCTGCTGGGCCTCATCTGGGCTGTTGCGAGACGACGACCCGAGTCGCGCGACGTGGACGTTCCGCTGTCCGGCAGCGACGAGTCGCTCGGCATTGGCGAAAAGAAGCGCCCCTCAAGCCTGTTGGCTACGCTCAATGCAGCCACCGAGAATGCCATGCTTGGCGAGCACGGCGGCAACGCAGCCACTGCTGCCGGCATCGGAGCTGCAGCCGGTCTTGGTGGAGGAGCTGCAGCGGCAGCAGCGGCTTCGCGTCACCGCGGGCAGGAGCCATACCAGCAAGAGCAGCGCGAGATGGGCGATGAAGCGGGCCAGTCCAACTACCACAGCGACGGCGGCCGCACTGGTCAGAGCGCTCACACCCAGTACCACACGGACGACGGCTTTTCGGCTGCCGAGGCTGGCATGGCTACCGGCATGCTCGGTGCTGCTGGTGCGGCCCCAGCGGCCGCGGCTGGCTTTGGCGGCGACGACGAGGACTCGCCCATGGAGGGCATCCCTGCCCATGCTCGTTATGACTTTGTGCCAAACCATGAGTCGGAGCTTCCGCTGACGGCGGGCGAACCCATCGAGGTTCTGGACGACCAGGACCCTCACTGGTGGCTGGCAAGGAACACGCAGGGACAGACCGGCGTCGTTCCCAGCGCGTATGTGATGTGATTCCGAGAAGCGACAAGTCGATCGACCAACGTCCAAAAAGCGAGGCGCTCATTCTCTGATGGCGCTTTCAACCATACCCGTTCCGCATAGTCTAAGGAACACGTTACCTCCCTTTCACCGGCGCATCCGCACACATTCTTTCACTGTCTTTTCTCTCTTTTCGCATATCCCTATCATGCTTGTGCTGCGTTTATTCTTCGTTCACATTCGCCTTGCAGCAGGCTGCCATTCTAGGTTCGTTTCGCGCCAGCTGCGTGCTTGTTTTCAATGCATTCTCTTCGTATCGCTTCGAGTCGTGTGATGTGGTGTTGCGAGAAGCAGCTGAGAGCGTGGACGAAACGCAGGTCCTTCGAGAGGTTGCGATGTAACACATCTAATCGGCGCGAAATAAGCACCGTTCGGCTTTTGATTTTGAGATGCATCTTCGACTCCACACCTGTACTCGATGACCTGCACTTCTTCGTCGCTTCTCTCGACCATTCCTTGTCCAGTCGCTTGAGCCTCTCGACGAACAGCATTGTGAATGTGATCAGCATACGACGCTGTTCATTTCCGATCGACCTTCTTGATCATCTCCCTCTCACGCACTCTCTCGCTTCGGAACGGCCGAGGAGAGAACGATTCCCGACACACCTGGAGCAGCTAGAATCGACTCAGCCACGCATATCTGCTAATTTAGCCTACGTATACCATCATAGCATCGGCGCACGCCTTGAAAAAAGCATACGCATATCGTCTATCACTGCGCTCCTCGATACCCATACCCAAGGAAGCGCGAGCGACGAATAGATTGACACACGAGCAGCACGAGTCTCGTGGTAGTTTCAGCTCGGAGTCATTACAAGCCGAGTCTTTGGACGAACTCGCTCGACAAACGAGCAAACGAAATCTCAAGAAAGAAGCTTCGGCGAACAGTGACGGTGATCTCGTGCTAGTCCGGATCGTTACGAGCAGGAAGCTGCGCGAGACGCTGCTGTTGCAATCCAAGCTTTCGGCTCGACCTTTACACCAGCCCTTAGCGCGACCAGCTTCTTCCTCGATCCCTGCCCATTCCATTCGATCGCATCTGCACCCGTTCCCTTCGCATTCACCGGCTTCGTCCGGAACGCCACAGCTCGCCCAAACAATCATGGCGTTCGACCTGGATGCGTGCATCGCCACGCTCCTCAAAAAACAGCTGCTCGGCGAAGCGCTGCTCAAAGAGATCTGCGAAAAGACCAAGGAGATCCTCATGCGCGAGTCGAACGTCGTGCACATCTCTGCACCCGTCACCGTCGTCGGCGACATCCACGGCCAGTTCTACGACCTCATCGAGATCTTCCGCATCGGCGGGTACGCTCCACACACCAACTACCTCTTCTTGGGCGACTACGTCGATCGGGGGTTGTTCTCGGTCGAGACGATCTCGCTGTTGACGTGTCTCAAGCTGAGGTATCCGGATCGAGTGCAGTTGATCAGGGGGAATCACGAGTCGAGGGCGGTGACGCAGACGTATGGGTTTTACACCGAGTGTCAGCGCAAGTACGGAAGTGCCAATGTGTGGACGTATTTTACAGATATGTTTGACTTCTTGACGTTGTCGGTGGTGATCGACGATCAGATCTTTTGCGTACACGGTGGTCTCTCCCCTTCGGTGCACTACATTGATCAGGTCAAGATCATCGATCGTTTCCGAGAAATCCCACACGAAGGCCCCATGGCAGATCTCGTATGGTCAGATCCAGATCCGGACAAGGAGGAGTTCGCCATCTCTCCCCGAGGTGCAGGTTACACCTTCGGCGCCTCGGTCGTGAAACACTTTTTGCATCGCAACAACATGAACCACATCCTACGAGCACACCAGCTGTGCATGGAAGGCTTTTCCGTTCTCTACGACGATCGACTCTCGACGGTATGGAGCGCCCCGAATTACTGTTATCGGTGCGGGAACATGGCGAGTATACTCGAGGTGTTTCCGGACGGCAGTAAGCACTTTAATACGTTTGAGGCTGCACCGGAGAACGAGAGGGATGGGCCGACGCAGCATCATCTGACTGGCGGCCCGACAGGGAATGGAGCGGGCAAGCACGAGGCAGTCGAATACTTCTTGTAATTTCGCCAATGAGACATGCATCAGAAAATGTCATTTCGTATCATGAACAGCTCGAGTGGCGAATGGTTGTATCGGCGCAGTGCACGGAAACCCGCAGCGTGGACGGCGGTGATGGCCGTTAGCTCGATCGGCGGCATACTCGATCCGCTTTGCAGAGCGAAACTGAACGAGCTTTCTCTCAAGTCTTTTGCTTCGCGCTGTGACAGAATCGACCTCCCTCTCAATCCAAGCATCCCACTTTGTTTCCGCATTTACCATTCTTGCGTCCATCTACGATATGTTGCGAGCGGTTCAATGGTATCCAAGTGCACACGGCGGAAGGAATGAGATGCAGAAAATCCACGACGAAGGATGCTAGGTACATGCTTGTGTGGTCATGCCCTTGTGGGAAGATCAACCCATCTTGAAGTGGAACTGCTGACCACCGGGGAAGCCGCCGCCGGGGAAACCACCGAAACCACCCGCCTGCTGCTGGAAGAACATATCGAACGGATGACCACCCTGCGCGAACGGGTTCCCATATCCACCCTGCTGCTGACCCATGGGGTCGTTCGGATCGTCACCCTCGTCGTACCTCTTCCTCAGCTCGTCATCGCCTAGCACGCCCCACGCCTCGTTGATCTGGGCCATCTTCTCCTGCGATCCGCCCTTGTCCGGGTGGTTCTCGCGCGCCATCTTCCTGTACGCCTTCTTGATCGTCGCGAGATCGTCGGTGCGCTTGACACCGAGCACCTTGTAGTAGTCTTTGCTCTGGCTGAGCTTGAGACGTTTCTGCGCGGTGGTGAGTTTCTGGTGGATGCTGCGGTCGGTGCGGCCGGAGGCGTCGAAGGCTTTGGTGAGGTCGCGCACCGCCGCGTCGTACTCTTCGCGTTGCAGGGCCAGCTCGGCACGTGCGAGCACGGCTTCGACGTTGTCCGGATCCTTGTCGAGCACCAGCTCGCAGAAGGGCATGGCTTTGGACATGTCGTTGAGCTCGGTGTACGACTTGCAGTACATGATGTGCAGTTCAAACAGCAATCCCGACTGCTGAACCGGATCACCCTTGTACGTCGATGGGATCAACGCCTCCTCGTCTCCCGACTGCACCTCGGTGGCAGCCTTGATGGCCTCCTTGATCTCATCCACCACCGTTGGTCCGCCTACCTTTCCGCCCTTGAGCGCTGAGAGCACAGCGCGGTAGCTCTGCGAATTGTAAAAGTTGCGAGCCTTCTTCAAGGCCTTTTCCAACGCTTTGATCTTTCGATGCATCTTGGCGCACGACTTGTTGTCCGGATCCGAGTGGAGACACGCCTTGAGATGTTGAAGTCCCGCATCCCTGCTCTGCGAGCCGGGTTCGCTGACGACAAAGTACGAGAGCACCGCCAGCCGTCGAAGCAGGAAGGGCGAAGGGGAAAGGTGAACAGCGCGCGTCCAGTCTGCCATGGCGTCTTCCACATTTCCCTTCATGGTCTGACAGCGAGCGCGAGTCAATCTCGTCTCGAGATGCGACGGCGAAATCTTGAGCACCTCGCCAGCCAGCTGAATGCAGTGGTCCACCTTGGTCGGATCTACCTCCTTCGCCTTGCCCTTCCAATCCCCCTTCTGCGCCTTGTCGAGCTCCTTAACGAGCTGGTTCAGCGACTTGAGTGATGTCTCGACCAAGGTGAGCTTGGAGCGAACACTGTTTGCTTCCGCAGGGCTCGACTCTGCAGCACCCTTCTCGGCGCGAATAGAGTCGTACGTCTTAAGCGCCTGCTTGGCCTTGTCGTAGTCTCCTTCTTTGAGGTAGACTTTGGCCTGTTGGAGGTACGCCTTGTAGAACTTTGGGTTCAGCTCGAGCAGTGTGTTGAAATCTTGTAGTGCAGCGGATGTGCGGCCGAGCGAGAGTTGCGCTGTGGCCCTCCTGTAGTATGTGAGATATGACGATGGATCGGCTTGTAGCGCCAGATCGAAGGAGTTGAGAGCATCTTGGTATCGGCCGGACTGAAGAGCTGCGTTGGCCTGTGTGAGGTGCTGATTGGCGGCGGCGGGATCGCTCACCACGGGTGGATGAGAAGATGCAAAGGCGTCAGCTCGCACGAGCAGTCCTCCCGTGGATGAGAGGCCGAGAGCGAGACAGAGCGTCCATGAAAGCGCCAGAAGGGATGGCAGCAGCTTCGCCTTCATCTTGTCTGGGGAATGGCGCCCTCGGAGCTGCAACGATGGTCGAAGGTCTACAGAAAGAGCCGTGGGTAAAGGTCGATGATCGCCACACTCCGCCTTATACGATGGCCAGGCCGGCAAGCAACACGTGAGGGTGTCGACGGCAGGAGCAGATCCTACGACGCTGACTGCTGTATGATGGAACGGTCAGAGTCGGGTGGAAGCAAATGTTGATGGTTTTGCACGACGTAGGAGAGAGGGGAAGAGTTAGTCGGGTACTTTAGTGCGGTGTCAATTTAGAGTTGTGTGTGTGAGAGCGAGAAAGAAGCTTCCAGCTCAATATGCATGCGGACTCTTGCGTGAATCCGCTACAGACAGGCGCTGCTGAGCCTCAATTTGGGCAAATTGCCGGAACGACTCGCATTTTGGCAACGTGGAACTCAACGCGGGGTTGCATTCTCGTGCGGCACAATTCCTACCTCACGCTGTTAAAGCGATTACCAACCTGCGACTCCTGCCACACTAGAACCACCCTCAGGAGGACACTCGAGGCAGGACACATGAGATACAAGAAGTGATACATTCTTCGGCGATCCCGTACATTTCGATCGTATCCTCATATCAATAAGCCCCAACGTGCGAGACTAGCAACCATAATAGCGAGACCGAACAGCAGCGACGCATACGTCGTCGTGGCAAAGCCAACCAAAGGCAGTGACGTAGCCCAGAGCGAAGAGACGATGGTGTGCAGAATCACCAGAACGCCAAATGTGATGCCAAATCCTCCAAACGGCGGCAAAAGGTTAAAGTGGGAAGATAAATCGAATCGATCATGCGAAAGGTGACCGAGTGCACCTTGAGCATGTGTGAACGATGCGGACAAGAGAAGGCTGCTGCCAATGCTCCATAGCATCGCATCGATCCGCCACAAGGCGCACAGTGCCACGGGGATCTCTGGCAGTGGAACGCCTAGAACAGCCTCGACTTCGGACCGCTCCTTTGCTACCAAGAATCTTTCAACTTCTTCCTCGAGCTCCTGATCCAACAGCGAGATGGTGGTGGCGGAAAAGTCGGAATCGCTTGCTCTCGAGCTTTCGCTTTCATCGTCGTCGTCTGTTACGGCGTCGCTGTGGCTCGCCTCCTCGACTGCCTCATTGAGCGATCCCATTGCTCCGTAGTTCTGCTGCCGTGACGCTGCGGTCGATTCTGTCGAAGGCTGCACCAAGCGCTGCCGTGCTTGTTCGAGCGCCCGGGATGCCGACATGCGTCTCGCTTTGCCAGTGCTGCGTTCGGGCGTCGATACTCGGTCGCTATTCGCCCCAGGATGGCCGGAGAGCAGACTGAAGCCCGACTGACCTGCAACTGGTCGATCGCCATCGGCAACGTCCGTCTTCAACTCCTCCTCCACATCGACCGGCTTGTAGAGCGCGACTTGATGCAGGATCTGGAAAGCTCCGAATCCAAACTCTGCCAATGCCCATGCGATCGACGACCAAGCCGCCACAAAGAATCGCGGATCACGGAAGCTGAGCCTCCACGCCCAGTCGGGCCCTGTGTTTGCTGTTGCTAAACTCTGTGCTATCGAGTCGAGTGCGTGTGGACGGTGCGAGTTCCGCTCCTGGATAGGATACAGGTAAAGCGCCGTGACGAGGATGCAGCAGGCCCAGTAGAAGGAAAGGACGCGCAACGATTCGGCAATCAACGCTTGCATCGCGATGGCGACCGTGACGATGAGACTGTCCTTTCCTGAACCTTGTTCGCTCCTCGGAAGCTGAAACCGTGGTGAGCGAGAAAACAGCGAGAGCGACGACGAAAGCAGCCGGGGTATGAGTCGATCCGCAAACGCAAGACATGCTTTACGGCTGGTATAAGACGCGAGCCAGCCAACCAGACCGAGTGCCAGAGTGGAAGCGAGCAGCTGTCCATCGAGGATGCTGCGACATCGTCCTCTTTGATAGACCGAGTGCGCTGGATGTAGTCGAGACTTTGTGATTGAAGTAAACTCATCCTGAATATGGCAAAGTTCGCGAGTTTGGATGGTGCCCCAAAGCGCCACGATCAGGATCACCAGAGTTGGAAGGAGCGATAGGACGTGGAAGAAGAAGAACCGGCGGTAAGAGGACTGCAAGGCGCGGCTAGATCGAGCGATCTCCTCGAAGGGTATCGAGACGGATGAAGACGAGGAATCCGAGGCTTCGGCCTGTAGTGGCTCGGACCGCATCGGACGTTTTCGTGATGTCGACATCTCGAGGGATGAGCGTACCGATGTTCGATCGGGACTCCTCGAGGCTTGCCTGGACGCCTTTACTCTACAGCCATGAGAGTTGACCGTTCGAATGGGAAGGATTCTTGAATGATGGTGTGAGGGAGCCAAGCAAGTCAAGGGAAGCGAGTCACATTTCAGGGTTCACAGAGCGAATCTCAGTCCGATACGCGCCGTTGCTCAGATCGGTCACGTATCGGGCTGCAAGTGGAGAAAAAGTTGAGGTGCAGGAAGGACCCTGACTTGTTCTTGAAATCTTCTCACCTGTCCGACCCACCTACTCTACCCAGCCATCATCAACATTTGCGAAAGGACACTGGGCAATCATGCCGAAGAAGAAAGGCAATCTCAAAGCCGCACTCAACGGTCACTTTGCCCAGCAAGAGCAGAGAGCCAGAGAAAGAGCAGCACAGGAAGCAGCACGACGCAAGGCGCTCTCGGTCACCAAATCAGGTGCTTCCAAGTCCAAGAACCACAAACACAGGTCTCAACCCGCTCTGCCTTCCGATGCCGACGGCGCTGCCAGCAATGACGCATCCATGGACAGCAGACCCATCATCAAGAAGCGTAAAAGTCTGCCGCAGCCATTCGCGAGAGACGATACGATCCTCATAGTCGGAGAGGCCAACTTCTCCTTCACCCTCTCCTTGCTCCTCCCTCCACGCGCCCATCCACCATCCAACATTCTCGCTACAGCCTACGACTCGGAACAGGAGTGTTGCTCAAAGTATCCCGATGCTCGAGAAAATGTCGAAAGGATTCGCCGCCTTGCAGGTCGAGACGATATCGTCCTCTTTGGCGTAGACGCAGGACAGCTGGAAAAGTACAAGCAGGTCACGGGTGCCTCGTCCAGATCCAAATCTCAACTTGGCCGCAATCTCGACGAAGGCTATCAGCTCAGCTCCACTTCTGCAGCTTCAGGGCAGAGGAGGTGGAGCAAAGTATGGTTCGGGTTTCCTCACGTCGGTGCAGGCCACAAGGACGAGACTCGCAACGTGCTGGCCAACCAGCTTCTTATTCTTCGCTTCCTGGTCTCGGTAGCACCGTATCTAACGGTGGGAGCGCTTCCAGCTCATGCACCTGGCTCCTCGTCGGGATCCAATAAACGATCGGATTCAGACGACGAGGATGAACTAGACCTAGATCCTGCTGCGAATATTGATGAGGCCGAAGACAATCTTCTCACCGGGAACGTTGCAAACACCGATGCAGACCGATCGGTCTTGGACGAAACACAAGCACGTATTGCAGCCCTTCAACCCTTCTCCCCACCCTCACGTCAAGGCTCGGTCCTCATCACCCTTCGCAACGCTTCCCCCTACACCCTGTGGGACGTGGCCAACCTCGCGAAGCGTCTACCTCAAATGCTTCCCGTCATCGCATCCACCGCACCCGCTCTGCCCAAAGGTGTCAAGAAACCCACGCTCAAGGACCTCACCGCCAACGGCCTCTCCACCTTGAGTCCCAACAATCTCCACTCTCGTGCTGTCTCCCAGTCCAAAAACGGAAACAGCAGCGGCGGTGGCGGAGGCGTAGACTCATCGGGCGTCAAGAGGTATCGAAGCTATCACCTCTGGCGAAGCTTCGAATTCGATCCCAACGAATGGCGTGGATATCAGCATCGTAGGACCATCGGTTGGGTCGAAGGCGTCAGCAGCAGCGCCAACGAGGATCTGCTCAGGTCCCGCTCGAACCAGCGTGCCGATCAGGAGCAAGGTGTCAGGGCGAGCAAGGCTGGTGGCGGTGAATGCAGGACGTGGGAGTTCGGACTTGCTTGAACAGCTTTGGGTGAATGTTGGACGATGCTGCTTTATTCCACTCGGTACCGTACTGTACAAGCCACGCAACGAAGCCATAAGGTGATCAGTCGTAACCGAATCGATCCGGCACTGCAGTTTGCCGATACAATCATCCATGCAAAGCAACAAAGAAGAAACGGTCTGTGTCAGCCATCGAGTTCATATCGCCGATTATTGTGAGACCGCTACTTACGCAGAACAGGAGCAACAAGACTCCACGTGTAGATGCAGATGCAGAGCCAGCTGCTCACCACGCGCATCCACATGGCGGTAGTGCTGCGACCGATGTACGCGATAGGCGCGCCCGCCTCGCTCGGATCCGGCGAAGGTCCACCGAGACGTACGAACCGCCAGTCGGTCAACAGCATGGCCGTGTAGCACGCAGCAATGGCGAACACAAAGTGGAAGAAGCTGTAGTTGTAGCGTGTCCCCTGACGTTCGTCGTCGTCCTCATCTCCGCCCATCTCGGACCGCGTTTCCATCTCGTCGTCGTCTTCCTCCTCGTCCAACGCCGATGCTGGGATGGCTCCCGCTTCCACCGCCGCCATCAGCGCCTGGATGCGCAGCGAATCCTTCTTGGTGGGTTGATCCGTCACCACTGCGCCCGCAGAGTTGTCGAGCGACTCGCGTGTCGCCAGCGGTCCGTATCCCGAGGGAGGTCGACTCTCGTTGAGCGCGGCGCGTCGTTTGCCGACAAGCGTCGTGGACTGCGTAGCTGCACGAGAGGTCGAGTAGGCGATGGCGAGGAAGGTGAACACGGCGCCGAGGACGACCGTGGTGGTCTTGGCACTTCCGCCGCGGCCACGGGTGATGGGGTTGCACTCGGCGTTGTCGCGGTTCATCACCGCCGATGCGATCAGGTAGGTGCAGTAGGCGGCTACCATACTGCTCTGCGCAAGGCCGCTTCTCGGGTTTGCTTCCTGTACCTGCGGACTGATGGACAACACCGTCAGGACGACGATGAGCGCCAAGTTGAGGCTGATGAAGAACTGGTTGAGCGAGCATCCGCTCGACGCAAAGAATCCGTAAAGCACTCCAGTCAGCGCAATTGCAGCCGCATACATGCCGAGAGTGCTTCCGATCAGCGTGAACTTCCAGAAGTCAGACTCGGTCTGCTCCCACCTGTCCAAGCATGTCTCGGACCATGAATGCGCAAAGTCGACCAGCAGCACCAATCCGACGACGATAAAGATGGAGGCAAAGATGAGCGAAAAGTAGTTAGCCCAGAACACGAAGAAGCCGTTTGGGATGAAGAACATGAGCAAAGTCAAGAGCAGCCACAGCAGCACCTTGGGACCCCACCAGCCGTTCTGGATGGCTGCTCGTTTGGTTCGAGTGTCCTTGACGCCGATGAGCATCATACCGAGGATAAAGTGGAACAGCGAGAGCGCAAAGGTAATGCGGTGGACGGCGAGCACGCCGTAGCAGCGGTCCTTATCCTTGCAGTCCATCTTGATGTAGTTGTACGACCACTCTTCTATCTTGTGCATCATGAAGCCCGTCAAGCTCAGCCAGGCGAAGAGCGCATCGAGACAGAAGATGATGGCGAAGCCGACACGTGTTGCGATCGACGACTGACAGTTGCACGACTTGAACATGGCCGATGCAGCGGTACTTGTACAGAAGCAGGCGAGTCCAGCTAGGCATGAGCTGGCGACGGATGCCAGGCCTCCGCCGAGGAATGGCAGCGAGAGTGCCACGCCCATAGTGTTCGATTCGAGCGGAGGTAGCGCAGGTGCTGGCGTGAGTTGGTTCGAACAAAGCTGGCTTCAGGTTGGTGGAGTAGGTGGTCCAGTTCAGCAGATGTGAGTGCTGGTCAAGGGTGCTAAGCTGCGAACGTCTTGTACGAAGAATCGAAGAGAGGTGGACGTACGAAAAGAAGCTGCCGGGGAGTGATGCTCGAAAGCGTAACGCAAGTCGATGCAGGTCGCTCAGCCACGCGGTGCTGTGGTGCGATTCCCGAGAATTTTGCAACATGTCAGATTACCACCAAAGGGCAGCCACACCTGCTCAGCGCAATGCAGAGAGGCATCCACATCGTTGCTTGCCCCGTCACGCAGGACTCAGCACAGCTCACACAAGTGCACACGCCACAGCCGACCCCGATCAGGCAGATGAATGTGTACATAGAGCATGTGATTACCGCACGCTTCCTGCTCAATCTACACGAATAGCCGAATAGATCTTCCTCAGCGACGCATACGTTGCCAGGAATCCCACCGCCCCGAACAGAGTGAAGAACAATAGCGAGAGGATCGAAAGATACCCCAGGAACAAGACCTTGTTGGCCAAGCCCGGCAGCTCCAGACGCGTCGCCCAGAAGAAGAGACCGTATGCAAAGAACCAGATGGCACCAGATCCTCCCGTCATGAACGCTCTCCAATGCCAACGGTAATCTTCTGCGCACAAGTGGAAGTATGCAAACAAGATGGTCACCGTAGCAGCGGTCGTAGCTGTGATGACAAAGGCAAGCGTGAGAAAGCCGAACGCATAGTAGATTTTGGTCCCAAACATCGAGTTGAGGATGAAAAGGATCTCGAGGAAGGCCGAAGCAAAGATGAGCATGCCCGAGATCAGAGCAGAGGGAAAGGGTCGAAGGTACCACGTCTGCTGATACGGGATCTGGCGAGGAATCGAGTTGGCCTTGACGGGATGCGAGAATCCTCCTGCTCGAATGCCGAGCATCGCACCGATCATGGTGAGCGGCACATTGATGAGGAACCAAAGGGCGACGAGTGCGAGCAACGTTCCGAACGGCACAGCGCCGGACGAGCCGCTAAAGATCAGGAAAAAGTTGAGCAGCAGGACCATGGAGAAGACCAAGCTGGGGAAGAGCATCGCCGTCAGTATGATGTTCTGCTTCCAGTATTCTCCTCCCAAGCTTGCGTAGACCTTGCTCGACATGAATCCTGCGATACTGCCGAAAAGCGTCCAGGTGACGATCATGACGGTGGCGAGCGAGCCTCTATTCGACGGGCTCAGGAAGCCGAGCAGCGCAAATACGAGCGTGACGGCTGCCATGGCCACCAGCTGCGAGCCAGAGCCAACGAGGATAGAGAGCAGCATAGGTCGATTGGGTGGACGAAACACTTCTCCGTGAACAAGCTTCCAGCCAAAGTCTTCCTGCACGTCCTCTGTCATGTCGATGGCGTTGTAGCGGTGGATGTCGCGGCTGATGGAGCGAGCGACGACGATGCCAACCATCATGCAGAGGAAGCTGACGATGACCACCGAGTTGATGAGCGCGAGCCAGTGGATTCGGGGATCGAATACCTTGAGATAGGCATCCCAGCGGGTCGCCCAGGGAGTCTGCGACTCTCGCCATCGTATGCTGTAGGTGTAGGCGACGGCGGTCGAACTGGAATTGCTGAGCTGTACTGGATCAGCTGCAGCACAGTTGGGTGTTTGAGAAGTGGCGATACTCTTGAGGGAGTCCTTGGAGAGCGGGTAGATGCGTGCGCCGACGACACGGTACTCGTCCGGGCCACGCTGGTGGTAGTCGATGTAGATGTCGTAGTGATTGTGCAATGCTGGTGGGTCATAGGGACGGAAGTGCTCGTCCTCTGTACTTCCGAGTGCGAACCCGAGAGACAAGAACTCCTCGCGAGTCTTGACTTCCCTACGCGATTCGGCGACGGGGAGGCCGTCGACCATCCAGTTGATTGCGTACTCTTCTCGTATCCTGTCATTGATGAACGCGGCGTTCTCCGGACTGATGGTGGTGCGGCACAGCTCCTTACAGACCTCATCTTTGAGCATGACGCCCTTGACCGGACTGCTGTAGATGCGATCGCCAAAGAGGACGCTTCCGAGATTCTCGCTGATTGCTTCGGGACCTCCTTCGGGTGCGCAGAATTGGAAATGCGGGTCGTAGTAGTCGTACTTGATGACGCCTTTGATCTGTGATGTGAACGCCTTGGCCTGCAAAGCATTGACTGAGAAGGGCACCTCATCGCCCTGCTTGTAGGAGCGAGGAGCGCTGCCTGGCAGATACCACGCTGAGACTTGTGATGGTAGAGCTAGCGCTACTGCAAGCGCAGAGAGTGCTGCTTTTCGAGACGCCGACAGCCTCATGATGCACTGCGGATTCCCGATAACTTCGGATGGTTCGAGAGCCTGTCGTGAGTGCTGAAGGGAGACCCGAGTGGATCGTGGTTCAGGCGCAGCGACAAGATTGCAAATGAATCAAATCAGAGTGGGAAGAAGAGAGCGCCAAGCGGTGAGCTTAACCAACACTTTCTTACACGCGTCACCGGAACTTCCGCCAATCTGAAAAATCGGGCGGTCTGACGCTCGGACCCTCCGATGCAGAAGGGTTGCAGCTTCGGCTTCCTTCCTTCTATACTTTCACTCGACTCGACTCATCTGACACAGAGCTTCCCTGGACAGCGTAGAAGGAGCATCGACGGCACAAGCGCAACGGCGAGATCGCTCTCGACACAATGGCGAAAGTGAGTGACAAGCCCTCTCAATGCTTTGCACCCAGCAGCTTCGTACTGATAGCTCTGTCCCTTGATCTCGCGTGCAGGTTTACTCCTTCTGGGTCTTCGACCGTCATTGCAATGCCATATACCACCAAGATTGGTCGCATCTACATGCAGCTGCCTCCTCAGCATCGGGCGGCCCGCTGAGTCCGACAGTCTCACAGGCATCTGGCTTTGCCTCGCTGGGAGCATCGATACAGCGTGCGACAACAAGCGCACCTAGCGTATCAGCGAATGAAACGCCGCAAGCACCCCAGCGTCCAGGAGAGCCATCGCTTGCAAATGTCACACGCACTGCTGTGCCATCCTCTGACCAGCAGTCGAGTTCCAAGAATGGTACCGCTCGAGCACCTTCACAGCAAACAGGCGCAACGAGTGCGATCGACACTGCGGCCACGGACCTTCTCCCGTTCGACGAAGAAGCAAAGCTGGTCTACGGTGTCGTATTCTCGCTTCGCAATATGGTACGGAAGCTCGGAGGAGAGTGAGTTATGCCACCCTATGCTCGCCAGAACTTGCCGGCGAATCCGACAGCTGACACATCTTTCTCAACACAGATCCGAAACGTTCAACAGCTTCACCACATCCACATATACCCTGGCGCACCTTCACACGCCGACCATGTACACGTTCGTCATCCTCACCGATCCGGTCCCACCACCTTCCTCAATACCCAGCCGCAACACTGAAGGCTACTCGATCGGCAACGCCTCCGCAGCGCTCTCGGGGAGATCGTCTTTCGGCACGGGCGGCGGCATCCCCGGAACGGGTGGCATGAGTCTCAAAGGTGTCTTGCTGCAGATCTATCGCGGACCTTGGGTGGATAGTGTCGTCAAGAATCCTCTGCTGAGAGCGCTCGAGAGGGAAGAGAGGGTGGTCGAGCCGAGTGAAGATGCTGACGAGCGTTCCGATGCCGCCAAGCTGGAGGTGGTTCGAGAGTCTCGACTGGAGCGAACGCATGGCATCGACACGGATGCCTTCCGAGAGAGTTTGGAAAAAGGTATGCCCTCACAAGAAGCTCGTGATCCAGGCTGCGATCTGAAGCCGACCTCTTCTGACACACTCTTTCTCTTCATCTTTATTACTGCACACAGTTCTTTTGCAAAACAAGCTTTCGGCACCGGTATCATAGTATCTTATTTTCAATCTAGAGCAAATCGGCAAGCAGCATTGTTCTTCTTTCCTTGAAGTGTCCTGCAGCAGCGATGGAGGCGCTTCACGCACGCTTGGCACGTTGCAAACGGATGGGCTCACCATTCTCGTTGAGTAGGGACTCCTTTCCTGCACCGCGCTCGAGCACGCGAGGTCCATCGCCTACCTGAGTGTGGATGAGACGGCGGACGGCGCCTGCCTCGTGCACGGGGATCACGTTGGCGTTGAACGAGCTGGGCAGCGACTCGGGCAAACTCAGTGCCTCCTGAGCTCCTCGATGCGATGCATTGACGCCTTTGCCGAGCAGGTCGAATGTGTCGTCGAAATCGGCGTTGGGAAAGTAGTGGCGGATGGTCTGCAGGATGCGCGGCATGTTGTCCTTGGGTGCGTACAGAACCGCGTTCGGTCCGGCATCGTAGGTGTAAGCGACCAGCTTGCCCTTTCCATCGGCTTCGTTGGCACGGTTGAGCTCCTCGACGAGCTGCACGATGGCACGGCTGACGTCGTTCATGTAGAAGATGGGTGGGGCCGTGTCGAGACAGCACGCGTGGAAGTTGTTCGAGTCGGCCATGGTGATTTCGGCAAAGGTGTCAAAGTCGCGTTTCTGGATGGCCTCGGAGATCTTGACCATGCGGTCAGGGACGACCTCCTTGATGCGGTGTTGCAGCAGCGGAGAGGTCTGCACGGTGCGCTGCATACCGGCGGTGGAAGGCGTGCCCTTCTTGGCATCGCTGACGACGCAGATCAGCGCCTGAAGCTCGGGCCAGTGAGATTGAGGTGCTACCTCGACGGCGAGACTGTCCTGACCGGAAGATTGCTCTCCGCCCTGCCAAGCGACGTAGCCGCCAAACAGCGATCGGCAAGCGGATCCACTTCCCTGACGAGCGATGCGTGAGAGCTCGGAGCTCGAGACCTCTGGCTGGAGCTCGTAGAGCGCCGCGAGCGATGCGATGAGTGCGGCGAAACCGGAGGCGGACGAAGCGAGTCCTGCTGCCGTGGGGAAGTTGTTCTCGGAGCAGACGTGCACGGCCCATTCCGAAAGCTGTCAGATAGAGACGGAAAGATGGGGTAGATGAAGAGGTCAGTCATGGTTCCGGCGCAGCTCACGTACTGTGGCATTTGCTCGTAGATTTACCTTTGGCAAATTGCTATCCTTGGACTCCTTGGCCTGCCTGAGCTTCTTCATCTCATCGATGCATCTGCGTAGTCGACCGTCAGCCTTGATCGTTTCCTCCTCTCCGTTGAGCCACAAGCGATCTTGAGAGCCGAAGCTGGCATCTGCGCGAGCGGTGGTGACGGATCGCAGGTGATCCTGATCCAGGGTGACTGACAGACTGTCATTGGTTGGGAGGATGAGAGTGGTGTCCTTCTTTCCCCAGTATTTGATGACGGCGATGTTGACGGGCGCCGAGCACGTGGCTTGGTGAACGCTTGACGACATGATGAGACGATCCGGAGCTGAAATGGCAGTAAAGAACGTGTTTGTGCCGATGGTATCGTAGAGGTGAGAGGCAGGAAGAGTTGACCTGCAATGTTGGAAACGCGAGAAGCTAGGCTGCGTTGTCGTATGATCTGCAGCGTGCGCCGAATTGGGGCTGCGTGTTGGACTTCTTTTTCCTTTCCTTCCAGGGACCGTTCGCTGCCTGTTGGGCTCGCGTGTGAATTGCGACTTTTCTTCTCGACCCAAATTTCAGCTGGACGCGCTAACATTGAGCTGCAAAGACACACGCACGCCAGCACTGAACCCTCACGCAAATTTAACGACGAAGGTAGCTCATATGCACAGACACAGCAACAGCAGTGATACACTCGCTGGAAGACGAGGATGGAGCATGCTGGTGAGAAAGATGGAAATGCAAGACGTGACGTGAGAGAGCTGGTATCGATACAGACAGGCGCGTGCAGAAAGGCAGCCGATGCTCGCCTCCAAAGTTGCAGGTTCTGGACGAAGCGCGAGAACAGCAGAACGATGAGTTCCGCAATACTGGCGCGGACCATGCTTTGACGGCGGATCAAGCAAAGACCTTGTTGCGGCTGAGCGCATCGTCGCGGGGCTTGAGACGGTCCTTCTTGGTTCGGAACGACTCTTGCTGGTTGACACGGTCGGCGTACTTGTTTCCCTTCTGCTTCCGCACCATATGACGAATGGCGTTGGGCGAGATGTACTCTGGGTTCTCGAACACGGTAGCGCCGCCGAAGCTGCCTTCGAAGACGCGGATCGGCGACAGCACCATGCGCGGTCCGATCTCGACCAGCTTAGGCTGCCTTGCTTCGCCCTTTGCACTAGTTGACTTCTTCTTTCCGTTCTGCTCCTCTTCCACCTTGGCCATTGCTGTCGCGCCTGGGTCGGTTTCGACGATCTGGTAGTTGCGGAACCAGATCTTGTTGTCGACGATCGAAAATGAAATGACGTGGTCGACAAAAGGTTTGGACTTGCGTGCTCCTTTGGGCACACCGAACATCTGTGTGAACATCTCCTTGACCAGCGTCCAGTGTGGCTTTTCGTCAAACTGCTGGTCGAAGGACAGGATGGGTCTTGAGCCCTTGAGACAGTTGCCGGTCATCTTGAGCTCGTCCATGGTGTGGATGTTCTGCACCTGGAACTTGGCCGAGGGTCCGTTGGGGGTTTTGGATGCCCACATGTACAGGTCCTCGCGCTTTCGTGCTTCAAAGTAGAGAGCGTTGTTGCAGTTGTTGAGCTCTGCCAGTTCGTTGAGCAGATGCAATTGCGACTTGGAGTCGAGCTTCGAGTCCTTCTTGGCATGAGGCATGAGCGATTCCAGATCGTTGATCAGGTGACGCATACGTGATGTGACGCCACGAGATGGCAGCATCAGCACTCTCTGCTTGTTGCGGCGGATCGGAGCGGCGACGGCATCGTCATCGGCGGCGTCTGCCTTGCGCTTGCCCTTGGCGACGGCTTTGGAAGCCTGCTGAAAGACAGAAGCCATTGTGTAGTTGTCGTATAGCCTGTTGCAGACTTTTCGAATCGAGATGGATGGTAGGTGCAAGATGTATGTGAAGGCCGTGGACGTAGCTTGAAGACGGTGAGCAAGGTTGGACAGTTATGGTGGAGTAAAGCTGATGTGGAGCCCAAATTTTTTTTGGCAAGCTTCTCTTGGAAGAAAAGCATCAACCGCCAGAAAAATCTGATGTCGGTGAAATTCGAGGTCACGTGTATTTTGGCATTTTGTTAGTTACTGGTCCTAACAACATCGTTTTTAAGTAACAACTTGATCGACATCGGTAAAAGAGCATGCTCAACGAAGAAAAGATCGGGATCAAAGCGCACGCGAATGACGAATTCAGAGTGCTTGTGCTGAAGGCCCTGAGGCATGCTGTCGGCTCCCTAACGCCGCGGACGCAACCGCGTGATCCGATGCTTATGCGACCTCTCGCGAAGTGCGCCACATGTTCTAGCTCGATCCGACCGGATCGAAGCGAGTACAACTATGTGCGACAACGTCCGGGCGACCAGGTTTCGATCGAATGTCTTGTCGACTGCTGCATCGCATCAGAGCCTCACCCAAAATGAGTGCAGATCCATCTGCCCGTTCCGGTGCGACGACGATAGAGAAGGAGAACGCGGGAGGCGTCGCCTGTCGAGCCCTTGCAGCTTGGTGAGAGGTAAGTCCGTCCCGCGATGCTACATGGTCTGACCGAAGGCTTGACGTGCTCGTCGCTACCGCTTGCGAAGCGTGGCCTGGTTCTATGGTGACTTGTTTTCAGCTTCTTTTCTGTAGAAGAGCACATGGACAGCTCGGAGCGAAGATCGATCGCACCGCGCATACTGTACTTTGTTTCCAGAACGACGGTCTAGCGAATTTGAATATCTACGGCTTGTATGCTCGCGGCTCCGCTTACGAGGCTTGACACCTCAAGCACGAATGCATTGGTTTGTCTTCTGCAGGATGCGTCGGCGTGGGCATAATTGCAGAAAAGATATCGTCTCGGTGTTTTTAGCACGCTTAGCAAACAAGGAAGTAAGCCGCGGAGGATTCGGAGAGCTGTGCTTGCGTCTGGGTGTGGTTTCTGGAAAAGAATCCGCAAGCGTCGGTAAGACTGCAAAATCACACTTGTTTCATTCGTAGTGACGAGAGTCATATGCGCGGATATCCGAGATTAGTGAGGAGGCCTTACCTTGCACTTCGCTTACATGTTTCACTCAGCAAGAAGGACAGTCACGACATTTGATTTAGCCCCCGCCTTCCCTTGCCGTGGAGCACAGATGCAGAAGGAGAAAAGACCGAACGATTCGACGGAATTGCCGAGGGAAATGCGGCAGTTAAATTGTTGCGACTGAAGCTCGAGCAAATCATCGATCCAGCTTGCTATGCATTCTACTCGAGATCAGCGTGGGCGACATGCATGCTCGCTTGACGGCAACTGCTGCAGTCCAAATTTGTTCTGTTTTGTATATTTCAGTGGATTTTATATTCGGTTTCTCGAAATGGGTAATCCAGTTCTTCCTGATGGCGCATGACTCTTTCAGGCACCATCGGCAGACACAGCGACCGAGAGATTTCGGAGCCGATTGCCTCTACAGTTAAATATTATACACTGTAGCCGTTCAATAACTACGGCATTCGTGCCGCGGGGTCTTTTCTTTTCTTTTCACAATCCATAGAGACGCAGGCGGAAGCAGGCCGACTGTGTTTCATGGGGCCGCAGTGTTGCATATCCAGGCACGCGAACGGCATTCTCGGCTTGGATCGAACCGCTCTGGAATCTCGAAGCCGAAGCAAGAAGCACAATGTTCTTGTCACGCTGGCCATCCGCGCCACTTGTTTCTTATGTCCGGTGGCTTGCAGCGAGCCACATCCAGGAGACGCTCTCAAATAACCGAGTGCCTGACTGAGGTTGAATTCAGACTTTGCCTAATTCGAGGCTTATGACCAGCCGGGCCCGTTCCGAAGAGGGTCGCGGCCTTCCAGATGCAGAGAGTCACTAGAAGGCTTCAACGACTCTTGCTTCTACATGTCGTGACACAGAGCAGCAGGGCAACTTTGACACAAGTGCGAGAAGTTAGAGTATGGTGTTGCGTCTCTTTCCCCGCTCACACTGCCGAGAAGAGCATCCCGGCCAACTCGTAATTCGTGCCGATGGACGATTCGAAACATACTCCCTGCATCGCTAGCGAGTACGTTCGTCGGTGACCGAAGCCGCGGGAAGCAGCTCCAACGCTTGTCAGCGACTTCAAAATCATGCAGATGCGCCCTTTAATAGTCCTATGCGTTGTAGCGTGAGGTCGGACTCAAGTCTGGTGGCTTGACACATGCATTTTGCGCCTGTAAGACGGGCGCTTAGAAATTTTCGGACTCCGGGCACTGGCAGAGTGAAGCATGCTGTCGACCAATTTCCGTTGGAACTGCGGTTGTAGACCTTTATCCCGTCGACCTGACTGACAGACGAGAGAATGTTGCAACCCAGCAAGTGACCATGCGAACGCAATTGAACGGATTGCATGATGCTCTGGAAAGACGGCCAGGGAGCTTGCGCATTTGCTTTGACAGCGGAAATGGCCGTCCGCAAGACACGCAGCGATGCATGGTGAAAGAAAGTGGCAAATTGAAGCCGCCAGAAGCGTCTTGTCCGATTTAGGCCTAAGAACTCGGAATGTAACACAGCGAAGTGTGTCATATCGAAGCTGTCGGCATAATGCAAGACGGGAGACGAAAAGAGGGGGAGATCGAAATTGTGCGGAGTTTGTAGTCGGCCAACGTGGAACAGACTCTGCCGGACAACTCACCGCAGATGGCAGTCCACATGTCTTCTTCATGCGTCGAGACTCAGGCACCGCCATGCTCCGCCCGCAGGCGAAGCGTAGAACATCGACCAGACATGCTGCCTCGAACCGCGCGCTTTCTCTTATCAACAGCCACATCGAAGCATGACGAGTAGAAAGCTTTCTACGATAGAACGAGTGCACCGGATACCACGGTCAGCTGCTCTTCTGTTCGAAACCACCGTTTTGTTGAGGCGCTCCATTACATAAAGCGTGGTTGGTAATGGGCTCAGATGCGAAATGGCGGATGGAGAGAGGAATAACCGAGGTGTCGGTGTTCGAAAGCTCAAAGCATGATGCACGTCTGCTTCGGATCTCGGGTTCCACTGCTTCGGATGTCTTGGCTTGGTCCTATGAATTTTAATCAAATAATCCAATCGATGTGGAAATAAGTCGGGATGTCGATGGTTTTTCGGTTCTACTTTTCTATTCTTTGAGCTCTCGGTTCAAAGAAACAACAAGATACGTGAAAGGCGAACAACCTGGCATCATCGGGTGATACGAAACGGCTCGGCATTGCTGCAATGATCAAGGTGAGTGGCGCAAGGATAGACCTGCTGACCTGTCGTTTCTTCTGTGAAAGACAACTCAAAATGAAAACAGCAAGCGTAGGATTCGAAAGCCGCCGACGATACGGTCAACTGGCCTTCTACTCCGCTCACCATTAGCGAAGCAAGCCGAGCTATGAGGGTCGATTTGCAATTCACAGTCTAGTACGATGGATCCTGCATTGTCTTGAGAGACGGGAATGGACTTTCGGGGTCTTCTGTCAAGGCAAGTCAGTAATCTGGGGATTTGTGTTCATGCAGAAGGGACACGCTTCCTGTCCTCGACGAGACGTGCGGCAACAGTCGTCTCACAAATTCTCAAAGCACTCGGTCGTGTGGCTTGTAGCGACCGGAAGATTGATGTGTCGGTGCTCACACCATGCGCCAAAACTGCTGCTTTGGCGTGTCAGAGCTTCAACTCGCAATGGCCCGTGAATCACATCGAGCGGGAAAAGATCATGGTGAAACGAGAAAAAGAAGGGTAATTGCCAAGTATTCACCAAGGGTTCGGCACTAGAAGGAAGTGCTACAGGTTTCAGCGTGAAAATTCAAGTCTTATGCGAGGCGACACCCGGCCGCAGGAATGGGATCAGGCGAGCATCTGACGTGGCACCCGCTTGCAGTCACGACCTGTCACTTTCCCTAGGTGCTAGTGTGCGTGGCCGCCACTCGTTCGACTCGAGACTTGAGGTACGGCTACGTCGAACCCTTCTCGTGGCTGTTCGATTCGGCGTTGCGAACTTCGAGGCAAGGCAATCAGCCCAGGTGTTACAATGCTGCAAGCACGCGAGTGGCAACTTGTTTCCTCCATCGAGACCTGCGCTTGCCTTGACCCTCCCTCTTCATCTACTGTTCTGACGACGCGGAGGGTGGGTTGAAGGGACGGTCTGCAATCTGATTGTACAATCATTGGGGCCTCTTGATGCTTGGCGCCGCTTTAGGCTGACCATGCTAGAGGCGCCAGCAATGCGATCTCGGCGAAAGATTCGACGCAGCGGAAGCCCGTCTCAGCTGCCAGAGAAGGGCACTGCCTCCCACTCGACCTGTTCCCGGTCTCGACATTCTCGACTCAAGGCTAGACCTCGAGCTTCCTCCTGCTTTTGACTCCGCTTTCATGCCGAGAGCGATGAAGGAGTCGCGGAGTTGAAGCTCAGAGTCGCTCTCCTTTCTTTGTCCTTGTGTTTATGCAAGGCGTTGCCAGCTGACCGGGTCGGAGATGGTGCAGTGCAAATTGCAACCAATCATTTGATTGAACTTGACGATCGCACTGACAGGCCTCTCCGATCTCCGATTGCAATGCTGGCGACAAAGCCACGGAAGCACCCTTTGGTGGGTCTGCTGTACCGATAACGTCTCGCTAGTGTACCATGTCCCCATTTCTCATCCTATCTGGACAGCACGTCAATCCAAGTTACACGCAATGCTGTATCATAAGAAAAGGAATCACAGTCGAAAAAGAAGGGCGAAACGATCTGTTGACTGAGGAACGTCATCAGAGAGGCTCGCTTATGCCCTGCTAGTGCATTCTACGATTCTCCGCTCGACCCGTCCCCACTTCGAAGGGTTTGTTTGATATCCAGAAAGCCCACTTTTCTCATAGAGCATCGTCTGTTTCGACAAAATATAAATAATAAATGTTTAAATGAAACAACTGCGCATCCTCGCTTTCTTTTTTCTTGGAGTTTCTTTTGAACACCAAATGTGAAATTTATAGTTTGCATCTCGTGGTTGCGTCGCATGAATGCAGCCGTCGCGTCCCTTGGCGTTCGACAGTTTCCTTGCTTTGGTTCCTCTGGCCCAAGTACAGCTACAGGTACACAGTAATCTCGGAGGGTCGAAGCCGGATCGATGTGTTCTGCATTTGAACCACGCACGCCTTACAATCACAGTACAACGGTAGTGTCACTGCCTTGTGTTTCAGTCCCTGTCTCTCAGCCCATCTCGGCTGCGGTGAAGTGTTCCCCCATCAATGACACAGGTCAAACTCTATTCGAACTCTATTCGCTTTGGCACATGTACCTCATGAAGCGTCTCTCATTGTTCCCGTAAATTGCAGCGTGACCTGCACTGATCGATCCTTTTCAGGAGCGAATTCTAGCGATGTCCATGTAAGTCGCGTGCAGCCGTTCCACATGGTCCTCTGTGCCGTCAGTTGCTGTTCCGCTCGATGCGAATCGACTCGGTGTGCCGCCCATTGTCTTGCCGGCAGGTCTGTCCACGAAGATCGCCATATGGCCGATGTCGTTCTCCTTTCTTTCTCGGCTGCTCCTATTCTTTTTTGAACCTCTTTCCTTTTCCAAAAAACCCCCCAAAAAAGACATCGTGAAACGTCTTTCATTCCGCCTCGCTTGATCTCGCTAAGCCTCTAGAAGCTGTCCCTGAACCGCTCTCTCCGCAAGCGCGCTTTCGCAGGATGGATCTGGTTTTTGGCCTGTCTCGCATGCTGTTGCTCGGAACCTGCCAGGGCCCGCGTTGCTCAATCATCCTTTCAGTCTCCGCGGCTCCTCCCATTATTCCGGTAGCGGCAGCCATAAGCACATGGAGCCCAGCCACCGCTCCCACATTGTGAGCACAATCCTCCTCTCAAGTCCCGTGTCGGCCCCCCTCGCCTCGCCTTGCATCACCTCGCCTCGCTTCGCCACGCCCTTCCATGTTGACCTTTCCGTGCCCTTGCGTTCATTGACATCCTCGTCTGCTTTGCCGGCTGATCTTGCTCTTCCCGCCGTTCTTCCAGATTTGACCCGCCCTTCTATTTTATTTTTTCTCAATCTTTCTCTCCCCCCTCCTCCATTGTGTCGCATCTCTCGTTCTACGCGTTCCATCATGTACACAGTATGTAGCGGCATGCGTATACTTGCTCATTGTCTCGCTTCGCTTGCATCTTGTCCCTTCTCGCCCATTGTGATGCGCTTCGCCTTTGGTTTCCGTGGCTTGAAAGTGCTCCCACTTTCAGTACCAGATCCGTGCTCGCCTTTGGTTGCGCTTTGCTTTGGAGATTCGGCGCCGCATCTCTGCTTCTCCCTTCGCGTCTCGATTGCGTCCTTCCCGAGGCCAAATTCAGTGGCTTGAGCTGCAGGCTCAGTCCGATTGCGTTTGCCGAAGAGGCCCCGCTACTTCTCACCGAAATGAAACCTCGATGGACCACGAGCCTCGTGGCTGCGCCTGCGCCTGCGCCACCGTGCAACGCGAGCCTCATCGCCCGCATCGAGTGGAGTCCGCATCTGCTTGTCGCATGAAACTAAGCCAAAGCTCGAATCGGAAAACGCAAAACTGTACCTGTACAGTGTACCGCACACGTTGTACAGTCAGACAGAATGAATGTCACGCAGCCGAAACAACAAACGACAACCACTGCCCTGGCAATGCAGCAACCCAAAACCCATTTTGACATCGTCAGAAGACCCGGATCCAGTCCACCACCGACCGACCGACCGACTGACCGACTCTCCGCGGTTCTTGGCTTCGTTGGTGCGTCCGTCCGTCCGTCCGTTCGACGCACCGACAACGACCCTCGCTCCTCCCTCCTTCATCCCCCATCCCATCCAGGGTTGCCCTGCTTTCTGCTCAACGGGCCCCTTTCCCTTGCTGCCCTTGTTTCCCTCTCATCTCCGTCCAGCCTCGGCTATACTCTTCTCTTTGGTCCCTGCCTCTGTCCCTTCTCTGGCCTCCCTTCTCCTCTTCCTCTGCGTGTCCTGCTTTCTGCATGTCATAGCCCACCCATGAATCTGCGCCCTCGCATCGCTGCTTGAAGCTGATCTGCCGGATCTCGCCTGCTGCCTGTCAACTCTCGCATGGCTCAGTATTGAAGGTTCTGCCTCTTTCCGCCTCTTTGCTCACGCCTGATCTTGGATCCGGTGTGCTCAGCTCGACTCTTGTGCGTCGTCTTCTTCTGATTCCGCCGCCTTTCATCTCGACCGCCCACCTTGTCGTCTTACCATCATTAGCGGCCCTTTCCGTTCCTCGACAATCCACTCCCCCCCTTCGGCAGCTCCCATCGTTCCCTCCTCTGCCCATCACCACATCATCCACCACTCACCATCCACCATCCACCCACCTCCTTCATCATCGGGCGGATCCTCCCTCGATCGAAGCTCGAGACCTACAATCGTCGCTTTGGGCCAACATACTCCGACGCCGCACTCGCGCGACCCTCGCAGCCCACGCATCCTGTCGTCTGTCTTCTTTCAGGTGTCACTCGAGGCTGCTACCTACGCCAACTTTGACGTGTGCTTGCACCAACGACGGCTCGAGCGACACCTCTGGCCTGCACCAGATTGGCATAGTATCCAACGGCATCGTTCGGATTCCCCCCGAGAGTCGCTGCATGGGCCTCCGCTCGTGCATGTGCACGGAGCTACGCCCGTCCGGGATTAGCTTTTCTCAGCCATCCATTTGGGGCCGAGGCACGACTGCTTCATTTTGGCTTCAACACGGCATCTGCCGGTCAACGCCCACCCACCGAAGGCCCAGACAGGCGTTGGGTCTGTCTCGTTGGTCGCTCGCCTAGCAAACCTTGCGCCCACTACTGCCGACAATCACAGCAAGAGACAGGGACGGATAGAGCAGACCTGAGACTTCCAAGAGTACTCGTTGTACAGTAAGGGCAAAGAAACGGAAAGCTGTTCGTCGCTTCCCCACCGTCTTAGCATCTCTTTCCGCGTTGCCTTGCTGCAAACAGAGGCACACCTGTAAGCGGCACCCATAGCAACAGCAAAAGAGAGCACACACAACTTGAGCTGGCGCCACCCGCTTCTTGTTCCTCTGCCCTCTGACGCACTGCTTCGATCTCGACCTGCGAAGCCTCGACGAACAGTTGCTCGATTTCGATCTACTGCGTTGGTTGTGAGTTTCGCCCTGGGACCATCGAACAGTAGCATCCAGTAGCAACGCTGGGGTTTTCCTGTCGCTTGTTCGTATTCGATCACAAGCCGCTCATCGAATCCTGCGCGTCTTCAACTCGATTGGCAGCCCGGCCTCATTCTTTTCCCCTTTCGCCGTGGTCTCCTAGCTTCGACACTTGCCGCAGTGTCTGTAATGATGTCCGAACGTCGTGCTAGCGGGCTTGTTCCGTTGACGGCCAGCTCGCCTCGAGCGCACAACAATCCGGCGATCCCACGAGATCTGCAACGACCAGTCAAATCGGAAGCCTCCGCGTCAGCGTCAGGCGCGGCGCCGCCTCCACCTCCCACGAGTCCGGATCGCAAACGACCGCGCTACGAGCCTGCGTTGGCATCTCGCGAGATGGCCGACGAGGAAGAGATGGACGAGCTTGACGAGACCGAAGACACATCCAAAAGGCCACGCGGTGAGTCGGACGAGCCCAAGATCGAGCGCAAAGGCTCGGGACCCGAAAGCATCAGCAGGTCGTCCTCGGCAGCAGCTCATCACGCTCACTGGGCCGGCAGAAGTGCTTCGGCAACAGTTGATTCGCGGTACCATCAGCAGCAGCAACAGCATCAACAACCACAACATCCATCGCAGTCTCAGCACCACCCTCAACCACCACAGCACCGCATGCGCGAAGGCGTCGAGCCAGCCGGAGGACCGGATTCGCGTCGCTACGAATACGAGCGTCCCCAACCGAGCCGCTACGACTCTGGGTCAGGTATGAGGGAGGAGGGCCGTCACATTGGTGGCCTTGTTGGCGAACGATACGGTGGCGAGGCGGACCGTGAGGCTCGTGATCGTCTGGCGATGGAGGGCAAGATGGAATACAGCTCGTCCTCTGCACGCATGCCGCCTCCCGGCGCGGCCGATCATGCCAACCTTCCACCAGGCTTCCGAAAACGTGCCCCTTCGCCGCCACCGAGACTGCCAGGCTTCGCTTCGCTCGAACACGAGGGAATCGGTCATCGTCCACGAGAAGACGGCATGATGGGAGGTGCTTACTCCAGCTCGCCGCGTAGAGGCGTGCCCTTCCACGGCCCTTCGTACGGCAGCTATCCCTTGCCTCAGAGTCGCACGCCGCTCATGCATCACCACCCGAGCCCGACGCCATCGACGTCCTACGGAAACCCTCCCATGATCCACCCTGCTCTCGCAGGGCTGCCCGGTGCCGGTGGAGGTCCAGGCGGCAAGCAGCAGCCCAGCTTCGTCAGCAAACTCTATTCGATGCTCGAAGACCCTTCCATTTCTGATCTGATCAGCTGGGGATCGTCTGGCACGGTCTTCAGCGTCGCCAACCCCGCCGAGTTCTCCCGGCTGGTGCTTCCCAATTGGTTCAAGCATTCCAACTGGCAGTCATTTGTACGTCAGCTCAACATGTACGGTTTCCACAAGGTGAACCACTCGTACCAAGGCAACCCCACCGACGAAGTTCAGGTGTGGGAGTTTCGGCACCCCAGCTTCCGTCGAGGCGAGATCGCCCTTCTCAACGATATCAAGCGAAAGAGCTCGAGGCAGAAGAGAGGCGGTTCACCGCGTGGAAGCATCGGAGGTGCCGACATGCGTGCCGACAGAAGCGGTGGCAGCTCGACGCCCTCTCCCGAAGTGCCCCTGGCCACCATTCCCGGGCACGACGGCATGAGGATGATGGGTGGCATGGGACCTGGCGGACCTCGAGGTGGGCGTGAGTTCGGCTACGGTGACGACCGAATGGACCCTCATGGATATGTCGACCGACGCGAGATGCGTGGCTATCCCAGCGAGCGAGAGTATGGGCCTGGAGGTCCTCGCGGTGTCGCTGCCGACGAGTACGGCTACATGCGCGGGGGCAAGATGGAAGGCCACCTTGGTCTGACACCTGCTGGCGGTCCGGCAGGTGCATCCGGCATGGGCCCACCATTCGCAGCGGGTGGCACCGACGGCGCCCGTCGAGGTGCCGAACCCATCATGGAGCGCGCCGAAGCCATTGCGCGCTTCGAAGATCTCTCGGAACGTACCGACGCCATCATCCGGCACGCCTCGTTCCTCGAAAGTCAGATCCGCCTGCTCACCGACCAACTGATCGAGTCTCGATCCTTCACCGAATCGGCGGTGCGCGACGAGATGACTTCCCTGCTGGACCGTCTGGAACGTGCTCTCAGCTCTCCCGCTCCACCGGGCGTCGATCCGTCGGCAAAGATGGTCGAGGTGCTTCGTGGTCAGCTCGCTTACTATTCGCATCGCGGCGGCGCTGGTCCGAACGAGCGCGTCAGCAAGCCGCCCGCTCCCTCCAGCAGCGCTGCCGGCGCTGATCCAAAGCGTCCCAGTGTTTAGCCGTCTCTCTCCTTACATTTTTTTCCTCCTCTTACTCTCTCTATCTCTACTGTCTTACTCTCGTCTCACAACATACACTTCTGCGATACGATGACCCTTTAATTTGCCGTCGTGGCATTCTTGATCGCCTCATAATCTTCATTTCCTCCTCCTACTACACGGGCGTCGTCTCACTCACGATGTTCTTTCTCCCGTCAAATCTTGATCACACATCACGGCCCATACCGGTCTACTGTACTCTGTGTACTGTATCTCGTCTAATCAGATCATGCTCTCTCAATCTCCCCGTCTTGCGTACGAAAGCGTCGTTCGGGAAAGCGGACGACGCATTGCAGTGTGGTGTTCGTGGGAACTGAGAATTGATGGGCTAGTGTACAAATGCAAGTCTGAAACGGACATGGAAAAATCGAGGATAGAGACAACGAAGGGATGCTGAGATGATCTGTTTGCCAACTATGGCTTTTCTGGAGCGAGACCGGAATAGACTAGGCGAAAGGTCGGAAGTGAGGAGCGACAAAGGAACTGTGCCGCGAGTCTACCACTCGAACTCGCCATTGCATTTGGCGAAAAGATAGTCACGACCATCGATCGAAGCGACACCGTCCTTGAGCACGCACTTCCACTTGTTCTTGACGCGCTGAACCTTGTCGTAGAGGCACAGCACCATGTCATCGTTGTCACCGTCTGCGCCGCCATCGAGATCTTCGTCGTCCGAATCGTCCAGATCGCTTCCGATCTCGTCGTCGTCGCTGATACGCTTGCGCTTCTGACCAGCAGCTGCATCGTCATCTTCCGCCTTGGCAGCAGATCCAGGAGCCCCATCGTTGACTCGGCCATCTGCTCCACCTGCGACGTCCGTGGATCCATCGCCACGCGACACCTTGTTACGGTGCTGATCGGCAGCGCCGTTGCTGCTCGAGCTTTGACCGTTGGTACCGTTGTTTTCGGATTTGACCTCAGACTTGGGCTCCGGCTTCTTGCTCGATCGAGACTTGGCAGGTGGCAAGGCAGGGGCTCCTTCGAACTCGGCTACCTGGGTCGCGACGATTTTGGCTTCCCACGAGCGCTGCAGCTCCTCTAGCACCTCCTTTTCGATACCCATCTCCTCAAAGTCCTGACGCACATTGTTGATGACATCGTCAATGATGCCCCTGTACACCTGTGACTGTAGTTCTCAGAACACACGAGAAGTGGAGACAAGTGTGGGTAAGCATCTTTTGAAGCGAACAAAGCCCGGATGCTCGGTAGCCATAGGAAGCGCGAGGACACTTACCACCACTTTGTTGCTCATGACTGCACCTGTACGCAGCAGCTGCTTCGAGCGCTATCGAAAGCTCGTCAAACGTAGCAAGCTGGCCTCAAAGATTCGCGTTGAACCAAGGACAAGGGCTCGAGACAGTCGCTTCGGAAAAGTCAAAGACGTAGAACGAATGTCGACCCGCACAAAGCTATGCCGGCTGTGCGGTCGGAATCAGCCGAATGATCAGACCTCCACTTTTCTTCCACTCAGCCCAGCAGAGCGTCCAGGATCTTCTGTCGGTCGCAAGCGCAAGGACGCAAACGAATTATATGATCGAAAGCTGGACGAACCCGGAGAAGGAGGGGCCGGGAGAGTCTCGAAGATGGTAGGTAACAGGGAAGAGGCGTTTATATAGGAATGGTGCGATGAGCCGCGCCGACTGCGCGATCTGGGCAGACTCAGCCGCTTCAATCGCACGAGAGCGAGTCGATCACGAACAAATTTAGGATAAAGGTTCAAAGCAGCTCATAGTCGCGACGCGCCGACACACAGAGCAAGCTGCTGGAAAGGCACACCCACACACACACTCTCTCTCTCACTTGCCTTCCTGCAGTTGGCGCGATTCGCCCGCCTGACCTGAATGCAAATCGGGGGCTGCATACAGAATGGAGCACGGCCCCTCGCGACTTTCCTGCACTAGGCGCGCCAGGAAGACCGGCTGCCCCCCGCATGCTCTCTGCTCTCTTCTCGAAAAAAGGTTCCAAGGCCTTGCTAGACCCGCCCGCAACCGCATTTTGTGACCGCATCGCGATTATTCCAGAGCAACGCAGCCTGACTCGGACTTCATCTCGCTCCACCGCCATCATCATCGTTTTCTCATCCCGCAACCATTGCATTCGCTCGCCGCACTTTTCGCGTACACTCCACCGTCCTTTCTCGCAACCGCCAACATCGAAAAGCACACCCGTGTTTGGCTCGGACTCTGTCATCCGGTATCAAGCATTTCGCGGAACCCCTTACGGTCGAATCACTATCCCGGTCCAAGGCGGCGGATCATTGCTTACCACCGCATCTCAAGAACAACAGGCACACATTCGTGGTCGTCCGGAATCGCATATTTGCTCCCTCTGATCCGTTCGTCACACAATGTCGAGCACAGAGAAGAAGTCCAAGGAGGCCCAGCTCAACCGCACCTCGCATAAATTGTAAGTCCCGACGACGAAAGCATGCACTCGCTTGCAAAGCGCTCTGCTGACACCTCTCGCCCCTTGATCCCACACCTCGCAGCCAAGTAAACGATGTCGTGCTCGCCAAGGTTCGCGGCTTCCCTGCATGGCCAGGCATTGTCATGGCAGACGAAAACGTGCCCTCGGCTGTCTTGAAGGAACGACCCGTCGTCAAGCACCGTGATCTCTACACGATCCGCTTCTTCCCTGCCGCCGACTACCACTGGGCCTTCTCCAAGGACCTCGAGCTGTTGAGCAAGGACAAGATTGACTCTTTCCTCGCTGGACCAAATCGTAAGAAGGGCGACCTGCGACAGGCCTACGAAATCGCACGCGAACCCCAATCCTGGAACGACGAACAGAACTCCATCGTACGCAACTACGAGCAGTCATTGCAAGACGCCGCGGAAGAGGAGGAGGAGAACCAGGATCAGCTCGAAGAAGAGGACGAAGAGGATGACGAGCCATCGAGCAAGAAGAGGAAGCGTGCTCCCGAGACGGGCAAGATCCGCGAGAGTGCGGACAAGCGCAAAAAGTCTAAGGCGTCAGAAGCTGCCAAGACCAAACCAGAAAAGCCCGCCAGCAAGGCTGGCGCTGCCGCAAATGGCGAAGACAAATCGGACGAGTCGTTGGATCCCGAGACCAAGAAGGTCAAGGAGTGGCGACACAAGGTGCAAAAGGTCTTCCTCGGTCGGGACGGAACCATCAGTGCCGAAGACATGCCATCAGCAGATGCGACCTTCAAGACGGTCGAAGAATACGACGGCATGACCGCGGATCACCTGCGCACCACCAAGATCGGTAAGGTGATGAAGAGGGTGATGCAGCTTTCCGACATCCCACGCGATGACGAGTTCCACTTCAAGGCACGTGCGGAGAAGCTGTGCGCCAAGTGGGGTGCCATCATGGCCGGCGGCGATGCGCCCAAGGAGGTGGCCCCTGAAGGGTCGAGCGAGCCGAAAAAGGAGAACGGTGACTCGGCAGCAGCTCACGCCGAACCGGAAGCCAAGAGCGAATCAGCGCCTGCGACCGAGACCAAGACCGAGGCACCCGCAGCAGAGGCATCAGCAGAGTCCGCCTAAGCAGCACACCTCGCAACGCTTTCGTATTCGCAGTCACACCGTACCATCTGTCCCGACGTGGTCGGTGACAAGTGTCACTGTGCACAACCTGGCGTCCCAAAACGGCAGCCTCATGTCGCCAAGACGCAGCTGGCAAGCCGCGAGCTGGCACGCCGCTGTCCCACTGTAACTTTACAAGGTCACCACACCATCTCTTCCCCTGTTTGTTCATCTGGCTACGTTTTGCTCTCGCTCCTCCTCCTTTTTCACACTCTTGGTTTTCTGCTCAATCTGTTGTGCGCCATCACAATTGGAAACATCGTGCACATTGGACGGGCGAGATTTCTCTTTTCTGTCTTAGTAGGCTCCCGAAATCGAAAACATTTCTTATCAATTGCTTTCATGGTGCGAGTGATTTGTCGACTGATGCACCTTGCACGGCGTCTGCTGCTGATGCTGCTGCGAAGCGTGGCCTGGCTGTGTTTGCAGCGATTTGTCGAACGTGCCTTTCGTGCTGCTGGACCTGTGAATTCCATTTCTGAACGAGCGAGGCTACGCTCGAAGCGACCTGATTCGAGGAGCCCGTGATCTGTTGTTGCAACACCTTCTCAAGGTTGTGCCTGAGATCCTGATCGAGACCTTTACTGAAGCGCTGCCAATCGTCTCGAAAGCGTCGACGATACTTGTTGTACTGACCCTGCATCCTCCATCCGACCAGCGTGAGGGTAAGGAGACCCAGACCGAGACCTGTAGCCGGATCGAGGGCGAGCGATGCCGAGGATGCATCGACCAGACCAAGAGAAGAACCGAGCACGCTGGCTGATCCGACGCCTGCGGCGGTGACGGCGACGGCGGCGGAGCTAGTAATTGCAAGTTTCCGAGATTTGGATGCGAGCACGTCGATGGGACCGCCAGCCTCTAGGAGCTGGGCACGTCGGCGATGGATCGGCTCCATGAGCGTCGATGGCTCGATCGTGCGTAGCTCGGACGCGCGGTAGGCTTCAGCCTGGTTGGAAATCAATGCCACGTCAAGAGGCACGGAAGCGATGCTCGAGCTGAGGTTCTCGGCCAGCTGTCGGAAACGAACGAGGAGCTGATCGGCAGCTCGCACTTGCTCCACCTGCAAAGTCGCCAAACGACCGGATTCGTAAGCAAGATCGGATTCGAGGGAAGCGGCAAAGCCAGCACAGGCCGTCTCGAGCTCCTTGCGTATGTCATCCACCTTCCAAACGAGCTTCCACCACTGCAGTTTGTTATCGAATGTCGACTCGATCGAATTGTCTGTCTCCTGCATAGCATGGTCGACAGCACTGAGGGAACCGGGCGAAGCTGGGCGCCACACTTTGATCTCATCGCTCGAAAGCTGACCCGTGAATGCGGTGGCTGGTGGCCAGATTCGTTCGATCGATTGCTTGATGGTTGCGTTCTCGCCTTCCTTTGCCTCACTTGCGAGCGAGCGTAGCTGGTACAAGCAAGCAAGGTTGTGCTTGGCAGTGGCTAGCGCTTCGTCGATGCAGTGCTGGAGCAGAAAGGCTGCAGACTGCGCAGCTAGAGCTTCAGACTCGCTTAGAGAATCTAGGTTTTGGATGATGGCGATGACAGATGCCACATTTGAACGCTGATAGCGGCTGCTGAAGTTGTCCCAGTATGCGGTGGAGGGTGCGTTGGTAGGGGCTGGTGAGACTGGCTCTTGCTGTTGCTTGTTGAGGGCCTGTCGAAGCGATGTGTTGGCGGCGATGGCGTCAGAGATGCGAACAGACAAGGTGTTGGGCAGGACGAGCTCAGACACCGATGCGCCGGTCGCTGCCTCGAGCGCATTTGCAAGCTGAGTAGGATCCGAGCCAAGAATGGAATTGACGACGAGATGGGCGTTGGGCTTGCCAGCGAAGCGTGCGAGGAGTTCGTGGGTTACGTCGCCGCGCTCACCGAGACCGCGAGATCTGTGTGCTGATCGACTGAGCGCATAATCGTCCGTGACGAAAAGGACTGCCTCACTGTCGTAGATGAGGTCGTACGTGGCTTCCGAGAGAACAGGGTCGATGAGAACGGCAATCTCGAGATGTGCATGTTGGAGCCAATGACGATCCAGCGTGACTGAGCGGTCGTTGAGAAGCTGCGCAGGTCCGGGCGCATATCGGATGCTGAGCGGAGCAGACTTTTCGCATTGATCCAAAGCATCCAAGATGGGTTGCGTGTCACTGATCGGAGAGGAGCCGAGTTCCCGCAGAGGCTCGTCGATCATAGACGTCAAGAGCTGCTTCGTTTGGCTCAGCGACGATCCCACCAAGATGACACGGCTACCGACTCGCGCACGTGCAGTGCTGTCCTGCGCATTGTGTACTTTGCTCAAAAGCAATTCGACCCTGTCTTTCCATTCTGGTCCCAGAATCTGACTTTCGGGATTGGCGATGCTTCGTGCACGATGAGCAATGTCGGAGAGCTCTTCCGATGCCTGCGTCGATGGCAAGGTGATAACGTGCGATCGATCGACGACTTCCACGGCTTGCGCTCCGGCAGCAGTCGTGTGAAGGAGCTTGGCCGGTGCGGAAAGTCCGACGCGATGACGAAGCAGTGCTGGGCTTGTCGGAAGCGCCGTGGCTGCTGAACGCTTTGTCGGCCCCACCGAGCTGCGTGGTCGCAGGCGGAGGCACTGCCGCGTACCTATGGACGGCGCCGCAGATAGCATATCGACCGGGCTGCTTCTCAACGGCGCACGAAGATACAACGAGTGATGCTGTAGAAAGGGCAGAGACGCGCAAGTCTAGTCAGGAAGGTTGTCAACCCGCACTTCTACCAACGTCGAGCGTGCACATCTTCGGAATGCTCAGTGAGGAGCGCACCTCAATAACGATGCAGGTGTGAGATCGCGAATTCACGCTCGGCACCGAAAATTACTCACGTCTGGCCAGAGCAAATTCGAGATTTTGAGATTTTCATCTTCGCAATTCGTCCTTGCGACATCACCATCATCCTATTCCGCCAGTCTCGTCTCGATCTCTCCTTCCTCCTTTCCTTATCTATCTTCTCTTCTCAGGGCAGGACGTAGATTGCATATTCGATTTGGCTGTTCAGGTGACCGCTTGCGATCGGTACCATTGCTTCTCTGTTCCTGTCGCCCCCCTCTTTCTATCATCGGTCACGAAGCAGTCTGCTTCTGCCTTTCCTTTACCGCCTTTGCTCTCTTTCCTTCCCCTTCCTATACCATTTGGTTTCGCAATCGCTGACCTGCTCGAGGCTTCTTTCACTCGTCCACTTCCACCATTCGAGCTTTTGCGAGAGTGGATCAGAAGGAGACCTCGAACGCCTCCACGAACCCCGCGTTCAGTGGACTTGATTCCATTCGTCTTCCCTTTGTATACCCTTGTGGACCGGGCCACGACCACCGAGTATCGTCAAAAACATCACCTGGAGTCTTCCATTTGGACACACTCCTTGTCAGACACACGAGGTCCTCTCTCGTCTCACATAGACTTGTTCTGGACTGCTACAAGTCGCAGCGCCACCGAAGCGGCAAGCATCTACGATCATGCTCCAGTCCATGTCCGGTGCCGATGACCGCAAGCGAGCCCTGGTAGGAGCAGCGGAAGACGGTCCGCGCAAGCGATTGCATTCCGATGAAGCAACCCCTCGATCCGCTGCCACGCCCAACAACGACGACGATGACGAGGAAGCTCTCCATCCGGCGTATGCTGGTCTCGAAGCTTTTCGAAAGGAAGCTATCTATCGCAAGCTTCTCGAGGCGCGGAGGGATATGCAGCGCATAGAGCGCAGATCAGCGACGTACCAAGATGATCTCGCCGTCTCTGAACAACGTGCTGCTGTTCTTCAGCGATTCTGGAACTTGCTCCTCACCGATCTCGCGACCCGGCTGGCCCTTCAGGACCAGGATGCTTTTGCATCGTCTTCCTCGTCCGATTCCAGGTCAGATCCATCGGCCATGGAACAGCAGCTCCAGCAACAATCGTCCGCGGTCCTCCAGTCCCTCTCCAAGCAAGGCGATGTCAACGTTGTCGAGCTCCAGCAAAAGCTTCACGATCTTGCTGATGAAGCATCTCGTCATAAGCAGGACCTCTTCCTCACCCAGTCCAAGCTGCAGCGAGCGCAAGATGCGCTTGCTCAAACCACTCAAAAGCTTTCCAAGGTGGAGCACGAGTATGTTCGCTACCAGAGCAACCTTCTCCGCGCCACGGAGGGCAAACCAACCGTTCCAGCTGGCACCACCGTCACAGCTTCCGAGCCCCCACCTGCTGCCGAGCAGCCGGCTGCTTTGGATGTCAAGAAAGACGCTGCACCTTCGTCCGCCGCAGAAGCAGGACCAGAAACTTCCGAAGCGCTCCAGAAAGCTCTCGAGGAGCTCGAAAGCGCACGCCAGGATGTCGAACTCACACGGAGGGAGAGCGACTCGAGGTACGCCGAGATTCAGACACTCAACGAAGAGGTGCGGACGTTCAGGTACAAGCTGCATGAGACGCAGTCCAAGTTGACCACATTGCCAGAGGAGGTTTTGCTCAATTCGGCGTTGTATCGCGAGCTGCAGACATCGTTGCGGCATGCCCAGCAGGATCTGCAGAATAGCAGGGAGGCCATGCAGATTCTCGAGAGGGAGGCTAGCGCAATGCGAGAGGAGCGCGGTTCGTTCCAGCAGACTGTCGAGGCGGAAGCTAGCAGCCGCACCGAAGATCTGGAGAAGCTCGTCAAGGCCAAAGAAGCCGACGTCACCCGTTTGCGGAGTCAGCGAGACGAACTCAACGCTGAGCTCACCGAGCGTCGATCGCGGGAGCAGGTCAAGTTCACGCAGATTGAAGAGATGAAGGCATTGCTCAACAGCAAGGAGGAACGCCTGACATTGCTCTCCAGCCAGGTGCGGCGTCTGCGCATGACGGTCGCGGCCTTCCACGGTCAATCTACCGGCGTGTCTGCGTCGGCTGCCGACGCGGAAGAAGACCAATTCGCAATCCTGAGCCGCGAAGCTCAGCAGGCGCAAGCGCGTGTCGCCGAGCTTGAACAGCGTCTTGGCATCACCAGCGAGACCACTGCACCGAACGGTAAGGACGCGACGATCAAGACGGAGGACGGTGTCGAGACCAAGATCAAGGCCGAGGCAGATGCCGAGGCTCTCGGCGAGAGCGAGCTGCACGCAGAGAATCAGCGTCTGCGTCTGTCGCTGCAGGCTGCCGAGGCGTCCAGCAAGGCTGTGGACGACGAGTTGGAGAAGATCAGCGCAGCGTACGCCGATCTGGAAAGGCAAGCGTCTGTCAAGGTGACGGATGTGAGCCGCATGGAGGAAAAGGCGTTGCGGTGGGTGACGGAAAAGTCGAAAGCGGACAACAAGTACTTCTCGGCGATGCGCGCCAAGGATGCGGTTGACGCAGATTTGCGGATGGCCAAGCAGGTGCACGAGCGACAGCAAAAGACGATCGAAGCTTTCACCGAGACGGAACGCAACTTCACTGCACAGTTGGGCGTCCACGAAAAGCAGGTGACAGCCTTCAAAAAGACGACCGACGTGCACGTCCGTCGCATCGAGACGCTGGAGCGGGAGCTCGAGCTGGCGCAGTCGCGCCTTGCCGAGTCGATGAGGACCAAGGAGGCCGCCAGTGACTCGGCCAAGGAGCTGATCAACACGGCCAACGTGGAGAAGGATCAGCGGAAGCGAGCAGAAGAACGCATCGTGCGGCTCGAAAAGGATCTGGAAAGCTCGAAACGGCAGCTGGCCAAAGCGGCTGCATCGGCAGCCAAGAACAAAGGGCGTCGCGACACAGACGCGGGAGAGGGTGGAAGCGAGAGAGACTTCCTCAACGCGCTGCTGCAGTGCTCTTCATGCAAGGAAAGGTACCGCAACCGTATCTTGACCAAGTGCTACCACACGTTTTGCTCCGAGTGCATCGACTCGCGGGTGCAGACTCGACAGCGCAAGTGCCCGCACTGCGCGCTGGCGTTTGCTGTGAGCGATGTTCAGCCTTTATACCTGCAGTGATTCTCTGCGATTGCAATGTCAAAACCGCATTTGTTCCCATTGGCGCTCGACGACGCTGCCTTGTCTTTTTCCTTGATGTCTTGTGCTGTTTGTGTGCGCTGCTTGTACGGACTGCGGGCGACTCAATCTCTGTGCAAATGGATCCAATGTGAGCAGACGGCGTGGATGGTGAGAGTGTGTGGAGTCGAGTGACGAGATTGCTGAGAGAACGGGACGAATGCTAGAATACAAGGATTGAAAACAGGAGAAACGAGGCGAGGCGGCAAAGACGTGATGCTTCATGCTTGAACTCTGCGCTCGTGGACTGTTGAAATACAGCACAAAGTCAAAAGAGTTTAGGGTCAATACACATGCTCACAACAAAAAAGCCTTTGAAACAAAGCCTTGTTGAACTTACTGTTGTAGTGGAGGAGCTTTTCGATGAGATCAACGTGCGTCAAGACCATCCTGCGGCAGCAGTATCGTTTGAGATCGAGCTCTGTCAATGCTTCACCCTCGGTGCGACCGTCGAGAAGGAGGGCAAGGTAGGCATTCCATTTGTCGCCGATGACCTTGCCGCATGAGAAGCAGCGAATTGGAATGATCATTGCGAGTGCTGTGTGGGTGTTGGCGAAGGGATAGTTCCGACGGCGAGGGATGAACTGAATGCGAGATGCTGCCTTTCGTCCTAGCCGGAAGGTTGGTGGGAGTTGCTGAGGTTGGGAAGCGTAACAATGGCAGTGCAGGGTGTACACTCGTATCTGCTGCAACAATGACGTCCGACTGAAAGCAATTGAAACGGGTATAGTTGTACCAGTGGACGAGGTGATGGAGACGATGATGAGCTAGGTGTGCAAGGCAGGTTCGCGATCAGAAAGCAAACCTTCGAACTTTTCGTCAAAAACCCTCGAAAATCCGTGACCCGGATTCAAAGGCTGATGACCTAACATGATCGTCAGTCGAAAAATTGGTTACGCTGATTCTCGCACGATTGACGACCTAATTTCAAAGCACTGCGAGTTGCTGCCGTGTAAATCAAGGCTGCCACTTCCACGTCGCCGGAAGCAGAAGAAACGGGAAAGGCGACGCACGAACCCGCGTTGGAAGACAAGACCAATAAGGAAGCTTTCTGTTCCAGCTCACCGACAGCGGCCAAGTCGAGATCGCCTTTGGCAGCCAAAGCTCGAAGAAGTCTTCGAGACAGTCTTGAATTGGCGTGTGACCTGAGCGGGCCTGTCCACCACCAAGCAACTCGAGCTCGTCACCGCTTCCCCGCGCTGATCTACGCCGATCTCTGCTATTCCTCTTGCTCTCATCATACCCTCACAACCCATCATCTGCACACTCTCTCGCATCGCCGCGTCAAGTTTGCAAATATGAGCGGCTGTAAGTATACCACCGCCGTGATCGACGTCGACGGCCAACAATCTCTTGCAATGATACCATCACAACAATGCTGATCAATTCCTCAACCACCTCGTCTCTACTCCTTTGATACGCCTCGCTATGCAACAGTCCGGTTCCTGTCGCTCGTGCGGCCTTTCATGTCCGTCCTGCCAGAGGTATCGGCACCGGAACGAAAAGGTATGTCTTGGTTGGTAGCAGCATTAGCTTTCGACATCTTTGCTGACTCTCTCGACTCGTAATCTGCTGTTTTTGCGAAACCAGTGCCCTTCGAAAGCCGAGTCATGTGGACCGCCATCGTGCTCGCCATCTTCCTCGTCTCGTCTCAGATTCCCCTCTACGGCATCGTCTCAAGCGACAGCTCCGATCCTCTCTACTGGATGCGTGTCATTCTCGCCTCGAACCGTGGTACGCTCATGGAACTCGGTATCTCGCCCATCGTCACCTCGGGAATGATCATGCAACTCCTCGCCGGTGCCAACCTGGTCGAGGTCGACTTCAGCCTCAAGGAGGACCGTGCGCTGTTCGGCGGTGCTCAGAAACTCTTTGCCCTCATCATCTCGCTCGGTCAGGCCACCGTCTACGTTCTCACCGGCCTGTACGGTCAGCCTAAGGATCTCGGTGCTGGTGTCTGTCTTCTTCTCATCCTCCAGCTCGTCGTCGCCGGCTTGATCGTCATCCTTCTCGATGAGCTTCTTCAGAAAGGCTACGGTCTCGGCTCGGGTATCTCGCTCTTCATCGCTACCAACATCTGCGAGTCGATCGTATGGAAGGCCTTCTCGCCCACCACTGTCAACACTGGCCGTGGTCCCGAGTTCGAGGGTGCTCTCGTCGCCCTCTTCCACCTGCTCTTCACGTGGAACGACAAGTCGCGCGCGCTCAAGGAGGCGCTCTACCGTGACCGTCTGCCCAACGTCATGAACCTCCTCGCCACGCTGCTCATCTTCCTCGTCGTCATCTACCTTCAGGGCTTCCGCATCGAGATCCCCGTCAAGTCTAACCGCTTCCGTGGTCAGCGCGGCACCTACCCCGTCAAGCTCTTCTACACCTCCAACATGCCCATCATGCTCGAGTCCGCCCTTACCTCCAACGTGTTCATCATCAGTCAGATGCTCGCCTCTCGCTTCCCTTCCAACCTGTTCGTCAAGCTGCTCGGCACGTGGGAACCTCTGGAAGACAGTGCGCAACTGCACGCCGTCGGCGGTATCGCCTACTACATGTCGCCTCCTCACAACTTCAGGGAGGTGGTGGGCGATCCGATCCACACCGCTATCTACATTGCCTTCACGCTCACCGCCTGCGCCCTCTTCTCCAAGACCTGGATCGAGGTCTCCGGTTCGGGACCGAGGGAGGTCGCCAAGCAGCTCAAGGACAACCAGATGGTCATGGCAGGTCATCGCGACGCTTCCATGTACAAGGAGCTCAAGCGCGTCATCCCTACGGCCGCCGCTTTCGGTGGTGCGACGATCGGTGCGCTCTCCGTGTGCGCCGATCTGATCGGTGCGTTTGGTTCGGGCACGGGTATCTTGCTCGCCGTTACCATCATCTACTCGTACTTTGAGATCGGAATGCGGGAAGCTGGCGGTCCGGAGATGGCCGCTATGGGTGACCTGTTCGGTTGAAAAAGGGGTCTGCTTTCCACACGAGCACTCGTTCCGCACTGCGTGGATACGCTTGCACAGTCCAAACCCGCCCGTCTTCCCCACCGACACACAGCGCACGCTCGCTCCACCGTGCAAATCACAATCCCCCCTTCTCTCCGCCCTCTCCCGCCAACCCTCTTTTACACCACGCATCAACCTCACCCGTCCTAGTCGCACTCGCGATCCCTCACTCCAACTGTAAATAACCTATCTATTGTCGTCTTTCAGCCGGGACAACGCCCAGTGCAGAAAGAAACACAATTAACTGCCCTTTCATCCAGCACTCTTTCGTCTCGACTTGTTACAGACCGTCTGTGACGCCCGATCTCGTCCCTGAGATCCTGTGAAGAACTCGCAGCGGCATTCGTGAAATTCAACGCCGCTCCTTCCACTTCCTTTGTGACGTGCGTCTCGAGACTCTTCTCTGGCAGTTCGGCGACGTGCGCGGTCGCGTTTCCGATGGGCTTTGTGAGTGACCTTAGGGGATGCTTTTCGTCAACCGTGCAATTTCGTGTGAACCGCAAGACAGTCGGGTTTGCCGACCTGTAGTCGGCCAGCACTTCCTCGTGCTCCACTGCAGGGCGAAGCGAATCGAGAAGAACAGCTCCAGCGAAGAAGAATTTGACTGTAGGTGACTGGCAGCATGATCGGCGTCGCTGACCCTGACCAAGACGTCTTCGGACAGTACTGTACTATAGTATCACACGGCACACCACGCCTTCCTGGGGAGCTAGGCGCCGGAACTTCATCCGCTCTCAGTGTTGGCGAAGTGTGACGGATTCCGAACCTGCAGCGGAATTTCCGACTGACCCCCCTTCGGCGCGAAGAACATCCCGAATCCGCAGAGAGAATCATTTCCAGTCCGCGTATTTACATTCTGAAGAAAGATCCGTGCTGGCTACGCTAGCTCGACTCCACATGCTCTTGCCTTTTTCCCATGAACTTCCAGCTGACATATGGATCGCTCTGGCTCTGCCTCTTCGGTCGATGAACATCTCCTCCCGATGACCGCATCGGGAAACGGTGCAGAAGCAGCAAAGGATGGTGTCGGCAGTAGCAGTGGCCTCTCGCTGCGAGAAAGGATGCGATTGAAAGCGCAGCAGCAGCTTCAAGACAAAGCGCAACCCACCTCGGTCGCCAGCTCCAGCATCGACACGAGGGATCTCGTTGCCATCGATGTCGAGAGTGATGAGGAGGATCTCGGCGCCCTCACACTCGGACGCTCAAAACGACAGGCCGCGCTCAAGCGACCCGCTACATATAGCATCGACCCGCTCGACGACTCTTCCCGACTCAAGCGCCATCCGAACAAGCTTCCCACCTCGCTCGCAAAATATGCTGCCGTACCAACCAGCAAGACGAAAGGTATCGATGGGCTGCTGCGCGAACAGCAGCGTAGGGCGAAACGTGGCACGGATGCAGACGGTTTCTCGAGGGCAGAAGCGATCGCACTCAGCATGGAGCAGGAGAGACTAGGTCGCATGGGAATTGCGTTTTCAGACATGGATTCTGATGACGTGCGTTCTGCTGCTGGCGAAAGATCCCGATCTTCGAGTGTGGATCCGAGACAGACGAAATGGACGAATCTCAATACGAATCGCAATGGGCTCAACGACAACGGAAAAGAGCGAGAGACGACAGTCAGAGCTCTGTCGCCAACGATTCCATCGTTTCTATGGTCCTCGCAGTCCGAAGCCAGTGACTCAGATGACGATGCGGAACGCCATGTCGATGCGAGCAAGACAAAGCAGCAGGTCGAAGCATCTCTCGCTGCAGTCGGCGCGGATGAGGACGAAAAGCAGCTCGCACTCGACATTCTTCAATCAGACGTCGTCCGCAGCAGGGCTGGTGACGTATCAGGTTCCAAGGATCGCATCACTTTCTACAGATCAGGCAAGGTGCTTGCTCCTGTCACGAATACCTTTTGTCCTTTGCCGTGCGTCGCTCGAGACAAGGAGAGCAAGGCATCCACCCAAGTTGCGGAGAAGACAACAGCGACACAGGCCTCGGTAGCAGCAGCTCCAGATGCATTCGACTGGAGCACCCTCGCTCGCCACATCCTTCTCGCTGGTATGCTTTTACCTTCTCTGTATCTCGACAAGCGTCAGATCAGACGTATCTTGGTCTGGCTCGGCATTTCGTTCGTCCTCGAGCGCAATGTCATGCAGAGTCGTCTCATCTCGACGCTCTTCCAATCGCTAATCTTTCAACCGGAAAAGTCGTTCTACGCTCGACAGCTCGACTCGACCATTCCACGAGCGCTCAACGACATAGTTCGACGTGTGCCCCACATTCTCAACGGCATCGGAATGGACGACACCGTGTTCGAAAAGTGTTTTCCTGATCATACCAGCAGAACCGATGTTCCTTGCTTCACCGTAGCTCGACGCAAGGCTGTTCCATCGCAGACACAGGACGGAGCTAGCAGCTCGTCACCTAGTGCCGAGTTTCTCGAGTTCAAAGCGTACCTCACGCAAACCGAACGCGACGACATTCTGATAAACCTGGCCCGCTTGCTCAATACGATCGCCAGCGCCTCCCCGGATCCTACTTTTGTGACCGACAATCTTTCCGTGTTTGCCGGATACGTCTCGAGCATGGCGATCGCTTGTGCGGCCACCACGAACCATGCCGTGTCGGATGCGGTGGCGGGCGCCTTCAACAGCATCTTTGCCCTTGTAGCCGGAGAAGGGGAAGACACTTTGCGAAAGCTACAAGCAGGGGTGTGTACGAGAACGTTCGGCGCACTCTCAAACGACTCAATAGCGGTACGAGCAAGGGTGGTGGGAGCATTTCCGGGAGACTGCGAGGAAATTAGCGCAGTGGGGAGGTGGTTGGCGTGGTACGCATTGACCGAGGACGTTGCACGAGCACAGACGGAGATCAAAGCAGCTTCGCCTCCGCCCGATGGTGTTGCCGAGGTGGTGCCGTCTTCGGATCCTTGCGCCGATGATGGTGAGGACGACTCGAAAGGTGGACTAGGAAAGGCGGAAAGCGAGAGTAGAAGACGGATCCAGTTCGAGTCGCTGTCACTTGATCTCGAGATGCTTGCGAAGGCGATCGACGCGAGAGATCCCAACTCTCCTTTCCGCATCGCGCCGGCTACAGTCGAAAGACTTGCGGACGAAGAAAGCTCTCCGAGCACACCACGACCCGGATCTGTCGACACCGCCGACGCTCGCAGCAGCACAAGTTTCGAGACGATTCTGGCCGCGACTCAACTCGTCTCCCTCTGTCTGCGCGATCTACCCCTCCACATGTGTTCATTCACACCCACGACACCGACACCATCGCAGCCTCACGCCGATTCCGCTGCAGGTAAATGGACGAAAGCACTTCGGCACGCACTCGAGCCGTATTCGTCGATGAATCCGCAATTGGATGAAACTCGCATCGCTGCATTGCAGAATATCGTCGAGAGACTGGCAGGTGTCAATGGCAGGATCAGGGATGATAGGGGCAACGTGATTCTGCAGACGCTGGCGAAGGACCGGCTGCTAATGCTGTGCCATGCGTTGGAGTATGAGTTGGAGGTGTTTTCGGGGAAAGGAGAGGTGAGGGGATCGTTCATCAAGTGAGGAATACGAAGTTTGAGTTGCGACTCAATGCATGTTAGACGACTTGAGAGACACGGTGTATACGTGCGAGTGCGGAGCGGAGGTGCCAAGTGAGGTGCTCGAGGGTGTCAACGTGAGATCTCGACAGAGCCACTTGGAATGAGCATCTCGCAGAGTCTCAAGTCTCAACACACTTATCGCGTTCGTCGCGAAACATCTATTCTCATCGACCATGAGCAAAGTTTCTGTTCCAAGATCAAGAACCGAGCTACAAACATACTGACACACGGATCGAACCACCTCTCCGCTCCTGATCCGAACCCCTTAACGACCCCTTCTAGCTGCGTGCTCAACTGAACGACCCAGCAAACATCGCAATCAACGTAACCCACGCTCCCCTTCCCAGACTCTCGATCCCCTCCTCATCGACCATCTTGTTCAAGCAGTCAACCAGCCCCTCGTACCTCCTCACGACGGGAGCGCCGAACTCGGCGGCTGCTTCTTCGGCCGTCTGCTCCTCGATGGGCCGCAGCGCGATGACTGGCTCGGGAGGTTCTCCCCCCGAGAAAGTAGGTTGCGAATTGAACGAGGGATTTGACGCGGGGGCAGGCTGGGCGGGTTCAGCGGTGGTCTGACCGAGGACTCGAGCGGATTTGCTGCTGGCGCTGGTTCCATTCGACTTGGGTTGGGCGGTACCGACGTCTCCGTCTTCGTCATCTTCGTCTTCGATCGCGAAGGATGGCCTGCCCGGCAACTCACCTGGCGACGAAGGCAGCGGCTTGTCGACGGCGCTGTCGGTCGATTTGCGAGTGGAAGGATCCGCGTCCCTGTAGCTTCCGCCGGACTGTGCCTGTGCAGCTGCGGTCGCTTGATGCGAGTACGGCGAGGGAGCCGCGCCGCTGCCGTTGGCCGGTACGCGTGCGTATGCCCTGTGAAGCGGGTTCTGCCTCTCTGGTCGTTGCGTCGAGAGCCGTACCATAGCACACTCGAGTGGAGCGAGGACCACAACGCTGATGACGTTCCACAGCACAAAGATGGGCAGACCGACAGGGCTAATCTCGAGCATGTTGGAGTTGGGGCCCGAGTAGGTATCGTCGCCTGGTGCGGCAGGGTTCGCGCCGGGAAGACCTCCAAGAGACGGCACAGTGAGCTGACGGACGACGCGGGTGGCAAGACCGATCCAAAGGATGTGGAGTACGTTGGCAGCAAGCAGACCCGGGAGCATGTAGAGGCGCCACGGCTGACTGAATTCGGTGTACGACAAGAGCTCGCGCAGGTTCTCCCTCGGATTGTTGAGGGGAAGGATGCGAGGATGCACGATGGTACGGTAGGTGATGACGTTGAGAGGAAGCGCAGCCAGCGAAACGAAGAGCATATAGAAGAGATTTGCAAAGAAGCTGAACTGGCCCGGACCGGCTGGACCGGCCTTGTACGCGCTTCCGGGCGCGCTTGTGGAAGCTCCAGAGAAGAAGATGAAGGTAAGCGTGCTCAGAGTGAAGATCTGAATAGCCACGGGAATCGAACCCTTATAGATGCCAGCCCAGCCTTCCAAATGTTTGGTTCGGAACATCATCGAGAAGACGCCAGTGACGACCGGACCGATCTTGGCGCTAGATCTGCGTTCGGAGAGCAGGAATGAAGAAAGCGCACGTGGTCCACTCGTCGAGCCGGCGCCATCTTCGAGCACGTTGTCGAGGCTTACCGCCTTGGGTAGATAGTTGGCACGAAGGCGAACGATGGCGCCGTTGAAAGGCTGGGAGATGAGCACCGAGATGCCGATGGATAGCGTGATGGCTATGAGAAAGACAATTGCGTCGAAGAGAAACATGGTGATATCGAGAACCTTGGCCTAGTTGCGGGAGTGCGAGGTGAAATGCGGCTGGGTGAAGAGTTGTTCTCCGGTTTGCGTTCGAGGTCGGATGCGATGCGTGCCAGTCGTCGACCAAATAAGCTCTCGACTTGAGCTTGTTGAGCTTGCTTCAGCCTTACAGATCGAAATGAAGGCGGGTGATGGTGATAAACAAGCAGATAGGATGTGTCCTAGAAGGGATGCACTTTGCACGGTCCAGTTTGGGCTCGCTTGCTCTTGCTCAGCTGCGACGTTGAATCACAGCCGAAATTAGAGTGCGCCTGAGCTGCACGAGATGTTTGGCATTGAGAGTTGGACCCCGAAGCAAACAAGAAATCCGGCAGCAGGTTGAGTCAAAGCGTTGGTTGCGAGTGTTGAACTCCAGCACAGCTTCGGTCGGACGCGTCACAGCTCCACTGAGCCTGTTGTTGTTCTTAGCCGAAAATCCCTGAGCCAAGCTGAGTTTTGACACTTCTCTCTCGCGAACAACGTATTTAGACGTAACATTTGGGTAAATTTCTATCTCCCAAAATCACGGAGGTCAGATCCCTGAAAATGGGGTGTGTGGAGAACGTGGAATGCTGTGCAGGGAAAGATGCCGAAAATTGTATCATGCGGAGGGTAGAGGGAAGCCGAATCGAGAATGCAATCCACTTGGAAAGGATCACATCGAAGTCCGCGGTATGCGCCTCCGACGCACAGCTATGCGTTCTGGGTGAGCGTCATTGGCAGTTGATTCAGCCGAGCTTGGAGCTGCGGGTCAAGCGAAACCCTTCAAGAAAGCGAATTTACGATTGATCCCATCCGAGGCCACGACCTTCTTGAACGATCCTCATAAGACAAAATGCAGCGCCAAACACTACATGCTTGCTTTTCACACTTTCTGAAGCTCACGCGTGAGCTCAACACCTCAATGAAACTGGACTGATACGTGGGAGGAAACACTGAGCTTTGAGCACTGACACTGAGCGTCGATGCGAGTGATCGATGGTCCTTGGGTTTTACACGGTTGCAGTGTGCAGGGCTCAGGTTGAGTCGGGTTTTTTTTTCGCAGGGCAGGAGGATGTGACACACAGACATGTAAGTCAGGTGCGCGTCAAGCTATGACACGCCTGTGGTCTGCCCTAGCGTGCGTCGGCCGGCACACACAAAGTCGATTGCGGATGTGATCGTGTTACGTAGAGAAAAGACGGAGAATCGAGAGAATGCGAAACACTTTTGAGGGGACGATGCGTTTAGAAGCGGAGAGGGGTGAAGAACCACTTGTTCTTGCCCGAGGTGTACTTCTCCTCGAAAATCTGCTTAATCTGCTTCTTGGCGTCCTCGCGTTGCGAAGGCTCCTTGAAAGTGTCCTGGGTGACGGCTCCCTTGAGACCCTCGAGCTCGAGTGCGTACCGGGTGGGCATAAGGTGGTTGTACGAGATGACCTTGACGAAAGGCTTGACCTTGGATCGCTTTGCGATCTTCTTAGCACCCATACGCTTGGTGACCTTGGACGGGTATCGCTCAATGCCGGCAGCGACAATGTAGGGGAACGACTTGTCCTTGGAGCCGTCATCGAACTGCTTGATGACGACAACCTGTTGGGTTGGTGGCGATCGGTGTTGGGTGATGCGGATAAAAGTCAGTCAACAGTGCGGCGGAAGATGAGCGAAATGGACGCCATGAGCAAACGGACAGGAACAGCCTCCGAGTCGCAGCAACACATGGACATCGCCCCCCATCCAACTTTACGTATCCGCGTGCCAATTGCCGTTCGAGTTCGTGTCGACTCCCTCCTGCTTGGAACCCTCTCCCTCCTGCTTGGAACCCGTCTCCCTCCTGCTTAGAACCCATTTTCCTCCTGCTTGGAACTCGTCTCCCTCCTGCTTTCTGCTGTGCGCTGCTGATGCCGAATGCTTCGTGGCCGGACTCGAAAACTGATCATGAAATGCTCGTATGTCGGTGCTAAAAAAATACTAACCTTCTTACCGGCGTGACGGCCGCTAAGGACGACGGCGACCTTTCCTGGCTGTAGACGATGATTAGAGAGACACATAATGTCAGCGCGATGTGACTCGGAGACGACATGCTCGAGATAGCAGCATTACGACGCTGTCGATCTGCGTTTGCAATGACTGAAGTGCTGGATGCGTGTGCGAGTGTCGATGACGCCGGCTGCTGCTTGTGTCGGCGCTTGATACACACCTTGTAGATCTTGGGCATTATGATGGACGGGAGATCTTGATGGAGGATGATGGCGACGAGAACGTAGAAGTGGAGTAGCGAAACTTCTAAGTGACCCTGTTCTCTTGTTGGCTGAGCAAGGTGCACGTGACCGAGAAAAACAAATCTTCTCACGCTGGCTTCAAAATTCGTTTTTGCATCGCGCCGTGCTGCCCACATTCGATTTCCCATTTTATCCGTGTCACACACGGAGCCGAGCGCGCGAGGGGGCGGGGCGGTGTGGATCGATCAGCACGCTCCGATTGTACACCGACGCAGGTTCAGTACATCCCGACGGACGTAATCTTCACAACACCACCGATATCTTCCCCTGCAGACGGCTTCCCTCCGCTCATCTCTGCAGTTCTTCAAGATGGCTAAGCCTCGTGGTCTCAACACAGCTCGTAAGCAGGTCTCGACCCGCCGAGACAACCGATGGGTATGTATCTGCTCAACCTTGAATACGACGATGGCACCTGTATGCTGACCTTCTGCGCTCCACCCGCATCGCTCTCATTCGCGACTCATCGATTCGACGACAATAGGCCGACGCTCAGTTCAAGAAGCGCGCTCTCGGCAACTTCTACAAGACCTCGCCCACTGGAGGTTCGTCCCAGGCCAAGGGCATCGTTCTCGAGAAGATCGGTGTCGAGGCCAAGCAGCCTAACTCGGCTATCCGAAAGTGTGTCCGTGTCCAGCTCATCAAGAACGGCAAGAAGGTCGCCGCTTTCGTGCCCAACGACGGTTGCCTCAACTTCGTCGACGAGAACGACGAGGTTCTCATCTCCGGTTTCGGTCGTGCCGGTAAGGCCAAGGGTGATATCCCCGGTGTTCGTTTCAAGGTCGTCAAGGTGTCCGGCGTTGGACTCAAAGCCCTATTTGCCGGCAAAAAGGAGAAGCCTCGTTCCTAGTCAATCTTCTCGCATCTGTACATCATCGCATCGTCATTGCGCTTCTCTCAAATCACCTCGCACGTTTGCCACCAGAATCGTCTCACAAGCCATCTCACGACGAATGAATCACTTCGTATTTCGATAACGCCATTCTCAGAACGAGGCAGTGCTTTCGTGAACATCTGTTGAGACAAAGTGGATATGGTTGTTCGCAGCATGGGTGGATCGCATCTTCGTGCGATATTATTACGAAGGTGGAGCTGCGCGTGACACGCATGGCTCGAAGATTCAGCGAGTTGGGTCAGCAAACATGGGCTTCGCCGCGAGCGTTTCCGTCAAGTCGAGCGGACGGCGAGTTTTGAACGCCTCGCAACCATCTCGGGTTCGAGAATGCCATTGTCTCGAACGATACCGTCCGCTCCGGAGCAAAGTGAGCGGCTTGAGTACGTGACTTGAATAGCGAGAGCGACTTGAATCGACTGCGTCACTTGAGTTTCGAGTGCAACATGGCTCGAGTGCGTAGCCAGTTTGCGTGACAGACCTACCCGCTAGTTAATCTGCTCCGAGTTAATAAGCTCTGGTCCCGGACGCTGACGAAACCGCGTTCGAGCGAAGGTTCGCTCCGCCCTTGCGATGCAACTCGCCCCACATGTGCACTTGTCTCGTCAGTCGAGCGAGACGCTGATGCATTCCAGTCCAAACGTGCACAGGCGTGTTTCCGCATCAGCACACGAGATATCGCCTGCTCTGAAATCGATTGGGAAGACCATATTGTCGCATTCGCATTCCACAACTTACAATCGTCAGGTCGACGCAGCAAGATCAACAAGACGAGCCGCGCCCTTCGCGTCCAAGCTGGGCAACCCACGACTCTTGGCCTTGATACGGAGATTCCGATCCAGCGTCAGCAGCACGCTCTTCTGCGTTGATGCTGGCAAGATCTCCCCACTTTCACCGCTGTTGGTCTGCAACAGATTGCGACGGTCGACAAAATTCTCCTTCTGCCATGCTAGGATTCGCAGGATGACCTCGTCGACATTCCTGGCTGCAACCGACTTTGTGTCGCCCGCACCGGCAGCATCCAACCTAGGCGATCCGTCCGGCGTCACTGCTGCTGTTGTATGTGCACCTCCCGTGCCCTGCCAGGTGAAGTCAATATCCTCGCATCGACACGAAAGATCGCTCAGATAATTACCTCGACTCGTCTGCACCTTGACGTATTTGGCGTGACTCTTGATGCGCGACTCCAAGAACTGGATGGCACGTTCGGCTTCCTTCCCGAGCTCGTTGTCGTTGCGACGCAAGCCGTCGAGTTCTGTGATGACGGCCAGCGGAACGATGACGGTCCAACGTCGCGATTCGATCAGCTGCGCAATGACCTGACCCGGCGTTACGATGATGTTGGTGTCGACAACAAGGACAGTGTAGCCCGGTACAGCATCGTCGCTTGCATTTGCCTGAGCAACGGCGTTCTTCTGGCCCTCTACTGCTTCGCTTCCCTTGGTCTGTTTGGATTGACCTGGGCGTTGACCCGAGAGCTTCTGACCGACGCTCTTAAGCACGTCTTGGAGATAGCACCTACGAGCATGCAGAGCTTTGATCTCCTCGGTGAGACCTTCAGCGTCAGACTTTGCGAGAATCTCGTGTGTAGATGCTGGTACGACGTTGCCTCGACGAATGTCAGAGTCCGAGTCCCAGTCACTGTCGAAATCGTCATCGTCCTCGGAATCAACACCTTGATCTTCTGTGCGTGCCGTAGCAGCGCTCATAACAGAGTCAACCAACTGAAGCTCCCGGATACGACGCTCGAGCTCAAGCTGTTCCTCCTCCAACTTGCGCCTCGTCAGTCGAGCAAGCAGCATCTTGGACAGAGACAACGTCGAAGACTTGGTGTCCAGATCGAATCCGCGAGCTGCCTTGGCCAGCTTTCGAGCAACAAAAGCAAGACGGTATCCCCGAACCGTGTCCAGCGACGTCGGTGCATCGCCGCCGTCTTTTCTGCGAGAAGCTGCGATGCGCCATGCCGACTCTGTCCGCGTGTACAGCTCAGCATCGTCGGCATCAAGCACCTCTACCTCGTTGTCGAAGCCCTGTGGTGCTGCAATGGCACCATCATTGACTGCGTTCCGCCAAAGGTTTCGATCATATAGGTGACGCGATAAGCCGAGGATGCCACGCAGGCAAAAGTCCTCGGGAAGCAGCAGCTGCGCTGTGATGTACGAACTCGAAAGGCATTTAGGCCAGTTGCGCTCGGTCAGAGAGATCGACGCCTCGATGTGCTTCAGCCAATAGTGCCAAGGAATGAAGCGCTCCAGCATTCTGAACGCCTTCTTGGATTGGCAGAGGGAGACCAGGAATGTGCTGAGCGTCGTGTTGTAGGGATTGGATCGAAAGGCGGCGTCGGCGCTCGAAAGGTCAAAGGTGAGCGATTGCATGCCGAAACAGAGCACAGCAGCACGCTCCAGAACATGAGGCAGCTCCTCAGCTGCATCCTGATCATCAGTGCCGCCCTTTGCCTCCAAGGAGATCATCTGAATATCTTCGCCGGCCTCTGACTCATCGTCACTGGGATCGTCCCACTCGGCGTCTCTTGGCAGTTCGCTGAGGAAGTTGTCGTCCGTCTTTGCCAAGTTCGAGCTCACTAGTATCGCCGTCGGTGCGTTGACCCTGGATCGATGCGTCTTGTTCTGCCGCGCCCCCGATTGGTTGGACTGTTGCAAAAGCAGATCCGCTAGAACCGAGTCATCGGCTCCATACTGATAGAGACCCGCGATGTTGACGGCGCCCATCATGGTCCATACAGATTGTGGTAATCCCGCCGGGCCCTGCTGCTCCAGCAGCCTGGTCAGCTTTGCCATCAGGCGATCAAACACGGGGTCAAAATCGTCGAGCTGTACGCGAGTGATAAGGATGCCGTGAAGGTGGAGGAAGAGTTCCTCGATCGAGCTGTCTCGCCGCACGCGACGAGCCTGTCGCTCCTGGTTGAAAAGCGTGAGGATGCTGTCTCTAGCCGACGCGAAGGGCTTGGCGGCAATGAGACTCTTGGTAAGATGGTAGAGAGCCCTGAGATCATTATCGCCGCGGCTGAGAACACCGAGATGGTGATGAAGTCTTCCGATGTTGGGAGTCTCTGTGATGCCCATAGCATACCAGCCTTTAGCGGTCTGACGCCAGGTTTCCTTCTCGGTCCACTCCCAATCTCCAAGAGCTGCAGAACCAATGCTAGCTTTGTCGAATTCGTTCGCCGGTGCAGCGTCCACTCGAGCGTCGGCGTTGTAGCGTCTGCGAGGTTCTGCGCTTTCCTCGACGTGATGCTGTAGCCGATGGCGGGCGTGGTGTTCCGAATCATTTGCTAGGCTGGGATCCACGGAATCGTCTGCTTGCCCTTCCGAGTCACTATCGTCGTCGTCGATACGTGCGTCGACAGGTAACGTGGTGCTGTCGCTCGGGTTGCGAACATTTTCTTCTCCGTCGTCGAGAGCCATGGTGGACGCCAATCCCGCCACGGCCATGCGATAGCGCGAGAGATCGCCGAGACTCTCGATCCATGCCCTACGCATGCTTTTGTACTGCTCCGATTCCTGCAAGGCCGAGTAGAAGGAGTAGGCATAGTAAATGAATTCGGTGAGATGATCGAGAAGCTCGCTCCTGCGCTGTTTGGTTTGCAGGTGGTGGTCCGAAGAGAGGCTGGCGCGGAGGCTCTCGAGCATGAGATGGAATGCCGTTTGCCACAAGCGTGATGGTATGTTTCGAACCTCGGCCAGCTGCTGAAGTTCACGTGGTAGCTCTGGCCGGCAAGACATTTCCAAAAAGGAGGAGTGCAACTCTGCTAGCTGACGATGCTTGCTGATCATGGCGATCCAGTAGGAGGCATCCTGCGTATCTGGTGGGGTGTAGTCGGCCATGCCTTGTCGCGCTTTGTCCAACTCGGCCTGATGCAATTCTTGAAGATTAGCTTCCATGGATGACAGCGATCGGTACACTTTCTTGATTTCAGCGATGTGGGCTTGGAGCGCCTTGGGATCAGACAGGTCTGTTCGCAGAGCCATATTGGACACAGACGGTCGGATGACGGGACTACGACCGAGATGACTGCCGCTCGAGGTGCTGGAGGGCTCCTTCCGCATTAAAATTTGGGGCTGAAAGGAGGGTCCTTGGTTGAGCTGAGGGGAGGGAGCACCGGGATTTGGACGAGCATCGCCGTGGCCTCTCTGCTGCGATGCGAACTTGACAGGATCGTCGCGTCTCGGATCGAACAGCTGACGGCTGGATCGACTGGTCGAAGATTCTCCAGGCATACTTCGAGCGTCGTGAGCGAGGGCAAACCGGTCCCGGCGGCTGGAGTGCGAATGATGGGAGCGTGAGCCCGCTTCGGATCTGGATGCTTCCGGCCCACGGAGGTCGGGGAGTACTCCCTGTGTCGAAGGCTGTCGGCTGCGCTTTCCAGAGCTGCTCCCGTCTTTCGTCCTGGCGTCTCTTTTGTGTGGGGAGGTGGACGTCTCTGATCTGGAAGAAGGCGCTCGGCGGGGATTTGAAGGACCCGCATCTTCCGTGTTCGACTTGGCTGCGTGGTCAGAAGCAGGAGTGTGCGACCGTTCTGGGCGTTTGTCGGAGCGGTGGCGAGACCTTCGCTGACGAGAAGAGGTGCTCGGTGCACCCTCGCTGGCCACGGATTTGGACGATTCGGGTTCGCTTGCGTCGCGACGGCTTTGACGAGAGGAAGCTCGCGAAGCAGTATGGCGAGAGCTGCCATGCTCGGATGCTCTGTCCCTGAGATCGCTTGTGTCTGGACGAGAGCTCGAATGAGAAACGCGTTGATTGCGGCCGCTCTGCTTTGCGTTCTTTGCGGATGGCTCAGAATCTTCCTTGAACGAAACGTGGTGCTGTTTGCGAGCAGGGGCTGTGGATGAAGCTCGCTGGTCGGAGTGCGACTTGGAAGACGGGTCGGCCAGCGCCGACTTGCTCGCGATGGCAGGAGGAAACGCAGAAAAGCCGGACTTGCTGAGCTCGCTGGTCGAGGCCGACAGAAGCTGCGTCGAGGCAGCAGTGCCATGGGAGTGCTGGAACGGCATGGCTGCAAGGCTGGCCACGGCGTTGAGGCGGCGGCAGCGGGCGCCTTTGTGGAGAGTAGACTAGCGTTAATGCTACGACAGCATCAGCGAGGCAAAAGCTCGACGACTAGCGAAAGGAGCGACCGACGAGCAACCTTCTTCATATCGTCCAGAGGAAGCCTCTTTGAAGGAAAGAGCTGCTAAGGCGAGCACGAGCTGCGGATGAATGCGGTAGGGTCGCAGCTGAGCGTTTCGACGCGATCTGAAGCGTAGTTGCCTAGGCGATGTGCTCCCACGGGTGTGTGCGTGTGTCTGTGACAGAGCCTGACAGCGGCGTAAGGATAGTCAGGATGATCCTTGATGCCGTCACAGCGGAGAGAACGTGAAGGGTGCGCATGCTCGAAGCACTGTCATGCCACGAGCAAGCATGCAGGTGCAAGGTGCTCAGTCGCCGCAAAATCCCTCACAAAAAAATAATAAGAGCCCAGCTGTTGTGACGTTTTCTCGCAAATTAGCCCAGACCCTTGATTTCCGACACTCACCCTCACGCAGGCTCAGTTCAAAAGGCCACTTCATGACGGACACAAAACAAGACACTCAAAAAACTCAGCGTAGAAAAGAGGGTCACAAAAAAAGATCAAAAATTCCAAGCATGAAAGCGCTGGAGTCACCTCGGCCAGCTGTGCACGGTCACGGAAGAAGCCGAAACAAAGCTGTCTTTCAGAAGAATCGAGTATCGAGTGTGGACTGAACTTATCAAACATCATTGGAAGACGCAGGCTAAAGTGCAGAAAGGACAGCTCGTATACACAGCAATGATGGTATGCAAGTCTGATTAGGCGCAACCCCCATCCTTCGTACCCTGTTCTCCGTCGGCAGATCCGAATCACGGGCGGCCTTCCTGTCGGCATTGCCAGTAGACCCACCTGGACGCCGATACCAACGAATCAACGGTGACTTCGGACGCATCCGAACAAGCGCAACGTCGCCACGATGAGCTCTTCACAAGCGCCCATGGACCTTCCGGACATCATCGCTGTCAAAAGGCTCGAGGTACGCATGATCGTAGGCGTCGACAACTGGGAGCGCGTCCAAGCTCAGCCGGTCACTATCGATGCTCGCGTTCACACTGATGTTTCCAAAGCGGGCCAGTCGGATCACTTGCCTTACAGCATCCACTACGGCGTTCTGGTCAAGCAGCTCGAAGCGCATTGCGCAAATCATCGTTATCGCAGCCTCGAGGCGCTCGCAGAAGGGCTTGCAAAGGTGTGCCTCTTTGTGCTCCACGCTCCCAAAGTCACGCTCAACGTCGAAAAGCCTCGCTCCCTCCTTCATGCCGCTTCAGCCGGTGTCCAGATCGTCCGCACCTCTGCCGACTACATGCTCGGCGATGCCCACCCCATCCCGGCCGGAATCGACCCGGTCCAGCGAATAGACGAGCTCAGACTTTCGCCTTCCTCTAAACACGCTCTGGACGACAAAGTCATCGTGCGAGACCTCATCATCAACACCATCGTCGGTGTCAACCCGTGGGAACGAGAGGACAAACAGAACGTCAAGCTCAACTTGGTTGTCTACTCGGGACTCTCTCGGGCCAAGACTGGGTTCGTCGATGTGGTCAACAAACAGCACAACTACCGCACGATCGTACGCAGTATCTCCGAGTATGTGGCAGCGAGCTCCTACAAGACCGTCGAGAGTCTCGCAACATCGATAGCAAGGGTCGCCGTCGTTCAAAATAAGGTCGAAAAGGTCCGCGTGAGCGTCGACAAGCCGAGTGCCATCATGTTTGCCAGCAGCGCCGGTGTCGAGGTGGAGCGCACGCACGAGTTCTTCGAGCAGGAAGCTGCTCGAGAAGGCCAGCAGCTCCGCGCTGCCACCTCGTCATCCGTCGTTGCCGCTGTTTCCACCCCCGCTGTCTCGTCACCCAACGCGTCGTCAGCCTCGCATCCGTCACCTAGCACGACAAACCCGGTGACTGCCCTCGAGCAAGGCTGGCATGTCGCGGCCATCGCCCTCGGCTCCAACGTCGGCGACCGGGCGGCCAACATCGAGGCTGCTGTGCAGGCCCTCAGCGAAGCCAAGGACTGCCTTCTTGTCGACACAAGTTTCCTCTACGAGACCGCACCCATGTACGTCGTGGATCAGCCCAAGTTCCTCAACGCCGCCTGCCGCATAGCGACCAAGCTTAGTCCGCATGACCTGCTCGCTCTCACACAATCCATCGAAGTCCGACTCGGTCGAGACAAGACAGGCGTCCCAGACAAGGGGCCGCGTTCCGTTGACCTCGACATCCTAATCTACGACAAGCTTGAGATCGACGATGCACCACGGCTCGTCGTCCCTCATCCGGGCATCAAGGAACGAGAATTCGTACTCGAGCCGCTCAAAGACATCCTGCCAGACTTTGAACATCCGACCTACTCCCGTACCATGTCGCAGCTTCTCATCATGCTTCAGAAGTCCCCCGACTACGAGCCCAGCGGCATCCGAAAGGTGTTGCCCATTCCGTCGCCCAGCACACGAATCGGCAACCCTAGCGTAGACACAAAGACGTGGACCTGGGGTTCCAAGACCTTCATCATGGGCATCATCAACGCTACTCCGGATTCGTTCTCGGATGGCGGCGACAACCTCGTGGCTGTTGACGCAGCGCGATCGGCCAAGGCGATGGCAGATCAGGGCGCCGACATGATCGATGTTGGAGGAATGAGCACAGCTCCTAATGCGGCAGAAGTAGACGCAACTGAGGAAGCGAGGCGTGTGGTGTCGGTCATCAACGCCATCCGAGAAGCAGGAATAAGCACACCTGTATCGGTCGACACTTTCCGCGCATCGGTAGCAGAAGCGGCGCTCTCAGCAGGCGCCGACGCGATCAACGACGTTTCGGGAGGCGAGCGCGACCCAGCAATCCTCGAAGTGGCAAAGAAGTGGAAGTGTCCCTACATCCTGATGCATATGCGCGGAGACAGCAAGACGATGAACGGGCTCGCCACGTACGAAGGCGGCGACGTCGTCGCCGGTGTACGTGCCGAACTCGAAGTGCGTCTCGATCGTGCGCTCAGAGCAGGCGTTCGACGTTGGAACATTGTCCTCGATCCCGGCATCGGCTTTGCCAAAGATAGCGCCGGCAACCTCGCGCTTTTGCGCGATCTGTCGAGGCTCACGCTAGCGGAATCGGTGACCAAGTCAACCAAGGGCAGAGGCGTCGCCTATTCGGGTACAGCGACTCCAGCTCTGGATCGGTCCGTGTTCGAATCAACGTCGCCCACACCTTCTGCCGCCCAAGCCGGTCCGGATTCGATCACCCGACCGTGCTGCTCGCTGGTCTCGTTCCCAACTTTGATTGGCGTATCGCGTAAAAAGTTCCTGGGCCACCTTACAGGCAAGCAGGACCCCAAGGAACGCGTGTACGCTACCGCTGCGGCTTGCACGGCTGCCATCGCCGCTGGTGCTGATATCCTGAGAGTGCATGACGTCGAGCAAATCCGCGATGTAGCTATCACATCCGACGCCATTTTCCGGCAGTAAGCACATCCCCCATATGCATATCAGTTGTAATATCTTGTCCCGATGCTCACGACATTGCCGCCTGGAAGAGCATTCTCGATGTCTGCGATACCGTGTTTGACAGTTCTGCGATTAACGGGGTCGGGTACAAATACAGACCGAAAGACTGTCCATTGTCATCATCGAATTGAGCGGAATCTGTCTGACTACTGCTCGATTGGCGCTTGTTCCGGCATCGTCGAAGCGTCCTGTTGAGCGAAATGGCACGAGAACGCAAGTTTCATTGTCAATGTTTCGTTACAGCATGGTTTGTTCAAGCTGATCCGACTTACCTGTAGCTGCGCAGCACTCCTCTGACTGGGATCCTTTGGCTCTACGAGATGCATCTTTTCGCCGATCTTGTGGACCTTCTCCTTGATACCTGCCATGCCGGTCGAGTTCTCGCGACGATGATTGCGCTTCTCCTGTGCTTGTTCTGCCTGCACCTGCTTTTCGACTCTGCGTTCTTCCCAGCCAGGTGGACCTTCTGGTGTCTTGCCCGGGCGAATGACGGATGGAACTGGCTTGCTGGTCGTCGTCGTCATGATGGAGTTGGTATTGATTGTGATCGAAAAGAAGCCTCTTGTCGCCAGAAGATGAAGGAGAGTCGCAAACGATCGAAAGCTTCGAGAATCACCTCACATGGAAAAGCGAAGCTCGCGTGAGCGTGCTTTCACCGTGAGCCGCCATCGAGGCTGTGCCCAGCGAACTTGGACCCCGCATCTAGTCGGCCCGCTAAATTTGCGAGCGGCAATGCACGATGAGGCAATGACGCCGATCTGTTCCCTGATCGTCAGTTGTCACGTGCTGATCGGCGATGAATGACCAGCGGTCTGACATTATGTGCACAAAATAACAGCAGCAATTTTTGACTTGGTCCCTGCAGATGGTCGGCGATAAAAGGCGTATGGAGTCTGGCGTCCACCTGCCTGCTGACTGTTTGTCGAGCCTCGTTGCTGTGTGACTGAGCCTTATCAATGACATGCGATGATGACTGTCTTCCGGCAAAGCGATTCGAAGGACATGCTTCGAATTGGCGAGTCGGGAAGTCGCAATCAGCGTAGTCATGCCTGCAGGTCGACCAAATGTGCGTGACCGTGCGCAATTAAGAAACCGCCAAGCCATTGACGACACAGCGTGGCAGACACAGTACATACTTGTTCCTGCGAGCCGTCGGCAAGCGCAGCTATGCCGATCGTAGAGGACGTCAACTCGCGCGGCGATCGCTGTACCACATTCGAACAATCGCTCTCGCTGCTTCCCTCTTACGCTCCGGAGAGCCTGACGTTGTTCGTAAAGGATGGCCCAAGCTACCAAGTGTTCTTGCTATATAGATTTCGCTATATATGAAGGGGATTGCAATACCAAAAAGAACCCAATCTTTGAACACCATCCTCCCCGTATCGTCTCGTTGTCTTCACCCCAGCCTCCGAGGACCCTCTAGCAGCTACCGCATTTCCAACGCTTCTTTTCAAAGGTAAGTGACCGAGCTGCTGTTCTCCTCGAAGCTTGATTCGTCCGCAAACACTGGAGGCCAGGGATAACACGGAGTAGGACAGGCAGCAGCGACTACGGTACATTCGTCGAACATGCACGCGGGCATTCGCCCGAAGTGCCCCGAACAGCGGTGTGGAAGCATGCTTCTTGCGGTACTCTGCTTCGTCGCCAACAGAAAACGTCGAGCGTCAGCGTGTCCGAGGGCTGGATCCGCGCGCGAGAGTCATCGTGGCAAAGCCCGACCCGCCTGTGTCACGAGAGAAATACAGCTACTGTTGCTCGGGTCACATCGATGCCCCTCACCTCAACAGCTCCGGTTCTAAGAATGGACGTGTCGACGGCGAATGCTTAGGCCGTGGGGTCGGTGACCTGGCGGTAGAGACAAGAGAGGTGGTAGAGAGCCAGGGTAGCCTGGCTACGATGCCTCTGTCATTTCCCCGCTTTCTGCTCTTCATTGCACTCTCTGCCCTTTGGACCTAACGGCATTCCCGACGATGCGTCGATATGTCACTCGAGAATCCATCTCGGCGAACCCGAGCTTCGTTGAATCGCGGAATCTGTCTTTCCAGGCTTCTACGCTCTCGAAAAGAGAAGATGTCACGCACACATTGGTTTCGGGCATCGGACGCCCCGTCCGAAATTACGATGTAGACTGATATCCCGCCTCGGCCAGTCTCCGTGCACCGGGCAATTTTCTTTTCTTCGGTTTCCCCTCCACCTCGCTTGCTGCGATTTTTCCCGCCTGGCGCCGCTTTTTTGTCTACACGATACAGTCACCTGCAGCTGCAGCTGTCAGTCTCTGCGATCTGCACGGTTGTCGGCTTCCCCGCAATCGAGAGATGTGGGATGACTGGCGCTCGCTTGCCGTTGGAGGTCGATTTAGTCTCTTAGACCTCGTCACACTTCTTGTTTCGGCCTCTGCGATATTTTGAGTTTCGCGCAATGCACAGGCCATGACTGAGCATGGCCGCCATGCGCGACATACCGCCGTGGCTCTTTGCCACGGAAGCTGTGTCACGCCTTACAGATCTTGCTTCTGGCCTAGCGGGCTTCGTTGGCTCCTTTGGCTCGAGCACATTTACTGACGCTCATTTCCAATGCCTTGTCTTCTCTCGCTACCCAATCTCAGCCGCCGTTCACTTATATTAGAACGCCATGTTTGCCCGAGCTGCCCTCCTCCGTTCAACCATCCCTCGTTTCGCATCAACCAGCCCCCGTTTCTTCTCTACCACAAAGCCCAACATGGTCAAGGTGAGTTCGCAGCTATGTCACAACAAAGCCGCCTTTCTGTCTTGCGCTTCGGGCTCATACTGACACACGCGCTCCTCTCTCATCCTCTCAGATCGTCGCAGTCCTCTACACCGCCGGCAAGTACGGTGACGCGCAGCCCCGTCTGCTCGGCACCGTCGAGAACAAGCTCGGCATTGCTGACTGGCTCAAGCAGCAAGGTCACGAGTTCATCGTCACTGCCGACAAGGACTCGCCCGACTCGGAATTCCGCCAGCACGTCAAGGACGCCGAGATTGTCATCACCACTCCCTTCCACCCTGCCTACCTCACCGCCGAGGTGCTCGAGTCGGCCAAGAACCTCAAGTGCTGTATCACCGCCGGTGTCGGCTCCGACCACGTCGACCTCGATGTCGCTAACAAGAAGAACATCTCTGTGTACGAGGTGACCGGCTCCAACGTCGTCTCGGTCGCTGAGCACGTCGTCATGACCATCCTCGTCCTCGTCCGCAACTTCGTCCCTGCCAACCGTCAGTACCTCGAGGGTGACTGGAACGTCGCCGAGGTCGCCCGTGAGTCGTACGACTTGGAGGGCAAGGTCGTCGGTACACTCGGCTCTGGTCGTATCGGAACCCGTGTCCTGCAGCGATTGAAGCCCTTCGACTGCGCCAAGCTCACCTATTACGACTACCAGCGCAACGACTTCCTCGAGAAGGAGACCGGCGCAGTCCGCGTCGAGGACCTCAAGGAGTTCCTCTCCGAACTCGATGTGCTCACCATCAACTGCCCCCTCTACGAAGGTACCAAGGGTCTCATCGACGCCGAGAAGATCAGCTGGATGAAGAAAGGTGCCTGGATCGTCAACACTGCCCGCGGTGCCATCGTCAACGCCAAGGACGTCAAGGCCGCTCTCGCCAGTGGCCACCTTCGTGGCTACGGTGGCGACGTCACCGACCAGCAGCCGCCTCCTAAGGACCATCCCTTCTACACCATGGCCGCGAGTCACTCCGGGGGTATCCCCTATCAGCACGGCGTCGGCGGCAATGCAATGACTCCTCACATTTCTGGTACCTCCATCGATGCTCAGATCCGATACGCCAACGGTGTCAAGGAGATCCTCGACAACTACTTCAACGGCAAGCCTCAAACACCTGCCAACATCATCGTGGAGAAAGGACAGTACGCCACAAAGGCCTACGGTCAGCGCAAGTAGAAGTCTGTCTGCTTCGTGAATGACATACATATGTGCATGCACCCAATCAAGCTCGTATCCAGCATCTTTCGTGAGAGAAAAACACTGTTTCATGTGCGTCGAACGAGGTTGAGGACCTGTGTGATTGACGGTTAGGAACGAGTTGTCTAGCATGCACAGTCTAGGATCAAGGATCACCGTGAGATTCAGACTACAACTACAGCGAGATACTCGAGCCCTGGGGATGGCAGTGAGTTTTGCTCCTACTTTGACTCATCTTCATCGTCGTCGCTGATCTCGTGGATGCTGGGAGAAGCAGCGTCACGCAGCCTCGACAACAACGTTTGAGCGACCTTCTTCTGCTCCGCCTCGTCCGATTCTGTATCGTCCTCTCCGGAGACACGATCTGCCAACTCCAACTTACGTTCTCCCAACGCATGGATGTCTTCATCGATGGTTCCGCGACTGAGCAATTTGACCACGGTGACGGGTTTCGTCTGACCCATACGGTACGACCGGTCTGCGGCCTGCTTGTCGTTGTGCGGGTTGAAGTCTTGATCGAACAGGATCACCCAGTTGGCGGCGATCAGATTGATTCCCAACCCACCCGCTTTGGTCGAGAGCAGAAACACCGTGATGGAAGGATCGTTGGTGAACTGATCCACCAACACCTGTCGATCTTCCACCTGCGTTGATCCTGTAAAGCCGACGTACTTGACACCCATGTGCTCGAGACAGACGCAGAGGATGTCGAGCACCATGGTGAATTGGCTGAAGATGAGGATGCGATCGCCCTTGGCTTGGATCTCGGGGATGAGTCGTTGCAGTGCCTGCACCTTGCCGGACTTCATCCATTCGGCTGCGGGAAGGACATGCTTGCGGGTGGCAGGGTAGGTTTGTGCGGAAAAGGAGAGCTGTGCGTCCGTGTTGATGCGAAGATCTTCCTTGACGTGTTCGAAGTTGTAGTCGGCGTAGTCGGGTTCCTTCATAAGGTCTCTTGCCATGGCGTCGATCTTGGCCTCGTCGAACAGTCTTCGCGACAAGAGAGGATGGTTAGCCGCTTTGCGCAGCTCCATGAGCACGTGTCCACTCTCCTTGTTCGAGCTCGTCGCTGCCGCCTTTTTGCGTGTCGTCGCAACCTGAGCTTCAGCTTCGGCAGCAGCCACGCGTTTGGTCTTGGCCACAGCCTCGGCGTAGATCTTGCGCTGCACCGGCGTCATATCGCAGTACTCGACGCGCGTCGTCTTCGTAGTGAGGTCAGTCAGCACCTTATCCTTGAGACGTCGAAGCACAAACGGATGCATCATCTTCTTGGCCCGATCGACACGTTGCTTCGAGAGCTGATTCTGCTGACCACCCGCTTTCACCTTGAAGATGGCGGCGAGCGCCTCTTCGGCGTCGGAAAAGTATTCGGGCATGATAAAGTTGAGCAGCGACACCAACTCTTGCAGGTTGTTCTGCAGCGGCGTGCCCGTGAGGAGCAGACGCCAGCGCGTTTTGAGCTTGAGCAGCTTCTCGTACTTTTGCGACTTGCGGTTCTTGAGCATGTGACCTTCGTCGAAGACGCACACTTCGAATCCACCTGTTCGACATCCCTGTTCGTCGCAGCCCGGCTTGCATTCGTTGCGACCGCAGCCACGACGTCCAAACTTGCGCAGGAAGCTGTGATCCTGCGGTGCTCCCGCTGCCATCTCGTAGGTGGTGAGGATGACCTCGAGGTCGGGATCCTCAGCGAGCTCCTCGCGAAGCTCGACGCGGTCCTTCTGGCTGCCGTAGTACTTGCGGACGTTGATGGAGGGTGCAAAGAAGCGAAACTCGCGATCCCAGTTCTCGAGCACCGAGCTGGGCGCGACGACGAGATGCGGACCGCGAATGCCCATGTCTTTGAGCTGAGCGAAGAAGGCGATGACCTGTGCGGTCTTGCCGAGACCCATCTCGTCGGCGAGGATGCAACTTGTCTTTTTGCGGTAGAGGAGGTGGAGCCAATTGACGCCGACCAGCTGGTAGTCCTTGAGCTTGACGCCCTCTGCTAGCAGCTTAGGTTGCTCTTCGAGGTAGAATTTGTCGTTGGAGGAACCGCCTTTCTTGATAAACGAAAGGTTGAGCGTGCTGGAAGGCGTTCCCTCACGCGAGCCTGCGACCGAAGCATTGACCGAGGAAGCGGCGAGGGCGGGCGAGGCGAGCCTGGACGCCGTTTGACTGGCATCGGGCATCCACGAAGCCATGGCGTCGCTGAGCTCGCGACCGATCTTCTCGCATCTAGCCAGCACCTCGTCCACCTCGTAATAGCCGGCCATGAGATCTTTGCATTGATGGAAGAGCCTCGGAGTGACACCCTTGGCTGACTTGCTTCCGAGTTTCTCCTCGATGTCTTCGGCGTCGTCGAACGGACGCAGTGCGATGATGGTCTCGGCCTGCTGGGCGTTGCAATTGGTGGTGTCCATGAGCGCGCTGGCATCGGCCGTGTTGAACCACTTGACGGCGGCACGTTCCTCCTTCTCTTCGCGGTCTTGACCGTCGGAATCGTCGTCGTCCGAGCTGATCTCGACGGTCTCGCGTGGAGTTTTCTTGACGGGGACTGGCTGCGATGCTGTCGACTGCGAAGGCGCACGCGACATGGAAGGCGTCGAGGCTCTAGAGCTTGGATTGCTCGAAATGGACTGCTTGACACCGTTCTGTGCTGGTCGGCTTGCGAGGGTGGCGGGGCTGGATCGCTGAATGCCGTTGCTGGTGGGCTTGAGGCTGACGGTCTTTGTGGTGACTACGCTCGGTCTGTTTGTGAGCAAGTGTACAGCTCTCGGGATGTCACCCCGAGTCTGGCGCAAAGCTGCAATGACGCGCTTGGGCTCGAGCAGAGGCCGTTCCTTAATGATCGTACGCGCCTTTTCTCTGAGCTCTTCGTCAGAGAGTGGTGCAGGAAGGCCGTTGCTTGTGGAGGGGGTGGTTGCAGGGCGAGACGGGGCCATCGACGTGGTGGAAGGTTGCCGCGCGGGAGGTGGAGGGATCTCTTGTACACTGTCGTCATCGTCATCCAGTTCATGCTTAGCTGGCCGACTATTCGACTGCTGTTTGAGAGGTTTGCTGGCTGGCTCCTCGGACGGATCGCGTGACTGAGAGCGGGTTGCGCCGCCACGCACAAGGCGTCGCTTCTTTGGCTTGCGTTCCTCCCCGGCAGATGACTCTGGCTCGCTGAGATCGGAGCTCTTGTCGGATCCGCTTGTATGCCGCTTGTTATTGTTGGCACCGAATCTGTATTGATCGAGGCTGGAACCAAACGTGGAGCCGTTGCTCTTGCTCGAGCTGGCGTGGGAGTTGCAGTTTGCGTGCTGCTTGGGCTGAGAGGTAAAGGTGGTGCGACTCATAGAAGAAGCACTGCCGGAGCCCATGGCAGAACGAAAGGTGTGATCGGGCATGGTCGAGGGATAGATCGTGCGAGCCGGCGAGTTGATCACGGGGCTAGAGTCGAGGCACAGTATGCGTGGTGGCGGAGCTCCTACCGAACGGTTCTTGGGAGGAGTGGCGGGCTCGATGGAATCGTCGCTGTGGTTCCCATTCAGCATGTGCGTTGTGCAAGCCGATAGTGTCTGACGAGTGACTGCGCTGTGGCGATACAGCAGCGCAGGACCAGGGACGCAACTTGGCGTGTTCAAGAGGTGGTCGGAGATGCGAACAGGATTCGACGGGTGGGCTAACGTGGGTCCTCGAAACGATACGATGCGGCTTGACTGAACTCGGAAGGAGGCAAGGTGAAAGATACAAAGTGTCAGATAGCCTTCGTCTTCGCAAAGTAACTTTTGTCAGACGTCAGTCAAGCGGATAAAGTTCTCGCTCGCACGCTCACGCCCTCTGTCACGACGCGAGAGAGATTCCACAGCGGCAGAGTCGAGCAGAGAGGGTTTCGGTGAATTGTCCGACGACTCGTCGTCCTCGCTCTTCTGATGCGAGAACTCGACGCTGCCGAACTGTGAATTGCATCTGTCAGCGGCGACAAATTTCATTCCGTTCAGGTGAACGAGCAAAAACTCATTCCACAACAGCAGAGCAGTCTACGCGACCGCCGTGGTGGACCGCGTCGGCAATCATCCCGAACTTCTTGTTGCCGTGCATTCAACCTTGTGGTGGTGGCTTAACACGAAGAACAAATTCGACGGTAGTTTGCCTTATCACAGCAGCTCTTACGAAGCGCGTACTTCTAGACTCCAGCGAGGGCAGAAATCAGACAAGGATGAAGCAGGCAAAAGACCGAGCTCGAAGTTGATGGTGACGAGGGTATACTGTGTGGATGACATGAACACGTTGTAACTGCTGGACAAAGGAGAGACACATGTGGCTAGAGCTATACGTGCATGTTTGTGGCGGACGACGACGGGCTTGAGGACGCTTGTGCAGCTGTTGGTGATGGTTGAAAGTCTTCCTTGCTACTTCCCAAGTCGATCCACACCCCAAGCCCTCGATGTTTGCCGACTCCCACGAAGAAGCGTTTCGGAATCTGCACTTGCGACTCTGACCAAGGTATAGAGAGCCGGTAGAAGTCCGGCTCGGTTTTGGCAGTGTTCGTATGCGCTGCACTGTCAGCAGTGTCAGCATCGGTTGAAGGTCTTGAGAGCGGACTGAAGAAGCCTCTGCCTCCAGATAAGCCCAGTTCGAGCCAGCCGTAGCTTGAGCGAGTTGTCGACGTGTCGGATGGGGATGTGGATGCCGGCGTAGATGTGTTGGCCAACATGAGCGGGTCCATGTTCGAGCTTTGTCCATACCAGTTAGACGATGTTGCCAAAAGCCCGGTGAGAATCAGAGCGCAGTACATGCAAGGTTGCGAGTGTAGCGCGAACGAAAACAGGAACAGAACCAAAAACAGCGGCGATGTCTTGGGGAACGGCAGGAGAAATAGCGGGATCCACCACCGCATGCAATACATCTTGGTCTGAGACGTCGGATTCTCGGGCTTCGATTGCTGCTAGCCGAATGGAGGATCACAGCAAAATATTGCAACGTGTCGCTGGAGTAGAAGATGGTGTTCCCAAGAAGGGAAGGGTCGAAGCATGTCAGGCAGTGCCATTTCCGCATATCGCGATCAAAATTTCGGGAATCGGGCTGAACGCTCAACGGTCAACGCGACTCGCCAGCTCAAGCAGAGATCAACACTTGGTCGCGCTCGTTCTTCCCTACACCATCATCACCCACCATCCTCAAGAAGGAGCCACCGCACATCGAGCAACAGACGTTCTGCGTGCGCTTCATTGCAACCACCATTGACTCGACTCGCGCAATGTTCCCTTGATCTGCATGGCCCTCGTTCCGCACCTGACGCTGCCCTAGTGGTGCCCCACCGCTACCAAGTCATTCGCGATGCCTCTGTCTTATCCATCAGGCGCAAGAACACTGCACAGGCTGTCCCCATTCCAGCGTCTCATCAAGATCGCACGACATACGCCCTCTTCGTCCAGCGATGCCGATTCAGATAGCAATTCCTGTTCGGGCTTCAGGGTCTCCGAGTACGAGGACGTCGCAGAGGAGCCCGTCTCACGCAGCTCCAGACACGAATCGCGAAATGTAGACGATACCAAGCTCAGGAAGCAATGGGATTCGATCACATGCGAAGGTTGTGGTCGCACCATCGAAGAGCACGCTGCTCTGAGCGACGCGGACGACGAGGAAGCCACGCGCAGAGGCAAAGTCGCCGTGCGATTGGACGAGCTCTTGGAGGACAAGGGAAAGCTGCTCGATTTTGAGTACACGGACGCCGACATCGACTCGCTACGCAAGCAGATGAGGCCTGTAGGTGCCGACGGCCTCGTCGAGGCGTCCAGTCCCGTCTCGCAACTCAGCACAGTGCCGGACGCCACACCGAGTCCTCATCCATCAGCGCAGGCGCTACTCAACGGATCCGGTCCGCATTCGTCCACTCCGCTACTGCAAAGTCTCAATCGCAAGCGCAAGCTCAGAGACAATTCGCGATCTCGGTCTCGGTCTCGCGACAGAGAAGCATCAGTGGCCACCTCGAGTCGGCTCTCGAGCCCAGAAATGACGGTCGTGCATTCCAACCCAGCCTCACGACATCAGTCCACGGAGCCGGGCGCAACCAATGGACGGCACGACCCCAAACGGAGAAAGTTCGCATCGTCCGACCTAGCAAAGGAAAGCACCGTCGATGCGAGCATGTCGACGGATCTCAGCGATGAATCCGCAGATCTCACCGGTGCGGAAGCGGCCGAGGCAACAGGAGACGGCGCCAATGCAGAGGATGGAGCAGCAGAGGCTGCAACAAATGACGCTCAAGGTGCTGTCGTCTCGACCAGCTCGGTCGAATCAGGTGAGACGAAAGTCAAAGCGGAAGATGCCGTAGATCTGGAAGAAGAGATGCAGCCTGCGCCCAAGAGCGCCGCCTCTGCCGTCGAAGAAGGTGTCGCGCCCAAGAAGGAGCGTCCAGCGGTGATCGAGGAGCGTACGGGCCTCATCCAGTTCAGAGTGGTGACCAACGACGATGACCACGAGTCGATGATCTTGCTCACGGGACTCAAGAACATCTTTCAACGTCAGCTGCCCAAGATGCCTAGAGAATACATCTCGCGTCTCGTCTTCGACCGCAACCATCAGAGCGTAGCCATCGTCAAGCGCGGATTGCAGGTGGTGGGAGGCATCACGTATCGACCGTTCAAGCAGCGTACTTTCGCCGAGATTGTCTTCTGTGCCATCACCAGCACAGAGCAGGTGAAAGGGTACGGCTCGCACCTCATGAACCACGTCAAGGATCACGTCAAGGCCTCATCGCCCGTCATGCACTTTCTCACGTATGCCGACAACTACGCGATTGGCTACTTCAAGAAGCAGGGTTTCACCAAGGAGATCACGCTGGATCGTTCCATTTGGGTCGGATACATCAAGGATTACGAGGGCGGCACGCTGATGCAGTGCAGCATGGTACCACGCGTCAAATATCTCGAGGTGCAAGACATGCTCGCAGCGCAGAAGGAGGCGGTACTTGCCAAGATTCGGAGCATCAGCCGGTCGCACGTGGTGCACAAAGGCCTGCAGGTGATGCACGACCGCGATCGATTGATCAAGCTCAAGGGACTGATCGAGAATCCAGATGGAACCGTGGCCAAGCCAGAACGCGCGGCGAAGCGAGATCAGCACCACGGCGAAGAGGATCCGACGGCCACATTCTTGGTGGATCCGTCCGAGGTGCCAGGCTTGAAGGAGAGCGGCTGGACGCCCGAGATGGACGAACTGAGTCGACGTCCCAAACGAGGGCCGCACTTTGCCGTCATGCGACACATTCTGGTGGAGCTCAACGGACACGGAAGCGCATGGCCGTTCGTCAATCCTGTCAACGGAGACGAGGTGACGGATTACTACGATGTGATCAAGAATCCGATGGATCTGTCGACGATGGAGGCCAAGCTGGAGAACAACCAGTACGCCAATGTGGATGAATTGGTTGCCGATGCTCAACTCATCTTTGACAATTGCCGATCGTACAATCCAGCCTCGTCGCCGTATGCCAAGAGCGCGACCAAGCTGGAAAAGTTTCTCAAGGAGACGCTGTTGCCCAAGGTGCAGAGCTCGCTATGATGTACGTCGATCCGCAACTTGTATTTGTACTAATGAACTGTGTCTTGACACGCTGCAACAAGGCGAGAGCATCAAGTGTATCGCGAAAGCGAGAAGACTGTGAGCGGACAGGATGCGGACCGGCCAGGCCCTTCCGAAATCTTTGAGTGTGTACTGTACAAGGCAGGGCCAGGGTTGTTGATGTGCTCGTCGGCTTGTTCGCGGCCGCACCGCCGCAAGCGCTATGACGAAATCGCTGAGATATTCCAACCGCGTCTTCTACTTATTATACTACTCGAATCGGCAATCAACAGCGGTCTCCAACGCTTCTAGTGAGCGTCGGATGACGACGAGCTAGTTGGATCATCTTGGTTGCATCTGGCTGCAATTCCAACTGATGAGAGCGTTGCGATGGACACGAGCCGGTTGGTGTTGTGAACCTGTGTGAACTGAATGGTGCATGGTTCATAGAGCAAAGGCAATTCCGAGGTCTCGTATTCGCAGCCAAATTCGACTCGGCACGCTCTTTCAGCTGTGCCTGAATTGGAAGCCGACGCTGCCTGTGTGCTGAACTCCGAGACTGAACGTCGTGTGGGCTTAAGCCTCTCGACGGTCTCGTCTATGTTCCCACCTACACTCAAGCTGACTTGCTTCGTACGGCATTCGTCGACTCAGTCTCGTCGCATCGGCCACGTATACGCGCTGTCTCCTACGACCACATCGACACACGCCTCCGCATTGGCACCCGAACATCCATCCGCACGAGGGCTCGAACCATCTCGCACTTTCCATCCGCGTCCCATCTTGCCAGAAAGGGCGCCTACGCTTCGGACGCCCACTAGACAGTCAAGCTCTACATTCTTCAGAGGCTACCGGCAAGCGCTGGGACCGAAGCTGACGCACGCCGTGGTCCGCGGCACCCTCATTCATCATGTCGAGGTAAGCAGCAATCTCCGACGCTCACCTGCAAACAGATTCGCGCACTTACACCCCTTTCTCCCTTGCTTGTCGCTCTCACGGCTCCAATCTGCCGTTTCTCTAACAGCTACGACAAGGTCGTCAAAGGCGCCACCAAGCCAAAGTCGGGGGGCATCAAGCCAAAGTACATCGACCCTATCATTGCTACCACCTTTGCCACGGATGGCTCCCTCCAGGATGTTTGCAGGGCGCTCGGCAACCGGCTGCGAGAGCCAAACGCCAACGTCGTGCTCAAGTCTCTTGTCATTCTACACACCATGATCAGGAACGGCGAGGTCGACAACGTGCTCAGTCACCTCTCCTCCGACAACGGCAACATTCGTCTGCGTAATGTTTCTTCAGGCGGCTGGTCAAGCCACTCGGCGCCTCAGACCCTTTCCGTATACGCACAATACCTCGATGAGCGCGTTCGCGCCTACCGCGACCTCAAACACGATGTCATTCGCTCCTCGGACCGTTCCCGTGCCCATTCCAACGGAGCTAGCAACAGCAATCGCCTGCGCAAGCTTTCAGTCGACAAGGGTCTGCTGCGCGAGGTCTCTTCGACACAGAAAGTCGCCAGCGTTCTCATGCAGTGCTCCTTCTTCCTCGATGATCTTAACGACGATCTCATCATGGCTGCATTCCGCATGACCCTCAAAGACCTTCTCGCCATCTACACCGCCATCAACGAAGGTGTCATCAACATCCTCGAGCACTATTTCGAAATGGCCAAGTCCGACGCCGAGCGTGCGCTCGAGCTCTACCGACGCTTCTGCCGTCAAACCGAAAATGTGGTTGCCTTTCTCAACAGCGCCAAGAAGGCCTCTCACAGCCTCAACCTCGCCATCCCTTCGCTCAAGCATGCACCCGTCTCGCTTGCCGGTGCTCTCGAAGAGTACCTCAAAGATCCCAACTTCGAACAGAACCGCAAAGAGTACAAGGAGAACAAGCGCATCGCAGACGGGACTCCATCCGCATCCACCGCTCGACCCACTTCCACCATCTCTGCCGCCGTACCCAAGAGCACTTCCGAGAAGAAGATCACCATTCAGGAACCCGATAAGCCTGAGCGCAAGGTGAAACCTCCCACTGCCAATCAGGACCTCCAGGACTTCTTCGCCAGCATCGACAACGACGGCGGTCAGAACATCTTTTCCAACGTACCAGCAGAGCAGAGCTTCTTCCTCCAGGCTCAGCCCACCGGTATGATGGGCATGAACGGCGGCGGAGGATTCGGCGGCATGGGCATGGGTATGGGCATGGGCGGTCTGCAGCCGCAGATGACCGGTTACAATCCCTTCATGGCGCAGCAGCAGACTGGCATGCAGATGCCCATGCAGCAGCAGATGACCGGCTTTGGCGGCATGCAACCTCAGATGACGGGCTTCGTGCAGCCACAAGCTACCGGCTTCAACCCTTTCCGGCCGTCGGTCATGCCGCAGCCCACTGGGTTCGGTGGTCCATTCGGCGCTTTTGATGGTCAGTCAAGTATGTTCAACCAGCAGCAGCCACAACAACAACAACAACAACAGCAGCAGCAGCAGCAGCAATCGGACCAGGCTTTCCAGAGTCTTCAACCTCAGCACACCGCCACTCCTTCGCAGCCCCAACCCCCATCGCAAAGGGGCTCGAACAATGCCTTCGGCCAAGCAGCAAACCAGCAATCGTCGGCTCTGCCGTCGTTCAACTCTGCATTCCAGACCCAGACCAACGGTCAAAACGGGCCATCCCAGTCCGCGAGCCCAGCCAAGCCGCTTCTGCCGCAGAAGACCGGCTCCCGCAATCCTTTCGCGCCTCCGCCTGGCTCTACCCCTCCGCCAGCCTCACCTCCCGCACCTCGCGGTCCTTCGCTGAATCAACTCGCTATGAGCGCGTTCGGTCAGCCCAATGGCGGTCACTATGGCCTCGGCGCCAGTGCGTGGGATGGCAGCGATCCCACTGGCAGAAACAACCATCAACAGCAGCAGCAGCAGCAGCAGCAAACCCCGAATGGATCGGGTCTGCTCGCACCTCAGAAGACAGGACTCATCGGCAGCATCGCTTCCGAATTCGCCTTCCAGAATCAAAATACATCGAACAAGGCCTCTGCAGGATCAGCTCTCGGCGGCAATAGCACTCCAGGTGCGGTATCGACGCCGACGGGTCAACCTAGTGACTTGTCGTCGCAGCTGGGCAGCATGTCGTTTGGAGGGAGTGCGTCTTCATCGGTGCCTCAGCAACAGCAGCAAGCGTTGCAGCCGCAAGCGACCGGATTTGGCGGGAGCGCGATCCGACCTTTCAAGCCAGAATCGTCGTTCGGCGCTAGTCTCGCCGGCAACCCTCAGTTTGGCAGTACCGCGGTTAGCAGTCCAGGAGGAGGTGGGATTGCGCCTCAGATGACAGGCAACCCATTTGCGCGCATGGCGAGCCCTCAACCTCAGCAACAGCAGCAGCAGCAGCCGCCTTTGCAGCAATCTTTCACCGGCATGGGAGCGTTCAACAGCGGCAACTTTGGTAGCTCGACGAGCGGGGTTCCTGCGAGCAGTTCTGGTGGTGCGTTGAGTGCGTTCAATTCCGCATTCGGTGGTGCGACAAGTCAACAGCCTCAGCAGACTGGGACTGCTCAGTTTGGTGGAGGCAGCGCGTTCGGTTCGACCAATGCGTTCGGCGGTCAACAGCAGCAGCAGCAGACGGCGCAGCTGCAGCCCCAACCAACAGGCTTCGGAGGATCGGCGATCAAGCCCTTCCAGCCATCGTCGGACTTTGGCAAGAGCATCAGGGATAGTGAGCAGCCGAATCTGCTGCAATTCTGAGCCGACGAGGCGCGGTGCAAGTCGTGTAGAATCTAGAGGTGAAGCGATTTGTGACACGTTTGACATACTTGGGTTGTGTGAAAGTTCGTGACATGAGCTGCGTGTGTGATAATGTCTCGAATGTGGGTGGAGAGCGGTGACACGATACCTCGATGTCTACGGGTGTGTCACACAAGTCATTTGAAGAGGTTCTCGCAGGCTTTCAGTGATCTTCGGGGAACGAGACGACGGTGGTGTGCATCTGTTCCGCACAGCGAGACTGAGCAGGTTTCTACCAGAAGCGGACTTTGCTGACAAGTTGCAAGGACACTGCGGATCTCACCGTGACGCCGACATCAGTGAGCAGTCCGGCTGTTAGCGGGAGAGACGATCGATTGCGCGACCCTTTAACTTGCAGAACAAAGGCCCAGGCAACTTCGGGGTAAGATCAAAGTCATACGCTGGATGCATTCCGGCTGCTTCATTGGTCATTCAGTACAGCGACATTGGACAAGTGTCGTTCGAGAAGAGCAGAGTTCTGACTGAGCTCAAGTCGTTGCCCAACCGAGCTTCTTTCGCGTTCTTCTGGCGAGCTTGCAAGGCCAGCACCGCAGTCAAACTACAGGCAATCCTTATCCTGTACAAGCGATGCAAAGGGCACTTTGTCTTGCTGCTTCCGCAAGGTCTGGGTGCAGTTTCTCACAAGTCAAGCTTGGCCTGCACCTGTTTCTGAACAGCACGATTGACTGAGATCTATCTGCAAATCAAAATTCTGGACAAAGGAAAATCTCTGTTGCAGATACTGTAACAAGCGTTTGTCCAGACTGCTGCTCTGGTTGCCAGCAACAAAAAGAGCTCCTCAAAGCCGCGCTGAACATCGCTGCAGATTGCCTTGATTGGATCGACATACATGTGAACATTGGCAATTGAGCACCATGCCACTCCTGAATTGCACTTGTCCTTCCTCTTGTTTGATGCCCAGCAGCCACAACAATAACCCGTGTTTGACAAGAGTGGATCAGGACCATTGCACAGGTGATGCAACTTGTTGCAATCACAAATACTGCACTTGTGGGTGTGGCATGGCATGCACACATCCCAGTGATGTGCCAACAGCAGGATTTGCACCTGCTGAAAGGATGTCAGCATGCAGCTATGTTCAACAAATACATTGCCAAGTATCTTGATGACTTTCTCCTTGTTGCTTGCTTGCATCAGATTTTCAATTTAAATCTGCAGCTTGACAAGGGTAGAGGAGCTGTCATTGGTGGAGCCAGTGCATGTTGTCTGTTGGTTTCCTTGACCAAGAGCTTCATTTTGAAAATTGTGTCCGCGTACTTTGAGATGTGCAAGAGCAAGAGCCATGCAGCTCTGCAATTGCACTTGCCCTTCTTCTTGTTTGATGCAAAGCAGCCACAACACTTACACATGTTTGATGTGAGCAGATCAGGACCATTGCAATTGTGCTTGCATCAAACAGCTTTGACCGTCCATTCACCCGCCGTTTGGATGATGTCTTTGTAGGGCTTGAGGGTGGGGTCTGGACCTCGATTGTGTCAAGCCATGATCAAACAATCTGTTAAACCTTCGAACTCTTCGAAGCGTTCAGCATCTTCTGCAGTGCAATCAGCCCACACAGGGATTCACAGGGGTGCGCCAAACAAGTCGATGCACACAAAACCGTCCACCAGGTGAGATGGACTAACAGGAGCTTTCCCCTTGTCCCACTTCCTCTGGAGCTTGCGAACAATGCGAGGTGGGTACGTTCGCACGCGGTCGAGAGGACCTTCCAACAGACCACAGTAGTATCTGTATACTTCAGATCGGCTTCCTTGACCAACAGCTTCAGTTTCAGGATTGCATCTGCGTACATCAAGACGTCTGAGTTTGAGAACCAGGCGGTTCCTGAGTCGCACTTGCCCTTCCTCTTGTTTCATGCCAAGCATCCACAACACTTACACATGTGCGGCGCAAGCGGATCAGGACCATTGCACTTGTGCTGCAACTTCTTGCAGTCACAAGTCGCGCACCTATGGTCTTGGCACAGCTTGCATTTGACCCAGTGCCGCATCAACAGCAAGATCTTTGCGCGCTGGTAGTTTGTCAGGTTGCGGACCTGTTTGACCTGCGTTTGGCAGAGCATCTGCACGGCCTTCTCCTGTTCGCCTGCCTGCATCAGGTTTGCAACCTCAACCTGCAGTTTGGCAAGGCTGGAAGAGGCGCGTGCTTCACTGCTGTTGCTGTTGTTGTCATCGTCTTTTTGGTTTCTGACGCAGTGCTGTTGGACTCTGTTGCTTTGTCACTTGTGCTGTCTGTGTCAAGTACAGCAGGCACCTCACAGGGAGCATACTGCATGGAAATTGGCACAGGATGGGGATTGTCTTGAGAGCTCATGGCAACTGCTGTTCATGTTAGGAGTAAATTACAAAGAAGATGAGTCTGGCACTCTAGACAAGCTGCATGAACATGTGCAGGAACTCCTTGGCAAAGGCAACCTTTGAGGAGCCTTCGATAAGATGAAGGGCTTCACTGTCATTTGAAAGGATGTACTCCTTATCCGCCATTTCACGGAGTGCGGACCATGCCAAAGGACCACGTGCAGGAAAGCGGACTGTGATCATCCGCACCACTTGTGTAACGGTCCCTTGATCCTCAACAGCATCGGGTTTCGTTGCCTTTCATGTCGCATTTTGAACAGAAAGTGCTACGCAGGCGAGGCATGGTTCCGACCTCACAATGTTACTGCGTTCAAGCAAGCCATCTTCAACGATGATCTCAGCCTCGACGACGCCGATTGTTACGCCCACGACGCGACGGCAATTGCCAGGGATCGGGAACCCACACATCGGAGGGCCGATACCGGTGTACCCTTGCTTGACTGCGGCAAAGACACCACCGGGGAGGACAAGTAGTCCAGTGGCTCCACCGGATCCCATCTGTCCCTCCCCGTCGATTGTATTTTATTCTACACTCCCGTAGGACAAAATCCTAGACCTGATTTGACTGAGTTCCTCTACCAACGCCGCTTGCGACGTACCGGACCACCGCGCCCGGTAACCCGCCCCTGGCCTCACTCTCCCACCCCCGGACCTTGAGGTCGTTAGACCCCAGGGGCATAACACCGATCTCAAGGTCTTCGGAAGCAGGAAAAATCAGCTTGGTGGACCCCTCGATCTCAAGAAGGATTACTTGAGCGAATTTGTGTCTCGACTTAGGACAATTTGGGAGATGCAATCTTCGCGCAACCCTAGTCGAAGGCATGAACCATCCTTCAAGATCTACAAGATGCAGGGCCACCATCTGGTGTTGAGACCGTGTGGGTGTTACGCCCACGGCGCAACTGGGATTGCTGGATATTGGGAGACCGCAAATTGGAAAGCCAATCCCAGTACAGCCTAGTTTGACTGCGGCAAGATCACCACCAGGGAGAGGCCTAAGGTCCGGTGGCTTCACCGGACCGCACCTTGCTCTCCCTGTTGGTTGTATTTTATTCTACACTCCTGTAGGACAAAATCTTAGACCTGATTTGATTGAGTTTCCCACCAATGCCGCCTGCAATGTACCGGAACACTGTGCCTGGTACCTTGCCCCTGGCCCCACGCTTCCCCCACCAAACCTTGAGGTCTTCAGACCCCAGGGGCATAACAGTGGTACCAGACCGCAACAAACGGAGCTCGTCCAGATTCCCCAAGTTGCAAGCTGACCGAAACAGCACTCGGCAATCAGCACGCGGCAGATCGTCATGCAATTCCTCGCCCTGCAGTTGAGTTCAAGCCTCTGATTCGGCCCCTCTCCTCTGTTTGAACTGTACACACTCCGGCGACTGAGCTTTCAAGCTGCTGAACAGAGCGTCGATCGAACGCCATCACGTAGCGAAGACTCGTGCTTGTCGAAGATCTCCACAGTCCTAGAGTCGCACTCGTCCTCCTTTGTTTGATTCGAGCACGCTACACAACGAGCCACAATCAACAACGAACATTCTGTACACTTTATTTACAATTCTACTGTCTGCCTACCGTCTGAGAGAGCATCCCATCGCCGCTACACTCACATCTCCTCGAGCGCATCCTGCAGCAACCCGACGAACTTCGCGACGAGTTTTGGCAGCTCAGCCTCGCGCACAACACTCGTCTTGGCTTTGATCGCGACGTCCAACCCGCTGTCCTTGAGGACGACATCAAGGTTGACATCGGGCTGCCAGATCGCCGCGTGCCTTGCCACTGCTTTCGCCTCCTTTCCACGTACGTCCTGTGCGGTGACTTTCTTGCTGTAGTCGAGCGGATGTCCCAGATCCACCGGCTGTAACAACGTCTCCTCTTCCACTTCACTCTCCTGCTGAGCGATCAGGATGTTGACAAAAGTATTGTAGCTCGCCTCGTCCTCCTTGAGACCTGCCCAACGGTGTGCATCGACTAGATCGGTCTGTTCAAACTTGCCGCGAGTCTTGAGCTCCTGCACTGCCGCTCGGGCTCTGTCGACCATCGAGCCACCGCCAAGCTGGATAGGCAAGCAGTTAAGCAGAGGACCTTGCACCTTTTCGATCGAGTCGAACGATGTCGATCGACCCAGTTGGTACAGGCCAAAGACCGGCGATCGCTCAGACATTCGCTCGGACAAGAGCGTCGACCAAGCAGCGACGACGAGAGCGGGCAATGTCAGGCCTGCTTTGCGCAACTTGATGTCCACTGCGGGAGACACCTCGATGGCGTTGTGCTGAGCGTGGAACGCGTCGCCCTCGACACTGCTGCTTTCTCCCGCCAACAGTCCCTTGCTTGCCGGTGAGATCGCGTCAGACCAGTATTTCTGTGCATCGCTTCTAGCGGCCAGTTGGTCTGCTGCAATGTGCTCTACAGCCTGTGGCCACTGGTCAGGGCTGACGACATCGCCGCCGGTGTACAGCGAGGAGAAATCGCGAACCATAAAGTCGATGGAAAAGGCGTCGTAGAGAACGTGGTGAAGAGAGAACACGACGATGTCACCGACTAGAGTCAATTGAGCAGGTGGCCTCGTGAGATCTGACCACCCTTCCGCTGCACGACGGCCGACGACCTCCTTGGCCGCGTGTTCCGCATCTTGGGCCTCTACCTGCACCTCAGCGAAGCCAGCATCGGCCGAGACAGAGCCAGACTTGAGCACGACCTGAGCGGCACTTCCATCCTGTCCCAGCAAAAAAGCGGTGCGGAGGATGGGCTGTAGCTGTCTCAGCTTCTGCCAGACCGCTCTAACTTTGTCTCTCTTCGCGCCGTCCAGCCGATAGGCGAAACTGAAGCCACCATCTCCTCGCTTGGACTGCGCCCACGTTGCCAACCACAGCTTCTGTCCAGCCAGGATTGGCAGTACGCGCTCGATCTGGTCAGCTTCGACCGCGAGACCAAGCGCCACCTGCTTGGCCAGCTCGGGGGACACGTTCGGAGCACCATTGGCATGACCATGGCCGTTGACTGTTCCATTGGCTTTGGCGCCGTTCGCTCGAGACAGTCCAGAGAGAATACCGTCAATGGTCTCGCCAGCCACAATTTCGCCCATACGCAGGTTGATGCCAGCCTTGCGAGCCTGTGAGGCTATGCGAATCGCCGAGATCGAGTCCAAGCCGAGCTGAGACAAGCGGGTATTGCCGTGCAAGTCTTTCTCTTCGATGCCGGCAACTTTGCTGATGATGGTGGCGAGCTTGCGTCCATCCTCGCTGAGAGGACGTCCAACACCATTCTGCCTGGCGCTATTTGAGCTGCGGGCGCCATTGACAGCGTCAATGTTGGGCAGGTGTTCCGGGAAGCGGGTGTCGCCGAACACGTCTGGCAAAGCCGAGATCGGCTGCTCGACTTGCTGGAGAAGATGCTGCAGCAGGGCCTCGAGTTGATCGACGAGGCTCGCAAGCGCTTCCTGGTCATAACGGTTGCGATCGGCCTTGACTACGATCGACATACGACTCGGTCCCTGCACAAAAGCAACGTTGAGCGTATATTGGGCTCGATCGGTGCCGTCATCGTTCAACTCGAGCGGCTTTAGCTTGCTCTCGTCCTCATCGTATGACCTTTGATAGTCGAACAGAGCATCGAACAACTGTCCACGACCGTGCTTGGCTTGCACATCGCGGAGCGCTGCACGTCGATGTGGTCGTCCAGCATCATTGGCGGCTTGAAGCGCTGCTGCAAAGCCTTTGACAGGCTCGTCGAGCTGCTCGAAGCGGATGCGAGTGGCAACAGTGTTGAACGCTGGTCCAACAGCGGTATCGGCTTCGGGCATCAGGTCGAGCAAACCAAAGAGCTGACCAAAGCAGACGTCCCGCGTTTGGGTCTCGATGGCCAACATCTTTCCAAAGGCAAGGTTCGCAAGCACCTGGGGCGAGACACCGATGGCGCGGCAGCCTGACTCGAGTTCCTGCGAGGAGAGCGCAAGCTGCCTCTCGAGAAGCACAGCTGCACCGCTCTGACCAGATCGCTCAGCGAGCGGCTTAGGCTGGAACTCTCGCATCGTGTCAACCCAGTGCTGTACGTCCTCCTCCTGCGATAAGAGCGAGGGCACCAACTCGTGGAAGGGCAGACGCACGGGCAAACGTGCTTGATCATCCGTGATGAGACCTTCGAAGTCTTCAAGCAGCTGTGGCAGCGAACTTCCATCGTACAGAGCGTGATGGATGCTCAGGAACATAACAATCTTGCGGTCTTGGGACCAGAGATGAAGAGCACAAGACGAAGTGCGGAAGGCCTGCTCATCGTCGAAACACGGCTGTCCATCGATTGCATCCAATGCTCGGCCTTGGAAGCTGCCAGAGTGCTCGATGATATGCGGCGCGCTTGTCGAGTGCACCGCTTGCGCCCAGGGATGTGCGCCATCGACGGGATGGAAGGTCGTTCGGAGGATGTCGAGACGCTCGACGAGCTTGTGCCATGCGGCCACGACCTTTTCTTTGGACGAAAGACCTCGCAGCTCGAAGGCATGGTGGTGGAAGTACAGACGACCACCTGAGGCTAGCGACTGGGCGATCATGCCCGACTGCAGTGGTGTGCAGGGCAAGATGGACACGATCGAGTCCTCGTCCGACCACTTCCATCCCTCTTTGTCCGCCACCACATTGGTATGTTCCACCCACTGTTTGAGCGCATCGCTCTGCTGTTCCTGGTCAGAAGTAGGAGACGATCCCTGCTTCTCCGCAAGCGCAGCAATGTTCGGAGTGCTGAGGACATCTGCGACAGTAAAGGTGAACCCGTCTGCGCGCAGCTCCTTGACGAGACGGATGGCAGAGATCGAATCGATCCCGAGGCGATGGAACGAGGTGGTCCTTGCGATCTGGTCTTGTGGCACGTCGCAGAACTTGGACACAAGCTCGCGCAGCTTCTGTTCCGACTCTGACCATGCTTGGTTGGAGACGGCGCCTTCTCTCTTTGCACCAAGCGATCGGAGCAACGATGCATCCAAGCGCTCGTAGAACGTCGCCAGCGCCGTGTGGTCGATCTTGTTGTTGTGTGTGAGTGGCAAAGCGTGACTCACTGCGATCCAGTGCGTGGGCACCATGTACGCCGCTAGCCGCTTGGCGGCTTCTTCTTCGAGGCGTATGCATAGCTCGATGGCCTTGTCATCTTCACGAACGCCCACCTCGCCCTGTTTGCCTTTCGAGTCGGAGGCACTCACAAACGCGACCAGCTGCTTAGAGCCCATCGAAGGATGTTTGAGGTACTGAACGTCCGCGTCGTGAACACCGGGTTGAGCCGAGATGACCGACGAGACTTCATCGAGCTCCATGCGCTGTCCGTTGACCTTGACCTGACGATCGGATCCGATGCGACCGAGACACTCGACCGTGTCGTCTGCCAAGAAGCGTCCGAGGTCTCCGGTGCGGTAGACCCGTGTCCCATCCTCTAGCAAGATGAACTTTTCGGCGGTGAGCTCTTCGCGACCATAATAGCAGTCGGCCAGCTGTGGTCCGCCGACAGCCAGCTCGCCGATAGCGCCGGAAGGCAAGATGCGGTTGGAGTTCTCCTTCAGCACGAACATCGACGACGATGGATAGACGCGTCCGATGAGGTTCCTCGTGGCTCCGGTCTTGACCTGTCCAAGCGTGTTGCCGATCGTAGCTTCGGTCGGTCCCCAAGCATTGATAAGGAGTCGATTGGCTTGGTTCCATTCATCGACGACGCGAGAGTCGATCACATCGCCTCCGCTCATCAGCCACTCGAGCTGCACATCTTCGGGATGCACCGTGCCCGCAAGCGCAGCGGGCAGATCGGCAATGGTGATGCCCAAGTGCTTGATGGAATGCGTGAGGTCCTCGAGCAGCTCCTGCTTGGGTGCAGTGCCGATAGAAAACCCGAGCGAGAGTGGCATGCACATCTCGATCAGACAGACGTCGAACCCGATGGACGCGAGCTGCAGGAAACGAGACTGGCGAGTAAAAGGCAGGATTCGCTCCCACGAGTACAGAGCTCCAGCAAGAGCGCGCTGATTGATCTGCACCGCCTTGGGCTTGCCCGTCGATCCTGAAGTGAAGAGCAGGTAGCAAGCAGCATCGAGGTTGGGCGTCGGGAGCTCCTTTCCATTCGGTGGCGGCACGATGAGACCTTCAAGCTCGAGCAATTCACATGCGAAGCCCGACAGGTTGTCCTTCGTTGATCGACTCGCTACGACAGGGCAATCTCCTACGGACTGAATCATGTACGAGAGGCGCTCTGTTGGCAGAGACGGATCGAGCGGTAGGTAAGCTTTACCGGCCTTCCAGATTGCCAGGATGGTTGCATAGAGCTCGGGACCTTCCTTATTGAGATGAACGCCAATGAAGCGACCTTTCTTCTGCACTAGGTTCAGGGCGATGTTACGGCTGAGTGAATCCAGCTCGGCGTACGATGTCGTCTGTGTAGGCTGCTGCATGGAAGAAGCGAAGACGATTGCCGGTGCTTCTGGAGAGCTTTGCGCATGCTTCTTGAAGCGTGCAACGATCGTCTCCTCTGGATCGGTGGGGACATAGCATTCCTTGTTGAGGATGGAAAGCTGCTTTTCGTCAAGCGTCGCAGCTTGCTTTGCCCCTACGAAGGTGGCAAGGATGCCTTCGTACTGTGAGAGCATCCGGTTTGCTTGGTCGATAGGGAGCGAGCGAGCGTCAAAGGCGAGATGCACGTTCACGGTATCCCCAACAGCGCTGACCTCGAGCGCTAGCGGATAGTCGCGTTCCATTTGACTGTCTCCCTCTGAGAAGATGTTTCCATCTGAACTCGAGTCAGACTGTCCGAGGTAGGAGAAAAGAGCTTCGAAAGGCGCTTTCGAAAGGTCCAGCCAGCGCATCAGCTGCGGCAAAGATACGTGTTGGTGGGGAAGCGTCGCGTTGACCACTTGATGAGCTCGCATGCAGAATTCCGAGGGCAACTTCGATCTTGCTTCAGTGAGGCGGAGCGGCACAGTTGTGACGCAAGGTCCGTGAATCGACTCAACACCATCGACAGGGATACTTCTGCCAGACAGCACGAGTCCAAGGGTGACGTCGTCCTCTCCGACATAAAGCCCGAGGAGCTGAGCATAGGCTGCGACCAAGAGAGACTGCACCGTCACCTTGCTGGCTCGGGCTGCCTTTTCCAATTGAGTAAAGGAGAGGCTTGACGAAACGGTGAGCTCTTCGCTGCGGCTTGTGTTGTACTCGGGACGTACGCCCGTCAGGTTGGGCACGGCAGTGAACGAGAAGCCATCGAGCGCCTCGGTCCAGAATTGTTTGTCTTCCTTCTCCTTCGCGTCGCCAACGATGCAGCGAACGGCTGCCCGGAATGGCAGCGCAGACTCGTCCCGCGACTTGGCGGTGAGACGGTCCGACGCCTCCTTGAGAAGCATGCGGACGGAATCGCCGTCGTAAATTGCATGCGAGCATGTGAGAGTGAGCGCAGCTTTCCCACCCTGCCAGAGCTTAAGGCGAAGAGGGGGGACGCTGTCGATCTTCGCGATGATATCCTTAGCTGTCCGAGAATGGTAGTCGGCAAGCTTGTCGGCCGATGGAAGCGGCTGCGAGGAAGTTGACCAGCTCGAAGACAAGCTGTCGGGGGGTAAAATTACTTGCACAAGCGTGCGATCGACCTCGGCAAACACCGTGCGGTAGATCTCATGTCGGGATAGCGTATCCAACCAGGCAGTGTGGATCTGCTCGACAGAGAAATTATCACTCTCCAAAGCGATCGTCATCGTGGTTATGTAGCGGGGTGTGTCGCGATCGTCCGAAATTGCCTGCGAGACGAGAGCAACTTGCATCGGCACACACGGAACGGCGACCTCGATCGAAGTCTGGCCGAATTGTGGTAACGATCTTGCCTTATCGGTCAGATCCGCTACCTTCTGCTGCCACTCGGTATCAGCAGTGCCGTCCGATGATCGCTCATCCTTGCGCTGGCTCGCAATAGCCTCGATGGTAGGGGCGTTCATGATGGAGGAGACCGAAGCGTCGTAGCCGTGCTTTCGCAGCTTGCTAGCAAGAGTGACGACTGTCAAGCTGTCCAAGCCTGCCATGATGAGATCGAGATCATGTGTAAGCTTTGCATTAGAAGCAATGCGGACGCTGGAGCGAACGAGATCGGCAACCGCCTGCTCATTGCTGGTCAAGTCTCGTTGCTGGGACTCGTCAGAACCTGAAAGCGTCGAGAGCTGACCGGACGGGATTGATTGATACAGTTCCTTGAGCAATCGTCGGTCTGCCTTGCCTGAGAGGGGCGAGATGGGCAAGTAGGTCAACGTGAGCACGAGGGACGGCACCATGTACTGAGGCAGACGGCCTCGCACGCTTGTCCTCAACTTGGTCGCCAGTTCGATAGCGTCGTTCGACTCGACTAGCAACGCAGGGGGCCCCGCAGCGTCGCTCTGCTTTGTTCTGGCGCTTTCTGGTGCGTAGAAAGACACCAGTCGTGCGGCTCCTTGGATCTCGGGATGATCCGCGTGAATCGTTACAGCAGTACCTTCCGACCCAAGGTCCTCGTTCAAGGAAGCTGTGAGTGCAGTATCCACCTCTCCAAGCTCGAGACGGGCTCCCCTCACCTTGACCTGCGACCCATCCATGCGGCCTAGATACTCCACTTCGTCGGTCGGATGCAGACGCACCATATCTCCAGTGCGATAGATTTGGTGACCGTTGAAGTGAGTGAACGAGGAAGCGTCCGAGCGGTTGAGGTAGCCCTTGGCGACCTGTTTGCCTCCAATGCACAACTCGCCCGGCTCACCGCGCAGGGTCGGTACAAGGTCTCCGTCGACCTCTTTGAGAACAAGGTACTGGGTGCCAGGGAACGGCGCACCGACGTTGCTGGGGCGTGAAGTCTTGCTAACACGAGCAACCGAGTTGCCGATCGTGGCCTCGCTTGGTCCATAGGCGTTGAGCACCACTGGCCGTTCCGCACCTTCGCTTCCCCACATCTGACAGAGATCCTGCGTGAGGGCCTCGCCACCGATGATCAGCACTCGCAGCGAAGGCACCGCGCTTGGCTCGATACGTTTTCCCTTGCTGAAGAAGAGCGAGGGCACCACACAGGCGTGCGTGACCTCGAGCGTTGACATGGTCCTGGCAATATCGTCGTGAATCAGAGCGCGAGGACCTGTGACAATGGTCGCACCCATCCGCAACGAGAGGAAGATCTCGAGCAAGTGAACATCGAACGCTTCTGCAGATCGAGCGAGAAACCGTGCGGGACTCTCAAACGAGCCGGGCGCCTCTTTCTCGTAGTTAAAGTGAAAGCCTTCAATCGCAGCAGTCAAATTCGCCTGGGTCAACAGACAACCCTTGGGTTTACCCGTCGATCCCGAGGTGTAGATGATGAAGGCTACATCGTCGGCCCGCAATGGCACGGGGTCGGTCACCTTGCTGTCCTTCGTCGCGTTCTTGAATTTGTCCGAACTGGTGTCGAGCCTTTGAACATCGGCATAGTCGGCGTTTAACCCCGAGGTTATGAGCATTGCGGCGCCGCTGTCTTTGATGAGCTCCCTTTTACGATCCAAGGGAAGCGTCGGATCGAGGGGCAGGTAGGCGTGGCCCGCTTTGAGGATCGCGAGCGGCGCAATGTAGCTCTCTAGGCTGCGCTCGAGACAGACACCAACGACCGAGTTGCGTGGAAGATCAGCCAGAAGACCCGCAACACCGTTGCTGGCATGCTCGAGTTCCGCGTACGAAAGCACTGCAGTGGGCCTGCGAGTGGAAGGCGAGTCCGACAGCTCTTCGTAAATCTCGACTGCTTTCCTCTTTTCGGAGATGGCTCGCTTGTGGAGCGAGGCGGCGACACCCTCGAAGGCTTCGGACGCGGGCTGGTCTTGATCGATCGTTGTGGTCAGCGAGAACAAAGACGAGCCTTGATCTGCAGCTTGAGCGCCATGATACAAGAAAGAGCCGACACTGAGGTCGAGTGAAGAGCACAGCATCGAGAGGCTGCGGTCGAACTGCTCGAGCATGATCTTGCCGAAACTCTCGCTGATGATGCTCTTCTGCCAGCTCAGGCCCAGCTTGATAGATCCATCCGAAGCCGGCAGCACCTCTACACCAAGGACGTGCTCGGTGGCAACGCCAAGATCGGCAACCTTGTCAAGGTGGAAGCCGTTTGGAGCAGAACCTTCGAGCTGCTGTGGAGCAGGCTCGAGAACAAACACAGAATGGAAGAGAGACTCTCGCGGTGGTACTTGGAGCATGCGACGAATCGCTCCCAAGTCGGTGTGCTGCGCTTCCATGATGGAAGTGTGGAACGCATCCATCTCTTTGACCAGATCGCTGAGCTTCTGGTCGGGGCGCAGCACAAACGGTACCGGCACCGTAGACAAGACGGGACCGTACACTTGATCGAGCTCGGCAGACAGTGTCCGACCCGACACCGAGTCGCCAAGGATCAAGTGTTGAGACTCTGTGTACGCGGAGAGCACCACCGCCCAAGCGGTCTGCACAAGTGGTCGGGCGGAGACGCCTAGTTCGCGACAAGCGGCTTCGACTTTGGTCCAGTCGACGTCAGCTTTCATGTAGCGCGACTGGTGCACGTTCGCCTGTTCGGCATCGATGTGAGCTGGCTTGGTCAGGGAGAGCGTCGGGAAGGCGGCGGATTCGCCTTTGGGATAGTTCGAGAGCGCCTTGTTCCAGACTCCGGCATGTCGGTGCGCCTCCTGGTCGTCGATGGGAAGGATCTGGGCGAGCGCCGCGGAGAATTGAAGTGACTGTGGCGGGTCGCGTCCCTCGTACAACGCTTCGACGTGATCCTCAAAGATGCCGAGCGATCGAGCATCGTATGTACTGTGGTGGGCTACGACAACCAACGATTCGACGGGTCCTTGCTTGACGAACAAGAAAGCGATCGGTGGTCGATAGCCAAAAGGATCGAGGTCAAGCTTGGTTCTTGTGGCGGCGAGAATCGCTTGTTCAGCCTCAGCGCCCTCTGCGAGATCTATTTGCTCGATGCGGGGGACGAACGACTTCCAAACAACTTGCAGAAAGTGAGGCTGGAAAGGCCACTGGCGTCCTTGTGAGTTCACGTCGAGCGAGCCGACATCGGTGAAGGAGGTACGGAGACTGTCGAAATGGGCAACTGTCTTGATCAAAGCCTCGGAGATGCGCTCCTGATCACAGTCACGGGGTAGCTGATACTGACGCTGGATGCGGTAGCTCGAGCTGTCCCGCTGCGACTCGGCCAGCATACCTTCCTGCAAAGGCGTGCAAGGCAGAATTGATTGGATGTCGGCATCGTTGAAACCGTCGTTGCGATGCTGAAGCCAAGCTGAGACGGCTGGACGGAAAGCAGTGTCAAAGTCGGCGAGGAAGCTGACGGACTGCTTGTTACGTTCCTGGGAGAGGCTCTGCGAGTTCTGCAGATGCTCTCCTAGAGACTTGAGCGTAGAGAAGCGCGCAACGTCCAACACAGAGACAGGATAACCTTCCTCCGAGACGCGCTTCGAGAACATCATGGCGCGGATCGAGTCGAGGCCGACGCTTGTGAAAGGGGTTTTGCGGCCAACCTTGTCAGCGTCGACGTTGCAAAGCTTGGCGAGCCACTTTCTCAAGCAAGCTTCGGCCTCGGCGGTCGCCGGATCGACGTCTTGATCGTCTCCCTCGTTAGCCAGCTTGTTCTCCCAATCGAGCTGATCGAAGGTGGCAAGCACGTTCTTGAGCGCGACGCGATCGATCTTTGCGCTAGATGTGCGAGGGAAGTGCGAGAGGATGACAAAGAGGTTGGGGACCATGTAGGAGGGAAGGCTGTCTTTGGCGTTAGCTTGCAGCTCTCGCGCCACAGCGATTGCCTCCTCATCTGTCCTGAGCAGCTCGCCTGACTGACCACCGGGCAAAGCGGAGAAGTTGATGATCTGCTGCTCGCTTTCGTAGTCTTTCTTTGGGAAAGCCATGGTCTCGGAGTCTTTGATCTTGCTGTGGCTGTTCTTGATGGCAGCGTTGATCTCAAGCAACTCGATTCGGATACCATTGATCTTGACTTGGTCGTCGATGCGTCCGAGGTACTCGAACTCTTGGTTGTCGAGTTGTCGAACCAGGTCGCCGGTTCGGTAGACTCTGCCTAGCTGTGGATGAGGGAAGAACTTGTCGGCGGTCTTGACAGGATCGCCCACATAGCCGCGAGCTAGCTGGGGCCCTCCGAGGACGAGTTCTCCTACTGCACCTTTGATTGCAACGCGGTCGTGCTTGTCAAGGGCGTGACAGGAGACGGTGGGAAGTGCAACACCGATGTTGGGTGCCTTGACACGATCGCCAAAGGGCACGCGACGGTTCATGGCGATCAGTGTAGCCTCAGCAGGACCATAGAGATTGAGGAGGCAGCAGTCTTTGCTCCACTCGTCGGCAACGACCTGACTGAGCTTTTCGCCACCAGAGATGACCACCTTGAGGCTCGGAACGCGGTGACGCTCGGTCATGGCCATCACCGCCGGTGTCAGAAGCGTGTGTGTGGGCTGGAGGCTGTTGCCCACCTCGACAAGGTCCTGAAGCAAGACGCCACGTGGACATGAGCAAATAGTGCCGCCAAGACCCCACGTGTAGAAACAATCCATGATGGAAAGGTCGAAGTTGTAGGCCGAGTATTGGAGATAACGGATCTGATCCGTGCCGATCTTGTCCTTTCCGTAAGGGATGTAGATGCGAAGGGCACGCATGGCCTGGATGATGGCGAGGTGCTGGATGCCCACGCCCTTAGGGAGGCCGGTGGTACCGGACGTCCAGATCATGTAGGCGAGCTGCTGTATTGAGCGAGCGCCGCTTGCAGAAGGTGGCGTCTGGATCTGCTGCAGCTCCGCATCGAGCTGATCGAGACGGATGGCCTTCATGCCACCTTTGCTCTTTACATCTTGGCTTTCAAGATCCTGCCGAAGCTGTTGGGAGATCTTGTCATCGTGTGTCAGGACGATCTTGGCATTCGATTTGGCGAGCAGAGCCTGTCTTCGGGAAGCGGGCCAGTCGGTGTCGATGGGACACCACGCAGCGCCCGCCTTGAGAACGCCGATGAAGGATAGGTAGGTTTCTGGACTCTTTTCGAGATAGAGAGCTACGATGTGGTCGGCTTCTGGATCCGAGTTGGCCGAGCCGATGCCGTGGCTCCAGAGAAGCTGCTTGACCTTTTCGGCGCGCTCGTTCATCTCTGCATAGGTCCATTTTGTTGACTCGCGGTCTTGCAGGTCGAAGCGGAAGTCGAGCGCGAGAGCATCCGGCTTGGAGTGGGCAAAGTACTCGAATTCGGTCTCCAGACGGTCGGCATCTCTGCCTTGAAGATGAGTCGGGTCGGGGAGATGCTGGTATTCGGTATTGTCGGATGCTCTGAGCTTCCAGTCGAAGCGCTCGACAGACAAGGCGTGCTGGTCAGGGTCAGCATGGTAGGACTGCAGAAGAGCGGCGACTTGACGCAGTTGAAGCCCTGCTGAGCTCTCAGAGTGTACAGCAGGCGCTGCCTTCATCTGAAGCTCGATGCGATTGGCGTCATTGATGTGGTAGGAAAGGGCGACTGAGACTTGGGGCTTGTCTGCTAGCTGAAGCTCTTGAAAGTGGGGGGATGATTCGTGGGTGTGGGCTGGCTGGTAGAAGGCAGCGAAGCCGTGATCCAGGTTGCCAGGCACGAGTTTTTGTTTCCTGGCGTCATCGATCAAGGAGGCGAGTTGCGAAGGAGCGAAATGGTCGAGATCCCGCTGCTCGGCAAAGTCGAGCTCGACAAGGGTCTCGTCGCCGTCTTTGGATGTGTGAAGCACCTCGACATTGGTGGCTTCGTGCGAGCCATAGTGGAAGAGGATGACGGACCAGGCCGAGAGGATGGCGAGATTGAGGTCGTGATTGGAAAAGGCCGAGATAGCGCGAGCGTCGAACCGCAGCGTTTCTTGCACTTGGAGGAGCTTGCATTGCGGGCCGACACGAGAGAAGTCAGGACCTGACGTTCGAAGACCTGTAACATCTGGAAAGGGAGCATGTGCGTTCTTGGAGGTCGACATGGTGGCAGCGATCCGAAAGTCGATGATGGAAGCCAAAGATGGGAGGTGTCCGCTGCCTGTGCCTCTGGACTATGGGAGGATGGTAGACGAGAGGCAAGCGAAGGAAGGACGGCTCATAGTGGATTCACGGAAGATCCGATCCAGAAGAAATGGCACCAGCTCGTCGTCCCTAGCAAAGCACACTGCTGCACACACCATTCGATCAAAGTAGAACCGACGCAGGCAGCCAACTTGGCACATTTAGATCAAAGCCTCCTCTCTTCTTTCCAGCATAGTCGGCTTGACGCTCCTACAGCAGTCGCATCGGAGTCCAACCGCAACGAGCAAAGACGATCTTCTTGATCCTGTTTGTGTCAAGCCCGTTGCTGGACCCTTTCTCTTTTTTCCCAATTGTGGCAGAGCCGGTTCGAGATGGGATCGACGTCGTCGTGCACGTCTCCCGCTGCTGCTGCCGCTGTGCCAGAGAAAAAGGTATGGCTGCTCGGCTAATAGCACGGCCAGCAGTGCGCTTGCCTGTATGGCCGAAAGTGGAGGCAAATCCTCACCCAGAAAGACGGAAATGAAGTCATTTTATTCAAACTAAAAATTTGTTTGTTTGCTTCGGTAGTTGGAAAACATCGATCGGACTCGCTCCGAGAGGCGATTGGGCATCCTCGTCCGCCTTGATCTTGAGCGAGTCTTCCAGCCTTCACTGTGATACATGTGATCGCTCTGACTGTGAAGCCTCTGAACTACTGCGGGAAGAGCCGCCTGCGCCGAAGCAGCCACGCATCGTCGGAATAAGGCCGACCAGCTCCACCAATTATGGAGAGCCAAACGAGGGGAGCCAACTGTGACCGAAGTGTGTAGAAAGGAGTGAGTCACTGAGCAAAGTTTGTCAATGCGTTCTGCCAACCGGTTCACAGCGAAACCGCCGCGCCATAGATGCCGCAATCGCTACGCTGTGGTTGCGGAAACGATTGTCAAGGTTGCCGACTGGCACACACCAGAGTCGCAGTTCGGTCAGCGGAGTGCTTGGAGCAAAAATTTTATCTGATAAGCTGTTGCCGCAGCCGGTACATCTCATCGTCTCGCCTACTTCATCACGTCTGTGCAGCTCATCTTGGCCTAAGAACCGTGCGCCTCGTGCAGCGCCAAGAGCGCACACTCGCATTGTCGGGATGAACCGGTAGCTACTGAGCCAATCACCTCGACGCCACGTTGAAGCAGCATGCAATCCTCTTGAAACCATCAGAAGCGAGTTGGTAGCCGAGGCGTCGCAGTGAGAACCGCAAGACGGAACCAAACCGGCATACTCGATGCATGTTTTGTGGTCATCTTATCAGATCAGATCGCAGTCAGGATGCCACGGGTCGCTGCCTTGCCTCGAGCTCCTTTCTCGGCGCAGCAAACTCCAAGGGGGACTGGCGCGGGAGCTGGGTTCTCGGGTGTACCCTGTTTGTTAATTAGAAAGAGGCTCTGACGGGATGAAGCCCATGTCCACGCGGTCGTTGTCTCAACTCTTGCGTACAAAGACGTCGGCAGTTCGGCAGCCCACGCTCATCTCTACTCTAAGCTTTGTGTTTCAGTCTTCCCTCGACGAGTTTCGCGGGCCGGCATGCAGTCAACAGAGAAGGAAAGCGGAGGCCGCCCGTAAAGGGCAAGCCGTGCGCTGCTTGCTTTAGCTCGCCAAGCCAGCGCTGAACAGCGTCGCTTGCGATTTGTGGCTTCAACGCGCTCTCCACTGCGAGACGCTGTACTTCACCTTTTTATCAGATCAAAATGCCTGGCACGATCTTATCCGATCTGCATGCAGTCACCAACGAGCCCCAACCGCAACCGACTTGCCGAAAATTCAATCATTGAATTACGCTTCAATTGATTAGGCAGAACAATAGCAACAATACAAACGTGGTCCTATCCGAGGCTTCGCCAGGCTTGGCACTCGAAGGCGTTCAAGCTTTGATTGGTCTGACGCAAAGCACGAATGGTACAAAGTTTCACACTTGTCTCTGCTCCTTGCATTCATTCCTTCGCACGCGCAGTCGCACCTTTGCTGTGCAGTCGACTTAAGGTTTGGTTTGGTGACCAGCCTCGCGAGGCGGCGGAGATATTGAACTGCATGAAGCGCTTTGCATTAGTGCAAATCTCGTCATCGGCACCATGCAGACCGTGACCGCGAAGAAGTCGGACCGCGTATGTCGCTCGCACTCTCCATCCTAATGAAGCTGACGATTTCTTCCTCCGGTGACAGGACTCAACAAGCAGCAAACAATGTTCTCTACGGCGTACAACCCGACGTGAGCCGAGGTCAGTTCGGGTCACCGCGAGCCGAGATTCGGTCCTTTCAAAGGGAGCCGCCTTTCAGTGTGACGGCTTGCGTTGTTCAAGTTCTTGCTCATATTTGAGCAAGGTCGTTCCTCATGTCGGTATTGACGGCAATAGACCGTCATCAACTCCGAGAAGTCTGACGTGCTCCGATTGGCCGTCTCTTGGCCCTTCCTTGCTGCCACTCGGAGGCATTCGTGCAGCCACATTGGTGCAGGAAATCGTATCTCATTGCCTGGCAGAAAACTCCAGTGGCACCTCGAGAGAGAATGCAAGAGGTAAGCAGGGCTTTGTGAAGCAACAAGCGATCGAGTGATCGCGCACGGCGCTCTCGGCACGCTGGCTGCAGTACTCGTGGGGAGAAGCGACGCATGATGCGGATGAAAATTTTTATCAGATTAGGCCATCGCTTCTGAGCTGAGGTTGAAAATTTCTCCATGGGCACCAGAGCAGAGGCGATTGCAGGTATCCCTCCCTCCCTGCCCTTTCCCTCGGATCAACTTGGGGGAGTTGGAGTTGCTCTGTATCGCAGTCGTCCTTGATCCGACTTTTGGAAGTTGCTCTATGGACTTTGAGTGACGCCGTGCGGCTGTACACTGCAGCAGAAGGCACCCGTCTTGTGCCACTTTTGAGAAGTGATCGCTGCGTTGATACAAAACAAGATGTTCCTCTCTCCCTCTCTCTTTTTCCCCCACATCATCGAACATTCCAAATCGCCAGACAACCTCGATAGCTCGCCCTAGGCAAACGACACGGCTACCAGCTCACATAGGTACGTACAATCAACTGTCGTCTGAGGATATTGGGCAAGTGCTGCTGGTGTATAAGGCTTGAAATAGCTATACAATACACCACTCGCTATGGACACCTCGCGAACGAGCAGCCGATCGGAACGCAGTGCGACAGCCCAAGGGATCCTTGTGACACTCGAAGCCATCGCAAGACAGAGCAAGCGAATTTCAAGAGGATGAATAAGGGCTCGGCATTTAGAAGCTTCACATGGTCAAGAGTTGCCATATCGTTTCACCGATACAAATGACATCGATCTTCGTTCGTGTCGCGTGTCGGAACGAAGGATGCTTCATCGGCGATCTACGGACTTGACAGCCTGACTCGTCCGCAAAGCCGGCGCCCTTGCCGTATGCGAGATCCTGCATTGCCTTGCGAGTACGCCGCTGCAGCGGCGATGTCAGTTCCATTGTCATCCCAGTCCGCCATCGGCCGCAGGTTCGATAATGCCCGAATTTCGGAGCCAAGTCGCCTCGTCTTCTGATCCGACGTGGTGTACAGCAGCCCGATGCACCCACATTGCTTGTAACGCAGTCGCACGCACACACTCGTGGAAAGAAGCTGACGTCTTCCAATCCCTCCACGAATCTCGCAGACGACAGTTGTGACGCCAAGATCAGTCCGCCGGAACCTACTCGAACCTTACACGGCTGTGCTCATCGTCGCAGTCTGTCTTACAACATCATCGACATGACGGCTCCATCTTCTCATGTGGTAAGTGAATGAAGTCGCTCCGACACGAAGCTAGACTGGATCGTGTTCGATGGTGGACGAGTTTGTAGCCGGCCCCGGATTCGCTTCGATCGGCTAGACGAGACAATTTCGCCGTTCAACCGCCTCGCATGAAACGAGTGGTGCATGCAGTTCATGTCAGCAGCTCGTCGCGTACTAGGCAGTCGCGGCGCTCGCTTTTAGGCGGTGTTCCGCTGGTGGGCTTCCGGAATGGAAAGCCAAGCGAGCAGAGCCGCTATGACTTCATTTCATCGGACACCGAGGGTCGAAGATCCTGCAGGCCGAGCCCGATGCCTGCGGCCTATACCTGGATTGCCGCCCTGTCCATAGGTTGGGTCCACGCTGCACAGCCGTTCCATAGCAAAGCTGGCACCTTAGTCGCAGCCGGATGGTGAGAGCTGAGGCTGGGCTCGTCGAGATTTCCATGCATCGTCCGCTCCGAATCGCGTCGCCAGCGCGTCGGGCCGTACGCTATGCTCGGCATCGTACCCAGGTGCTTCCTTCGCTCGCAGCGAACGATCTCCAGCTGCGCTACCAACTGCGTCTGCACCGCGGAACAAAGTAGCGGAGCTGGCATCTTCTAATGCCGCTCCTGGTAGTCCGAGTCGCGCTGGCCAATCAGAATCGCGCTATTTCCAAGGATCCGCATCGCCGTTGGTCTGCCTTCTCGCGCTGCCTCCAGACCCAAGCCAGCATTCCACCTTGTCTGCGAACTGTTGGGTTTGATAGCCCGGCTGTCATCAACCGAGACCGCGTCCGCAGCGTTGCAAGCCTGACACTGGTCGCAAACGGTATACACAGACGGTGGCGACGACGGCTGTTTTCGCCTCCACATGCAACTTGCGCTGGGTCGAAACAGACAGACTGCACAGCTGTCAATGAAAACAACTTGGAATTTTGGCTTTCGAGATGCGTTTGTCAGCGATCTGCTTTCGCATTCCAAATGTCGCGTCCAGCCTTCGGCTCGTCATCGCCTTTCGTCATGCAACTTTTCGGCTTGCATGATGAGGGTCGCAGTGACGCTATTTGCGGAGCTGTCGAGAGGCACAGTGGCACGTTCAGCTGCCCCAGTCAAATCCTGGATTTTCGATCTCCGCCACTTCCCAGATTCAATTAATCCCAAGCTGCAGGCGCTGGTAGCACATCGATCGCTGCCCGTCGCTCTTGGTGCAAGATCTGGCTGGTTGGGGCTGGCTGGGTGTTGATGACGGGAGCTATTGGCAATAGCAACGTTCTGATTGGTCGCGGCCGTGTTACTCTCCCATGCCCTTGTCCTTGACTGCACACCCTGACCACACGCTGATTGCCCAGGCATGGCGCACACTGGGCTCGCGATCCTTCGATCCAGCTGCAATAGTTGCAAACACATTGCACTTACGCTTCTAGATCGAGCTTCGGGCCGACTCGACGTGCACGTTCAGTGTCTTGCTGCTCCGCTTGTCATCGGTTATACGGCCGACCGCGTGTGGCGACATATTGTGTTGCCTTTTGCTCGCTGTCCTCGACGTCGCAATGAATGCCTTTTGGCGCCGAGCTCGGAGCGGAGAGGACTCGCTACCTCGGCGCACCTTCCAGAGCTGCTGTCACCGCTGTTGCTGGAGCAGCGATCTTGTCGTCAGGGTCCTTTGAACCGGCCAGCTGCTGAAAAAGAGAAGCCGCCGATCCGTCAATTCTGGGTGTCGTCGTTTTTTCGCCTCTGCTTTTCTTCTAGATGAGCACATCTGCTTAGCCAAAACAAGGGTCTCGAGGTTTGCCTAGACGATGATGCTCTGTCTCTCCACCCATGCATCGCTCGACAAGCCACCTCCTACTTCCGCTGCACGCCATCCCCTCAGCTTCTCAGCCTTTGCTTCTCCACACCTCTCATCCATTCAAAAGACGACGTGGCTTGTCTTGCCTTGTCATCCACGCTCCTTGTTGTCATCCGTCGCTCGCACCTCGATACCCTTCGCATTGCTCCGACAACTCGTTCGCCATCGATCTTCGAGCTTATAAACCAACTAGGCTCACCAAGGCGCTCACACGCATATCTCTTCACCTACCTTTTTGCACACCTCGACGCTTTCTCTGCTGACCACGCCTCAAATCACGACGCAACCTATCATCGGTTCAAACGTTTAGGAGTCCTCTTTGGCAGCTTCCACGTCTTCGCTTCGAGCCATGGACGGCGTAAGTGACAATCAATTATTGCCAAATATGCGAAAAGGCAACGGAAAGCTTCCGATATGGTGCCTATGCTGACCCTTTATTTCATCATCGTTCCCTCCTGCAGGTTTCATCCTCACACACCACAGTCCCTCAGGGTGACATATATGACCTGCTCGGTATCGGCTATGGGCCTGCCCACCTGGCCCTCTCCATCGCCCTTCGAGAGTCGAGCGAGGCCAACGAAACCAACTTCAAAGCCCACTTCCTCGAGAAGCGCGGCCACTTTGCGTGGCACCCTGCTCTCCTCCTCCCCGGTTCCCAGCTTCAGGTTTCGCCTCTCAAGGACCTTGTAACGCTTCGCGATCCGACCTCGACCTACAGCTTCTACAACTACCTCCACTCCCACGGTCGTCTGGCTCGCTACATCAACAAGGAGCAGAGCGTGCCCAGCCGTCGAGAATGGACTTCCTACCTCGCCTGGGCCGCTCGACGTATGAACGAGAATGTATCGTACGGTCAGGACGTCGTCTCTATCGATCCTCTCACTCTCGCATCGGTGGTTCCCGACGCAAAGGAGGATACGGTTGCCGTTCGACCCGCCAGCGGCGAAGAGACCGCTTCCCTCTGCCTCTACCGTGTGCGCACCCGCGACGAAGCCACAGGCCAGGTAGTCACCCGATACGCACGTAACCTTTCGATTGCTGTTGGCGGTGTCCCCAAGCTCCCGCCTGCGTTCCAGGCAGCATGGGCGGAGCAGTCGTACGCTGGCGACTCGGTCCCGCGCATCGTCCATTCTGGCTTCTACATTCCCTCCATGGCCAAGCTCGAGCCTGAGCTCCACATGGCTGCATTGCGTCGTCATTCCGACGACGCCGCTCCGATGGCCGACTCTTCCCGACTCCGGCTCGCTGTCATTGGAGCGGGACAGTCGTCGACCGAGATGTTCATGAACCTCCACTCTCGCTTCCCGACTGCCATCGTCACCATGATCTTCCGTGCATCTGCGCTCGTACCGTCCGACGACACTGGCTTCGTCAACTCGGCCGCCTTCGATCCCGAACGCACCGACGAGTTCTGGCAGGCTAACGAGACGCAGCGTCGCCAGTGGCTGCAAGAGTTCAAGCGAACCAACTATTCAGTCGTTCGCACCGACCTGCTCAACGAATTGCACGACACCATGTACGACAAGTACGAGGTGCAGCTGCCCGATGAGCTGCAGGACCCCTCCGAAAAGCAGGCTGGTCGCATGGAGATGCGACGCTGCACCGAGGTCGACAAGGTTTCCTTGGTAGAGGATGGAGTAGAGTTGACGCTGCGCGACAAGTTGCGCAATGGTCGGCTTGACACGGTGCGATTCGACGCCGTGTTCATCGGCACCGGCTTCAACAGGTCTCCAGCCAAGATGCCGTTCCTCAAGGAGCTCAAGCCGTTTTACCCTGCGCTCGACGAGGAATGGATGTCGCGCGACACGACTGCGGAGGAGGACGAGGTGGCCAAGTCGATCGAGGTCGAGGACGATGAAGTGATTGAGCGTCGACGTGAGAACATGCGTGGCATCACCAGAGACTACCGTCTGGTACCTGGTAGCGCCATGCACTCTGCGCCACTTCGTAGCGGCAAATCTAGTCCTGGTGCTGGAAGCGACGCTTCGTCGACCTCTTCGCAGCAGACGCTAGCTAGCGAACAGTCGACCGAGATCCTTCCAGAACCGTCGCTGTACGTGTTGGGTGGCAACGAAGCCACGCACGGATTGTCGGACAGCTTGCTGTCGATTGTTGCGCACAGGGCGGGAGAGTTGACGACGAGCCTGTTGCAGAGACTGCCGAGAACGAGGAGAGGGACTGCATCCAGTTCAACAACGCAGCAAGCCGGTCTCGCGGTTGGTGGAGAGAAACCGTCGACGACGACTGGATCGATCACACAGACAAAAGCCAAAGCGGCAGCTCAAGCGGTCAACGACAAGCTGGCCGCGCTTAGCGGACTTCACCTCAATGCTTCTTCGTAGATCAAGTCAAAACAATGTATAATTAACGACACGTACAAGTACACGCTCTTGGAGCTTAATCAATCCTGAACAATCTTCCCCGCCATTCTCTAGTCCTCATCACTATCTTGGTCTGCACCTGAACCGCCGTGGACGGAAGGATCGTCGTCCAGCCAAGCGTGTTTCTCCCTCCTCGCGTCCTCCTTCACCCTATTGGCAGCCTGCATCCTATCGAGCACTTTTTTAGCGCTATTGAACAGCCCGCCCGTCTGTTTGCCGCACGCGAAGCACTTTGTATTCCTGCTGAACCGCTTGATCGCGCAGGCGGAGCAGAAGTAGTGACCGCACCTCGTGACGACTGGATCTGTGAACGGTTGACGACAGATGAGGCATGCGAAGGGGATCTGTTCCTCCGCTACGTCTTCCGGATCGGAAAGAACGTTTTCGCGCCCGCGAGAGGAGGAGTTCGGTAGGACGTCGAGCTGCCACCCTGCGAGGTAGTCGGAGCGATCGTGGAGGAATTTGCACGTGTCGCCGAAACCGCAGTAGCCAGTTTCTTTGTAGTCCTTGCAGACGTCCGGTTGGTAGTCCATGAGGGAGGTGGTGCGGACGGTGGTGGTGGAACGGATGGGACCGCGGGCGCGGATTTTTGACGAGGTGCCGTCGTCGCGCGTGGGGGTGAAGAAGGTGTATGATTTGGCGCCGCGGTAGAGCCCGTCCGAGTTGGTGAGGGAAGGTTGTAGGGAGGATGTGCTGTTCGAATTTTCGAGATCCCAGTCGCTGTGCTTTGTAGCGTCTTCTCGGATCTTGGCCAGCGAGGACGCGGTGCTGGTGCCGGTGGTGGTTGGGAGCACATCGCGGGATGCCTGTTCGGATTCGAGCGGGTACTCGTCATCCGAGTCGTGAGAGCTGCCCAGCTTGGACTTGCTGCGATAGACCGACCCAGTGGATTGAACGAGCGGGTTGTGATTCGAACGCTTCTTCTTGACAACTACGGCAGAGCGTTCATGGTCGCTACCTGAGGACTCGCTATTCGAGCGGTCTCTAGATACCCGCGATGGTCCCGGCTGGTTGCTGGTGTTCGGTGCCGACGTTGACGAGGATGCAGCAACGACGTCGGCAGTATTGGACGAGGCGGCTCGAGAGGCAGGACCTCGTTTGCGCTTGAAGACGACGGCAGGTGCTGCGGCTGACGACGAAGCCGATGGGCTGGTTTCTGTCGCTGCGTCCATGCTCCCTGTCGATGATGCTCTGAACCCGCAGCCGCAGTGGTCAAGGATGTATGTCGCGTGGTGGCAATTCGGAAAGAAGTCGTGCGAGCCTCGACATGCCAAAGTGAGGGTCTGGCTCAAATTCTGCTCGGCTTTCGGGCTGAGTCGAGCGGATGTGGAGTTATGCTGTATCGTGCGGGATAGTCTGTAGCACAGACCCTAAGAGGCATGAATCAAAATTTGTGACTCAAAAAACGGACTCGCGACGTGAAATTCTTCCTGGAGTTGCGACTCGCACCTTGCTTCTTGATTGATAGGAGGGTAGTCCACCCCTTCGGCACCCTTCCGACTCAATCGTCCGTGGTAGCATCGCTGCTACTCGTCGATTTCTCCTTGAATCCCAGCTTACTTTCGGCTTCTGACACAGCCGCGACCCAACAGACTGAGCATTCTGGCACGCAGGCGCCGACAGGTTCGCTTGCTGCTTCGTTGGTGATTCAAGATGCTGTCTTTGATCGGCTCTTCGCTCCTCCATCCCTCCAAGCGCGCTCAGCTCTTGGAGAGGGCCAATGCGAAACTCGGTGCTAAGCTCGCCTCCATCGATGCCGTTTACATTCATTTCGTCAGTTCGGCTTCGCAACAGGCCGACGCCGTCCTCGCCGATGCCAACAGCCCGCAGCGCAACGTCCTCGACAGCCTTCTCGTGTACGGTGACAATGTCGATCTCGCCCACACCCGCCCCGCTGTCGAAGCCATCCTCACTGGCAGCGCTGCCTCGGCTCAGCAGACCGTGCTCTTCGTGCTGCCACGTCCTGGAAGCATCTCTCCCTGGTCCAGCAAGGCAACCGACATTGCTCGCATGTGCACCCTCAAGGACCACGTCGACCGCATCGAGCGCGGAATCGCCTACGTTCTCGAGCCTGCTTCCGGCTCTGCCCTCGAAGCTGCCCACATTGCCCAAGTGCACGACCTCCTTCACGACCGCATGACCCAAATCATCTCGGCCGTACCGCCCACTGCCGATGCGCTCTTCCACAAGGCGCAACCTGCTCCGCTCACCCACGTCGACCTTCTCGGCTCAGACGGCACATCCGATCGCACCGTCGCCAAGCAGCGTCTCGTCGATGCAAACGACAAGCTCGGCCTTGCCCTCGCCAACGACGAAATCGACTATCTCGTCGATGCCTTTATCGCCGGCAAAGGCGATGGCTCCGATGCTCTCCGTCGCAACCCCACCGATGTCGAGCTCTTCATGTTTGCTCAGGTCAACTCTGAGCATTGCCGTCACAAGATCTTCAACGCCGACTGGACCATCGACGGCAAGACTATGCCCAACACCCTCTTTGGCATGATCCGCAACACCCACAAACTCCACCCGCAGCACACCATCAGCGCCTACTCGGACAATGCCGCTGTCATCGAGGGCTACGAAGCCACCCGTTTTGCGCCCTCCCCTGCTGGTGCACTGACTGTCTACCAAGGCGTCAAAGAGCCAATGCCTTTCCTCGCCAAGGTCGAAACCCACAACCACCCCACCGCCGTCTCGCCGTACCCTGGTGCCGCCACCGGTTCCGGAGGTGAGATCCGTGACGAGGGTGCCGTCGGGCGCGGTTCCAAGCCCAAAGCCGGTCTCGTCGGCTTCATGACCAGCAATTTGTTGCTCGAAGGCGATGGACGTCAGCCTTGGGAGGAGGACTTCGGCAAACCTTCGCACATTTCGAGCGCCTACGACATCATGATCGACGGTCCGCTCGGCAGCTCTGCTTTCAACAACGAGTTTGGTCGTCCCGGTCTCAGCGGTTTCTGGCGAACCTGGTCCGAGCGCGTCCCCATCTCGGATGGCGAGACCGAAGTGCGTGGCTACCACAAACCCATCATGCTGGCCGGTGGACTCGGAAACGTTCGTCCCAAGAATGCGCTCAAATCTCGTATCACACCCGATGCCGCCATCATCGTGCTCGGTGGTCCAGGCATGCTCATCGGTCTTGGCGGCGGTGCTGCCTCGTCCATGGCCAGTGGCAGCTCGTCGCGTGCTGCGCTCGACTTTGCTTCGGTGCAGCGTGACAACCCAGAGATGCAGAGACGCTGTCAGCAGGTCATCGACGCGTGCACTGCGCTCAGCGACGCTCCCGGCAGCATCGAGGGCCGAGTAGGCGAAGGCAACCCGATCCAGTCGATCCACGACGTCGGTGCCGGTGGTATCAGCAACGCGCTGCCCGAACTGGTCCACGATGCCGGTCTGGGTGCACGCTTCGAGATCCGCGACGTGCTCGTTGACGATCCGTCCATGAGCCCCATGGAGATCTGGTGCAACGAGTCGCAGGAGCGTTACGTCCTTGCCGTCGGCCAGGAGGACCTTCCGCGCTTCGAGGCCATCGCAAAGCGAGAGCGATGCCCTTACTCCGTCGTCGGACGTGCCACCGTGGAGCAGGAGCTTGTCGTCACCGACCGTTTGCTCGGAGGTACACCCATCCACCTGCCCATGCCCATTCTCTTCGGCAAGCCTCCCAAGATCGCACGTCAGGCTAACAGCGCGCAGCCGCTCCGTATTCCATTTGATTCGACGCTCACGTCGTACCTGCCCGACTTGCAGAAGGATCCCGTCAAGATGTTTGCCGAGGCTGTAGACCGAGTGCTCCACCTTCCCACCGTTGCTTCCAAGAACTTCTTGATCACCATCGGCGACCGCAGCATCACCGGTCTCGTGGCTCGCGACCAGATGGTCGGCCCATACCAGGTGCCCGTGGCCGACGTTGCGGTGACACGCACCTCGTACGGCTTCGACGAGAGTCTCACCGGTGAGGCTGTTGCCTCGGGCGAGCGCACTCCGCTTGCCCTGATTAGCGCCGCCGCTTCCGCTCGCATGGCCGTCGCCGAGTCGCTCACCAACATCGCTGCTGCCAGCATCGAGAGCCTCGAACGTATCAAGCTCTCTGCCAACTGGATGTGCGCCGCGAGCCACTCGGACGAGGGCGCTCGCCTGTACGAAGCCGTGCAGGCCATCGGTCTCGACCTGTGCCCCAAACTCGGTCTCGCCATCCCTGTCGGTAAGGATTCCATGTCGATGAAGATGGCCTGGGAGTCGGCGCAAGGCGAGAAGCGCGAGGTGACCGCACCGCTTTCGCTGACGGTGACTGCCTTTGGTCCTGTCGACGACATCACCCGCACCTGGACTCCTCAGCTCCGCACCGACGTCGACGACACGGTGCTGCTCTTCGTCGACCTCGCTGCCGGCAAGCAGCGTCTGGGCGGTTCGTGTCTGGCTCAGGTCTTCCGTCAGCTCGGTCACGAAGCACCGGATGTGGTGGACGCTGCTGTGCTCAAGGCGTTCTTCGAGGCGTGCTACACGCTCAAGCAGCTGCGTGTGCAGAAGCGCGACGACGGCAGCCTCGTGCTCGCCTACCACGACCGATCCGACGGTGGTCTCATTACGGCCATCCTCGAGATGTGCTTTGCTGGTCATTGCGGCGCCGAGGTGTTTGTCGATGCGCTCGACGCTGAGCTGCGCGACCCTGTGGCGGCTCTGTTCAACGAGGAGCTCGGTGCTGTCATGCAGGTCAAGGCGGGCGATGTCAAGGCGGTCTCGGCCGTGTTGACCGCTGCCGGTGTACCGTCCAACCAGCTCCACGTCGTCGGTCGCGTGACACCCGACTCGCAAGAGATCAAGGTGGTGGCCCGATCTCAACCTTTGCTTTCCTCGACGCGAGCTACGCTGCAAAAGGCGTGGGCCGAAACGTCGTTCCGCATGCAGAGTCTGCGAGACAACCCGGAGAACGCAGCCACCGAGTACAGCCTGATCACCGACGAGCCCACGTCAGCCGCCGCCTTGCGGTACGATCTCACATACAACCCTCGCGAAGACGTCCTCGGCGCCTCGGTCATCCAAGCCGCGCTTGAGACTCGACCCAAGGTCGCCATCCTCCGCGAGCAGGGTGTCAACGGCCAGATCGAGATGGCCTGGGCCTTCACGCGCGCCGGCTTCTGCGCGGTCGACGTTCACATGTCCGACCTCGTCGAAGGCCGGGTCACCCTGGATCAGTTTGTCGGTCTTGCCGCCTGCGGAGGATTCTCGTTCGGCGACGTCCTGGGCGCAGGTAGCGGATGGGCCAAATCCATCCTGCTCAACCCTAGCGTCAAGGCGCAGTTCGTCGACTTCTTCCAGAACCGCAAAGACACATTTGCGCTGGGTGTGTGCAACGGCTGTCAGTTGCTTTCGCAGCTCGGCGTCGCCGGGTTGATCCCGGAAGCCGACAAGTGGCCTCTGTTCAAACCGAACGAGTCCGGTCGCTTCGAAGGTCGACTTTCCACCGTCGAGATCACCAAGACCGGCGGAGCCAACTCGATCTTCCTGAGCGACATGGCGGGGTCGGTGCTGCCCGCGATCATCGCTCACGGAGAAGGTCGTGCGCACTTCCGCAACGAGGGCGACCTGGAAGCGTGCAAGGCGCAGGGACAGATCGCTATGCAGTACGTCGACCAGCGCTACCCGATCAACCCGAACGGCTCGCCCGAGGGTGTTACGGCCATCACGGCGAACCAGGGCAGGGTGCTGGCGTTGATGCCTCATCCGGAACGTGGTGTGGCGTTGTCGAGCATGAGCTGGGCTCCGCAGGAGGCGTACGCGAGGGGAGAGAAGGGTTGGTCGGGTAAAGGACCGTGGTTCAGGATGTTTGAGAATGCTAGGAAATGGGTTGGTCAGCAGAAGTAGACGAACGGTCAATGATTTGTTGTACATAAGAGATCTCAAGAAGGAAAGCCAAATCTTGAAGGTGTTTGAGCACTGTCGACAGTGTGTGCGCTTCTAACATGAGAGATAGAGGCAGACTTGTCACGAAACTTGCAGACGGAATAGTGTTGCAGCGATAGAATTGATCGAGTCTACTCGTCATCATCGTCGCCATCCGCACCTCCCCCACCCCCACCTGTCGTCGCCTGTCCATCCGTCGGTAGCGCACCATACTTCTCCAACAGATCTCTCGCATCCTGCTCTCCACCTCGTCCCCACAAGGGATCCAAATCGACCCTGACCAGATTCGCCACCAATCTACCCGCCCTATACACCAACACTGTCGGCAAGACTTCCAACGTCTTTGAATTGTATTCGTCAAATTCTTCTTCTGTTTCTGCGTCTGCATCTCTACCGAAACCGATGGCTGCTGCTTGAACCTGCAAGAATTTCGTTTGTGGATACTGTCTGGCTAGACTGGAGAGTGAGCTGGTGAGCATGTTGCATTGAGCTACGGCCTTCGAGTAGATGTGGATGACGACGGGGACGCGGGGATCTTCGTTATCGATGGCTGAGACGTAGCCTCGTTCGTCGACCTCGCGGAGATGACCGAAGTAACGATCTTTGGCGACTGTATTTGAGTGCGTATGGTCGGAAAGTGGGTTGGTAGAGTGGAAGGATTTCAGCTCGGCGATACGCTGTTCTCTTCTCCTCTCTTTGGCTTGCAGATCGGCAATTGCAGTTCGACTGGCTGTATCGTCTTGATCGTCATCTTGTCCAAGTGCAGCTTCGCGTTGCTCTCTCGCAACTTGCTCGCTGTAGGATTCGGAAGTCATTGCCATGGATTCCATCTTTCGATTGACCGCGTGAACGTTGGCAGCTCTGGTGGACGATTCTTGCTGTGCGCGCAGCTGTCGATCTCGAAGAACACCTTTGGGCCCCGTGTGGCTGGCACCCTCTTCACCACGATTTGCAGTACGAGAGGATTGAAGACCATGGAGCGCAGAGGGAGCGGTGCGTGAGTGTGACCCGTGCGCACCACCAGCACCGTCTTCGTCGTTGGCGTAGAGATCGTCATCGTCGTCGGAAGGTAGATCGGAACCTAGTTCGTCATCGGTGTTGTGTGCAGAGCCGCCGGAATCGGCTCGTCGATCTTCGCGGTAGGTGGAAGTGGGGTGCGAATCGACGCCGTGCAAGATGGCCGCTTCTATGGCGTCGGCTGTGCCGGACATGGTGGCGTATGATTCCGGTTCCTGATGGAGGAAGGAGCGTCTCTGAATGCTGCTGCTGCTGCGTGTATTTATGGAAGCGTGTGTGGAGAGGAGAGCACGGCGTTGTCGCGGACGTGAGATTGGTTCGAGCCGTCTAGTGTGGGGACGTGCCGCAAGGGTTCGTGCGGAAAGCGATGTGCGTGGGTCGGAGCGTGGGTGCGTGCGAAAGTGTGCACAAAGGGACTGGGATGATGGTGGGGCTCGCAAACAAAGGAATGAGGGGCTAAGCTCGATATTTTCGGGATGATCTGTGCGAAGCTGACTTTCTTGTCGCTTTTGTTCGTCGAGACGACGACCAATGCGCAGCGTGTGAGGGAAAAAGTGTGGCTTGAGCTGCCCCGTCTCGTTCGCATGACATGCATGCACCTCTTCCCTAAAAGTTGCTCGCTGTCGGCGCCCTAATGCTTCGAGTGACAAGCCACAAGTGTTGGTCTCGGCTCAATCCGAATTTTCTCACGGTGTTGTCCTCGACGAATGTAACAGTGGTCAGTCTCGATAAAATGTCGCACGAGTGACTCACGCTCAAGCCGTGCCTAGCTCGCTCGCTCGCTCGCTTTTCTTCTCAACTTGCAAAAAGAATCCAAAAGCTCAGCGCTCTCGAGTCTTCTCTGTTGTCGAGTCGAGTCTACGCTGTGCTGTTCGAAGCGGCGTCGGTTGGTCGGTCGAGCTGAGCGCTCTAAAATCTCCGCCGGCGTTAATGTGATCTGGAATGACTCCTGAACCCGAGTCACACCTGGATACTGACCTTGCCTTCTTCCACCCATCATCGTCCAATCAGTGAAATAGTCGTCGTTGCTACAACGTCGCGGATAGAGGCGCTCTTCACAACAACACCATGGCCGACCCTACCGATTCGGCCGCCGTCTTTGGTGAGCACGAGGTCACTGCACAGTTCAGCTTCCCAACCGAGGAAGAAAAGGTCATCCGATACTGGCGAGCCATCGACGCATTCAAAACGTCGCTCAAGCAGAGCGAGGGCAGGAAACCCTTCAGCTTCTACGACGGCCCTCCCTTTGCCACTGGTCTGCCACACTACGGCCATCTTCTTGCAGGTACCGTAAAGGACATCGTCACAAGACACGCACACTCCACCGGTCACTATGTCGACCGTCGCTTCGGTTGGGACTGCCACGGCCTTCCCGTCGAGCACGAGATCGACAAGCGCCTCAACATCAAGGGCAAGGAGGACGTCATGGCCATGGGTGTCGACAAGTACAACGCCGAGTGCAGAGCCATCGTCATGACCTACCAGTCAGAATGGAAGCACACCGTCGAACGCATGGGCAGATGGATCGACTTTGACAACGGCTACAAGACCATGGACATCAACTTTATGGAGACCGTCTGGTGGGTGTTCAAGACGCTCCACCAGAAAGGTCTCGTCTACCAAGGCATCCGCGTCATGCCTTACTCCACCGCATGCACCACCCCGCTCTCCAATTTCGAAGCCGGTCTCGACTACCGCGAGGTGCAAGACCCTGCCGTCACCGTCAGCTTCCCGCTCGTAGATGACCCCAAGACCGCCTTCCTCGCATGGACCACCACACCGTGGACGCTCCCCTCCAACTTGGGTCTCTGCGTCCATCCCGACTTCAACTACATCAAGATCCACGATGACGAGCGCGACATGAACTTTATCATCCACGAGAACCTCCTCACCACCCTCTACAAGGATCCCAAGAAGGCCAAGTTCCAAAAGTTGGAAACTTTCAAGGGCAAGGATCTCGTCGGCAAGCAGTACGAGCCCATCTTCCCCTACTTCCAAGAGCGCTTCAAGGACCGCGCCTTCCGCGTCCTTTCCGACACCTACGTCACCTCGGATGCTGGTACCGGTATCGTCCACCAGGCTCCCGCATTCGGTGACGACGATCACCGCGTCGCCATCGCCCACGGTGTCATCACCCGCGACGAGACTCCACCCAACCCAGTCGACGGCTCGGGCCGATACACAGCCGAGGTCCCCGACTATCAGGGCGTTCACGTCAAGGAGGCCGACAAGGCCATTCAAAAGGACCTCAAGGCGCGCGGCCGCCTCATCGTGCAGGCGACCTTGAGCCATCAGTACCCCTTCTGCTGGCGTTCTGGTACGCCGCTCATCTACAAAGCCATCCCCTCCTGGTTCGTCCGCGTCGAGCCCGCCATCGAAAAGCTCGTCAAGAACAACAACGCCACCCGTTGGGTGCCTGCCAACGTCGGCGAGGGCCGTTTCGGCAACTGGATCGCCAACGCACGCGACTGGAACATCTCCCGAAACCGATACTGGGGCACGCCCATCCCATTGTGGGCCAGCGAAGATATGGAGGAGATCGTCTGTGTCGGTTCCGTCGAAGAACTCGAAAAGCTTTCCGGCGTCACTGGCATCAACGACCTCCACAAGGACAAGATCGACCACATCACCATCCCTTCGCAGCAGGGCAAAGGCCAGCTCAAGCGTGTCGAAGAGGTGTTCGACTGCTGGTTCGAGTCCGGATCCATGCCGTATGCACAGGCTCACTACCCCTTCGAGAACAAGGAAAAGTTCGAAAAGTCGTTCCCCGCCGACTTTATCTCGGAAGGTCTCGACCAGACCCGAGGTTGGTTCTACACGCTGCTCATCTTGGCCACCCACCTCTTCGACACGGCACCGTGGAAGAACCTCATCGTCAGCGGCCTCGTTCTGGCCGCCGACGGTAAGAAGATGAGCAAGTCGCTGCGCAACTACCCGGACCCGAATCTGCTCATCAACCAGTACGGTGCCGATGCCATCCGCCTCTACCTCATCAACTCGCCCGTCGTGCGAGCCGAGAATCTGAGGTTCAAAGAGGAAGGCGTCAAGGAGGTCGTCGCTTCCACCTTCCTGCCCTGGCTCAACTCGTTCCGCTTCTTCCTCGGATCCGTCAGCCTGCTCGAGAAGGACCACGGCATCAAGTTTGTCTACGCCAGCAAAGCGGCCAAATCCACCAACGTCATGGACCGATGGATCCTCGCACGCTGCCAGTCGCTCATCAAGCTCATCACCGAAGAGATGGCGGCGTACCGCCTCTTCACGGTGGTTCCTCGTCTGGGCGAGCTCATCGACGAACTCACCAACTGGTACATTCGCTTCAACCGTCGTCGTTTGAAGGGCGAGAGCGGCGTTGAGGACACGCAGGCTGCCCTCAACTCGTTGTTCGAGACGCTTTTCACGCTGTGCCGCACGCTGTCGTCGTTCACACCGTTCCTGACTGAGAACCTGTACCAAGGGTTGCGCAAGTTTTTGCCGCCACAGGCTGCGGAGGACGAGCAGGACTACAGGAGTATCCACTTTTTGTCGTTCCCCGAGGTGAACGAGTCGTACTTTGACCCGGTCATCCAGCGTCAGTTCAAGGCGCTCCAGTCGGTGGTGGAGCTGGGACGTGTGATCCGTGTCAACTCGAATTTGCCCATCCGCGTGCCGCTCAAGGAGCTCGTTGTGTTCCACACCGACTCGGAGTACCTCAAGGACGTCGAATCGCTCGGCGACTACATCAAGGAGGAGCTCAACGTGCGCGATCTCACGCTCACATCCGACGAGGCGAAATGCGGTGTTCGATTCAAGCTCTTCGCCGACTGGCCTGTTCTCGGACGCAAACTGCGCAAGGACGTCGGAAAAGTTCGCAAGGGTTTGGAGAGCGTCACCTCGGACGATGCGAAATCGTACCGCGAAACGGGCAAGCTGACGGTGGCCGGCGTGGATCTCGTCGAAGGCGATCTGCGTGTCATCCGCTACGTCGAGACCAAAGACGTGGCCGGATCGTTTGAGAGCAACACCGACGGCAACGTCGTAGTGCTGTTGGACGTTCAACAGCGAGCCGAGCTGGTGGCCGAGGGAACGGCGAGGGAGGTGGTGAACCGTATCCAGCGGTTGAGGAAGAAGGCTGGATTGGTGGCGACCGACGAGGTGGATGCATTCTACGAGTTTGAGACCGGTATGGGTAAGGCGCTGGTCGAGTGCTTTGAGAGTCAGAGCGAGACGTTTGTAAAGGCGTTGAGGAGGATGCCGTTGCCGGCGAGCGAGAAGAAGCAGGGAGCCAAGGTGATTATGGAGGAGGAGCAGGAGGTTGGGGAGGACAAGTTCAGGTTGACGCTGGCTTGGGCGTGAGGGTGGTGTAGCGAGCTAGCAGTGTTTATGAGAAAGTTGTGACCCATCGAGTTGGAGTCGTGTTTTTCAGTGTGATGGATTGATGACGTTTGGTGAGGAGAACGACATTGTATCGGGCGTGAAGAGAAGGGGTGGGGCACGATTCAATTGATCAATGAACATTGATGGTATACATGAACGAGGTCACGGGGTATAAGAGGGACAAAATGAGGGCCTCGCCGGCTAGGCGCCTCCACGGAGTGGCCTCCACGGAGTGGACGTCAGCGCTTCTTTGTGGAACCGAAGCCGCCGAAACCCATGGCAGCCATCATTGCGGCTTCGGCGTCATTCCCTCCATCCTCTCCTGTCGCTGCCGCTGTTTCGACTTCAGTATCAGCGGTTGGTAGTTTCGATTGTTGCTTCTTCTGTCTCCTCTTTTCCCTCTTTTCGTGTCTAGCTTTCTCCTCCTGTTCGGCGATCTGCTTTATTCTTTGATCGAAATCATACACGGCACTCGCATCTCCCTGCTGTTTCCTCCTCAACTCGTCCAACATCTGCTGGACCTCTTCGAGACTCGCTCTATCCTGCTGCGTACTCTGGCCGATCCTCATCAGATGCACGCGCCCGTTTATATGATCCAGATAGGCCAGATTGTCCTTGAGCAGTTTCCTGCAGACTTCGCAGTAGAAGCCGGGACCTGTCTGACCTTTTGCCCCGTCGGTCGCGAGGTCGACCATGAGCGTCTTTCCCTCGTTGCGCTCGAGATCGAGCGGTGCTCTGCGCTGCTGCATGGCGAGTTCGGGTTCGGGTTGGTTGGATTTGAGACGTTTCAAGGATGGGAGACCTTGGGAACGGCGTTCGGCGTTGACGGAATCAAGTTCGGCTTGACGCTTCTCGCGAGAGAGGGCTTTGCGGGTGAAGTCGTCTTTGTCCCAGGTCCGACGGCTGGGACCGACGCCATTGGCGCTGCTGCCCGCGGCGGTGGATGCAGAGTCGCTCGCTTTCGACATGATGATCGGGTTCAGTGCGCGGATGGAGGAACAGGGATGAGGAAGGAGGGAGGCAAGCACAGCTCCACTTTTTGGGAGAGGGGGTTAGGGATGGCCGACATCCGAGCTGCGGGCTTGAGAAGGTGATCGCAGCGCTGAATCGGGTCAAGGTTTGAGGCTCAAGATCGGGTCACACATCGACGCGAACAAAAGAAAAGAAATAATCGAGGCTGTGGGTTGAGTGTGCGAGTCTGCGAGCGTGGGTTGTGATCTTCTAAAGACACAAGAGAGAAAAGGTGACTTTGAAGAGAAAAACACCAAAGCGCAGAAAGCACTGACCTTCGCGATTTGAGCAGTGCGTCAAGAGTGCTTTCTTGGTCGGCTCGTCCGTGTCGCAGCAAAATCGATCGCGACTCTGATCACGATTCAGAGGCATTCCGATTCCAACAACACCAACACCATCATCACCTCCATCCTCCTCTCTTCTTCCTCCTCCTCCCGCTTTTGCTTCACCGACTACCGTACAGCAGCCCCTTGCAGCGGTCAACAGCGCGACGCGGTCCAGCCCGGAGGATTCCCGGATCGTTGTGGTTTCATCTCTTTCGCATCGACGCCGCGTTGATTGGCACAGCTCATCGCCATGTTTGGCTCTAGCGGCTTCGGCGGCTTCGGCCAGCAGAACAACCAGCAGCAGCAGCAACAACAACCGCAGCAACCCGCTGGAGGTCTTTTCGGTCAACCACAGCAACCTACCACTCCCGCCCAGACCGGTTTCGGCGCATCTACAGGTAAGTTCGACTTTCCCATCAGGATCTGCGACTGTTCAGACATGCTTACAAGGCCATCCGTCACGTTGTGCTTCTTACCAAAGGCTTCGGATCTACAGGTGGCTTCGGTGCATCTCAACCCGCTGCGCAGACCGGCGGCGGCCTCTTCGGACAACAACCATCCCAGACACAGACCCCATCGTTCGGCGGCTTTGGCGCGTCCAACAACAATGCTTCCACAACCGGCGCTTTTGGCGCGCGTCCCGCAGCTTCCACCGGCTTTGGTGGCTTCGGCGCGCCTGCGAACAACACATCATCCAGCTCCTTCACCTTTGGCTCCACCCCCAACCAGCAGCAGCAGCAACCAGCTACGGGAGGCTTCGGTTCATCCACGTTCGGTTCTGCTGCTCCCGCGACAGGCGGTCTCTTTGGACAGCAGCAGCAGCAACAACCTGCTGCAGGCGGATTCGGCGCGACCACGGGCGCCTTTGGTCAGCCTGCTGCCGGTGCCGTTCCGGGCCAGATCACCCAAGGCACAGCAACTGTTCCCTACGATCCGCTTCGTGAAGACCTGAACCCTACCGAGCACATCAAGGACCGCAAAAACTGGGACGTGCAGCAGTCCATCACGGTCATGCCCGCGTACTCTCATCACAGCATTGAAGAGCTCCGTCTCATGGATTACCAGCAGGGCAGATCCAAAGGCAACACCGGTCCAGGTGCCACAGCTGCGCCTTCCACCGGCTTCGGCTTTGGCGCCTCCAACACTTCTACCGGCGCCTTTGGCCAGCCGCAGCAGCAGTCGACTGGCTTTGGTGCGACATCCAACACCACCAATACCGGCGGTCTCTTTGGTCAGCCTCAACAGCAGCAGCAAACCGGTGGCCTCTTTGGGCAGCAAAACAACCAGCAGCAGACCGGCGGGCTCTTCGGTGCCAAACCTGCTACGACCGGCTTTGGCGCCTCGACATCGACTGGCGGTCTCTTTGGCCAGCAGCAGAACCAGCCTCAAACTGGCGGTCTCTTTGGTCAGCAACAGCAGCCGCAGCAGCAACCCTCTTCGTCCTTCTCCTTTGGCTCGCAACCCCAACAGCCTGCTGCCGGTACCGGTTTCACTTTCGGCGCTAACAACAACACCCAACAGCAGCAGAACAAGCCCGCATTCGGCTTTGGCGCCTCCACCACTCAGCCCGGCCAGACCGGCTCCACTGGATTCGGTTTCGGTGCCAACAACAACCAGCAGCAACAGCCACAGACGAGCACCGGCTTCGGCGCTGGTGCCACCGGCACTACAGGCGGCTTCTCGTTCGGCCAGAAACCTGCTACCGGTGGACTTTTCGGTGCTGCCACCAGTCAGCCTGGTCAGACTGCAGGTGCTACCTCCACCTTTGGCGGATTCGGCGCCAACAATAACGCGTCTACCCAGAACAAGCCTGCTTTCGGCTTTGGCGCAGGTGGCGGCTTCGGTGCTGCTTCTGGCGCCGGAACTGGCACCACGGCTGCTCCTGCTGCCACTGGTGGTCTCTTTGGTGCAAGCACGTCACAGCCTAGCACCGGTGGTCTCTTTGGCAGCACCAACACAAACGCAAGCGGAGCCACCGGTACCACAGGCGGCTTCAGCTTTGGCGCCAACAACAATCAGCAGACGAATCAGCAGCCTGGTCAGACAGGCACCACTGGTGGCTTTGGCGGTGGTCTCTTCGGAGCCAAGCCTGCCGGTCAGACTGGCACGCAGCCGGCCACCGGCGGTCTCTTTGGTGGCAGCACGCAGGCTGGCCAGCAAGCCGGAAGCGGATTCGGCGCCGGCGCATCGACCGGTGGCGGATTGTTTGGCAGCACGGCCAACAAGCCTGCCACCGGCGGCTTTTCATTCGGCACTGGCGGCGGCTCTTCCCTCTTCGGCAACAACCAGAACACACAGCAGCAAGGCGCCGGTGGTCTCGGCACCGGATTTGGCCAGACGCAGAACAACGCGAGCGGCGGTCTGTTCGGCCAGAACAACCAGAACTCTACTGGTACGACCGGCGGCGGTCTCTTTGGCGGTGCCAGCAACACCGGAGGCTCGTCGCTCTTCGGCAACACGGGCGCCTCCAACACCGGTGGCGGTCTCTTTGGCAGCTCGACCCAGAACAACACCGGTGGCAGTCTCTTTGGCGGTCTCGGCGGTGGTCAGAACCAGCAGGGTTCCGGTCTCTTTGGTCAGTCGCAGCAGAACCAGCAGCAATCGGGTCTGTTGCAGAACCAGCAGCAGCAGCCCATTGTCCAAGCATCGCTCGACTCGAACCCTTACGGCACCGACAGCTTGTTCGCTTCCAACCCTATCAACGGCGCGGCGGGTGGCTCGGCGGCCAACGGCTCTTCGCTTCCCTTCAACGTGGCACCCAAGAACAAGCCACCTCTCACGACGCCCTTCCGCTCCAGTCCCCGTGGTGCCAACAAAATTAACCGCCTGCGTGGTTCGACGCCCGGTGCTTCCGGGCTTGGCAGCTCCAGCTTCGTCCGCGAGGGCACGCCCGGCTCGTTCCGGGAAGGCACTCCAGGCGCTCACGCTCGTTTCGGCACTCCAGGACGCGCCGGGTCGCCCGCTCTGTTCAAGGGCTTGAGCGACGAGTACAGCCAGCCGCTGTCTTCGCAGGCGTACGTATCGCGTCCCTCGGCCAAGCGTTTGGTTCTGGACGATGCTGGTGAGAACAGCTTCTCGGCCTCGCGCATCGGTCGCAGCGGCAGCGTGCCTCACTTTGACTCGGGCAGCAGCCCGGCCGCGGGCTCGCTCGGCGCTTCGGCTTTCCGCAGCGGCACTGTTCAGCCCGGCTCTGCGTCGCGCGTCACCTTCAGCCCTGCCCTCGAGCAACGCGCAGAGTCCGTGCGACCTGGCGGAGGAGATCTTTCGTTTGCCTCGTCGCTTCCCTCGCGTCGCGGCAACTTCCTCGGCGGCGCTTCCTCTTCCAGCGTCGTGGAAGACACCCCGCTCAAGACGGTCTCGGCCGCCGCTGCCAAGGCGGGCGCGCCTCGACAGGGACGCGACCTCGAGTCGTCGTTTGCTGCACCTTCCGCCGCCAGCGCTGCAACCACCAACGGATCGTCTGCTGCGACCGGCAAGGTGGGCGAGTACTACACCGAGCCCTCGCTCGCCGCGCTCCGTACCGCCAATTACAACGAGCTCGCCGCTGTGCACAACTTCATTGTCGGCCGCAAAGGTGTGGGCCAAATCGAGTTCCTCGAACCGGTCGACCTCACATCGATCGAGGACCTCAACGACATTGTCGGCGGCATCGTCCAGATTCGACTCAAGGAGGTCGTCGTCTACCCCGAGGAGGACGACTACGATCCGCGCAACCCCAAGGATGGCGCCAAGCGCAACTTCTTGCCCGGTGCCAAGGCGAAGCAGGGCACGGGACTCAACGTGCCTGCTCGCGTCAGCCTCGAAGCGTGCTGGCCCACCGACCGCGCCACCCGCGAGCCGATCAAGGACGCCGAGCATCCGCGTGTCAAGCAGATGATCAACAAGCTCAAGAACAAGCCCGAGACCGAGTTTGTCGACTTTGAGCCCGAGTCCGGCACGTGGAGCTTCAAGGTGAAGCACTTCAGTCGGTACGGACTCGATGACTCGGACGAGGACGAAGAAGCAGCTGCCGGTGGTGCCAAGCAGGCTGCTGCTGCGAAAGCGGTTACCGGCGCGGGTGCCAACCGACCTGCCAGCAAACGGCTTGCTCCGATGACGGTCGACGAGGACGACCTTTCCGACGATGTGGACGATGCCGACGACTACGACGACGATGACGACGATGCGCCGCCCCCATTGCGGACGCTCGGCGATGGCGATATGGACACGGACGATGATGCCAGCCAGGCGGCTGCTGCTGCCGTCGCTGCGGCCAAGCGTCGTCAGCAGCGCCAGTGGACGCCTTCGTCCAGCGCTACCGGTCGCGAGCGTGCGGGCAGCGCTACGCCGTCGAGAGCCATGTCGACGGTGGGCAATGCCGCCGAGGCGCGACGTGTGCAGGTGATGCAGGCGAGTTTTTTTGGGCAAGACGACAGTAAATCAGCTTCCGCTGCTGTCGTTCCTGCCAAATCAAAGGGAGCCAGCCTGAGCAACAAGAAGACGCTCAACCTTCGCCCGTCGGCTGCAGCCGCCAACTTGCCAGCGTCGGCGCCGATCAAACCTGTCGCTGCTGCCTCTTTGCCTTCGCCGGCCAAGGACAGCAACATCGAGGCGACCACGCCAGCTGAAGCACCTCGGAAAGCGCAGGTGCA